CCGGTATGTTCCGGACCTGGTACGAGGTAGGTTCCGAAGTTAATAAGTCTGGCTTAAATAGCCTGGCTATGAAGTTGACAGTTTCATCATAGGTCTCAGTTGTAATTCTCTTTTTTACTTTAACTTTTTAAATTGTCGCGGCAGATCCACCGGGCAGATCCTAGTTCAGGACAGGGGCTGAAAGGGGCGCCAATTTGGTAACCAAAGGCAAAAGCGAAGAATTTTCATTGCGTATAAACTTACGCAGCGAGCTCGTCAATGAGTGAAAAAGAGCCAGGTTTTTTTTTGCAAGACCGATGACCATCTACGAGGCCAAGTCAATTGCGGAAGATAACATTTCACTTAACAACATTCTTATCCCCAGAGTCGTTTTCCTTACCCCGTATCTCGTGAGGAGAACACAGACTCATAGTTGCGTGCTTTCAATAGGGGAAACATTTAACAGGCGGAGTTGATGCAGAACATAGAGACCTCACAAAAAATTCCACCTCATAATATATAGCAAATATAGAACACTGTAAAATATTCCAAAATCCAAATCTGGTGCATATAAAACAAACCCTAAATGCGTATACTTCTAAACAATCAGCAGAAGCTGAGATAGGGAGATAATATTAATATCGCATGTACTACAGAGAACCTTCTGGTGCATGTACCACTGAGAACCTTCTGGTGCATGTACCACTGAGAACCTTCTGGTGCATGTACCACTGAGAACCTTCTGGTGCATGTACCACTGAGAACCTTCTGGTGCATGTACCACTGAGAACCTTCTGGTGCATGTACCACTGAGAACCTTCTGGTGCATGTACCACAGAGAACCTTCTGGTGCATGTACCACTGAGAACCTTCTGGTGCATGTACCACTGAGAACCTTCTGGTGCATGTACCACAGAGAACCTTCTGGTGCATGTACCACTGAGAACCTTCTGGTGCATGTACCACTGAGAACCTTCTGGTGCATGTACCACTGAGATCAATGTGTACTCCTATACATTGTTCCTAGTCAAGGGCGAGTGAACATTATGAAATGCCAAAAGCCTGCTTTGCATGGAGAGGAAAACTTAATCCACATATTTCTTGATATTAAAAATCTCTAAGAAACTCAAAAAAGCGAATCCGCTGTAAAAATATAAGACTATAGACACGTCTGTTACAAAATTAAACTATTATTTTTACAATGAAAGGAAATATTTTCAGTCTATATCACTAACACATAATTATTGGCGAAACATGAAAATATCTTTCTCTAGGAAAATTTAAATACTATAATTTTATTAGATGAATTCATATTCTTCGTCAATGTCGGAGATTTCTGACTGAACGGTTACAAATTCCAAGTGAGCTCCGTCTATATGATTATAAATCATCATCTTTTTACGGTCAAAACATATTGAAAACAAAACCTTTTTTTCGTATGACACCGACAGAAGGCAATGTTTGTCAGTGGTCAGCATAGGAAGTTCATTCAAAAACACTTTATTCTTGAGATGACAAAATATGAGAACAAGCGTATAAAAGGCCGGGATAGGGTTTATGCATCAGGAAACATGAAAGTTGCTTTGATGCAGATCTTTTCATGAATAAGTGTACATCTTACTTACCAACATTTGGTTGCCTGGGTAACTCATATGGAGGCCAATGCGGAGGTCGGTTTTCAATTATTTCAAAGATAGGGCGTGGCGATGATTTGTTTACCTGTAAACGAAATTTACTTCATTTTTTTCAAATTCAATGTATTCAGGCGACACTTCATTAAATATCACCAGGCTGCCTTCACTTAACTCCCTGGAATTGCCAATTTAAGCACAGTTTATTAAGAAAGAAAAGCTGCCTCCTGTGGGCCTTGTCCACACGGCTCGCTGTGTCGATATTCACATTGACTGCTTTAAAATTTGAGCAAGTTTTTTAGGTTTTCTTACCACTTATTCCTGTCCCCAGTGCCAATAAATATAAAATATAGTTTGCACAGGTCAAACAGACCCCCATGTAATCATTGTTGGTTTAGTTCAGTCAACATTATTTACATAAATAGTTCAGTTCAAGTCTGACTTGATTTCACCGCGATTCGTGTGCGTCAGTTTAGTCAACATGCAGAAAAGTTAAAGGATATAATGTTTGAACAAACTCTCCTTAGTGAAATATTTGCAATATTACCATACCACACCTCTTTCAAAGAAGTACAAAGTTCATTGAATTCAATTTCCGTGTCACAATAAAATCCCTGAAAATTAAAGTAAAACTTGTAGTAGTCAAATTTGGAATAGCGAGCAGTTTTTTTGACATTTTACTAGGGGAGCAATATACTTTTATAAGGGAGTTTTTTCAGCGTTATTAGTTGCTCACATGATCTGGAAAATTTACCTTTATGCTAGATACAAGCACACATATACATATATAAGTCGATCAGATCATTCATATTACTGCCTAGCTGCATGACTTACCAATGCTAACGAAGGATCAATTGCTGAAATGTTCATACTCAATGGCGGTGAAATGCAGCAATGGTAGGTCTGCAAGGTAGAGAAGGTAAATAACGTGGGGTGTGGGAATTGTATCGCGTGAGCATCGCCGAACCATGAATGCAACATAAAAAAGCAAATCTCACAATTAGTATATAGTTAGAAACAACAAGCGCGGTAAAAGACACGCGGAGAAAGCACACGAAATAATCACAACGCCAAATTCCAACACGTTTTCATGTTAATATAGCTTGCTTCGCACGGCAAACCATGCAAGCACGGTAAAAGACACGCGGAGAGAGCACACGAAATAATCACAACGCCAAATTCCAACACGTTTTCATGTTAGTATAGCTTGCTTCGCACGGCAAACCATGCAGCAACCTACCTCGTCAGAAATATTTTCACTCTCGGATACTGTATTTTGAGTAACGTGTGGATCTAAGTACAATAACTTACTCCCTGTTTTGAAAAAAAGATACGAGTTAAAAAGAATTATTTCATTATTGATCAGGATATGATATGAATATTGATTTTTGAAAGCATAGTTTTCAACAGAACCACACACACATGATTTTAATGATAATCATTCGGTTTATAACAATTAATAGGTCTATTTTCATGCCTCACGGTTACCACGGCATTTGAATGTATATAATAAATTATTTGGACCAGTGGCGGCCGGTTGCATAAAAAGGTGGTTTACTTTCAACAGCTTTTCGCATAACTGGAAAATCAGAATCGTGTATTTTGGAGTCGACTTCGATCTATTTACTCAAAGCGTTTTATCCAACTGGACCAGGTGATACAACTAACCATCAAATCGACACTAGGCTTTAACTGAACTTCAATAATGCATTTGTACAACTTAAAAACCCTAAAAAACTTACCGTGATATCCAATAAAATATGATGCGTGATTAGGCCTTCCACCAATACAGCCCAAAGATTGACGTATGCAGAAACATTTCTGAAAACAGAGGAAGTTTCATAAAAGCCCGTTTTCACAATACCTGTAGTAGGATCTACCTCATAGCCAGGATATTTAAATTTACAAGGTATTAACTGAGTGGCGCAGCAGTCTCCCACCTTTAGTGCAGACTCGTATATCATGTTTATATTGGTAAGACCAAGACGAAGTGGAATGAATAGGACAACTGGTTTCCAAAATGGTTCTTCATGTTCTTCTGTGTCTGGAGTATAATTGCATGCGGTTTGATGTCTGTTCCGAAGTGCTGTAGTTGATTCAGTTCCCGGATGATTTTCACTTGCATCTGATTCTTTCTCTGGCGAATTGAAAGGTGCCTTGCAGAGACATCCTGTAGGTGGAGGAGAACGATCATCAATACAAGGATTGGAGATATTGGCAGAGGTTATTACAGGGTTATACTCACTTATGTCATTTATAACAATTGTATTATCCATAGCAACATGAACAACAATTTTACTCCATTCATCAAATTGTGCAAGCTTCCTTAAAAGTAAAGTAAGTAAAAATTCTATATAAATTTTTTGTTTTTTGAAAACGCTCGAAACCACAGGGTGGGAAAACCTGCTTCAATGGAAATGAGGCTTCAAAAAAGCAAAGGGGTTTTGGAAAGTAATGCGATGCACTGTTTCTTGTTATCAGTTTAACAACATTTCATAAGCTAGTATTAATAATATGTTATGAATCTATCCAACAGTGAGAGAGGATGGCAAATGAACACATAGTTTTGTTCCTTGAAGATGTTCTTTCTCCATTTTATTTTTAGAATAAAGTAGAAGGTTCAAATACAATGGAATGTCAAATTGGGGAATATTTGTAGTTTTTAAGACGTCAGGCTGAATAGGAACAATTATGAGAAATGCATACAGAGAACGCTCTGAAAGAGTTTCTTAGTGTCTTACTACAGCTGCTAGAAAAGTAAGAACAAGCAGGCTTCATCTAACACAGTCTATTTGTATTATTATTCCTTAATTATAACTATTTAGTTTCTCACCTTAAAACCTGGGAAACAGTGTTTGGTCCGAACCAACTACCTATAGCTTTTCCTTCAGAAACACCCATCTGAGCTATATATATGGATAAAGAAAAAGGATTATAGGTCAATATATATGTACATTTATTGCTGAATAAATCATTGAATCATATTTACTTTCACATTGATTGAAAACAAAAATGGCTGGGATACACAAATACAATAAGGCATGTTCATAGTGTTCTATCTGATACCTATTTGTTGTATTGAGTAAAAACTATCCTTTTTATCCAAGAATGATTTCAATACCTAAAATATAAATGATAATGGTAATCAATGTAATTATATTCATGTTTACATACCATAGGAAAAATTGCCTTCAATACAACCAATGAAGCTTCTATATGTAGCTATGGCCCTGAATATTCTAATATGATGACATTTAACAATTATTCCCCAAGACAAATATTCCCTGATAATCACAGAGCCTGAGGCAAATAATTGTTTTAGCATTTTTGCACAAGTGAATTGACAGAAGAACTGCATGCATTTGTTTGCTTATCTCTTTGTAAGAAACGTCCACAAAACGGCTAGCTCCCATTTTGCATTTATAACACCATAATATGTCAAATAGGATTGGTTATATTCACTTGTGCAAAAATCATCACAAACACTCGACATATGTATATATTTATCATTAGCAATTTATAATCTACTCACCATCATATATTCTTTTTTTTTATCTTTAGGTTGCCATTCCCAGTCTATAAATATTCAATAATACAGAAATGAAAATTAGAAAATGATTGCACTATAACAGTACTACTTTAACACTACAACTTTCTCATCGAAAAAAGAAAACCACATATATTAAGAAAATATAAGAATGACCTCTTCCTAAGTGTCTGCGAATTAACGCTTCAGCAAATATCATTTGACCACTTCTTAACATACAACCCCATCCTGAATCTGATGTGGGACCAGTTCCACCTGGAAACAAAGAGTGTATTTAAAATATGTTAGAAACTTTGACGAACAAGAAAGATATGTTGTTTGCAGTAACACAAGCACCGGTGAGTGACACCAACTTGTGGACACTGCACATATGCATCTAGAAAGTCTACATTGGCCTCTGGTGCACAAGTTGACCTCATTTGGGATTTGACACACAGCAACATAATTCTGTAAGAGGCTTACATAGAATGCATTCTAGTTTACTCACTACTCCTACAGGCATATAGGGTTTCAATGGAATACAAAAAACAGCACAATCTTCATTCACTTCAAATATAAAATTATAGTGGCTAGAATAAAAACCAATTGCCCATAATAGTCCAGCAGTCTTTATGAAGAAGAGAGTGGTCAGAGTGCTTACCAATTGCTGGAAACCCTTTTCTATATGTGAACCAAAGACATGCCTTGACAGCTTTTTGAATTTCTGTAAAGCACACATTTGTGAACGCCAGATAAAATAACGATATAAATAAATCAAAATATGAACAATTGAACATTGTACAGTGAATAACGTCTGACACGTATAAACGTCTTTCACATCGTTTTAAATACCTTCATATTTGCCATCATAATGCTTGCCAAGGATCCATACCGGTGGTTTATAATCGCATGGCTGTTGGGCTATCAAAACAGGCAGCCCTTCGTACGTAAAACAAGCTGCATCCATGTTTGTGCCATCATGAAATCATGATCTATTTATTATTTTGCTTGGTCATTTCTTTTCACTTTTCATTGCTGATGAAGCAACATACACGCGCATGCGTAGTAAGCTAGCGGATGGCGGATAAACGAAAGAGGGATTTTGTAGAAAGTCAATCATATCATTTATAAAAGAGTTGTCAAGTTGTTAAAAAGAAAAGATTTTTCGAATTTTCCGCATTTTTCGAAAATTAAGGTCATATTCATTGAAATTCATGTTATGAATAAAAATAGATTAAATTAGAGACGCCGGAAGGATGCGAACCGCAAAATTTTCATGAAATGGGCACTTCTGTAGCAGCGCATACAAGAATGTTTGCAAAACATTCAGAATGTTTGCAAAACATTGTTTGTTGAACTTCGGTGTCTGGGAGTTTTTCACCAGACAAATGTGTTGTTCTTTATATAGCTACTTAAAGTATAAATATTCTAAAAATAAAAGGGCATATTTGCCTCCTTGCCCCTGCTCGTAAAAGCAAGGGGCCCTCCTTGCCCCTGCTCGTAAAAGGCAAGAGGGGAAACCGCCCCTGCTGTCCACCTTGTTTTGACGTCTGAGTTTTGAGGGGTTTTTTACAGTCTTGTAATAACGACGAATGAAATTTACGGCAGTGTTTTAATCCATAAAGACGCAATATTATCTTTTTAGAATGCGTTTCCTAAAAACTAGCTAATTGGCTAAGAACTGGGTTGTTGATAAAAAGGAATGGGCATGCTCTCTCCCCACTGAGTCATTTACGTAGCCAACTACCATCATCGCGGCATACTCTCCTTGTTTCTTTGATCAATAACACAAAATTTCACGAGGACCATGGCCTCTAAAATCTTGAATAGCAATGGATGACCATCTGTATGTAAGTTTTCAATTCACACATTTTATTTCATTCACGCGAATTTAGCACAATAGTCTATATTTATAAGAAAAAATAACAATAATCTTGCGGTATATAGTTATCTTCTGTCGGCGTCATTCATTGCTCTTCCTGCAATGGTATACGTGCAATGTCATATTTTTTTTCTCATCAAAAAGGAACGTAATACAGTTTATAAATGAGTAACATAAAAAATTGCTGAAATCTGACCGGCGTCAAAATATGGGATCCATGCACTAAAATAAATTGAGGTTACTGGCAGACCAGGAAGCAAGGATCATTGACGCTATGCTGTTCAGTCTCCGAGTATATTTGTAGCTTCATGCATACACATTTGGGACTTTGCAGGGGTACTACTCATATAAAATGGAGAAGTTTTACTGAGTGAAGTTTACAAACTACGCGAGAAACCACCAGCTACGTACTGCATCGTCCGACAATGAAACTGGCCATTCTGGTTAGATTCTAGAACTTTCAGTCTATGACTTTGTACGATGGTGGGCCCCGTCATTATCATCCTGACTCATGATTGATATTAAATATCATTTAGTCGCTATAAAGTATTTCCATCTGGTAGACCTAAAATCAGTGATAATCAAAAATTCGGCAAAACACAGCTCGGCAGTGCTGAATAAACGTTGAACTTGTGTTTAAAGATTAAATAGGCAAACTAAGATTAACTAAGCGTGTCACAATATTTACTCAGGGACATGATGATGATAAAAATATCTCTGTTACCAAATTCTCCTGAGTAATTATCCTTATTTATTAATTTTAATATTCATTCATTTTGTATTTTACACCGAAAATTCCGGCAAATATCTTTTTGGCAAGATAGAAGGAAACTGGTTAGCTGCGGAATCTCCTCTCACAAAACATTAGTTAATACATAAATCAGAGCACAGCTTTCAAATTATTTTTATCTGAGTTGCCGCATCCGCCGTGCAATTTTGATGAATACCGCAGGTAATAAAAGTTAATAGTTTGAATGGTAATTTCATTAGTATAAGAAGAAGAAAAACAACAACATAGTAGTCCCGCTTCAATTACAAACCAGACCGAAACTGCATGAATGACGGCAAATGACAATTGTACTTTAATCATGCATGCATTCGTAGATTTTTAGTATAGGTTCGGTTTCAAATTCTGGAAATTTATATATGAAAAAGTTATACAACTAACAGAAACAATATTGACGTCCACGGCAAACGTTAAGACTTAAGGCTCCACTGACAGTTTTTGATATGACCATTCTATAACCCGCAGAACCTTATATACACGTGTGAAGTATATCACAAAGTGCATTATTAAACTTGCCTCACTTCATGCACACAATTTGATAGGAGAGTCGCATGCATCAAAGCAATAAATTACGATTTTAATTTTGTTGTTTCAAGTTCAAGACTAATGGCTTGTAATGCGTATAGGCCATGCATACCTAATATAAAGAGGGAAGGGAGCTGTCCAGTATAAAATTTTTTCTAACCACACTCACAACAACCACACTCTTTCTTATATCAGGATATTTAAAATCTGGTGTGCGGGCATGCCCTACACTGGTAATGCCGTAATGGTACCTGCCCATGCAGTTGAATGCTATATATATACTTTTCACTTTTGTGCATGCATACAGCCATATATAAGTTACTTCAACAGAAATTATAATATATAATTATATAAATATATACATAGAAACATAGAAATAAATATATATATATGTATATATTCGCAAAAAAAACTCGCAAAACAGATGTTTTCGAAACTTAAACTGTTTATTTTCTCGAGTTGCTAAAAATTGCCTTTCTTTCCTAACTTTCGTTTTGCCGTCGTAATGTCTGAAGAAAAAATGTGATCTTCTGACCTTCATCAAATGAGTTATTCGACATGTTACGACGAAGCCTGGATTCTTGTTTAACCCTTTCCTGCTGTGGGTCAAGTTATACATGGTCTAATCCTTTCCTATATTGTCCGCACTTCTTGTAGCTGAAAATTTCCGCTGCTGGAAATAGCTAAAAACGAACGAACCAAAACACATCAGGGAAACATGTTAATGACGCAATCTAACGCAATTTTAATGTTTCACAATCGCAACAAACATTGCGAGACAAGTCAAGTACATTAATTACAAAATATCTCTTTCATTTATCAAATTACTAAAACACGATTATTTGACCTAATGCTTAAATCCTTGGCTAAATATTTTACGTATGCGTATGTGAATTCTAGGTATTCTAGGCAGTTGGAGAGAACAGCTTCGTGACCTTCTTCCCTGTCATTTAGTTTGACAACTATCAAACTAAAGATTTGCTTTACCACCTTATGCATGTTGGCCAGTTTGGTGAAAAAATTGATAATCAAATCATGTCCAAAGCACAGTGAACGAAGATAACGTGCATGCGAAAATGCATGTTAAATGGTTTGAAATTATGTGAAATTATAATAAACGTTTACCCGGACGGCTGACGGAAGGCTGAAAAGATAGTTCGGCATCTTTCAACTAAAAGAATAATGCCGCCAGTACCATACGATGGTTATTTGTTATAGCCATTGCCGTGTTAAATGAAATATCATATGTTGTCATGCACGGGCATGTTAAATTTTATGTAAGCAACAGTTGATCTAAAGCATTCGCGAAGTAATATCATTCTGTGAAATGAATTGAATCAAAAGTTATCTTTGGATTGTAAGAAACGGTTGGAATTAGCGATAGCGAGGCGGTAAGAGATAATATTGTACTTCTAGAGGGCTGTGCGTTCAGGATTCGGCACTCGTTTGATATCAGATGTGACGAAAGATTACCAGCATTTGAACAGACCTGTTTACAGCGTTTCCTATTTGTTTAATAAGTGAAGATGATTTTACTGAACCTTTGGCTAAAATTTATGAATTATATATACTAACATAAACCAAATGTTTTTTCTCGCGATGGGTGGCAGAAACAGCTATTTCCTGTCAGAATTCTGTTATCTACGGAGGAAGTTGAACTGAGAAAAATAAACTTAGCACAGATTCGATACTCGCACATGATTCACAAAGTAAATAACACTTTGGATTGAAAAAGTCTATTTATACAAGGCAATAACAGGCAAGCAAAGGGAAACGATACGATATTTATTAAAAACAAGACTATTTTTATGATTCGTGGACAAGTTTCGGTTTTTTCTACTTAAAGTTCAGGTCGGGACATTTTGAAACACCAAAGATCAAGGCATGGTTTCATATTACTTAGGGAGATATACGTTTTCAACTATCGCGCACTCACACAAATGACACAATGTCATCTAAATGTATCGTATCACAACTCAGAAATTAAACCTATTACGCTATTATTTCATATTCAAATATTACTCGCGTTTGAATAACCAGTGTTGTAATTCTGTAATTTAAATTTTGATCCATCGGCGTTTGAAGCAATTTTCGCGCAGTGGGTCACCAAGTTCCGGTTAATTTCATTAAAGTGTAAAACAAACGTCTGTCGCTTTGAAGCTGTCATTCAAGAGCTATACCGTCCAATTAAATTGATCAATTCATACAAGTGTTAAAGCATTCGCGAAACATTTGCCATTTCAATTTTCAAACAGTCAGTTTGGTGAGAGTTGGTGAACAATCTGTGGTGGATAATTTACATAATATTGTTTGAACTTATTACATTATAGACTTTCGCAAGAGACGGAAGGATGGCAAGGTTCGACTATATTACGCAGCAGAATGTTTATACAAATATGGCTTTTCAGCGCGCAAGTGAAGCAGACGAACAACAGACTTTAAGTTTTCATCCTACCCTGTTTGTTGATGGTACGGCAACACATCTTCAAGGTTTAAATGTAGTTGGTAGTGGCGGCCCATCAGCAGCACACGGTTATTCTGTTGATCTGAGTCAGACAACGAGCTCATCTCAAGTGGCATATACAAGCCCGCAGTCAAATTACGCAGGGATTCCTCCCTTTTCGTCGCTACTCACGGCAAGAGATCTACTCCTGAGGAGAGAACATCTCCCCGCGGCGCAACTGGCCAACAATGCGGATCAAACATTTCATCATGGACTACAAGCTTCGGTCATTACACCACCATTTCAAAATCATGGCCTTAATCTCGCCATTGCGAGCCAACTGGCGAACACTCCAACACAACCGAACACGCAGGAAGATAACACCGCATCGTTTACGGCATTGCGTCCTGTGAATCAGGCAGAGCGACTCAATAATGCTGTCACAACCGAAGTTTCGACACACGTCAACCATCCAACTATGGTCTCAGCTGCGTCTCATTCAACTACTGCGAACAACATGAAATCTGTGAATGTTGTGAATTCCCACGTTGATACACTGACAACAGGCGCATTCACTCCCTACTTTAAACCACAAGAAATCAAACAAGAGCTGGTGTGTCAATGGTTAGTAGCTAAAGGTAAAATTGGTCAATGTATTTGCGGTGGTAATTTCAGCAACCTAGTTGATCTTGTGAAGCACTTGTCAAACGAACATGTAGCAAACCCTGAAAGTTCCAGTCATGTTTGTCGTTGGGATAAGTGTAGTCGTGATGGTCGAGCATTCAAAGCAAAATATAAACTCATCAACCATCTTCGTGTGCATACAGGAGAGCGACCTTTTGCGTGTCCTTATCAAGAATGCGGCAAACTTTTTGCGCGCTCGGAAAACCTCAAGATACACAAAAGAATACACACGGGCGAAAAGCCGTTCATGTGCGAATTTGAAGGATGCAATCGACGTTTTGCCAACTCCAGCGATCGCAAGAAGCACTCACATGTCCACACTTCAGACAAACCGTACTCCTGTAAGATCGGAGGCTGTGAAAAAAGCTACACGCATCCAAGCTCGTTGCGCAAACATATGAAAGCTCACTCGGCCGTGAAGGAAGAGAATATGATAGAAAATACATGTAAGATACTTCGTGGCGAGACAGAGGGATTATGTACGTCTCTGGCAGCAGGAGGTGCATGGTACTGTGCTGAGAAACCCGTGTCATTAACAGTTAGCGCAGCTGGAAACAAGTCGAACGGTAATACGTCGCCGAAGAACAACCTTAGCACAGTTGTAAAAAGTAGAGTTTAAAAAGCGAACAAGCGAGATATTTGCAGTCAAAGAGAGATAACGTTCGTAAGTTATTTATTCAATACATAGGACAACGCTTCTTTCAGGAGGCGTCATATTTTCTCTCTTTTCATCCGCAATTTGTTCAACTATTCTATTAGACTAGATTGGTTGAAATTTGCCCAGACATTTTTTATTGTATCATAATCACAGATCACCCACTTTGAAATTTTCTAGTTTCGCACTTGCACGAATATTTTTGTGGAGACACAACACATGATTTGTTATCAATTGGGAACGGCGACACTTTAAAGCATGTACGTAACATAGGACTCATATTACACCGCGAACAAAATATTTGAAAGATGAATGACTTGTATGATTTATATAGAACTCGATAATGGTGTGAAAGAGATTTGAAACATTATATCATTTTCTTCTTGTGTCTGTCTATTATATCCTAGGAATGCTCATTACACAAAGACTTGAAAAAGCAATCGAACGTCAAATACGAAATGAAAAATCTTGTGTCGAAATGTCGAAGTATATTCAACCACATTTTTGGGGCCTATATATATGCATGATTCGAGAGTTTCACGTATTTGAGAAGCTGTGACAAACGAGAACTATTAAACTCAATGAAAAGAGTTTTGTAATTTTGTTTTGGCTCCGTGCATATGTTATGAGTTTTCCTGAACTCTGAATATGGATAATATATCTTTAATCTTTGAGATTTCGATTAAGAGTGAGATGCAGAATTTGATCAAATTTTAAAAACGTTATAAAAGGATTCTATGCATTCAACCTTATGTTAAAATGACTTGTTCACATGCCTATAGAAATTCTGTTCACATGCACATGCATACAGGTTCGGAATTTCGGAAATAATCTTTTGACAAACGCATGAGTTTGATTATTAGGTAGGTAGGTATATCTCCATTCTTCATTGGCGCGATTACCCTGGAAGATGAGAAAATAATCAATGTCGGCGACCTGTTAGAAACGTAATTAAATGACTCACGCTGGGGGTTAAAAATACACTAAGTTATTTCGTTTTTGTAATAAAATATCATTTTAGAATTCTATTGTAAAACATGAACATGCAATTTTCTTCCTCTTTAACAAGTTTATTAAGTTTTTTTTTCATTTCTCTAGCGAAGTAAGTAATATTCGTTTCATTTGGTTCGTTAAATTGAAAAACTGGTTTTGCACTTTTGTTCTTGGCCAGTTTTTATCGCTTTTGCTATGATCCAGTGGAATTTGCTATTGACGTCTTTTCCATTTTCGGAAAGCAATTGTTTTTATGTTTTGTTTTAATATAAGTGTGTCATTACAATCTACTTCATCTTATATCAGTCAATATTCTATTTGTTGTGACTTGCTAATTTAAGTCAACTTGAAACCTTATTATTCGTTATCATGTTTCTACTTTCTACATGTTGCTATAAACAGGACCTGCACAAGACTGGGATCACGCTTCTCGAGAGTGCGAAACCCCTCCTAATTTTGAGAAAGTTGCTGTTAAAAAGAACGAGAATATCATTTTGTGGAGCTTAAAAGTTATTTACTAAAAATATGCGAAAACGTGCAAAGGTATATCGCCTACTAATTTCCTTCTTAACCAACATGGTACCAATTTACAGCCGAGCTTGTCATGTTGGTCAACGTTGTTTTGCTTCAAGCTAAGGCAACGGATCATTTAGTTTACAAAGAAACGGAATTTCAAAGGGCTGTTGAGCACGTGCTGAAAAAAGATGCCTGAGAAAATATTTCAAACGTCGGACCGAGTTAAAGTCTATGGTTTCGGTTCTTATAGAGGTCGCATCCTATCTGGATTGTACATACATCCGCTAATTATATTCAGCACATTGATAATTCATTTAGACCAGACCAACCATTTTTCTGACTTGCATGATTCTATATGACAGTTTTTAATAAAACTAGCTAAACACTGTGCAAGTGAGTAGTGACATTCTTGACCCACAGGAAATTTTTAAGGCAAGCGTTGCAACAAAATGAACAAGCGAGAAACGGAGAAAAAATTATGATTCGCGTTGTTTAAGACACGATTTAATTCCTCCCAAGTTGTTACAGGCTCATAGCACTGTCTGAAAATATTTTATCTCTTTGAAACATCACATGTCAGCTTCGTTTCGCAATAGATTGCATCAATTGCATGTTATAAAGAAAAAAGTTATTATAAAGCGACAGAAGAGGAAAAAGCCACTCTAATCCATACGGTCCAAATTTGCAACTATAATTGAGTTCATTAAAACGTCCATTTTGACCACGATTTTCGTTCAAACCAAATTGGATTAATAATTTCGTCGTTGATAGAAAGCGTGGTATCATTTGGCGTTTGTGTGTAGTAAAACTTTCTAAAGGTGTAAGCCAAGAAGACTGGTATAGGTGGAGCTTCTCACCACGATCATATTTGTTTTCATTAGGTGTCTGAGGTGATGGTGAAAGAAAGGTTATAAAAAGAGACCGCTCCATTGCTCCAAAGAACACGAATTCACTGAAATTTGAGGGTCGTCTGTATTTACATGATTGAATGAGAGATTTTGTCAATACCAATAATAAATGACGTTAATAGACATCGTCTTTCAGAAGGGGAAAAACGACTTTGGTCTCTTGTGTGGTCAGAATGGAATATCAATGTTTACATTGCTTTACGCGACTGGCTGACTCATCGTCGTGGTATCAACACTATATTTTCTCTGTTTTCATCGACGAGATAAAAGGCTTTTAGTGGAAGCTGCTTTAGTCACCAGCTTTGACAATATGTCAACTCATCCCCCAGCTATAAAAACAATTTAAAAACTGCACTATCATTAAAATAGTATATTGTTTAATGTTTTCCGGTAAACGCAATTTGAATACCCAGGCGGCAGGATCTTTCAAAATCAGGAAACCACAGGCTAAACGACTGCTGACCTGCTTGGTAAGGTAAGAGAGAAAGAAAATGAACTTCTTGCGAAACCCTGCACATAATTTGACCCAAAACTATAACATATGTTGACTTGTGCAAATAAAATCTCGTATACCCAGGCTCGTGGTAAGTAAAATGTTGCCAGCCGGCATACAAACATTTGATGGTGCCCATGAAGTCCCCCTTCCCATTACGTACAAGTTTTAAAAAAAATTTTGAGGCTCAGGTAAAAATATATTCAGCGAAAAAGAATTTATTAAATACCTTAATGAATTGTGCCGTATCTAACCCTATAACCCCCCCCCCCTTCCCCACCCTCTCCGAGGCCTTAAGCTTTTAAACTTACGACTATATGCATTGATTTTGAAACTACCTAGTCTATCCATCAGAACTACTGACCAGGCCCAGGTTGTGACGAAGCAAACAAAATTCCCTGACTCAGTAAGTATGTCCTGGGAACTAAAATCCTGGGTACGAGGTTGTAGGTATGTAACTAAAGATAAAAATTCCCTTTATTGCCTATGTACATAACCTTTTTAAAAAAGAATCATAAACCAGAATCAGAAGTGTTTGAAACTCTTAGAATATCCGGTAAGGTTACAAGAACCTGTCGATATACAGCATAGTAAATCATGCAAAAACCCATGAACATAAATTAATCAACTGTCGGATATCAAACAGGGTAAAATGATATCTACATAAGGGATAATTATGGGATTATTAAACCGAAAGAGCAACTAGAAAAATACCACCACAGAAGTGGCTAAACCAATGCAATCAGCATGAGTTTAAATAAAACATAGTGCATTTTATAACGCCCAGGGGCCGGTTGTATCACGCCCATTTAGCTTAAACGGTGGATAAGCTCAAAATAGAATGCAAGACTATCGTTTTATTCAACAAGCAAACTAAAGGTTTTAACTCATTAACTGAAACTTAATACAAAGATACTGTCTACAACTACATATTCAGTGCATAATATTCAAGTTAACTTATTCAAAAGAGACGTAAGAATGTTATTTAATTTTGACTGCCGTCTGGAGAGATTTATCAGCGTTCTTGCTTCTATACTTGTGGAAGGGCGCGAAACGCAACTGTTAATATGCATATTAACCAAATTAAAAACAAAAAATAAAAATAATGAAGGTACTAAAAAGTTGTGCGAAAATGGTCATATCCGAATGAAAAATTAATTGTGACCGTATTTCTTTGGCATCTTTGTTTTTAATGAATATGGAACAATTTCAGTAAGATGAAGTTGTCAGATTGGATCAACATATTCTGCTAAATAGCTAAAATTTTTAATTTCTAAAACCTTTTTTTCTTATAATTTTTGGTTTTAGAAGACAATTTCTTTCTCAAATCAGCCTGGTGTGCAACTGGATTTTAGGATGGTGGATGCAAAAATGAGACATGAAAGTTTGATAATAACATTAAATAGTTTATTAACCTTATTTTAAAAATTAAAAATCTATTAAAATACACTCCAAAATGTACATCTATCATTATGAAGTAAAAATGCTAGAGTATATGTGCGAATTATGTTAGGTTGTAATTGACACCCATTAAAATACCTTCATAATACAGCCATACAGGAATCCTGTGTGTGCATGGTAAAATTGAATAAAATCGGTAATGATATATTATTATGTGCTTGTCAAAGGCCACAATGACTTAAGTTTGGTATTTTGAGAAGTGTTTATTGTATTTTCCACGATTTCTTTGATGTCTAAGTGAAGATCATCAATTGTTTTTGAGGCATTTAGAACCTAAAATAATATGTTTGGCATAAATACTTGGTGTTGAACATAATTCAATTGTAGGAAATCTATTCAAACTATATTAGGTATAATTCATTTATACTGGTCTATATCTTTGGAGTAGAGAAGGGTTGAGAAAAAATGTAGAGAATAAAAGCCTTTAAATTTTTCCTTGTATGATTGTGTGGTTGAAAAATGTTTCATGGTGGAACATACTGTGAACAAATTAACAAACACAAAAACTCATTTGCAGTATGGGCTATGGCTAAGCTGGCCAAGCTTCCTTCTATGTTTGTGCTTGTGAGACAGATGGGGACAGAGGGCTACAAGCTACAGATAGGGCAGTGCTTCCACTAGGTCTATTCACTGAACTTGCCTTCCAATTTTCTTCCTTCAGAACAGAATAAATATTAGAAACTCTTCTTTGAAATTCCAATTTCTCGTATCTCTCCCCACCATATTGTCCACGTTTTGCAGCTTCCTCAAGAGGCATGTCCAAATACAGGACAATATCAGGAGCAATCAAACCACTGTCTGGAAGTTTGCACCAACGGAGATCAAAATTCTATATAAACAATTTTAAAAAAGACATTATTTATTGCATTTTAGTTCACTGTAGTCATCAGTAAATGTAACTTACATGTTTTGCTGCAGTAAAAGCAACTCCTGAATATGCATATCTGTCTATAACAAGTGTGGTTCCTTCTTCTAGCAATCTCTTCATCTTTGACCTTCAGATGGCATTATATAACCAAGGAACATACATTAAACATATTTTAACCCAAGAACTGTATTATGCTGCAAAAGTATTATTACCTCAAAGCGATGCCAAGCTGAAATTTCAGCCTGGTTTGTAATGTAATAAATTTCATCTTTATATGCATGCAATCATGCTGAATTAAGTCAAGTAAATGAACATCGAAATATCTATAATACAAGCCATATCAACCTGGGCTAAAATGTGTCATTGTTGAAAATTTCTGGGCCAGTCAACTGGGGTAAAACATCTTGATGTCATTAGTATGTCTGTAGCAATTCCAGCTATGTCCTATTTCAACTCCCTATGAAACCATGTTTATTTGCAAAAAACAACCTTACTTCATTTCCCATCTGTTGGCTGAGAACATCAAATGAATAGCATGATCATCAAGCTCAGATCTTCCTTGGAGATAGGAATCAATTGTCTTTCCAATTGCTGTAGATCTGTCTGTGATTAATATATAATTTAAATACTACTTCATGAAATAGTTTCTGTAATTTGTGAGAGTACTGGACCTACGACCCTGACTCGATCCTGACTGTTGTATTTTTCATGTCTTTGATGACTCTGGGAAATTTTTAATTATCCCATTCGAGTTCAATTTGTTTGGTTGCAACATTTGACCGAACATCCAATAAATAAATAACAAATAGAACCTCTCTAGTCTCTACAAATTATCCAGAATGCATATTGTAAATTTTATGAAAATTTTACATAATATGACACTAACCAGGGAATCTGAACAGTTCTACCTTCCTTCCCGCTGATCGTAAATATTCGACGAGTTTCAAACATTGAGTTGACTTTCCACAACGATCACAACCTTCGAACACAATCATTGCACCTCTTGCGACGGCCATCTTGATAATCGAGCCCAGATCACACTGGTAAAGATGACAGATATAGCCGACTTTCCCGCCAAAAATGGTTATTACCAGCCAGTGTGATCCAGTGGTGTGATCACAGTTAATGAATTATGAATATACATGGTTGGCCGTTCGGAGATCACATAAAAGACAAAACTACAATACAACTCATTAACTATGTTGCGGTAGATTTATGAAAACGATTGTTCCTTTCTCATCACCTGTCTATTGAAGGAACCATTTTTTGCATAAACCTGGACAATAAGTCAATAAGGGGCCATTCATAAAATACGTGACGCTATAGGGGGTGGGGGGGTGTTCGCTATAGTGTCACATGATAACACATAGGGGTGGGGGGGTGTTTACTGCAGCGTCACGTGACGTAACAAATATCTGTAGACTCTCGACAATACATGGATATGCTTTAAAATTAAATTGACTACCACATGAAGTATTCCATTGGCAGGGGCCTATTGCCCCCCTATATACTAAGTTTTGAGTAGCTACATCTAATATATCACTAAATATATATATTTTTTTTCGCACCGTTGAGGTTGACTTCTCTTTTCTATTTCGCTACTTAAATAAATTTGGGGGGGGGGGTATTTGGCCAGGAGTCACGTAATTTTTATGGGGTATTTTGGAAAACGTCACACAGTGTCACATAGGGGTGAGGGGGTCTTAAAAAATGGCCAAAATAGCGTCACGTATTTTATGAATGGCCCCTAACATAGTTGATGAGTTGTATTCTGCTTACTGTGGTGTGACCAGGCGCCATAGATCTTTTCCCGGGTTTCGGAACAGGGGAGATAGTGGGGTTATAGCCCCACCCAGAGGTAAATGTTGGGGGAAGGGCTAATCCTAACAAAAATGCCTGAAAAAGTTGTTAATCAAGCAAGAAAAAAATTTTGAACTAGTGATTGAAAAAAGGAAGGCCTAAAAAATTCACACTGAAAACAAAATGATAAGAAAAGAGATTTTCGAACAGAAAACAAAATGGTAAAATCAAAAAACTTCGAACAGTCAGAAAGATCTAGGTCTTTGCATAACTGACAACCTTAAGATGATGGGATTATTTGCATAACTATCGACCTTGAGATGATGGGATTCTTGGGATATGTCTGATTGTCAAGCGAATACAGGCGCGTCGGAACGGCTGCAAGCCCACTCTACACACACCGTGATTTACACACCCTGGATTTTTACACTGTTAGTTTGTGTCACTGAAATCCACGAATATGCGATAAGGGGGTGCCGGGAGAGGAATGTGGTCTTTAACCAATCGGTCCGCGAGGCGCTTTACCTCAGCCTTGTCCTAATAGACTCCACAGACAGTCGAAAACATCTTGAATATCTTACAGGAAGAGAATAAAGACCATTGGAATCTTCCCTCTATGCATAGTTTATGTTAAACTGTGTTGAAAATAAATCGGACAAAAACATTGGCATGAACATTGGACTGGAATTCAAAGCAGGCTTTTGTGGAACCGTACATTCTCCAGCTAAACCAAGGAATGCTTTCCACTGTCACGTTTTTTTACACGCATGCAAGTAAAAGTTTAAAATATCCGATTGAATAGATGCATAGGTTGGATTCTATTGAAGATTTGTTATGTTTTTCAGTCTGCAATAAATTTAATTTTTATCATAACTTAGAAGGTTTTGTTTCAACTTTTTACGTGCTACTGCGTGTAAAAGCGTACGTGCAAAAACGCGACGGTGGAAAACAACCCTAATTGAAGTGAACACTATATTCAAATAACAAAACACCCAGTAAGACAACATAATTAAAGTTCAGGGACAGGGAGAATATAAGAAATCTATTGCGTATAGAAGCAACAATACAAGCGTTTCTCAAACGCAATAGTCTATAGAGGCTAGATCCGTAACAATCGGAGAAAATAATTTTAACACTATTAGTGTTAGAATCGCTATAATTGATATTCTGAAACAGAATTGGAAACATCTAGTCTGTTTTAAACGTATATGGACATATTATTTAATAGGATAAACAAACAATTTGCCATGGAAACTACATTTAAATATTTTCTTATTGAGCAGGTGCTGTGGAAATTAAATTTCGGATATATTCTTGACACTGACACTGAGAAAAAATCTTGAGTTGAGGAACCTTTGCTGCGCGAAATGAAATATTAAGGAATGAAGATACACATTATATGAAAAGCATAATATCATTATTAAATGTGTGCTCTTCTTATATTTGTTCGAAACAGGTGATAATTTCAATATAAAATACAACACAACACTGCGTGTTCTTTGCACTGCTGTGTCAGGTGACTGCTGATTATGCATGATTAGCTGGAAGTAGCTTGAAAGGTTGTGGAGTGTATTGGGAAATATCATGAAGATATCAATCAATCTTTTTTACGTCTTAAATGGGTTGTACTGCATCAGTAAAGAAAAGTGATTCCAGTAGACAAAGTAATATTAAAGGTATCATTCGGTTTTATTCATATATCATATTCCTTTTAAACAAAATATAAATCAGATTTTATAAACTTTCTCCAATAATAAGGAATATATGTAAAACTCTTTCAGCTTTGAAAGCGGCAATTTTGATACAGACGTGGTTCCGTCGACATCAAGCAAGATTGGAGGCTCGCAGAAGATGCTCATGGAAAATTTTTCAAGCTTTAGAGTACTCAGGAGAAACGGATCATGTGAAGGTTTGATTAATAACAAACACTGTATACATAGGCGCTAAATTAATACACGATAAATATACGTTTAAATGCATGTGCGAAACGAAAACACATGTACGATAGCATCATATAAATTTATTTTTATGCACGCACAATATTAAGAAATATTTTTTCATACTATAGGTATATATCATAGGTTCTGACTTTATTTAGGTGTAAAGAATTATATTTTATTGTATTACGCCAATAATCTGAACTCAAGCAATATATGTTCGCGTTGTTAGTTAATTGCATGCAACATCTCATCAACTGTAAGCGCGTTCTATTAATTGTAAGTTCGGTGTAAGAGTTCTCAGTTCAGTATCGTACGTTGCACATCATACAAATGATGTAAAAAATCCTCATTCTTAGTATCAACAGCTAATGTTTATATTTTAAAAACAATTATTGTAATGTGGGTTACATGAAACTAAAATAAGAGTTGAATAACAATACTCAATAGCCGGGTAGAAAGCAGCACGGCAGCGTCTTCATGCAATAAGGCAATATTATAAAATCTAGTAACCGCCTAAAGATGCAAAAGAGATTCATCGGACGTTTCAATCTAAGCCTAAAGGTGATATAAAACTAGTTCGACTACCACTCTTGCAGACATTATTCATACACTGTTCACTAGACTGTTCAACCCATGCAAGGCTACTAGATTTTCGTATAGCAATAAAGTTTCAGTATACAATGTATTTTTTTTCACGAAATTAACTGAAACGTTAGAAATTTCTAGTAACTTTAGTATAGCTGATTAAACTAGTAATTCATTATTCATCATCACCGTCATCAAGAAAGATGTTTTAATTAAAGAAATAAAATTGAATTACGACAAAAAATATTATGATAAAACACAGGGGTAAACGTTAGTAACCTTTTAGTGAAGCTAGGTTATCGGCCAATCAGAACACCTCTCAAAAATGATAGCTACAGTGGTATAATTTAACAAAAGGGGTTTCACTGACTGTGCATATAGAAATCTAGAAGCCTTCGAAACCACCAAAACTGGGTGTAGTAGATATAAGCGATTATAAAGGGATAAAAATAGGAAAGATATATGTAAAATGGACATGTCTCAACATTATACAAGCTCTATATATTTTTGAATTTGCATCTGCATCTATAAAACCTAACTATAAATAATAAATGAAAAGATACAAAGCGGGAGTGTTTGATTCCATTGCTAAAGCCTAATTTTCTGTTTTCATCACTCGCAGACAGTCGGCGATCTCTTTTCTACCTCATTGGTCCACGACAATGAATCGCAGAGCATCGCCGACTGCCTGCGAGTGATGAAAACCAGGCTTAAACTTCAATTATGGTAATTTTTTGGAGCCAAAGTATATGTTTGCATTTGTTCTTTGGGCTTTGTCAGTGGATTGACAACTATCGATAGTAAATAAGCGAGTGTATGCTTTTATAAAGCAATTTAATATTCATAGTATATACATATCATATGTGTATATATATATCATCAATTGCAACTATATATGTATATTTAATACTTTATTTATAGCTCTGCAAATTTTTTAATGAAATTTTATCAAAACAGGCCGCTTCTAATTCACCAGGTATGTCATGTTTTAATTGTAAACTATTGGAGTTGACTTGTATACGGTTGTTATTATTATATAAAAGACTGAATTAGTTATGCCTATGAACTTATTATTTATGCCTATTTACGAACTATGAGTAACAGTTACTGTATTTCTGTTCAATATATAGCTCAGGATATCACAGATGAAGAACGGCTACTGCATATTTATGCCGATCCAGAGGAAATAGAAATAGATGAGAGTTATTCTGGGCTTGAGATAAATTTCCCACTGGATTTGGACAGTGTACTTAACCTCATTTGTTACTTTCAGGAGGGGAAGGTATAGCTACTATATACTTATATATATAGTCATCAGTAGAGCTGACAAATACGAATGTCAAGGGGCCGGTTGTATAAAAGTCTTTAACTACATTTTGCATATAGTTAAATCCTAGTTAACTGCTAAGAAATACACAACTCTGGTTGGCCAATTCTGTCCTTAACAACAGCTAAAAGTTAACTATAGTCTTTTATACAACTAAGTGACCCCATGCAGATATTTCTAAGCGGTGTATTTATGCCGGAGTTGTCAAATTAAAGTTTTTCTTTTTAGGTTCTCCATGTGAAATATGCGTTACTAATTTTGCACGAAGTGAGAAATAAACTTCGAAATTTTCCAAATATTAGAAGGACAACAACTTCGATCGCTAAACAAATGACCATTTGTGGTAAGAATTACAATAATATTGAATCCGACCAAAAGCAAATCCTTGCCTTTGGTGTTAATATAATGTTATATATAATGTTATATATTGATGATATTTTTTGCAGGCGATCTTCATGGCAGCTATGATGATCTAATGATCATTTTTGAAAAGGTATAAAAATGATTTAAAAATAGCGCGGTAATTATAATCAAGGAGTTTTTATATAATTTAGTGGGATAGAGTGCATGTGAGCATTTGATCCTACATGAATACAATCTTTATCAATTCACATGAATACAATCTTTCGATGACCATTCCTCCTTTCAATTGGATCTCTAATGTTTTACTATATATTAATTGACGTTGTGGCAATTTTGCTGTAAAGTTGCAGAATGTATATAGCGTCCATTAAAAGTTAAAACACTTTCTGTTGTTGAACTTTGTCATGCAAAGGTATTGCCCAAAGTTCGTATAGTTCGACTTATACATGCAAATTATTTCAACAACATGTAATTAATCTATTTTAACCTTAGAACAGTGCTCCTTCATGTGACAATCCCTACATATTCAATGGAGACCTGGTTGACCGTGGTCCATCCTCTATTGAAGTTCTTCTTGTTATTTTTGCGTTTTTTCTTCTCTACCCTAATCATGTATTTATAAACAGAGGCAATCATGAGGATCACGTGATGAACTCAAGGTTATTACTTTTATGTTGTGTCGTTTTCTTTATTATATTCATTTTTTAATTCATGCTACATGTATTTATTTTCTTTAATTATAGTTCATCCTTTTTTCTGATGTATAGAGCCTATAGCAATTAATAATGTTGATTTTTCTAAATAGTTCTGAACGGCTTTCTAAAGCCAGAATTTGAGTGCACGTGCATGTATATGACAAGGATCACAATTAAATTACAGTACATTGTCATTGCTCATTCATTATATCTATTAAACTAAATTACTGTTCTTTCATTCAGGTATGGGTTCTCTAAGGAAGTGATCAAAAAGTACAAAGTAAAAGAATTTTGCAACAATAAATATTTAGATAAATGATTCAGTGCATTAACGAAGTTTTTGATTTGCCTAGGATCATGCGTGTAAAATAATCAGGGTGATAGAAGATGTATTTTCATGGCTGACAATAGCGACTGTGGTTGATAATGAAATTCTTGTTGTTCACGGTGGAGTCTCAGATGTTACTGATCTTAATTATGTGGATAACATTAACAGACATAAGGTAAAAATGGACATGCAGTACGTACAGATGACAAATTATTGGGATTACGTACATGCCGTATGGGATTATCAATTTTGTTCTCCTCATACATCACTGAACGCATATTTCTTTCCCACCAGTACACGTCTGTATTGAAACCTGATTTCCTAGAAACCAATCCTGGCAACATTGATTACGACGAGTGGAGACAAGTATGTTTGAAAACAGACTTCAATAATATTCATCAGGGAGAGTTATTGCGCAACACACATGCATGTGCAGCTAAAATATCTCCAAATGTTCTAGGTGCTGGATCTGTTATGGAGTGATCCCTTATCAAAACCTGGTTGTACTGTAAACTCGTATCGTGGTGGCGGGTGCTATTTTGGCCCAGATGTAACAAAGAAAATACTTGAACGACATGGTCTGAAGCTAATTGTAAGGTCACATGAATGCTGTCTTGAAGGACACGAGTCGATACATGGTGGCAAGGTGAGGGAAATATTCGAAGTTTACTTATTGTAATTGAAAGTGTATATTATCCAAGTCTATATTATCGTCTTTCTCAAACGTCTCTTCCCATTACACGCACTAAATCTAGTCAACACTTTGTCCTCTAATAAACGTTCCTATCAGAGATCCTTATATAGAATTGCCCCTCGTATAACCGAAACGGAAAAAAAAGTTGATAAAATTACTTTGATATTCTTGCTTCATAGGTGGTCACTGTATTCTCCGCCTCAAACTACTATGAGAAGGACAGCAACAAAGGAGCATACATGAAAATTTTACCAAATCTTAAACCGTATTTTGTCGAGTACACTGGAATGCAGTATATGAAAAAAATTAACTTTGTTCAGAGGTTAGTATGATAATTTAATTGGAAAATCTAAGATTCACGAAATCCAGAGATGAACAATCATTTAAGGGAGCAAGGGACCTGATCTGCCATATTTAAAACATATTTCATAAAACATCATTTTTTTAGAATTAGCAGGGTTGAAGAATCTGCACTTCGAGAGTTGAGAAAATTGATATTTTCGTATAAAGAATCGCTTCTTAAAGGATTTAAAAAGTACGACACTGAGCTAACAGGTAAACATAAAAGCTACTGTCTGCAGGCAACTGGCCAGTCGGATTGAGCGGAGAATGAAACTATTGATTACAATCTCAACAACATCATTTGAAAATCTGATCCATTCGTTTGTCTCGCTTTCAGAGCTAAAAATGTTTAGATAAATCATAATCTTTGAATTTCTGCATATAAATAGTCTGCCCTTTCCATCCTTTCGCCATGGCCCATAATTCACTAAAATCTGTGTCTCTAGGATATATCACTATCCTAGAATGGACGAATGTGATGGAAGAGGTATTACAAATACAACTACCTTGGAACATGATACGTAAACAGATCTCAGTTGGACTGAAAGATGGAAAAGTTGAATATGAAACATGCGTTGATCGTTATCAGATTCAGGCCATGTTTTCCAAGGTAAATTACGCTTGATTGTGAGTCATGCAATGTAAAGATGTTGCTTGAGACAGAGCGGTTATACGATATAACAGACCTGCTTACAAACATTGTGTTTACCTGCCGGTTATTTTAACAAAAATCGTTGGCAGCTTCCCCACACGCCCCGATAACAAGAAATATAGTCATATAGATACATCTTTTATAAACTTTTAACAATTTTACATACAGACAGGAAACTTCATTGAAGCCTTGTATCGACATAGAAATACATTTGAAACGATATTCAGAATCATGGACAAGAACAATTCAGGTATGAAATAGGTTGTTCCCTAAATATTTTTAACACTCTCGAACTCACTGCATGGTAATTTAAATCGCTCCAAAATTTCCTACAACATTGGTCTCTCCTATCAACAGTTTTTTATAACATTACTTATCCTAGCTATCAACAGTTTTATACATCTTTTGTCCCTGTTATCACTAGTTCTATACAACTTCCCCCCAGTTATCATTAAATTTATACATATAAATTTGTTGTTGACAATAGTTTTTGTTTTGCTATTTTTATGAAGGGATGGTCTCACTAGACGAATTTCAAAAATGTTGTCGTATTCTATGTGATCATACAAAATGCATGTCAGAGAACGATATACAAGACTTAGCAAGAACTTTGGATGTAAATCAAGATGGTTATATAGACTTTAATGAATTCCTAGAGGCATTTCGTTTGAGTGAGAACACGTCCATAAAAAGTTAGGCCTATAAGCTTTGGTAAAGGAATAGTGTAGAAGGATACCAAGTATCGTTGGCAACTATGTATTATAGAATACGTGAACAACAGAGACGACAATGTCAAAGAAAAAACCCCCGAATATTGTAATTATATAGTGTTTTGTACAAAAAATCAGCCTAGTCATATAGCAGCCAATAATCAGCCTAGTCAGCCTTTATGAATAACTTTTGTGACTGATCAGTTGTTTGAATAATCCAGCTTATCCGACGTAATCAGAGCTGTAGCTAGAAGCTTAATTGGGGGGGGGGAGGTGTATATTCAAAAATCATCTTATTATGCCCGACTGATTTCTTTTGCACGCTATTGTTCCTACGGTAGATAAACATGAATATACACCCCCCCCCAAGTGGTCTAGCTACGGCCCTGCCGACGTTTAGGCTAAACGCCTTTCGAACAACCGGCCCATGAATTATTTACTTAAGCTTAAAAGTAACAATATTTCGTACTCGGTTTGTTCCCATTTAATGGAAATATATAATGTCATCATTAAAGTCTTGATAAGAACAACACTTTAAATGCAAATACTGCATGAAAGAAAGTCTAATCACCAGTCCCTCCCTAGTGCGCATTGATAAAGCGTATTCTTGACTAATCATATCCCCAAACTCGTATCCTGGGTACCCTGGGTAGGAGGTTGTCTTATCTCCACATAATAATCAGTGTCATATTCGACTCATCCGAAAATGGATGAGCATTGCCCGGCAACTCACATTCAGTGTTCATATTCCTTCAACCTGGTGTGTTTCAATTCTTGATCAATTCTCCTCAGTCTATGGACACTTTATCATGATCCCCTTCGGTTAAAACAGAGTAGTAAAACAACAGCCAAGACCACAGAATTCCGACAGAGCAGTAAACAGACGTGAGTAGTAATGGCAGAAATGGCAACGTTAAATCAAATCCTAACGCGCTATGAATAAGTAAGTTATAAATTTCCAGAGGAATTAGTCCAAATAGATAAATGTTCTCGTACCAACGAAGAACATGCTGATTTGGTTTATTTCCTGATGAACTGCATAAGGAAAGAAGAATAAGTGAATAAACTATTAAATTTAATAAATGGGGGAACATAGACATTGTAATGGACTTTTATACGATTCTTATACAGGCGATTAAATTGTATCGATGTTAACTACGATAGGATAAAATTGAATGGTATATTTGTGATGTAATAGTTATTATTACTTACCAGAACACTTTTGTAACAGCCCAAAACGTAAGTGAAGTGTACAATAACATCAGAATGACTTTAATTGGTGTTTCTAGATAATAAAAGTAACGGTTTCAAATCGTTTCAAGATGAATAAAAACGCAATTTCTAAACAGAATTTTAAAACACCAGAACTAGATACAACTAATCCACAGCTCTAAACATTTTCTTGGCTACAATGACACGGTGCCAAGCTTGGAATCATGGCAATCAGCGGTAAACTTCTTTACATTGTTTGACATTTGTCTTTACCTGGTCGTTGAAACAATAAAGGAAATAAAGAAAGATTTCCCGCTGTCGATACAATAACAAAAATCCGAGCATATATACGACTCTCTAGCGATAAAAGACTAAAAACAGATAAAATACTGCTTTAAATATTGTGATTTCCACGTGAATAAGGACGGTTGTTTCATATCGAAAGTATATAAAAGATTTGTAATAGTCGACAACCATGCTAATAAAAAACTGTCGTAATAAATTACTAATAATCTTGCTTTCACAACCCTGATGGGCTCGTAGAGCTCACGTTTAGTTGCAATAAAACTTCACAAAAAAACAACAACTCTACCTTAATGGAATTGTGATTAAAAGAACAGCTTTTTCGTGAACGTGCCAACCGAATATAAATGAGCAATAAGCACATAATACAATCGCTTTCAAAAACCTTTCGGAATTACAACGCTTTATCCATAGGTTTATCAAACATGGCTAAAAATTATACAAAAATACGTTGTTAGATTTTTAACAACGTTTTATTTACCAACCAAGAGACTGTGAACGCGAGGAACGACGTCAGAAAGACAGCATATATAGTTTTATTTAAAGATTTCGCTAAAACATAAATGCTACATAATTTAGTCAACTTTGACGTTTCGTATATACTGACACTTCTTAATCATACCCGCGTTGCATTCACCTACCATCATTGCGAGTAATGTCAATACTAATGTGACTAGTGGTGATACTGAGGGAAGAACTGCGTGTTGACTATGACGAACAAGACCTCCAGTCATCGAAGCTGACCGCAACTCAAGTAAGTTCTCCAAACCTAGTTTACTGCCTAGATATAAAAGAAATCATTTTCAGTTCCTGAATAAACTTTTATAATTAGAATAGCTTTCACATAAATATAATGATATGAGACAGAACAGGAAAGGGAGGTGAAAATATTAAATATAAGGAAATCTCAACAAAATGACAACATTGAATGGTATAAGTTGCACCGGCACTTAATATTTCTCCAAGTGCTTTTCTCTCATGTTTTGGGCAATGCCTATTCTCTGGCCTTTTCTTTACCCGATGGAGAAACTATACCTGTTACCCTATTTACCTATTGTCGCCAGGATCTTATCAACAACATTATATAACGCCCAAAAGTTTGGCGCCCAATACGCGTGGCATAAGCCGCGCTTGAATGGAAATAAACGTTGCAGAACCTGCTGCAATTGTCCCTGGAAATATATCAGAAAAACGAAGAAATTAATATACATTAATATATGACGTAAAATAGGATAGATCAAAAAGACCTTTGCAGGGATCAGTAATACTCTCCTACATTGTCGTTTTATCCCGGGTACAAGGCTGAACTATAAACATTTATATCAAATTGTCAGGTTGAAATATATTTACCAATGCTATAAAAGGACCGAACGAAACAGAGAACACGGATATCACAAGAAATCCAAGTTTCATCAACTGAAAAGGTAGCAGATTCCTAATATTAACACCCAACCAATAACTCGTCATAGAACCTAAATAAATAAATAAAATATTTATTTATTCATATACTTTTTATATATTTCAATTAACGTCCAAAACGAAACATGGTTTAGTAAGGTAGAAGTTTCCTTTATTCTGGTATTAATAATTTAAAGCGCTGCCGCTGTTTTGCCTTCAACATACTGCGAGCATACCACTAAAAGTCTAAAACCAAGCAAAGAATAATAAATTTTCTTACCCTGTGGATGCTTAAAACAATAACGTTTTAACAAATAAACAAAATATGCAGGAGCAATGTACAGATATATGTGCTTGAAGTTGACAAGAACAGAATACCAAAATGCTGACCAAAGAAATTCATTCTAAACAAAAGTCAATGTTTCTCAATATTACATGTGAGCAAAGTACAATTGCAGAAGCTTTGAAAGATAATTTAACCATTTTCAGGGGAAATTGTTCTTTTAAAAAAACAGAATTGAGCTAAACATTAGGTTCTAAAATCTTAACTTTTCTTTTCATATTATTTAGAAATTTTAGTTATTTCACTTTGGCAAAAATGTATGTTAAAACCTAATCAATTTACTGTTACGATGATTGTTCTTCCATCCACCTGTTGGAAAAACTCTACAGAAAGACATACCAGAGTTAACACTTACCTCAAACATTCTGGTAATAGAGAGGATAAGAATTCCAAAGAGAAAACCATTATATTGAAAGTGAATATCTGAGGAGTGTTAATGAAACAAAGCACAAACATGTCAAGATAAGAGTTGTCAGACCTGGGTTATGTAAATGCTTCTACAATGTATAAAAAAGAAAATTGACTGGAATCTGTGATCTATTCTGTTATAATTGATGACAAAATCTTCCTAGAATTTCTTTAGACTCAATGAAATGGAACTCTTTATATATACTTTCTTCCCCCTGTGTTGTTCATATTCCGTATTGTACAAAAACTACTGACTAGTTAACTAACTACTAACTAGTTAACTAACTACTAACTAGTTAACTAAGTAATGACTAGTTAACTAACTACTGACTAGTTAATTCAGAATAACTTAAAAGATACGATCTACTATGATGAGACCAAAATTTAAAATAAAAAGAATGCAGACAAACTGTGGCTTATATGAATTCCCCAACTTTGATGCAGACTTGTTTTTATAGCAATAGTATCTAGAACAGAAAAAATACAGCTAGAGATATAGTTAATGAAATTTTAATTAAAAATTGACTCCTAAGTAAAGTAATGGTTAGAGCATGATCACACATGCTCTATGGGATATAGAGTCCCGAGAATTAGATCGATAAAAAGTCTTTCGCCCCAAGTGTCCTTTTATCTAATTCAAGGGACTCTATATCCCATAGAGCACACATGATCATGCTCTAACCATCTTAGAGAATAGCTACCTCTATATAGAATTGTTAATGAATTCAATACTGTAAAGGAAATTTCTAGCTGTGATGGGAAGGGAATCAAGTTACACCTGAACATATTTTACACTTACTGATAGCCTGCATAAAGTAGCACCAAGTCTGCTGCAATGACACTCAGTCGTTGAAAAATAACAGTTTCCACACTAGCATATCCCAAATTTTCAACTTTGGTCATGTTTGAATCCACCAAAGATGCAAATTGAGAAAGCAGGAATTCCAACCAGGCAAAAAATGGTGGGTAATCAAGAGTCCACTGTGATGTTTTCTAAGAATATATAGCAACATTCAAAATAAGGTAAAACTTTACATCTTTGTACACCTTCTCATGAAATGCTGTCAACAACTCCATACAATAGATATAGATCATATTAAAGTTGTGTATGGATGTCTGGTTTGGTGAATGAAGCATTACAATGTTGAAGAGGAATTCTAATCTGATAGCATCAGTTCAGGCTGTTCAGCTAATATTAAACAATGAAGGGCGCAGCTGTTTTTGCCCAAAAATTGCGCAAAGATCATATTTATTTAGTAGAATTGTGAACTAAAATGATGTTGGATATTGAAACAGTTACCAGTCATGACTGATGAGTCATATCACCTTGTCACCTACTTGATCAAGGTACCTTGATGTACATATAATTTAAGAAAACATGCTTATGAAATAGGCTGGATGGTCATGAAATAATATTTCCACTTGTCTTTTTTATACAGATATACGTTTGGGTAACTAATTCAAATGTTTTCTTGAAAGTCGTAACTATGCATTTTTACGACTTTTGTTTAATTTGTTAAAGATTCAACGAGCCTTGAATAAATGTTTTAACATTGACGTCCTGCCCCCTGCCCTCTGGGTGAACTATCAATCCTAATAAAGATATCTCGAGAAATATTCAAAAGTGAATAAAATTGAAAATAAGCATAAACTTGCCTCGTAGTACCATTTTGAAATTGGCAAGCTGTTAGTTATAGCAAGCCAGTTTCTATGCACTTGGAAGTCAGTTGAGCGACTACAAAGTGAAACAAAACTATCAGTATGAAACGACTGATGTGGTAATAAAGTTTTGGAATAATATAGATGATATGAGAGTGTATTTACTATGCTGGGATAAGTAGTAACTTCAGAAGAACTGAAAACGCAGCGACTTTACCAAAAAACCATTGATTTTCGTCCGCCATATTGCCTGATAATGGATTATCCCTTCAGTTCCTCTCAGTTCCCTCAGTGGGAACATAATTATCTCACTGGAACTTAGGATTATCTTTGTTTTCTCGCCAGAGGAAATCTCGGGGGCGAGATTGGTAGCTTAAGATGTGAGTTATGGGGGGGGGGAGTTTTTCTAAAAGAATATCAAAACACTAAAATTTCTCGCTAAAAACACTTAAAAAACGTTTAGACGTTTAAATCTTGACATTTCCAATCGTGTGCCTTATTAGTCGTTTTCTGTGCACATACTTGTTAGGGACCGCCTCCCGAGACCAGGAAAAGCTTAAATACGTTAAATTTATCTTCGCTCTCAGGGCTAGCCACTGTAGCTGATTCGTCTATGACGCTAGGCTTGTGGCGATGCATACTCTGTTTCTCACTGAGACGTAACGGTTAGGTGCACATACATCATGGTCTGGGGGCCGTAGTGCATCTCCCCCTTAGACGGCCGTTAAGATGTGAGTTATGGGGGGGAGTTCTTCCTATAGCAACTGTCCTTGCACCTTTCGTAGTTGTAACTATGTTGGTATATTGCAGCCGGTTGTATAACCAGGTTAGATTGTGGCATAGGCTGGATGATCTCTTTTGGGTGTTTTTACATTCTTTCCAAATTTTTTTTTTTTTTGCATGCTTTCCAAGTTTTTCTTTTACATGCAAAAAACACTGTTATTAAATATATATGGAACGGATATAAAAATTTATATCGACTGAAAACCACCTTAGTTTACCCCTGAATACTCTCCCCAGTCTCTGCATGGCTGAGTCTCTGAATCAAACAATAGTACAATACCAGAAATCATTCATAAACATCAAACATCTTCATCAACCTTACAGCAGTAAAACAGCGACAAAGACATTCAGACTGTCAACTCTGCGTTCTCGTTAGTGCCTTCAGCCCGAGAATTGTCGATCAAAAGTCTGGATAAATCCCCTGGCTTTCCCTGCGAGTTTTCAAATTCATACTTTCAAATAATCTGACATTGAAAACAACTCAAGATTTTCTACTAATTGTGAACTTAGTTTAAATATTCATTAATACTGATCCATGAGATAGTTTGAACTAAGACTTCACCTTGTTTGGTATACCAGCGCAGTATGGTAATCCAGGTTAGATCCCAATGACATGCAGACCATAATCTCGATGAATCACCCTGAATTCTTCTGTAGCTAAATTTTCATTTCACAACAAGAAACACAGCGTGTTTATGGGCATTTTAATAGCACATTCAATTGTTATTCCCATTTGATTGCATATAAAATCCAACTTTGATTTAATTTCAAATACATAACTTCGAAGTTTGGGACGGCACTTGTAGAGAAAGTCGACAAACCTACTGCAACCATTCTATTCCTCGCCACAATGAATCGAACCACGCAGGTATTATACACTGAAGCCAGAGTTAGCCAAACTTAACATCAGCACAACATCTCTCCGCTTAATGAGGGCTCGTCAAGACAATTAACTAAGACCATTATGCACACTTATACAAACATTGCGGACACTTGATCTCTTGCTCAGCACACAAAGCATCACCAAAACCAGTTCTTTGTGTAGAGGCTGCACCTACTCCTTCAAAAAGGTTGGGACAAATACCCAAGGCTACAATAAACTGGATAACAGTCTTGATGATTTGTTGATCTTTCACGCTCAGATCCATTACGGGAACTCGTGTTAAGTTTTCAGACCTTCATATACTAAACACAAAGTTAACAAAACATTTAAGTAAACTAAGCCGTTCAGTCATTTATTATGAGTTTCCTTTGGAGAATGATGACTCTTTTGACGTTAAAAACCAACAAGGATTGTTTCAAAACACTATCTAATTTCTAGAGGCTAGTTTCCACTCAGGAAAATTCTCCTTTGGATCGGACAGCACTGAAAAGTTTCCTTTGTATAAACGCCGCCTGAGAACTCACCGGCAAAGGAAATTTTCCTGTCCGTTCCGATCCAAAGGAGATTTTTCCTGAGTGGAAACTAGCCTTAAAAGGATATCAAAACACTAAAATTTCTCGTTAAAAACACTTAAAAAACGTTTAGGCGTTTAAATCTTGTCATTTCCAAGCGTGTGCCTTATTAGTCGTTTTCTATGCAATACTTGTTAGGGACCGCCTCCCGAGACCAGGAAAAGCTTAAATACGTTAAATTTATCTTCGCTCTCAGGGCTAGCCACTGTAGCTGATTCGTCTATGACGCTAGGCTTGTGGCGATGCATACTCTGTTTCTCACTGAGACGTAACGGTTAGGTGCACATACATCATGGTCTGGGGGCCGTAGTGCATCTCCCCCTTAGACGGCCGTTAAGGTGTGAGTTATAGGGGGGAGTTCTTCCTATAGCAACTGTCCTTGCACCTTTCGTAGTTGTAACTATGTTGGTATATTGCAGCCGGTTGTATAACCAGGTTAGATTGTGGCATAGGCTGGATGATCTCTTTTGGGTGTTTTTACATTCTTTCCAAATTTTTTTTTTTTGCATGCTTTCCAAGTTTTTCTTTTACATGCAAAAAACACTGTTATTAAATATATATGGAACGGATATAAAAATTTATATCGACTGAAAACCACCTTAGTTTACCCCTGAATACTCTCCCCAGTCTCTGCATGGCTCAGTCTCTGAATCAAACAATAGTACAATACCAGAAATCATTCATAAACATCAAACATCTTCATCAACCTTACAGCAGTAAAACAGCGACAAAGACATTCAGACTGTCAACTCTGCGTTCTCGTTAGTGCCTTCAGCCCGAGAACTGTCGATCAAAAGTCTGGATAAATCCCCTGGCTTTCCCTGCGAGTTTTCAAATTCATATTTCAAAATATCTGACATTGAAAACAACTCAAGATTTTCTACTAACGAAAGTTGAACCACTTTACATTAAAAGTAGAATCGCATTGCAAGTCTTCGATAAAAATTTCTGTTTGGATGAGCGAAGCGTCAGGCAAAAACATAAACCTCTCGTTCTTATTCTGGGAGAACAATGATTTAATTAAAATCTAATTTTGATCCAATTATACCCGGTTATTGGGTACTACAGGAGTCTTAGTTAAAAAACTAAAGCGTTCATTACGGCATTGACTAAACAAGTTAGTTCAATGTTGGCACTCTTTGACGCTGAGTGTAGTTGTACACGCGTCAATCCATGCAGGATAGCAGTCCGTCTGGCCAGTCAAGCTTTCCTTCCGGGATACGAAATTTGTCCCATCACCACGACACGCAAAGTCCCGGGTTCGACCGGAGATGACCATCTTGGATGGGGCGGTCAAATTTATCCAAATTCATATAGGAGTGTTTGCCCGTGACGGAGTTAACCAATAAATAATGATAATGAGATGAATCATCAACTGTATGGCATAGTCAAAACATTATCATTAGAAAATATATGACTCAAGATATCCCGAGAGTTCAATATTTTCGTGCTACCAATGATGATCTATATATAAAAATGAAAACAATACAAAGATCAAAATTAACCATCAATATAACCCTACTTTCACAGCAGAAACTTCGCAAACAGTATTAATAAGTACTATTCAATAAGTATACAGCGATTACAGTATTATTCAATAAGTCTACAGGTATATACATTCATTTAGATAGCAAGTCTTTTACCTGGGATGTAATATTCTGCGATGAAATGTACTCATGGATTTGTTTAACTTCAGAACACGTAACTCCGCCGACAAGAAATAAGAAGAGAACAGGATGATCACTGGGATGAGGCTTTGAAACATTCATGAACAGACTAAAGAAACGACGAGAATATCAACTGATCTAGGAATCACTAACTTGTGTTATGACATAACACATATGTACGTTTTATATGCAAGTACTAAATGATGGTCAATTTACCTAAAGCCACTCTTAATAAAATCTTTCAATCTTGTTGATTTAAACTCAATGTCATTTATTTCGATCTTCTTCGGGTCAAACACTTTTTCAATAATCTATAAAAACAAGGAGCATAAGTTTTCTTTCACGATGTTGTTTATATAAAAACCCTCGTTTTAAAATATCAATTATTCACTTTTGTCATTCATTCAATTCAACCATTCACGCAATGTTTTACATACCATACCAGTAGACACATATAGTCTCCTAACTTGCTCAATTACCAGTAATCACACAAGTAAAAATTGAAAAAATCATACAAGTAATCAGTACGTCAAGGCACGTACACCTCGAGTGGACAGTTTACTGCATGGGGGGGGGGGGGGGGGGGCGTTGGGGGGAAAGTTTCATATATAAAAACATAGACGTATATACTTGTACCTGTTTAACTAACGATTCGTACGAACGTAAATTGTGTAGAGATGATGTGTTTGCGAACAAATCTCTGAAAAGTAAAACGTTTTTTGATGTTGATTACTGACTGCATTTTTCGGATATTTTTAATCTGACTAAACTAATTGTCACTTAACACCAATTTTTATGCAAAACTATCTTGAAAATTTCAAGAAAATAACGTCGTAGGAAATTTCTCGTCTTGCCAAATTCTCATGTAAGAAAGTCAACTGGGGGATGATAAGGAAATGTCCCATGTTGATAATATAAACAGGTTATAATATATTTGATGTTACCTGAATGATGTAAAATTATGTCGTAAATGCTTCAATCCTGAAAGCTTTTGAAAACATCCGGTTATCTTATTTTTTATCACATTTTGACCATCTTTGTTCACATCTGTTCACAAAATTAGCGTGAGAGAATTACTTTGAACAGGTAATTAGAGACGAGGGGACTCTGAAGAGGGAGATGATTAGAGACGAGGGGACTCTGAAGAGGGAGATAATTAGAGGCGAGGGGACTCTGAAGAGGAAGGTGATTAGAGACGAGGAGACTCTGAAGAGGAAGGTGATTAGAGACGAGGAGACTCTGAAGAGGAAGGTGATTAGAGACGAGGAGACTCTGAAGAGGAAGGTGATTAGAGACGAGGAGACTCTGAAGAGGAAGGTGATTAGAGACGAGGAGACTCTGAAGAGGAAGGTGATTAGAGACGAGGAGACTCTGAAGAGGAAGGTGATTGGAGACGAGGAGACTCTGAAGAGGAAGGTGATTAGAGACGAGGAGACTCTGAAGAGGAAGGTGATTAGAGGCGAGGAGACTCTGAAGAGGAAGGTGATTAGAGACGAGGAGACTCTGAAGAGGAAGGTGATTAGAGACGAGGAGACTCTGAAGAGGAAGGTGATTAGAGACGAGGAGACTCTGAAGAGGGAGGTGATTAGAGGCGAGGGGACTCTGAAGAGGAAGGTGATTAGAGACGAGGAGACTCTGAAGAGGGAGATGATTAGAGACGAGGAGACTCTGGAGTGTTTATTAGAGAAGAGAATGTCAAGAGAGATTATCAGAGGAGAGAAAACCTGAGAGAGAAAAACACAATTTCATAACATAAGAGAACTCACCAATTATACATTTTGTTTTAACTTTTAATGTCCCAGATAAAATATCCTGAACAATGGTGTCCTAAAACATATGAATGTATGATGTATGTAACAACGTACATGCTGCCAAGCGTCGATTTATTGTTTAGTTTAAATTTATTTTATATATTTATTTTATATTCAAATATGCGACTCAGTTTGTGAGACAAACCTGAAGTTCGCTTTCCTCCTGGAGTGAATCAGAGCTCTCATCTCCAACCAAAGAGAATATGTATATGAGCAACAGAAATACGTCTTCAAGACAGTACGATCTGCACATAGTCAACACAAAATCAGCAATTTTTAATAAAATTATGATCAAGATAAACGTGATATTATGCATGTATGCAAAATACAGCTAATAGTAATTAACTTTATGAAAATTTATGTTTTAACCGTAGTATCATAGACACTATACGACACATCATTTTTTGGTAGTTTCATAAACCGATCTTCTGAACATTTTATTTGAAATTTTTGTACTAATTTTTGTACATAACCTTCCTATTTTTTTCATTTAAAAGTTCAGCAGTAAGATGGAACCTAAATTAATCGTCAGAAGGTTTGAAACAAAGAACAACCCGTTATTTATCCTACCTCTCTCCATCTCTCACATTTTTTAACAACATTAAAATATGGGATAAACAACTTGGCGAATCCTCTTCGTTTAGACTTAGCTGCAGTACCTGTCATGAAAAAAAATTGTGAATGTTTTAAAATTAACAATTGATGAAATGAGGAAACAAGGATATTATTATAAATATTTCAATTATTGTTACAGTAATAGCCTTGAAGGGATTATAATAATGTATTTGATATAATGTTTAATCATGTAATGTTCAGTAATTGTGGTAATTTATAACAAGTGTTACTTACAAACTTTCCACTTGTTTAGTATTTGTTTAGTATTTTTTTAGTATCTGTTTAGCGCTGTAATTCTGAGACGTTGAGTTTTTTTGTTTTGTTTTGTTTCGTTTTGTTTTGTAGGAAACGATCTAAACTGCAGCTGGTGAATTTGATTGCATTTTCTGGGTTCTGACAGGCTATAAACGTTTGGAAATCTTCCTATCCGGGCTCACCCCTCCCCACAAAAATGCTCATTCTTTGGTCCCCTCACCCCAAAAATGCTCATTCTTTGGTCCCCTCAACCCAAAATTTATTCCGCGTTTCCTTCATCTGCTTTCCTGTACAACAAATAACGGGACAAACTATATTCTTTCATCCCCTGGGTTAGAAAATATACTTGGCATATTTACTTTTTCTGTGCTTTCAATTTCTTCATATTTTGGATTATCGTGATGCTCTGCTGTATTAATTACGGCCATAGCCACTTGTAGCACGGCTGAGTGCTTTACAAATAGTCTCATATCATTTCTAAAAGTCATTATAAATTAATGTATCATCCTGTCAGAATCAGAAATTACGCGAAAAACAAAAGGACTATTAGGCTATATATAAAAAAATTACATGCAGTATTGAACATATTTAATAACTATAAATCTCCACATTATAAACAGTAGTATCAATATGCAGTGAACGTTGTACCAGTATTATATCATACCTAAAATATTTTATCAATGATGATAATTTTTCAGAAGTAGCGTTTCCAATATGATTCTCTTCTGGGACAGAAATTGACTCTTCTTTTAAAAGATTCATTAATTTCGTGTGGATTTTTGATAAGCATTTCTATAACCATAAAAAACTTCAAAACATGCAAAATACAATCACTAGCATGCACATTGTCATTGACTTTTTTTCAAATTAATTGCTTCAAAAAAATTATGCTCATGAGAACGTAAACACGTACATATGTTAAGTTGCACCTTTTTGTTTTCCATAACTATGGACGAAAATAAATCTTGAGCATCTTTGTGTAAGAGACTGTGAGCTATTGATCCTGGAACTAGTATGTTGTTCTTTGAACTAAAAGGAGGAACAGATATATTTGCTTAATAAGCAAAGGTTAGCGTTCTTAGGCTAACCTTGCATGTTCCTACCCCCTTGTACAGGAAAGCTAGGTCAATGTTTTAGGGCACAATGTGATTTTAAAACAAAGATACAATTTAAAATAGGATTAAATCAGATATAAAAACATTCCTCACAAATTGATTTAACAGCTAAATCATATTGCATGATAGTGTCCATAATCTTACTTTGTTGATGAAATAAGAGTGCTCATATCAATGCCAACATCAAGGCTATGTCCAGGAAGTGCAGGAAGTAATTCAAATATTTTATCTGCCATTGATGTACTGGTTGACTTTGATGAGCCTTGAACTAGATCTAAGGTTCGATCAATAAAAATTACTGTACAGCGATTGTCACTCTACAAAAATCAAATTATATCATTTTATTTATTTATTAAAAAAACTGGCACAGCAGTCAAACCACTTCTCTGTGTAATGAAGAATGTGTTTCACTGGGCTATGTGCATGTACAGCAATTCAAAGTTGATTACAGTTCAATGACAGTTTTTTTTTAAAATACAGCCCTAAGACTATAAATCTTATAATAGATTGTTTATAAATGGCAATAAAGCATATCCTATCGCAAATCAGGAAGGGTTTCAGCTTGATATGAGCAATAGATGTCACCATTAATAGCTTTATTAGATATACACTATAGTTACTTCTTCAACTCTGCTGAAGTGCTGTGTTTATTTTTACAAGTCAATGTTGTGCTTACAATTACTTATACTCAATTACAGAGTGATTGCATAAGTGTGGAAATAATCACCTTCTTCATTTTTGTAGAAGAAATATTGACAAGTTCAGCCGCAAGTAATTTGGAAGTATGACCAATAGCATAACAGTCTTCATTAAGTTCAAGCTCATCAAATAAAGAACTCAATGCTGATGCTAAAAGCTAAACAGAAAAATTTGTGGAATTGGATAGGTTTGTTGGATAATTTGGATAGAATAAAATATAAAATCATAGATTTTAATACACATATTAAGACAATATTTTTATTGTTCAGTTCACTTCTGTAACACTTCCAGTGGTGCATGCAGCCTTCCAGTGGTGCATGATATTCACAGATTTTAATTATAGGATCAACTAGCTGTGATGCCACATTAAGACAGGCAGTCTGTTTACAACATTTGCAAGATGACATCTCAAGATATTATTGAAAATGAGGTGAACTAACATTGAGTTAATGAACAGTTTAATGCAACATTCTCACCTTCAATCTAACTTGAAAAATATTTGGTGTGTGTTGGATTTCCACTTCAGATAGAGAATTAAATTTTCTTTGATCTCCCTAATACAAGTAAAAGTGAAAATTTTCTCAAATAATTTTAAGAAAGATGTGGTAAAACTACTTTTAAAGAGAAAGACAGAAAAGAGAATATTATTGAAAAATGTGGGACAAAATTAAGAAATTTACTGTGATGTAATTCACATGCCAATTGCATAATGAAAATTTGTAATTATATTTTATGTTGTTTTACAGCCAAACATGTCAAACGGCCGAAAATCGTAGGATCAAAATGAATGCAATGATGTTATGCTACATCAAAGTAAAGAGTTTAAGAGCTACAAATAATACCCTTATTAACCTTTTCTGGCACATCATCAATGGGCTATTTCTCCCAAAGAAATCATCCTCAAAGATATATATTTATATGCATAAAATGTCTCACATGTTACCTTATTTCTTAGCCATTCCATAATTGTAGGTAGGTCAGAAGGTAGCATGGGGAAGAATGTGGAAAATGAAGGCATGAAAAACAAACCAGGAACAATATTGGCATAAACACATGGAACATGGTGAATTTCAACTGTTGCATGCTAAAAATATTTTAAATAATAAATGAGATTAATTAAATAATTAATTTGCTCCTTCAACAGCATCTTACATCCATCAGGCCATCACTATAAAACACTAAAAACCTAGCTAAAGAGATATAATTAAATGATTTATTTTACATCAATTTACCTCATGATTCATCCAAAATTTAACACTTTCCTTGAGCTTGGTATAAAATGATTCATTTTCAACATTCGTTCTTCGTTTAAATGCAAGCGACATGTCACCGTCTGTTACTGTACAAAAAATTGTACAAAACTGAAAATGGCTGGACTCCACAATTTTTTGAATTTTCTCAATTCCTTTTCCAGGTAGTAACGAACTTGAGATGAACACTGATTTTCTTTCATCTTTACTGCCACTCTAAATATTACATTAATTAATTGAATGCTTATTTGGTATATTTTACTACAAGATAATTTCTCATTAGGGACAGGAGGGCGTCAGAGCGTTCTAATGTTCTGTTGTTATTCATTGGATATCCTTTTCATTCATGTCAAAATTTGTTCCTATTGGGGTATAAATAGATTAAATACAAATATAAAATATACAAATTATTTGATCACGCTTACCAAACCACAATCTATACTTTGTATTCTTATTGCTCCCGCGTCGAACATATCCAGTGTCCTTCCCGACCAGTGCAAGAGCTCTGCTATATTATCATCAATATAAATCAATGAATTTTTTACAGCAATAAAGATAGATTGCCATACTTGTTTTTCTTTTTCAAACAATCTGGTTTTTATACCAGCGGCAAAATCCTCCATTTTAGCGGCCATATTGGATTTTCCTGCGCAGGCCACTGAGCTATATACATAGTCGGAATAGCCGGAGCCATCGGCTGCTCGTGTTTTTTCCCAATACCTAATTTTTAATAGTTAAATGTTAGTGTGCAGGCGATTACCAATTTGTGCAATGATAAAATGAAAAATGTGCAGTGATAAAATGTATATTTCATGATTTGATAACTGGAAAAATAAGGGGATGATCTGGCAAGTACAAGTTCAAACTTGTTGCCAGAGTGTTGCCTTTGGTCAGTGGTCATTGAACTGCTCTCATAGATATATTCAACTTTTGTCGTAGATATTTGGCTTTTGTGCACTATATTATATTAGTTATGGATACAAAATTTGGGGATGAGACCGGCGGCGAAGCACCCTATCACTAGTATTCAGTTGTATCTTCGATTGCGAATTTGATTAAATTGTTTTATACCATTTTAAAATTAAAAGAAACGTCAAAAACTCTGACAAAAACAATAGAAACCTCGTACCCAGGGTTTTTCCTTCTTTAAGCCGACTCTGTGATACTCTGTGCGAATTTATTTGGACTGGACGTCTGGACCATAGCCATAGCTATAGCCATTTGTATCAAAAAACTTATATTCGTTTTTTGAGTCGCTTTGCCGGTTTTTCCATAGGTTTTTCAGGAAAAACAGTGTTTTTTTAAAAACTAGTTTTACCACCTTAGGCATCCTGAAATAATATTTTAGGGAAAAAACATTTAGAAATAGAAAAAACTCGTTTAAAATGACTTATTTTGGCCTCATACATCGTGAATGAGTGAACATCCGGGACTTGGATTTTCCCCCCATTAGCGCGCTTCCCAATTTCTCCAATGATTTCTCCTTGAATGGACCTTGATGCCCCCTCTAGTGTTATTTATAATCTCTATGACCAAATAAACCCACTACTATATGTACCTGAAGCACGTTACTGAGAAAACCGAGTAAAATATAAATCTTTTGTTATTAATCTAGAAGAACTATAGATGAAACTGATAAAATAATGCAATCCGGATTCATTCAACTCTTCAATGAACAAAATAGTCATGAAATGATTCGTTTGGAGAATGAATTAATACGTGTGCTTTCATCACAATTCCTGCCTAATTCTTCACTTGCATATTTTCATATCCCTTGCCATGCATGTTCAGGTCAATCTTACAGCAGCGTATCAAGTCGACAACCATAATTTTTGCTGATAGGAAGCGCGTCATTTGTTATTTTATAGCTATTTTTATTCACACAAAACATTCATGAGAGAAATCAATTTATTGATTTAAGCACTTTCGCTTACACGTACATTTCATTTTAGTTGAGGTTTCAGTTGACCTCAATGGTTTCCTTAGATTTCCCTCCTTCCACCACAAGAGTGTTTGTGACAATTCTGTATTTGTTTCCATCGGTGTTGTCACAAATCCCAACGACTTGATATACGGTCACCGTATCTCCGGGTTGAACATCAACGCTGACTTGGTGGGTGATTGTCCTCGCGAAGGCAGTCGCAGAACTCTGACTCCAATCATAAGATGTTGTTTGCGAATAACCAAGACCAGCAGAGAATGTACTCTTTAGACTAAGACCAACATTAGCACTGATACTGTGTGAAGTACTGCCACCCCCAGATGAGGTTCTGGTAACTGTTGTTCCTTCGCTGACAGAGAAGCTGTACTTGCTTGGTTTATTGTAGCGATTAGTCTTCCTGCCAACTTGTTCTAACTGAAAGGTAGTTGTTTTTTACACTCTGCCTATTTAGTTTTCATAGTCATTTAGCTTCTGTACAAAATATGACACTTAAGTAGGATATCAGTGAGATCACTTACCTTATCTTTTGGTTTGCAATCAATTCGGCAACTATATAAAATAAAAAAAACATAGTACTAAATAGCCAGGCTGGCTACGCTACTGGTAGAATTAGCTTGATCCTAGGAGAGCTGTTAACCTATTCAACGGCTATCTTGTTTCCAGGCTGACAAATTGAAACATGCCGGGTCATTATTATTTAGAAACGGCCGGCAGACGGTAAACCGTGTGAAATTAGAGAGTCTTTAATATTCTTAGATTTGAATTGTCCTCCGCTACTTAGCTGCCAGGGAGGTCCCCCCATGTCGTAATATTTAGACATCCCGCTACAAAAACTGAAGTATATATTTACGTTGCTGAATAGCCACTGAAGAGATTTTTGTTAAGATCCAGTCTCCCATTAAGACCATCCACTTCACAACCATTGTATGTTTGTCCTTGACCGCAGAAATTATAACAATAGCAGAACTTGATCACTTTCTTAGCGGACTCCTCAATCAAATCACCGGTACATGGTTGAAACTTGTTATAGATGTCGCGTGTAACTTTGTACTCTCGAACCCAGGAATCAAAACTATACCCTGGCGCGCTACACTGATTCGACAAGTCTCTGACCATCTTGGCATTCTTGTAATCACAGGTTTTTGTAAAATCTTTCCTGGGGTCTGGTGCTCTGTCAAAGCCACAGGAGGTAAAATAGCATGAACCCCAATCTTCAGCCGCGTTTTTGCAGTTGGAATTACCACCGCATGTTAGGTAACCAGCACCATCAGCAACCCAACAATATGTCGATCTAAATGAGCCTGGACTATTTCTACAGGCATCCATAGCACAGTAACCATCGATACATCTGTAAGATATAAAGGGTGTAAATATAGGGTGGGATAAAACTTGTTTTCCTGCAAAAACCAAGTAGAAATAAATTGTAGCTGATAGCTGGCTTCAATATATATATATTCATGTTTACTGAGTTTCAGCCAGGAAAAGACTTTCAAGCATAAAGAAGCTTTAAGATGGTTGGATCTGAAGAATGCAATAAACAATTGTAATGGAAATCAGCTTTCTAAAAGCAATTTATTTCTGAATATAGTTACGAACGAGGTTATGTAAGGACTGGAAACTAGGACATGCGCAGAAATACGTTGTTCGCGCGCTTCTATTTTGTCATGCTTTATCGTTTTGTAAATATCGTGCTGTTCTTGTTGTTTCAATAAATAATTCATATTTATTGCGTGAGTTTACACTGGTGGCAGCATGGGATCGACGAAGATTGTTCTCCCAGACAAGAAGTTTTCTGGGGAGGAAGATATCCGCGAGTTTCTTCGAGATTTTGAGATTTATGTGGCCGTGAACGAGTGGTCGGATGAGAAGGCTGGTCAATTTCTTGCTGTATTTTTGACTGAGGATGCAAAGGCTTTCTACCATCAGCAACCTGATTCCGTACGGAGGAGCTATAGAGAACTTTCCGGTGCGCTGAAAGAAAGGTACGAGGGCGGTCTTGCATTGTTAAAATACAAGAAAGTATTTAATGGTAGAAGCAGGAAGAGTGGAGAGACATTGCATTCCTATCTATCAGAGCTAAGATTGGCATACGAAAGGGCTTATAGTCCTCCTAAGGTTGACCCCTTGCCTGAAGAAGCAAGTGAAGAAGTCAAGAATGAAAGAGTTAAGCAAGAAGGGGCACTAGACTTCTACAATAAGAGAAAGAATGAAGATGTATTATGTCAGTTCATCAATGGTCTGGATAAAGATCTAAAGGAGGTGTTGATTCGACAAGATGATCTTCTAAAAAGGCCAGTTGAAAGCATTCTCAAGCAAATTTCTACACTAGAAGAGGAACAGAGTGTGACCAAGAAAGTGTCAGCAGCAATGGAGATACCTGAAGATAAAGGTAATGAGCATGGCAACCTGGAGAATCTTGTTCAAAGAACAGTTGAGCAGAAAGTTGAGGAAATGATTAAAAAGGCTGGAGTTGTAAAGAAAGCAGGAAAACGTGTGGGAGGAAAAGTGAGACCTGGCCCCAAACCCACTGATATCTGTCGAGCATGTAAAGGACAAGGACACTGGGCTCGAAGCTGCCCATCTTTAAACGAGAAAGAGGCTGGCCCAGGGTCCCGGGCCCAGCCTTAGGTAACCAAAGAGGGACCACCATGTACCCTTATCGAAGTTCAGGGGAACAACTGAAAGTAAACACAGTACAAAAGGTAAATAATAACAAAGGTTATCATGTCAGAGCTACTGTGAACAATGTTGAGACAAACTTCCTAATAGATACAGGTGCAGAAGTAAGCTTAATTTCTGCAGAAATTCCTGGGTTAATAATTAAAGAATCCCAAGTGCATCCAGTTTCAATAACTCATCAGCCAATTATTGTTAAGGGTGAGACTGAGGTACTTGTGAACTTGGGGAGTTTAAATACAACTTGGAAGTTTCTTGTTGTGGAACAATTAACAGAATCAGTTCTCGGAGCAGATTTTATAGCTGAGCACCACAAGAGTTCCTGGGGTTTCAAGGATAATAAACTTTGGTTAGATGACATAGCTATTCCTTTATTTGATTATACCCAACATGTTCGGATTATAAAGGAAGATCATTCCATCCCAGTTATTGCAAAATGTACTGTAGAACTTCCAGCCAGACACCAATTACTAATCCAAATGCGAGCAAAAGATCAGACCAGTCGAAATGGGATTTTCGAGTCAGGTAAAACACCTGGTGGGGTACTGCTAACTAAAACTGTTGTACAACCAAGTAAGGATGGCAGTTTTATGGTAAAGGCAGTAAATCTGAACTTTCATAATGTTACATTGTTCAAAAATCAAAAAATTGGGAAACTTTCTGAGATTGAAGAGGTATTTGACACGGCTAACGACTACCAGATCCAGGATGATCAACATCCAACTGTCTCTTCTATCCAGACTGAGAATATTAATGTTTTGCAAGATATTGGGATTGAAATAAGTCAGACTGACCTAAAGGCGCAGGAAAAAGAACAACTTGAAAAGCTGCTCATTTCCTACTCAGATGTTTTCTCCAAGAACAAACGAGACCTAGGGACATGCAAGTTAGGGACAAAACATCACATACACCTGAAACCAGGTACAGTACCAGTCAAACAACCATTACGACGTATCCCATTTGCATACCAGAAAGAGGTTAAAAACGATTTGAGAAATATGCTGAAAGATGGAATAATTGAGAAATCGTGTTCGGAATGGGCAAGTCCTTTAGTCCTAGTTCGAAAATCATCAGGAGACCTGCGGATATGTGTTGATTATCGAAAGTTAAATGAAGCCACAATGTTTCCAAGTTACCCATTACCTAACTTAACTGAAACACTTGATCGTTTAGCTGGAGCATCCTATTTCACATCAATAGATATGGTATCTGGGTACCACCAAGTTGAAGTTGCGGAAGAGGACAGAGAAAAAACGGCGTTTGTATCTCCATATGGATTATTTCAGTACTGTAGGATGCCCTATGGGCTGGCAGGGGCACCGGCAACCTTTCAATCTGTTGTCGAGGACATGGTTCAAGTATTGGAGACTGAGGATATCATGGCATATCTTGACGATGTTATCTGTTTCCACGGATCTTTTGACAAGCATTTGCAAGGAATTCAGAAATTGCTTGAGATGGTAAGAAGAGCTGGTTTTAAATTATCTGGCAAGAAATGCCAGTTTGCGAAACGTTCCGTAAGATTCCTGGGTCATGTTATCGACAATACTGGTGTTAAACCACTACCTGAGAAACTCGATATAATCAAGAATTGGAAAGCCCCGGAAAGCGAGGATGAATTGCGACGGTTTCTGGGAGTATGCACGTTCTGGAGGAGATTTGTGAAAGATTTTGCCGAAATAGCCGTTCCACTCCACAACCTTTTAAACAAAGAACAATTTCTATGGACAAGGGAATGCCAGGCTGCGTTTGACCTTCTGAAAGAACGGTTATGTTCTTCGGTAACATTGAAACTTCCACAACGTGTTGGTCGTTTCTCTGTGACATGTGACGCTTCAGATTATGCTGTTGGTTACTATCTCGAGCAGGCTGATAGATCTGGCCTAAAGCGACCGGTTGCGTTCGGAGGAAGAAAACTACATAAAGCCGAAATGAACTACTCCACCACGGAGAAGGAGTGCTTGGCAGTAGTTGAAGCACTGAAAGCGTATCGTCCTTATGTTTTGGGAAATCAGTTCGATTTATACACGGATCACCAATCTCTTAAATGGCTGCTAACGCGAACGAAAGAACATAGTGGCCGCCTGTGGCGGTGGGTTGACAAAATTCGTGAGTTTCAGTTCTCGGTTAAGCATATCCCTGGACGAAGTAACACAGTGGCGGATGCCTTGAGTAGGATTCGAAATGTTACAACGCGAGAACCAACACCCTGGAATTTAGAATACATTCGCCAGCGACAAGAAGGTTGTGAAAAGATAAACCAAGTGAAATCCATGTTACAATCGGGAATACGACAAATAAATACCACGGACATGGAATTAAAGGCATTCGAGGACGAACTACCGAACTTATATGTACGGAAAGACAATGTTTTGTGCCATTATGACAGTAACGATGGGAAGAGTACAATAGTGATCCCCCGTAGTTTAATTCCTAGAGTACTACACATGATGCATAATGATTTGGGACATTTCGGTTTCAAGAAGACAATGCAAAGGATCAAGGATAAGTATTTCTGGCCCCTAATGTCATCCGAAATTGAAGATTGGTGCACAAAGTGCGAAATGTGTCAACGTAGAAGAAATCCGGTACCAACCCAAAGAGCCCCACTTCAATCAATTTCTACATGCCGCCCCGGGGAACTGGTTACTATGGATATCGTTGAATATGCACAAAGTTCGCGTGGATACCGTTATTGTTTAGTAGTGGTCGATCACTTTACAAAGTGGTTAGAATTATTTCCATTAAGAAATCAGAAGGCCGAAACAATAGCAAAGAAAGTCTTTGATGGTTGGATCCCTCGACATGGAGCACCCGAACAACTCCACCATGATCAAGGGAAGAATCTAACAGCTGAAATTATCCGTGAAGTGTGTTCGTTTTTAGAAATTTGGAACACACAAACAACACCTTTCCATCCACAGTCAGATGGGGCGTCAGAAAGGAGCATTCGTACCGTGAATAACATGCTAGCCAAGGTTGTTGCGGAGGACCAACGAAATTGGGACTTGTATGTGTCGTCTACATGTTTTGCATACAATACAGCAGTTCACAGCTCCACCGGTTACACCCCTAGTTACCTCGAATATGGCAGAGAACTCCGTCTACCATGCGACCTTGCTATGAATGATCAACAAACTGTAAATAAAAAATCTCACACTGAGTACGCAACGGAACTGAAGAAAAGAATTACTAAAGCGTTTGAATGCAGCAGGGAAACGCTCGAGTCTTCCCACAGAACACAAAAACATTATTACGACAGGTGGGCAAAGGGAAATGTTTACAAAGAAGGAGATCTCGTAATGTGGAAAGATAAGAAGACCAGGAAAGGGAGATGTATGAAGCTGAACAAACCTTGGACGGGTCCATGGGAAGTTATTAAACGCCTAGGGGATGTAGTATACAGAATAAAGTACGTGGGCTCTAGCAAGGTTGGGTTGAAGAGAAGGATTGTCCATCACAATCAGTTAAAACGATTTTACGAGACCACAGGGTTGCAGGAAGAAACCGTACAACCAGAACAAACCCCTAGACAACATGTAGCTGAGGACGGTGATACAGTCGAGAACAGGAATGACGTTGTCATTGTAGACGGTCCAGATACCGCCGCCGAACGCGAGGTACAGCAGCGTCAAGACGAAGCAGAACCAGCGGTGCCGGAACCTGAAGGAAGGCCTCAACGACAGCGAAGACCACCGGGCTGGCTTGCTCCATACGAAACTAACATTTAATTAAACTGTGGGACACAGTTCATTCTTAGGAAAAGGCAGTGTAAGGACTGGAAACTAGGACATGCGCAGAAATACGTTGTTCGCGCGCTTCTATTTTGTCATGCTTTATCGTTTTGTAAATATCGTGCTGTTCTTGTTGTTTCAATAAATAATTCATATTTATTGCGTGAGTTTACAGTTATGAAAATGCGTTAATAAGTTGGCAGTGCGCTATTGAAGCATATCATTATTACCTATTTGTGTATCAATTTCTTTACCGTTTAGGAAATACTTACGCGTAGCGCCTTGATCTTGCTTCACTAAGAAGGAATTGCGAGTGTGCAAATACTCCAAATAAAATGAACGCAATCATATTTTAAATACAAAAAATGCGAGCCAAATCTGTAAAAATGCACAAATAACGCGAAATTAGTAGAAGATAGCTTCCAAACAATTTCACTGAATCATGCAATTTTAGGTAAATACTTCTTATAAAATTTGAAAAGGTAACTTACCAACAGTGTATACGTTTGGATACCCTCTGTTTTACAGACAAAATTTCCGCTTTCCAACGCTGTTTTTATACTTTCTCTTTTATGCTAATGCAGCTGTAAACCTTACGTTTTAATAATCTTTAACCAAACAAAGGCATGAATCAGTTCAAACATGAATTAAAATCGTCTCAATTATTTGGATATCTTTTTAAATATTGACACTCACAAAAAAATTAACTTTTTATCCCATACCCAGTGTAAAAGCTGTGATCCTATTGACTAAGAGCAGGTGCCTCCAAACTCGAAAACTATACGTAACTTTCTGAACACTTCTTCCCGAAAAGGGATGAGATAAAAAGTAAAAACTAAACATACTTGCAGGTCAGTCGGTGAATCCTCGCACCTCAGTGCGTTAATCACGGACTCATCTCTCTGCAATTATGTTTATTATAGAATCATGTTTTATTTCCAAATGATACAACGCCAAATGCAAAAGACGAACATCCAATATTCTTCTTAATCTCGCTGTATCACATAGTGATATAAATTATAAAACCTCTTGCAAAATATTGGTTAACTCTTTTTTGACTCTAAGAAGTCAATATATTAATTACAAAAATCATTAATTATGTGTCAAAGCGCATGCGTTAATGCTTTCAGCTGCTACTGTCATGAAAGCTGTTCAACCAGTTTACAAAATTGATTTTTCGCTGTAGGTATTTTTGACAGTTTCAGTGATACGTATAATGTCACAAAGATTTATTCGAAAGATGAAAAAGTTGTTTTAAAAAACTTCGAGGCATACCTGTATACCGTGGTCGTATTTCTATATTTCTGAAAGAACGTGCGGAGAACACTACCACATACGTTAGAAAAGGTCACTTTTAGCTATAGGCAGACCGCAAACAGGCCTATATATAAATTAGGCCGGGGCGCAAGCAGAGGAGTGATTTCACAAATGACTCTATTTTGGGTAAACTGTCGAAAAAAGATTGCCTAACTTATCACGAATTCTGTACTCCCAGCTCAGTACGCCCTAAGCTTTGGAATACGAGCAGACCTTTCCAAACTGTATGCATTCCACTTGGTATAAGATATTAAAATATAGGTCACAAGGAAGAGGGCACGAAAACAATGAAAAAGGAGTAAAAAAGCTGGTGAATGCATGACCAGGCCCCAGGGCTCGGTCTGATATGGACAGACCTCTCGATTGGTTAATACGTATAATTGGCAAGCGATTATGAGCTAAAAGCTCACCATATAAATTTAGTTTTCACAATAAAATATTTTATTTGACACGATCAAACACAAGAAACATCTTAGCGTTAAGAAGTTCTAATAACTACATCATCCTCTAGAGAGTAGAAGAAGGAGAAATTGTACATTTAATATTGAATTAAAAAATTTTATTAAATAATTAATTTTTCATGATATATGCTGTAAGATTATCACTTATTAGCACCATATTCAATAGAAATACGGTATGAACAATTTCCTTGATTCCATCTTGTGCACGCTGAAGACAATAAACCTAGCTTGTATATAATGAAACAATCGTCATTCCTCGAATAAAATCATTACGTCAGATCACGCGACGACAACGTTGAAATATCAATAAAAAACACTTAAATATATTTGTTCACAAAGAAGCTGCCTCAACATCAAATCCTAGTTCATTAAAAACGTTTTGAAGTTTTCCGAGTGCCCAGACTAGGTTAATTTGTATTGACCATACCTGTACAAATCACGACGAAGCTGATTAAAGTTTAGCTGTTTTTCCTATTTCAATATTTTTTCAATTGTCGAAAAGCGACTTTATAAGTTTTTTCTTCATTATTAGGATTGCTTCCTTCAATTGTCAATCAGTCCTTAACGTGTCATCATTGGGTTTCTCGCGCAACGGCGCGGATCGAAGCATCTGAGAATCAATTAAGTTGACCCAGTTCACTGGTTGACCCTAACACGTTAGGTTGTTGAACAATAAACCGAAAAGAACCTTATTTTTCTGTCATCAATCCATCGACTTATTCTTACACGCTACATTTCCTTAGACTTAGGAAGATATCAAGGCTGTTGAAAAGATCTGTTGTAAGATTTCAGGAATGTTCTTTGTATCCATGCAGACGAATGAACGTCCAGCCGGAAGCTCTTTTGATAACCTACAGTAAGATGATGGGAATATTTTTAAATATTTTTCTAAATAAGTATATTATTTGTAGTTCATCTTATCCTTATTTTAAGTCAGTTCCGTGGATTGAAAAAGAATGTAGCACCATTAGAAAACGATTAAAGCAGAGCGGATTCTTCAATTCACGTGCTGGTGTAAATGCAGCACATTCTTACCTCTCAGCTTCATTACCCAGCGATCCAATGAATATGATGAAGGAATTCACTCGTGGATTTGACGTTAGGGTTTTAGCAAGTGCAGATGGCGGTATACCATATCTTCGTAGGTTTGCATCACTAAATATGATCACAAAATATTCATCTGCTTCTCGCTGCACAACAGACTCTATGGCTTTCTTGCTGGCCTCTAGTGTATGGTCACCGGTCATACAGAACTGCGCATGTGCATGCATTGTCTGTAAAACTTGTAGACGTTTTTTGTTGTTCACTGGTGGTGAGTCTTGAGATACAAACATAATTTCTGGATTCTCTCCAGAATGACCAACAATGTCAAACTAAATTAGGTAAATAAAGTACAGCAAGATCAGCAGGACCTGGGATAAAGTTTGGAAGAGCTAGAGTTTCATTAAGGCGATTCTCCATTACCTCCGCTCCGCCCGCACGGACGAAGCGCGCTTTGTTTTTCAGGCCCGTCACGGTCACATGGGCACATTTTCAAAAGCAGCTCCTTTTCGTCGGCTCCGCCCGCGCGGGCGAAGCGCCCTTTGTTCGGCCGGTCACGATCGCATGAGCAGATTTTCAAAAGCCGCTTCGTCCGCGCGGGTGAAGTGGGCGGTAATGAGGAAACGCCTTTAAGAAAGTACGCGAGAATATTATAGTAACTTGAGCGATGATGAAGCTTTATTGTTTTTTTGTTGTATTATTTACCTTGAAACGACGTTCATACTTATCAAATGCTTCCATCACTAAACAGGCAGCTTCCATAACTCGTTCCAGTCTTCCATCTAATCCATTAAAACGATACATACTACCGCTTACATCCAATACCAAACGAAGTTGTTTTGGAAGTTGTTGCACTGATCCTGGCTGAAAAATGAAAGCAAATTTACAAAAGAAAGAAGTAACTCCTCTATTGTTAGGAAACAACACAAAACCATACCTCGGGTTCTTGATCAGCTCTTTTTTTATAAATTGTTTTTTCACCTGTCAAACCTTCAATTAACTTCGCATCATCCAGATCACCAGATGACTGATGACGAATCCACTGCCTTTCTTTCCCTTTTGCTTGCAAACTTTCTAAAAGAACGCGCAGAGACTGGACCTGATGATGAACACGTGATGAAAATTTCTCGTACACCTCAGCCTCGTGCTCACTCATTTCAATCTGCTTCAACCTATAATGACATTTTAAATGAAGTATTACTTTTGGTAAGAGACAGTGCAGTGTAGGGAAAATAGCGGAGTTTGACATAGATTTCTCACCTCTCTTTAAATGCTCTCTCTCCCATTTCTCTGGCAGCTCTCTTTACCTCCTCGGGTACCGCATCTTTTTCTTCATCTGAGATCTGGAAGACATCATGTCCCGCATCCAACCTATATGGTCCACCTTTACCCCCGAGTCCTGCAGTATCCCTACCTCCTGTGCCACCAGCCCACGTATTACCACCGACATGGGGTTCGTTGTTGGGATCGACCTGACAGAAAATATTAGGTTAAATGGCGTTTTCAATTTAAAGGATGTCCTTAGTCGGAGTCGCCGAAATTATACTTTGTCTTCAGTAAATAGGTCGCAATTGTATGGGACTTGAAAAGAAATATGGCAAAAAATAATATTTCAATTTGCTCTCTAAGAACAAAGACAATTTAACAAAGTCCTTTTACAGAATTAACTCGCCTTGCTTATACTTTTTAAGATATTAGTACGAGCCTATGAAATTGCTAGTATCTGCACTATGTTGGCCTGGGAATTCAAAGTTACCCAGTTCATTTTACTCTAGTTAATTAGGACGTCAGGCATATGTTCATTTTGGCAATAATTCCCACATTGTTCTTGACTCACCTTTCCATGCTTGGGTTGTGTGACATCCAGACCACTGCTTCTCTCGCGAGTTACCTAAATTCGCCAAAATTAATCCAAAATTAAAACCGTTAAAACAATCTCTTTCAAAAGAAATCATTCAGGCAAAAAACGTATATCAGTTAAGCGTCTAGTTACGGTTCTGCACTAACATTTCTGATTACCAACCTGCAATGACCCTGAATCGTTGCTATTTCCCACCAAAGTTTTCCATTCAGAAAAGGATTTCTGGAGGTCACTAGTTCCGGTCTCCCAAAGACGTACACATCCATCACGACTTACAGAAACTATGACGTCATTTGACAAAGAGTCGATCAAGGCTTCCGGGCTCTTCAATTTTGTGTATGGATTACTATTTTTCGCGCGAGGTAAAGACAAGTATCGGACCGAGTTCTGCGATATATCAACCACTTCCAAACTATTGGACCATTTCATATTTTTGGTTTCTTCGTTTGTACTCTTAGACGGGACAAACGATGACGGAATAACTCTGACCACTTGTCCAAGTTTGGGAAGACACAAAGGATTTGGATACAAGTCTTTTAAATTCTCTTCAGAAACATCCCCTGCAGAAATAAAAAACAGTGTTAAATATTATTCACCGCGAGAATAAATATTGTACTGGTTCCCAGGTTTTCAACGCTCCTTGTCTGTAGCACTAACATATGCATGCATTTGACATGTTGGGATTTCAGTCATACCTCGTTCACCCTTTTCTTTTCTGGGATAGGAATAAAAGCTGAGTGGATATCGTTCACGTATTTTGACTGGATTGCTGACTGCCAAACTTGCTAAATTATCTTCGCTAGCAACCAAACGAACAGTACGCGACGAAAAATCGTGCATAAACGTATTTGGAAGATAATTTTGACAACTTTCCAATACATCTTGTGGCAAAGCACCGGCTGATACTTTATCAATTACGAACTGTATTCCTTCTGGATGGTCTTCAGTCGTAATGGCGGTCAGTAGATTAGGAATCTGAACTCCTTGCTCAGGACTTAAAATATACATAGTATTTACGTCCTTTTCTCTCACAATCCACATTTTTTCGGAAACAAGGTGAAGTTGATCAATTATGAACGGCAAGGATATGGTATGTACTCTAGCAGAATCAAAATCAACCAATTGAATTTCTTTGCCATGGTCTGAGTACACTGCTACAATATTTCCTAACACTTTCTCTTTAGACATCTTGTATTTTGTTTGTTTTAACTGTTTTGAAATGGTCCCGACTAATGAATCGGCGGGTAGATCAACTTGTTGAAATTCATTTTCGCTTGGATTAAGTAAAAGCATCGTGTTTGATCTTTGTTCATGAAATATAACTTGACCTTCATATAAATCTCCACTCAAAGCAGCGATTTTAATTTGAGGTGATTGGTTGAAGTAGTTGTAAGGAAACAAAGAATATAAATCCGTACAGACCACGAAGTTCTGGTTTGTCTTCATCGAGTAGATCACAAGAGGACTAGTGGTTGCCAAATGGAGCCAGTCGCCGCCAGCGCCACCTGTATGCATGGATATGAGGATACAAAGAAGTTAAACTGATGGTTTGGTGAAAAATAAATGATTTTTTGAAGTCGTGCAAGCGATATCAATGCTAGCAGACAGCTAGCTCGTATTTCTAGCCTTCTGCCATTCATAACTTTATTCACTTGTTCCCATCTCTAGCGTATAGACTACGAGGTGTCGCACATAGAGGTTTATTTGCAGTTAGCTATGCTATTACCTTCGCTGACTGTAATATCCGAGAGGATACTGGACTCGTAAAATGGCAACATCCATTCGCTTAATAATTCTGTAAATCCAGTCGACCTTGCATTATAACGATCAATGTCGAATTTGGGACAGTCAATTTTGACTGTTTTCTGAAAGAGAATTTATATGTCTGTACTTGTAGTTTGAACAACTTGAAAATACGATTTTCTCTAGGATGACAAACGACCTTTGTTGTATATTCTTCGTTCTAGTTCGTTGTTAATGACACGATATGATATCGACTGTCGCTGACTAATCAATCCCCAATTGATCAATCCCCAAACACACACTCACCCCATGAGCTCTGCATGAATTTATCGCATTTTAACACTATTGCATGAGAAAATGCATGCATGCGTGTGGCACCATGGTTTTATAGTTTTTTAACAGTAAATATGTATATTTGATGTAAAGATGTGTTTCAACCAACCTTTAAAACAAGAGCTTGTTCTCTCACTGAACAGGCTGTGTCTTTACCATCAACAAAACTCCAGTTGTGAACAAGAGAAGGCGAAGGAAGTGGAAATCTTAAAATAGATTTTACAAATACGAACACGCAAAAATGGAATATAAAATTTTGAATCGAGGTTCATAGCACGATAGCAATCCTCGACAAAAAATAGAAACAATAAAAAAGAAACGAAGAGGCAGATGTGGATAAATGAAATAACACAACAGTGGATTATAGGAATAGCTTGAACTTTACGATTTAATTTTCAGCGGGAAAAATCTAACTTAACTTTGACTATCTATAGCTTACTTTTGATTGCAATTTAAAGATTATCGAAAACGTTAATCTTTGTGTTGATAATTCCTACCAAAAATTGAACGGGGGAGAACAACATCCTACAGTTCTGAGGGGAAAATGTCCTCCTTTATCTACTCGGCCTTTGTTCAAACAGATATTCTGCAAGTAAACAGTGCTCGTGTATCGCTTACTCTTTTGATAATTTCACATCTTTCACTGTTACACCGACTGGAATTCCGTGTTTACGCAATGTTGATAAGACTGTCTTTTGTGCATCAGGATGGTAACTGTCAAAATCAAACACATTACGAACCACTTGTCCCAAACCATCCTCTGGATAGACCTGGGCGGATAGTAAAATAAACAAACACTTAGAATTCTCGAAATCTTCTTATCTTTGGTCCTTTCAACCATAAGTTTCAACCGAGGCGATGAAGGACCAGAAAGAGGCGAAGATGAAATCAATTTTACATGGAGTCATGGACTATTTGGTTCCTATTTTGAGGATATCCAGCATAATTGCTAAACGGGTTTAGTAAAATCAACTCCGAAAGAAATATTTAACAGACCATACTTGCAAATGTTTAACGATGTTGACTATAGTTCTCTCGTTGAATAGGGATATGCTATCTCACCAAGATCTGCCATTTGACGTAATTCAGAGAAGGCGTTCACAAGCATTGCCAATACACTGTGTGCAACATCTGGGCCGTATTGTTTTAACAATTCCTAACAATAAATTTAGTTGTACGATCTGAATGATTTGCCAATTTTTGCAGTATGAATTCGGACTTTGGCAGCCTTGACAATTACATTTTTCTAATTTTCTCATCAATAAGTTGCCTTTTGGCTTCCATGTTTGTTTGTTTTCTATTACAGTTTCTCGTTTATATAACTAATGAAAAAATTTACCATTTCAGATTCCTTATCGGGGTTGTTGATTGCATGGCAGCTGAAGATATCACCTGAAGATACATCAGTTATATTATAATGTACTTACAACATCTAATAAATCATAGCAGCAATAAAGAATTAACCCTGTTTTTATGGTTTTTGTCGCTGATATAGTGTAATGTTAAAATCTCTTCTTCCTTGCTAGACCTAATGTAGTGGGTAGTCCCTACTTGACCTATAGAACAGGAGTGGGCCTTAGTGGACCTAGTTTTGGGGGTGTTCCTTTGGACCTTAGTTTAGGGGGTAGCTCTTACTGGACCTAGTTTTGGGTGTAGTCCTTGGCAGACATGAATGGTGCAGAAAGAACAAAAATGGGCTGCTTTTTACATACACATATATGAAATGAAATAATGGAATTGCAATACTCAATCCGTTAGCTTCACTTTTGATAGCTTAACTTCTGATAGCCAGACGCATTTAAACAAACGTGGTTGTGACTAAATTTTTAATACATTACATGCACAAGAAGACTTTTTGACTAGACACAAAAGCTTACCCATAGCTCCAAAAAAATCGTTCCCAAGAAATGGAAATCCTGGTCTATTTGCCAAAACAATTACCCTGAAGTCAGGGTGAATTTCAATAACATCGTCAGGAGGAGGATGGTGTAAATAACCAGCTTGAAAAATTTATCAAAATATCAGTAAATAATAGCAGTTTTGACACTGGCAACGAATAACGGGCCGGGCACTCTTGAATTTACTACCTGGTAAAACTCGTCTTCCGTCTCCTAAAATCATTTCTCCACTCTCAACAAGCGTTTTTAAAACACAAGTTACATTAATTGGAGCTTTATCAGCTTCATCGATCACTAAAACATGACCGAACTTCAGAGCTTGAACCTGAAAATTAAGACACACACGCAGGTCAGGTGCATGTATTAATATGAAGAGAAAACTATATACCTCGCTTTTATCATTCACTTCCTTCGAATTATATGCATGCATGCAATAATAATAGTCTCAGCATGAAAATTGAAGAGACAAAATAAAAAAACTACCAGAGGAGAATCCTCATATACGATGACACCATCTTGTACTGTTGGTTGGAGGGTTAACGTTTGCACAGTTGTATCCCTACAGTGAAAAATAAATATCATGTATTGTAGAACAAGTACTGAGAAGTTTATATAGTTGACAACAAATCGTTGACGTTTAACACCTGCGTTAGAAGCTGTGCTTGCTACTCATATACGCTATAAAGTAATTGAGGTATATAAAGTGTGTAGCTATAGCAGGGTTGTTGGTATAGCAAACAATAATATTTGAATATATATAATTGTATCCAAATATATAAATGTTATAACTACCTACGGCTACGATTGACTTTACCTGTGGAGCTGAATGTATTCTCTCGGTCTATTTAAAAGCTGCAGGAATTTGTCCACAATTTTGTTTTTCCCAACTCCCTACAAGGAAGTGAATGGGAATCGAATTTAGGTAACTTCGGGATAAGTTAGCATAGTTTCTTTATGCATGCATGTTCACCAAACCTGATTTCCAACAAGCAGTAAATGCTCCCCCAGTCGGAAGTCTTTTAACATATTTTCCATTACTTCAAGGTGCTAAAAATATGGTAAATGAAAAAGGAATATAACATAATACTAACCAACAATCAACAAACAACAACTTTAAATCTTTCACACCAAACAACAATTTTTAAATAGGCCTACAATTTTTTGACCATGAGCAACTAATGTTATGTGCCCTGCACATTAATAGCAAGTGGTAAGAAGCAGACTATAAAACAAGATTTTGCTGGTTTGTTCTTTCGAGAAAACAACCTTCCTGTTGTAAATCTTTCAGCTGGGAATGCACGATTTATCGGGGGAAAGTTTACGTTGTATGTATGAAAAAAAAAATTGGATGAAAAAAGCAATGAAGGTGTGTAAGGCCTAAAGATCGATCTGAGAAATACGTTAACATATTCAATTTAAATGCGCGTTTCTAACCTGAGAATTACTATAGAACAAAGTTTCTGGCACTTTAGTTTTGTCGGGAGCTTCATATATTTCGTGCTGTGTTTCACCAATTTGAATATATCCGTCTGCGCTATCGGCTATATATAAATTAAGGAGATAAATATTATAGATATTATAAATGTTACCGAGTGTGTGAAAATAAATCCTTTGTATATTAAACGGCCGTGAAATAACAAAAGTTAGGATTTCCAACGTCAGTGTTTTAGAATAAAATTACAGAACTTAGTCAACAACATATCATAAAGTAGCTATGAAAAACATTTTAATAGTAACTATACCGTTGACATCAAACTTTCTCTGTACCCTTGTAATCTTCTTGCTGATGCCGATTCCTTTCATCGCATCTTCTAATGCAGTTCTTGCAAGTGATGGTAGAAAGCTGTGGCAGAAACGTACGACAATTTATTGGACAGTTATTATTTCACCAGAGGCATTCGGTATATGTCATGTGAGTATCAGGAGAAACATATGACGCGGATTTTTAGTTATATGTGTTCCAAGTTTAAGGAAACGTCAACTAGGAAGGATACAATTGCATGATCTCATTATTATTCAAATAAGCCATCCTTGTATTAGCTTTCGTACGATGTCGTCTTAACATCAGATGCCGTGGCTGCACGAAGTTATGATAGCGTTATTATTAGCAATTATATAATGTTTAAACATTGTGTCGCGATGTTTGAAATGCAATAAAATACGTGTAGAGTGTAGACTTACTCTGCCAAGCAAGCACGGTTTATAGTCTGATATAAGTCTTCATGAGGATATTCAGCAATACGCCTTGCAACACGTAATAACTGTCTTGTGGAAAATGATGGGGCGATGGACAACAACTAAAAAATATATATATACATGCATCTTTCACACTTTTTGTACCTTTTCATACAGGACCATAGCAAATGATCTCCGTAAAGACTCTACTGTAGTGTCTTCCGTTACACACAAACCAATAATTAAAAATAATTTATTAAAAATTATTACATGTAAAAAAGTGCCTCTATAACATATACCATTGAGTTGTTTGAATTTCTAAGTTGATCAGCCATGTCAAGCACGATTTTCATCTTATCTTTCGCAACCCGGGGAACCTGTAAAAGAAATAAAACAACAAATTAATATAATTTAAAATAACTTAATTTGTTGTCTTTTAGAGAAATAGATTGGATTCTCTCTTTAGAGGTATATATAATTTCTGTAAAAACATCAGGCGATATAATGAGCCAAGAACTTGGTTTTTGAGTATATCTTTACTGATTCATTACATTCGATTAAGACAAAAATATAAAACATTGAAACGTTGCATTATAGCCCATGCATGGGTCTTGAACCCAGACCTGGGGCCGTTAAAAAGGTAGTTAACTTTTAACTATAGTTAGTGGCAGAATTGGCCAATCAGAATAATGTATAACGCCATTTAACTACTTAAAATGTAGTTAGGAGTTCTATATACAACCGGCACCTGGAATTAATAATGTACAATTATGTACCATTTTAAATACAACTTCAGCTTCTTCAGTTTTGTTCAAAGGTTCAAGATGATGATAGAGAAATAAATGGAGCAATTCAGAGTTCAACCATTGATTTTGACTGCTATTTATTGAAGGAGGTTCAGCAAGAGCAATAATACGAAATGATGGATGAATACGATACACGTTTCTGAAAAAATATTTAACGATCGTTAACATATTGCACTCTTACCGAGATTGATTACTTCATATGCGAAGTGGACTTTTGATTGGTGGTATCCTATATACTTACTTTTCAGTCAGTTGATCGTCAGAAAGTCCAGAGTTTTTTTTCAGAAGTTCATAGCGGTCAGAGCGCAATAACTGACTGCCGTCATATAACGAGATTTCACGATCACCCACAAGTCTAGGAAACATAATATATGTGGAATTATATTCTTTTCAATTAAATTGATGACATAAAACATAACTATGGAACAGCGACTTTGACTAACGATCTGTTAGTAAAGTCTATAACTCCATTAGACCCGACATTGTCTCGGATTTTATTCAACGATGTACACCTCGCCTTTGCCTAATCATGGTCGTATATTTCGTATATTTCCGGTGAATACGACCATGGTCGTATTTGCCATTTTCCGGCGAATATGACTATGGTCGTATTTGCCATTTTCCGGCGAATATGAGTATATGACCATGGTCGTATTTGCCATTTTCCGGCGAATATGACCATGGTCGTATTTGCCATTTTCTGACGAATATGACTATGGTCGTATTTGCCATTTTCCGGCGAATATGACCATGGTCGTATTCCTCATTTTCCGGCGAATATGACCATGCACTCAATATAGGCAAGTAGATTTTTATGATTTACAAAAAATATGTATAATAATGATGTTAATGTGATATATAAATAACCTCTGTAAAACAGCCAATGTGCCGGGATTAGTCCTATGTATACCATCAAGCACTGCAAGATGACCTTCAGTTGCAGCGACAACTAGGGGCGAAGGTCGCCATATTGTATCGCCATTTTGTAAAGTTGTTCGTTGCTGAAGCAAGTCTCGTGACGTCATATCCTACAAAATAAAACATCCAACACATTTGCTAACATTTGTTTTTCACATTTTAACGGCATGTAAACGTTCAGGATGATTGCATAAAGGAATAGCGTACCTGATGCAGTACAACTGGTTCGATTTGATATCCGAGTAGTCGAGAAAACTGATGCAGTAACACACTTTTGCCACAGCCCTAAATGTGTCGTAAACACATTTTCGGCAATTTACTGACCCAACTCCAAAATTCAACTTGGGTAATTCTGGGGCATTGGACCCATTCATAGATTTCATCACCCAATTATCATCACACATAAAAACGTCAATTCCGTCGTGTGTGACAGAACAGTGAGGAATACTTCTATACACCTTTATAATTACCTTTGGACCTATTAAACAGAAGTCTTTTACAAGATGAGATTGAAACATATCTGCCAATATTTTCGAATGATAATGGGTCATAACGAACTCCTATAGACAAAAGAAATTTATAGAAAATAAATGCAGCGTTACATGCAGATTAGCATCATAAGACGGCATATTGACAATGAAAATCTTTGGTCTCCTTGGTGTCAATAAATTTTTCTAAATTATGTGAAAACTGGCGAAAAGCACTGTGAGAAATTAAATGAAGGTTATTTCAGACAATTCTACTATATCAACGTCTATGCTTTATTTGTTATTGCCAACTGATGCACCAGTTCGTTTACCTTTTCTTCAAGTGGTTGTGAACCAAAACTGCCTTCAGCACCACAGAGAACTTCTAGTTTGTTTATAGTTTTACTTTTTCCTTCAAGCGCTATCATTGCTTTGTGGTTAGGAAATCTTGTTACGCTTTTTAAATGATATGGCTCGTTTCTGCTAACTGGTGCATCATCAAGATGAAAAGTCTAAAAGATGAGAGAATTCCTATTACACACGCATCATGCAGAAAGTTCATAATTAGCATCCATCCAGCTATGTATGCAGTCTATGACAATATAACTGTAATAAATTATTCTTGTCGGATCCATAGTTTTCGTCAAATCGTGCCCAGACAAAATTCCTTCTTTTGAACCTTATTTCGCTGACAAATTCAGGCAACGTTTTGTAATATCCTTAACCCAGTAGTTACAATTCAATAATAGCAAAATATGAACAACTATAACTTCTAACGGTGCGAATCTTCAGTTTAGATTCATGCAGAAATCATCGTCTCACTATATACCTTGAGTGTGTCTGTGATAGCAGTCTGTCCTTCCTTTCCCATTATCAGTTGATGTGGATATAGTCTGTTAATCAGATGTTGGTTTGAAACAAATGGAAGATCATTCTGCAAGGATAAATATCAAGCATTCTATATGTAGAACAAAAGACCGTCGTCTATGCAGAATTTTGTATGCGTCGTAATTCTTCAGCAAGGAGCTTCGTAGAAGCTTCGTTCAACAGCCGAAATTGACTCATTGTGTCGTTTCTCTCTTCTCGCGACTGTTTCCAAGAAGACACGGGTAATTTTAAAGTAGTTTCAAGGCTGAAAATCCAGCAGTAACTTATTCTCAATATAAAGATGACCGTTTCAAACAACTAACCATAATTTGAACGACAAATTTCAGGTTTTCGATTGGAAAGTCTGGCATACCCAAAGACAAGAGCTCTGAAGATTGAATGGTGTGTGCAAAACTAACAAGGTTGGCAAGTCTACAAAAATACCAAAAAAGTTTCAATCTTAGACTTAGTGGTTGTATGATCGGCCATAAAACTGAAAGTCATACATGTGAGAAGAAAAGAAATAAAACAACCAATGTTGCAGAGTCGTTCATAAAACTAAAACTTGACCATGTAGTGGTAAAAATTGGTTTAATAATTGCACAGTAATTGCACGTTTCTTCTAATTTTTAATAGTAAATAATTTGACATGCTTCTCTTTTGGGACATCAGAATTCCAACTTTCCACCAGACTCTGCAGTTGCTCCTATATAATTGATAATACAAAAAGATCCTTATCATAAAATTAAGCCTGGTCTCCATTTGGGACGCTAAAGTGTGATAGTCGCGAAATAGTCTACGTTTATGTCACTTAGGCTGCGACTTAGTGCCCGGCAGCGGTGCCCAAAGTCAAAATTGGTTGAAAATGCCGTATTCTTGGAACATCTTAAAACGGGCATATAATTATATAAAAAGTGCGCAGAAAAAAATGTACAATGTTTGAACAAAGCACTTCCCCCTTTTTCCATTTTAACGTGAGAATGCAGTACTCTGACGTACTTTATAAGAAAGTTCTGGGACATCCCGGGATTGAAACCGTGAACGTAATGGTGGATCCAAAGGGTTGCCAGGATATCGAGGCACGGGTACACCAAGTGCAAACACTCTAAAACCTTCATTTACTCGAAGTAATTTCCAACTGTCTAGTTCTTCTTTGCTGTGCTCCTGAGTTGACAAAAATAATATCTTTAAAACAAAGCTCTCGTGAATTGTTATGACCTCGATAACAGTAATATTTATTCGTTCCAAACGAACAAAGTTGTTTTCTTAGCAGGAGGTTATGATAGTTTACTGCAAATGGAAATATATGTATCCATAGCCTAATTTCGTTAAAACTGTTGTTCATGTATTATATTATTACTATCCAGTATTCAGAAATATTAATTGATAAAGTAGAAGGAGCAGTTTAATTGCAGGTAGATCTTTAATATCTAAATAACAGCTGCAAGCGGAACTTTAATCCCCCCGGCTTCTTGCTTCCCAGGCCTGCGTGTGTACAATGTAATCTTAATGAAAATGGGTTTTCAGTCCATAAACAGAAAAAATATTATATCAAACCTTAATAAGCGAATCATATCTTGCAGCTGACACAAGAAATCTTCCATCATCAAGTTGCATTTCCCTACATCACGGAGTTAAAATGTATATATATGTGTATTACACATCCACCCCATGCATGCATTAGACCTTGCTATAAACTTTTCAATAGGCGGTTTTTGTCTTCATTGTAAAGAGATATCAGTCTGATATTGATATCTTTCATGATCACTATACAGGAACTTCCTGCAAAAACGCAAGGTTAATGCACATATATATATATATATATACCGGGTGGCGCAAAAAAATGTTCCCCCACTTAGACTTATCGTAATTAAAAAACTATAATACAGATATCTTATTCAAATAAAGTTTGTTGAACGCTGTAATGTCTAACTTAAATTTTGATATATGTCTTGAACAATTCTGTAAAATATTAGTCGAGATCGAGCCCTTTAAAATAAAGGTGCATTTTTTGACGAAGCGAATAACATGACTAAATATCGCGACTCAACTAAGTTATTTTCAACTTCCACGATAGGCGTTCTTTAAAGCGTTTTTTATGTTGTCTTTGCATGTTTAAAGATTCTTAGATTAAAGTATTCGAAGTATAAGTGTATTTGATGTTAAAATAATACTGTTCATCGTTCGAACAAGGAGTTGCAATGCACAAGGGAACGAAAGCAAAGGAGCTTGCCCGCTTTGTTATAAACATGCCTCGTTTAACGATACAGCAACGAGTTTTGATTTGTTTGGAATATGCGAGGACTAATAATGCAAGAGAAGTTTTACGTCGATGGCAAAATCATTGGAATAATATTCCATCTCCGAGCATAAAAACAGTGAGGATTTGCCAAACGAAGCTATCAATATTTGTTCTTACTGTTGCGTGCTGTTTCATTCTATTTTAGAACATTTTTTGCTTCTCCCAGAAACGCTACCTTGAGTTTAAACGCCTATATCTTGGCTAATATTGTATAGAAATGTACAAGGCTTACATTAAAATTTAAGTTAAACACCATGCACTCCACTCAATAGACGTTACTTGAAAATGATATCTTTTTTAGTTTTCCGGTATATATAACTTAATTTAATCAATAATTGACTGCAAGTACCAGCCATCATGCAAGTACCAGCCAAACGTTTTATATATGTACTGAAAAAAAAGCTCGTATAGACGTATATATAACACGCACATGCAGCATATATATATATATGACGGACTTCACACGACATCTGTACTACACCATGCAGAAAAATACACCGTTTTATTCGTGAAAAACACACCGTTTTGTCCGCGGATATAATTGAAATTAACTGTCATTTTATTGGACGTCATAACCTGCTAAATTCAGCATCCTCTTGTATATGCACGCGTCTGTATCATGCCGGATGTTTCCATGCAACATCAAGTAACTTATTAGTCATATAGGGTACTTTCTCGATATACAAAACGTATTGTACTGCTGGACGTTTGGTGTATATAAGCCCACTGCTACCAAACCGTTATTTATAAAAGTAATCTAGTCCGGTAAGGGAAGTTACAAACAATTATATCAGTTCAAAAAGACAAAACAAGCAGCGGGAGTATATGGCGGATAATTCTTTTAGTGACGCCTTCGAAAACGCTAAAGACGGGTTTATAAATGATGAAGTCGATGCGCCCGTAATGGCACATGAGCCTAAAGAACTGCAAGCGGCGTCCGATGATAAAAGTGTTCCTGTTGAGATTGTATCAGAGAAAGAACTACAAGAAATAGGGAAAGGCGAAGATGTGGAAGGTGGAGATGGCAAAATACACAAAACTATCTGACTGTGCGACATTCGTATTGGAAAAAGGTTTTGGCATGCAGTGAACATATTCAGGGACTAAATTGTATAGAAAAACTATGGGTATTATACATGGGGTTATAGAACTTTAGTATTATGCAGAGTGAGATGTAAGGGAATTAAATAAAGTGCTTTGTGAACATTCTCTTATACGCGCTAGTATGAATGTGTAATGACACGAAAATCTGCCCCCTCACCCTTGCCTTGGCCGGCATCGTTAATCGAGCAATTTCATTATTATTTGTCGTTTGCTCTTTACATTACATGCAATCAGTAATTTTTTTGGACAAAAGCAGGACACAGATTTTAATTATTCCCGCTCAATTTTTGGCCGTGTACAAAACATAAACATACACGAGTAAAAATCATCATGTTGATACAAGTTGTTAAAAACAGGAGTGAACAATGTTGTGCTGCACCCTCTGAACAGTATTGTTAACAATGTTGTTGAAGCTTGTTGAATCATCAATGTTGATGCAATGTTGTTGTAACAAGTTGCAACAACATTGATGATTCAACAAGCTTCAACAACATTGTTAACAATACTGTTCACACGGTGCAGCACAACATTGTTCACTCCTGATGCGACAACCTGATCAATTTTTGGCCGTGTATTATTCTATATATACCACCATATATGTCAAAGTTTGGTGTTCGTAGCGTTTCATAGGTCGAGAGCGAATCACGCCAGAGTGACGAAATTTTGATGTCGCCAGCGCGACGCCCTGCAGAGTGAGATAACGTGTTATGGGAAATAACAACTTTTACCCAATTGAAATTATGTCTTTTATGAATAGATATTTCGTTGTTTACCTTGTAGTTTGGTTTTTCTTTGACAAGTGGTATATAATAAAAAACTTATTTACTGAGAACTCAGAAAACATTACGTTTTGTGGATCCTCGGCTTCGCCTCGTGAAATATCGACAGATCTCGGGTCCACAAAACATAACGTTTCCTACGTTTGGCTACGTTTCCTTACGTATTCAGTGGCGTAACTAGAACGATAATTGGGGGGGGGGGGGGGGTGAATATTCATATATTTAGTTCTGCCCGACGGATTTCTATTGTAAGGCTGTTTTCCACTTACGCGTTTTTCATACGCACGTACACGTACGTAAAAGTCTTAAGGCTGCTTTCCACTTGCCCGTTTTTTATACGCACGTACACGTACGGAAAATTTTAAATGCTTTTAAATTTTTATTATTTAACATCTAGGTCAACTAATGCATACTAAAATATGCACAAAACTATGTTCCTTCGATTTATTCACTTAATTTTTTCAAAGGAAACATGTACAAGGATTCAGACTTTTACATGCGTGTACGTGCGTATGAAAAACGCGTAAGTGGAAAACAGCCTTAAATCCTTGTACATGCTACCTTTGAAAAAACCAAGTGAATAAATCGAAGGAACTTAGTTTTCTGCATATTTAAGTATGCATTAGTTGACCTAGATGTTAAATAGCAAAAATTTAAAAGCATTTAAAATTTTCCGTACGTGTACGTGCGTATAAAAAACGCGTAAGTGGAAAGAAGCTTTAACCTATTGCAATTACAAAAGAAATCCGTAGGGCAGAACTGGATATATGAATATTCACCTCCCCAATTATCGTTCTAGTTACGCCACTGCTTACGTTTCCTTCGTTCGCAGTAAATAAGTGTTAATTGTACTGCTGGACATTCGGTGTATATAAGCCCACTGCTACCAAACAGTTATTTATAAAAGTAATCTAGACCGGTAAGGGAAGTTACAATCAATTATGTCAGATCAAGAAGAAAAAACAAGCAGCGAGAGTATGACGAGTAATCCTTTTAGTGACGCTCTCCTACACGCTAAAGAAGTGTTTACAAATCATAAAGACAAAGTCGATGCGCCCGTATCAAAAATGCCTGCGCCTGAACTGGAAGCGGCGTCCGATGATAAAAGTGTTCCTGTTGAGATTGTATCAGAGAAAGAACCACAAGAAATAGGGAAAGGCGAAGATGTGGAAGGTGGAGATGACAAAATACACAAAACTGTCTGACTGTGCGACATTCGTATTGAAAAAAGATTTTGGCATGCAGTGAACATATTCAGGGACTAAAGTCTAAACTGTATAGAAAAGCTACGAGTATTAATAATGGGGTTATAGAACTTTAGTATTATATATATAGATTGACAACTGTATATCACGATCATGTAAAGTGAGATGTAAGGGAATTAAATAACGAAGTGGCTATTCGTACTGGAACTGTCAGTACGCCGAGTGTGATTTGTTCATTCGGCCGTATACCGTACGGTATGTCGAGAATTCAAACATCGATTTCCGATACGAAAATAACGTTTGTTGCAATCGCTTTATACTGTCCCTTTATAAAGGTACGATAACAAGAGTCAATAAAAACCTTTATTATTGCGACAATTGACAGAAACATTTCGAATGCACTACGAATAGCAAATCACACTCGGCCGGCGTACTGTTCCAGTACGAATAGCCACTTCGATTAACTAAAGTGCTTTGTGAACATTCTCTTATATGTAATGACACGAAAATCTGCCCCCTCACCCTTGCCTTGGCATCGTTAATCGAGCAATTTCATTATTATTTGTCGTTGGCTCTTTATATCGGTCCTACTAAACACTACCCGAGACTGCCGGCTGAGGTTTTGCATTTTCGATATCAATTAACCTTCTAAATTATCATATAAATACCTTGTTTTGATCACTAACCACTAACACATTAATTCAGTTTGACTTTTTATGGTGTAACAAACAATCCATTTGGTTTTTATTGATTTTTGTGTCTGAATGTCTCCTTAGTCGACAGTCGTTAAAAAAAAAGTCGTGCAATATTTTAAATCTCACCGCTACTTATTTAATTACAACTACCATCAAATTTTACCGCTGATTTTAGTTAATATACGCAACGGTGTGCAACGCGACTGTTAAAACACACAAAGAATGATTAGCAAGGTCATAGAAGTGTTCATGAATGAATCTGGCGGAACTGTTTCCCGCGCGAATTGCCTTTCTTCATGCCTTTTTTACCGAGTAAAATCGGGTGTTGATTGAATGATCTTTTTATAAAAATTAAAATAATCATATCAATCAAAGTGCCGATTTCATGACGGCAACGCATGCGTGTCATGACGCAAACAATCTGTGTCCTTGCTTACTTGTCGTTCGTTCGCCGCACTATAGGAAATTTTGTTACGCGTGGCAAAAAATATCAAACATGTTTGCAAGAATGATGACAAAAATACACAATTCTTACTGTACTGAGGGAGCTGCGTGGATTACTTTCGACGCTTTCTGTGGCAATTTCTCGCCTTCGTAAAACGAATAATTACTAACCCAAGCATTAATAATATTCTAGGATTTATTAACTGGAAGTCCCGGGCAGTCGTCTCGGGCAGTCCCGGGCAGTGTTTAGTAGGACCCCTTTGTATTACATGCAAACAGTAATTTTCTTGGACAAAAGGAGGACACAGATTTCAACTATTCCCGCTCTTTTTTGTCACCTATATTTTATCAATTTGCCTGCGAAACTTTTTTGCACAACAGACCTTTCACGGTTTTGTACGTTACCTGTTTTCCAACAAGTTATTTAAAACAGGTAAGACATTTCTTTCGGCTTTTTCTATTCCATCCAAGATTAACACACGTCCTTCTAAGGCGGCACGAACAGAACTCTATACAAATGCGCCGAAAGCAAATCTTATTTTACATGTTATATATCAACTAATCAAATATGGACATTTATAAAGATTGCGTTACGATTTCTTTTGGGGACAACGTTTGATGCATGTTTCCAATCAGTGTCCGATACAGCAAGTTAGCAAAAACGACGCCATCCAGGTCAAGATGTAGATAAAATAATTTCTCTCCGTGAATTTAATGACTGAAGAGAGAGTAACTAACTGTAGAATTCTGTTGTAGATTTCGGAAAGTTACGTTATTTATGATTTCGGAAAGTTATCTTTGGACCACGCCAAACATATCTTCTCGACGATCGGGCCCATCTCCTTAATTACCCCCCCCCCCCCTCTGTTACATGAGAGAGTTACTGAGTTAGCATGTTTGAGTAAAAACGTTAGACCATACCTGGTTAACGTAATGGGAACTACCGCATGAAATTTCCCTCCTTTGTTTCAAATCAGACTCAGTTGTATCACGACTCAGTGAGACATATTCAATTTCACGTTGCGTAAGCTCCTGATGAAATATTTTTAAAAACAGAACATTATAAATTCATAGTTTTGAGCAGTGATAAGTTGTATTTTAATTCAACACTTACAGCGTACTGCATTGCCAGGCTTCGACGGAGAGAACCAGGAGGACCAATAAGAAAAATATCTTGACCCAACTGATCCTGTTATTAAAAAAATGTTATATTTTTTATGCAGGTCAAGTTTAAATTGCCTTGGTACTATCACATATGTTATTCAGTTATCTTACTAGTCAGTTAATGGCATTTTCTTGCCAATCAAACTTCCTAATATGATAGAGAATCTAGTTTTCTGGACCTTTTAATAAACAATGCATTCATTGGTGTATTTTGGTGACATGGTTGAATCATAGTTCTGAGGGGTTCTTGTGTACAGAATTAAAAAGGATAATTAACTCACTACAAACAACTTTAACACACCTTTTTCATTATCCATTTTAAATGTTGAAGAATTGACTCTGCAGAGACATTTGAAAATGCTGGACCTAAAATCAATTTTAGTAAACAGATTAAAAAAAATATTATTCCAAGACATGACTCACGAGAGTTATAGTAATAAAAAACTCACATGAATAATTTATAGGGACTTTCTCAACATGCTTGGGTGTCTTCAGCGGAACTCTAACATTCCCAATACGTACAAATTCATCTGTGGATAAAACAAACATGCTTGTTAAAGCTATCTGTAATATGAAGTTGTTTGATAAATTTACTTTCTATGACTAACCATGATTGTAAGGGTATATTCTCTCTGTGTATCTTTGAATAGTTTAACAAGATGCTGATGGTATTGAGCTTAAATTTATGTTTGACTCGATAAATCATTTAAAGTCAAGTCACTAAATTATCCACATGCTAGATCCTATATTGAGGCATTAATTTTATTAATCTTGCTGTAGTCAGTTAATTACCAGTTAAAAATTTAATATTTAGTCGGTAGACATGCAGCAAGTAATAAATATAAGGTCAATTTATCTATATTGACCCTCTCTGAATGCCCAAAGTGGGCTTTTACTACCAAGGAATGATTTTAGCAAATTCAAGGAACTTTTAAAAACCTTCCTATTAGAACCTTCTTATTAGAAGGTCAATGGTGAAGGAAAACCAGGAGGCTCCCAGTGGTTGTGGAATCTGTAGTATGTGCCCATCGCACAGATATGCCCCCATCATAAAATATCTTCCCACACGGCCACACGGGAATGACGGGATCACACCCTCGTTGAAATTTAAAAATTCTGTGGTTCTTAATCCTGGATTTAGAGATCAAAACTTCAACGTTCAATACCTGAATAGGATCTGGACGTTTGACCGAATCTTTCTCTACGCCATATGTTTATATTGACTTTCCAAAACGTGGACCCGGCGACTCCCGGTGATCGGTATAAAATATCTATGTATCGATTCATTCAACTTCCAATTCTTATGCATCTGGGCTAACTTTTTTCGAAACACATGCGTCGTTTGCGTCGTGCCATTTGACTACAAAAACAAAAGAAAACAAAATCACATAACAGTACATTTATTGTACTATATTTGCAACTTCTTCCACAAAAAATGTTACAAAATTTATTATGCACGTTTCATTGTGCAAGACAAAGTACACGTACAGTGAAAACCGCTGTTTTTGAAATTTCAACCTTGGCAATGGATGTTTGTGGATATATCTTGAAGGTTCCACAATCACACTATTTTCTACTTATTATCACATATTATCCAGTATCCACACAAAGCATAGAGATTATGCAAAAACGAAGGTAAACAAGGAAGCTATCGTCTTTCTTTCTGGATATTTCCTAATAATATTAATAATGATTATGTAAATTATATGTTTCGTGTGCATTCGGTCGTTAATGATGACAGTGGAAAACGAAACATCGATACATTTTCTCAATAATCCGATGTTTTTGTGAATATAAACGGTTGTGGATCAAAGATATCTTAACGAAGACTGTCAGCCGACGGCGGTTTTGACGTTTTAAACATGAAAGCCAAGTCTCTCCACAGGGATTATCTTATTCTTTTTAATGTCGTTGCGTGTTTGTTGGAAGGATTGTGTGCTTTAGATGCTTCAAGAACCATTACGATTCCTTTGAGGAAGTATAGGGATACACATGTTAAGACGAAAGAGAAGAGAGATTTACCAGACGTTAACCCAAAATATCATGACAATTTATCTGGTCGTCCAGGCCAAGGGTATTATCTGGCTATTCAACTTGGAACTCCACCGCAGTCGGTAAGCTTATATAACGCGTAGCTTCAAAACATTAAAACGCTTACATTATAATGCAAAAAGTTAAAATCCATTTATATTTCCTTCGGTTATTTAAGACTAACACATGCGCTTTTTGAGCATTTTGCGGGTACTATAGCCTATAGGCGTGGTGTTGAAAAGAACGTGTACATTTGAAATTTATTTGCTGTGGCCTGAAAGTCACTTTAAAACCGCACTGAAATTTTTTCCCCTTTTAATTTTCGATGTAATTAAAATACGGTTTGTGCCGTATCACGTTTCTGAAAACTAAATGTTGCATAGTATAAAATTGTAAACGCTGCAGGTAAAGATCTATAGAAAGTTGAAATATATACAGTACATTTAAAGTATAAAGATTAAAATATATAAAATGTTATATTTTAAATCTTAGGCCTTCTGCGAAACATGGTAACGCTTATCTATGCTTATAATTGACAATTTTTCATATCAAATTTATATTTTTTGCAATGTCTTAAGTACAAGATTGGCAGTGTCAATATCCAGCCTCCAAAAATTATACCAGTTTATTTTTTACTGTGATATACGTTGCAAAAGCTTCTTGATTTATTATTATTCATGGCAAAGTTATAGTTTCTCATGTCATAAGTAGTCTGCATTTTAATTAATTACTTCCTTGATTGCAAGGTAATATACTTTGTTGACTCTAATTTACAACACATTGTAAAACAGTTTTTACTATTTGGAAACCAGAGTTACTTTGCTTCACCACTACTCTACCAAAAGTCATAAATTGTAATTAAAAATAAAAATTGTATTCTTAAGATCCACCACTTTTTCTGTTTAGCTCAATGTTCTTGTGGATACTGGAAGCAGTAATTTTGCAGTGGGTGCATCAAAACATGAATATCTTCCAGCATATTTTCACCGAAAGAAGTGAGGAAAATTTAACTACTGCATAGTTTTCTTCATACATTTTTTGTACATTATCAAGGGTGCAAAATATTTTGTTATTTGAGATTATATAACATTGTCAGAAGCAAAGTGCTCATTAATTTCACTGATTTACACAAGATTTAATTTTTACAAAATAAAATGTGACAAAGGCATGTATGGTATTTAATTTTTTATAGATCTTTAACATACCGAAGTGAAGACAGAGATGTGTCTGTTATGTATACACAAGGACGCTGGGAAGGTAGCCTTGGTTCTGATATATTACGTTTTGTTGATGGTCCAAATGCAACAGCCCGTGTTGAAGTTGCAAGTATTCTTAGTTCTGAACAATTCTTTATAAATGGATCAATGTGGGAAGGGATTCTTGGTTTAGCATATTCACGATTATCAAAGGTAATGGTTCTTTTAAATATTACCTTGTATGTCAAATTTTCATTTATTGCATATGTCTGTTTACATTGATGAACACAACTTTCAAATGCATACTTTTTAGCCTGATTCAAGTGTTGTCCCAGTTTTTGATCAATTTGTTGGAGATGGCATTGTGCAAGATTCATTCTCAATGCAGTTATGTGGTAGTAGTGAACTGGATCCTATAGCTGACCCCACTGTTGCTGGTACAATGGTATTTGGTGGAATTGATAGTAGTTTATATGATGGTGAAATGTTGTACACACCTATTGTAAAAAAGTGGTACTATGAAGTGGTTATTACTGACATTGCAGTCAATACAATGCAAGAAAGTCTCGGCTTAGATTGTAAAAAGGTATATACCGTATACAGTTACTATATTAAATGTGATTTTTGATGTACCATAATATAATATGTGTCTCAATTTAGTTTGAACTACAATAATCACAAAAATTACTGAGATAAGTCTGCCACTTTGCCAATAATGTATGGTACTACTATAAAAAGGAAAAAATAATTAAATGATATACTGTATAACTTAGTTAACAGTGTAGTTACCAATTCTACAATACTAGCCCAATACAGCTAGTACCAAAACATTGGCATTAATAGCTGGCAATGCATCTAAATACCATTAGTTTGTATAAGCATTAATTAATTTGCTAACCTGTATGTAATTTTCAGTATAACTATGACAAGACTATTGTTGACAGCGGGACAACACATTTACGTGTATCAGCAGATGTATATGATGGTATTCTTGCAAAAATTAAGAAATACGACAAGGTTTGTCTTTCCTGCATTCCAAGATTCTATTTGATCGATATTTATTCTATAGAATCGTCCAAGTCCCGTCTTTATCTCTCTCTCTCCCGCCAGACGTCATATGAAAAAGGTCTACTATTAAGCATAAAAAACGTTTAAATTATAATCCAACATCCACACGTTAGTTATCCAGTACAGACAATTAAGGTAATCACAGTGCGAGACTCAACTGTAAGTTTTAATTTTTAGCTTCAAGTTCCAGATGACTTTTGGAATGGTAAACAGATGATGTGTTGGACAGATGATCGGACGCCTTGGAATAAATTTCCTGACATTTACATTTCACTGTTGCTTTCTACGACTAGTTCAAAATACTTCACGCTTAAAGTTCCACCCCAGGTAGAGTAGCGTAGCACAACACAATTACAAAAAAACTTCCAACGTTTCCAATCCTGGGCCTAAATCTTCACATAAATACGTGAGGTCGAATGTGAAAAGGTTTCTTGTATATTTAAACCATTTTGATAAGTCGTTTCAACATTCAAGCAGTCAAACAGCCACGCAGCTTCTGAGTTATCTATATGCATTAAGTCATGAAAGGCTGGTAGTTGGCTAAAAAATCCAACACTTGTAGTAGTTACTGTTCTGACCAAGCTGCTACAATCGCTTGTATTGTAACGAAATTGATTATTGGTCTTTTTCGTGTAAATATTTTTAATCCTTTCTTATTCTCTGCAGTTATATTTACGAGAGACAATAGAAAGAGGCTTGTTCGATTCTCAACGTTGTTACAAGTTTGCTATTACTAAAGCCGAAAGAGGTATGCGGTTTCAGTGCCGCTTTACGTTCTCTTATTATTACTTCTTTATTGTTTAAAGTTGCTACGACCACTGTGCATTTTTATGCATTTATTGATTACTATATCTTTTGAAGGTACTGTCATTGGTGCGGTCATAATGGAAGGTTTTTATGTTGTTTTTGATCGACAAAACAGTCAAGTTGGTTTTGCATCGACGACATGCGGAGGTTAGCTTATTGAAATTGTCATGCAGGCACAATAATTCTCTCTTAATGGTAAATTATGAAGTAACAGCAGCTGATTAAACTTTATGAACACTTTTTTAGCCGACGGTAGACCAAATCCGCAGTCTCAAGTGTTGGGTCCATTTTCAAGAGGTCTGATATTTTTATGATATCTCACTTATAATCTATAGAAAATGTATTTCTTATAAAGACACAGTCATAGTCACTCTCGGCTCTGAGGGCGAGAGATGATACATTATATCATTATCGTCACGCACAAATATAAACATATTTTCTTTATTTTTCAGATCCAGTTGATTGTCAGTATATAGAGTCTGAAAGCTCGGACGCAGCTTTATTGACTGTTGCATACGTCATGGCAGCCGTGTGTGTGTTATGCTTACTGCCAATCTCGGTCTTACTCATTCAAGCAAGTCTTCAAAGACGTAATAATAATAGACTTCAAGCACATAATGAGAGTCCAAAGACCAAGCGTGCTGATTTTCTGGAAGATGATGAGAGGCATAACAGTAGTTTAATAAAAGACTGATAATATACCGACTGTTTTGGAACGTTTTTAATAATTTTGTTTTAGGATATGTAATTAAATTACAAGATTATGTCTGCGAGCTGACCTCAAATCCAGGCTCATGCGAGGCTTGTGGGTTGTTCCCAGACGTATTCATGACGTAATGATCGCATGGGTGTATCGAAAGGGTGTAAAGTACATGTAAAGTTTTGGTCATAGCCTTGAATTCACCTGGCTTCCATTTGGTCGATGACAGCTTCCGTGTTGGTGACTGAAGAATCGACTGAAGCATGAAGTCTGCATAACGCTGAATGTGATTGATGGGCCAAATGGAAATCAGTTGTTGCCGTACTAGTCAATTTTATCTAGTAGATAATCCCATGGTAATATATAAAAACTGTGGGGGACTGCATTAGAAGCTCTCAGTAACTCAGTTGCAACCATAAGATTAGTGTATATAGCTAGGATAAGGTCGATGCACTATAGTAATATTACAAAGATTGCACAACGTGCAGCTTGATTTAAAATATATGATAGATTTAATGAAATAAAATTAAGACCCGTAAAACGCGAAATATTTACAAATTTTTAAAGAATTGAGTTTGCTGTTAAAAAACCTTATGTTATTCAACTTCATAATGTTTGAATGCGAAACAAACGATTATTCGTCAGCCTTATTTGAACACTATTTTGTGAATGCATGGTTTAACTTTTGTTTAACGTTTTCACCCAACATTATGTAACATCGCCTAACATCGTCAACACAGTGGTACATAATACAAGAAAATCTCCATAATTTCGACCTAACCCTCCTGATGAAGGTCCCTAGCTTGATACGCCAAGTATATTTTATGATTATATTTTAGGTTGTTGTTGGACCACTTTGATGTAAATTAAGTTATTTGAATCAAGAAGCTGGCCCATGGCCCATGGAGTCAACTAATATTACTATAATATTGTTAATAAAATCACCACAATTGTGGCCAATGCAACGTTTCCTCCCAATTTATCTCTGCATAGGTTCACAATAAATTGGTCAGGTACTGTGCATTGAAACGTATGTATAGTTTCTTCTACGCGAGAAACCAGGTCTATGCCTATTTTAATGCAGTTTCTCATACGCCAAACGCTTTAACAAGAACTACGTTCAAAACGCAGGCCTCAGAGCCTTAAACTACAACTCCCTATTTCTCAGCTATCGCGCTTGTACGTGGTTGGTTAAAAGTAAATAATTAAAGTTAATTATGTCCCGGTAGTGAAAGTCAAATTTTGTAAAGAAATCCTTCTTTTGATTTTGACATCTAATCGTGTGAAATGGGAAGGATTGAGAAGATACCAACCATGAATATATCGAATATTACGAAGTAAACTCATCCCCAGCGAAAACAAATGTTTGGGCAAAGACGATGTCCACACTTGCTTTATTACAACCCTTTACTGGATTATCTAGGGAGGAAGTAAGAGAAATGTTGAATTTCGATTAAATTTTGTTGCTTTTATGACTTGTAAACATTCAAACGCGCGTTTACCCGCGCCAACTCGTTCACGCCGATCGATCTTTGGAATAAAAAGGGTCCTACCTTGGTATGCATGCTCTAAATGAAATACCAGCTGTCTTTCCGCACAAAATTGATATGCTTTCCATAAATCAGGTTTATCTGGATTATAGATCACAAAGTTGCTGGTTTCTTTAACACCTTTTAAGAAATTTTTAATATATGTTCATATAAACAATAATAATAATATATAAAAACAGAAGATACAAAGCTTCGTATCAAGACCACCTTCATACTTGGCCCATACAAAGTAATTAGCCGTTTCCCAATCAAGCAGGGTACTGGGTCTAGTCGTGAACCGCAAAGCATCTATGGACTGTTTGAAGGGACAAATGATTACAATGACTACATGTTCTGTCCCTTCAAACAGTCCATAGATGCTTTGCGGTTCGCGACTAGACCCAGTACCCTGCTCGATTGGGAAATGGCTAATTCTAAGCCTCATGGCACCCGCATTCCTCTCTGATAATAACAGTACTGACTGCTGTCAAATCTTATCAAGGAATGGTAACTGCAAAAATTTACATGTTAGAACTACTTCTGTAAGAATTTCTATCACATTAAAAATACTATTTAATGACTTGATTACCTGACGGTGTACAAAGATCAACGTAAAGATAACAAGGTCCAGAAACATGTAATGACTCAATCTTCAGTTTATCATCTCCTTGTAATACAAACGCTCTTGTATCCTTTGTCTTGCCAGAATCATCGCAATGCTAAACATGCATACATATTGACAATGCTACACACTATGCTATACAACGATACTTAGAGAGTGCCGTATTGAAAGGTATTGAAAGAACAGAAATGGAAACGACACCCCCGCAGGTTATGATGAACGAGCTAAGATGAAATTATTCTTCATGTGTAGTGCATGTTTGGAGGCTAACTACATGCAGACAAGCAGTTCATATCCTAAACCATTCCAGGTCTACATTCTATGTAGAGGACTGAGAAAAAACTTACTAATGTACAGCGTGTCTTCCGTTGAAACTGCAACGTGTTACCTGACGATATTTGACCTGAAAAAAATAATTGAATATAGAGTATATATACTATATACACGGCTTTCAGCTAAATCTCGAGAATATTTGATCATACTGTAGATCGTTGTTGAGCTATAAAAGCAATTACCTTTTTGGAACATATATTCGTACATGCCAAAGAACTTTGCTTCATTCATTAGGCTTGTTAAGCTTAAAAAATATAATATATAACGGCTAAACATGCAAATTGAAGCTGTTTGGGAGTGGAGTCCATATATTCAAAGAAACCAGCAATTAGCTACATGCTTGTTTAGGAAAAGCTTGCAAAAGGCGTATGTTAATTACTGTGTTAAAATAATTTTTTCAAAATATTTCTCACACTGTTTTATTCTAAATACAGAGAACTGTCACATACTTCACGTTTGCAGGAACAGTCAAATAACCAACCCGAGCAAAAGCCAGAATAATTTCAAAGAGATATCCATCTCGATCAAAAAATATATGACCTCTCTAGATAACGGTAATAAATATTATTTAGGTAATGGTTAGAATAGGTTTGTTATAATTATTTTTCCGGGTTTTTTCTGCTTTCTCTCTACAGACTCCTTTCCATATTCCTTAATTCCCAATGTTCCCAATGCTATTCACGATTGTCATCGGAATCTAATTTTAGTAATGGTTACAAACTAATTAATATTCAGAAAATATATGATACAAATGTATCGTACCTGACTTATAGTTGCCGGCGTTCCGCCGGTGAATATTTGACACAAAAGACTTTCAGGATAAAGTGAGAACGTAGAGGGAAGAATCTAAACAGTTTAGCATCAATTAACAATTAGAAATTATATTATACGAATGTTTACTTATAGTTAATTAGTAATAAATTTAATAATAACTAATTTATAAATAAATAATTAAATAATTTATTAATAATTATTAATTGAAACATTGACTAACCTCAAATATACGACCTCCAACGTTCAAACAAACCGTAGTTCCATGAGGCGGGAAAACATGAGGGCTAGAAATACCAACATAGTTGCAACAATTCAGTTTGCAGGGGATGATTAAGTTCAGCTTAAAATTAGGCTTCAAATGTATACCTACCTAGGATTAGTGCCAGTGTGTCGTGCAACGTCTGTAAAACCAGAATGACTTCCAGGAATTCCAACCCTCGATGGGTAAACAAATGCTGATGGGATAGCTTGGCGGTGGGTGAGTAATGAATGACCTAGAAACGGATTGGGAAAAATAGGACCCTGATGAAATGGTCCTCCAGGTACATGATTGCTCTCGATATCCCCAGTAAGTGAAGGGGGATCACTAAGCTTCTTGTAATCTTCTTTTTCATTTGTTGCAGTTTGAAGCCCTCCTTTTGTTAAAAGCGACGTCTTCTCATTTGTTGTCGGGCAGGAGGTTATTACAATGGGCTCCTTCGTTTCATCGGCTGCAGAGCAATTTGATGGTAAATCCATGGAATGTTTCGGAATTTCTCGGTAGTTTAGGTTTACTAAGGAATCTGTTTGTATATCAGAGTTGGTCTGTGCCAAAGAACATTTGGACACAGGCTCTTCGAGGGAATGGCTCAAACGTGAAATATTTTTCTCTACTTTTTCAGGCGCCATATCAGCCTTTAAATTTCTTGTATCCATTGAACCGTCTTCTCGGCCATCTGCCCTTCTGTATAATGAAGACATCGCTCCGGTGGGAGGCTTCTCATCAGCAACGTTTTCAGTCTGGTCTAGAAAACCACGATACTTTCGTGGATTTACACTTCCTAATGATAATGACTCGTCTTTCAACAACACGGGAGCGTTTCCAAGATTGACACGAGGAGCAAGGTTTCGGACGACATGTGGTGGACTTCCAAGAGTCGGTTTGTTTCCGTCTTTTGAACTTAATGGCGAGACAAGGTTAGAATTTTCATTTTTCTTATCCTGAGCAGTGAGTGGGTGATAGACAAAAAGTGATGGGTTTGCCGTTTCTGGAGAGCTTACTACGTTGAACTGCTTGGCATTTAACATTCGATCAAGGGCTGGCGTGTCATGGTTTTTAACCATATGATTTCCCAGTGACGTGTTCGTCATCATCTTATTAGAACTTGTCACCTCAAAGCGTTGTTTGTTATCCAAAACTTGACCATGTCGTTCTTGACTTTGAGGAGGGATCGTTGTCTCCTGGCTCGTCCGGTTTGTAACCATGTGACTGTCACGTTGTGGATCACGTATTTCTTCCTTTTTCTTCACATCTGATTGCGGGTTTGTAAAGAACGACGTACTAAACAAACTGTCCACAGATATTCTGTAACCATACTTTTCATCAGACATGGCTTGCACGGGTACTGCTGCTTCTTCTGGCTGTTCCCGTGGCATTGGATAAGAATTCTGATGATCATCTAACGGTTCTTTCATATTTCCACGCAGCCGCGTATTTTCGCTTCTATCGGTTAGCAGAAGCAAATTTTCATCTAAAACAGATAATTTCCAGTTTTCAATTAGGTACAGAAAAGCAAGCGCGAGAGAAAGCAAGCGCGAGAGAAAGCAAGCGCAAGAGAAAGCAAGCGCGAGAGAAAGAAAGCGCAAGAAAGCAAGCGCGAGAGAAAGCAAGCGCAAGAGAAAGCAAGCGCAAGAGAAAGCAAACGCGAGAGAAAGCAAGCACGAGAGAAAGCAAGCGCAAGAGAAAGCAAGCGCAAGAAAGCAAGCGCGAGAGAAAGCAAGCGCAAGAGAAAGCAAGCGCAAGAAAGCAAGCGCGAGAGAAAGCAAGCGCAAGAGAAAGCAAGCCCAAGAAAGCAAGCGCGAGAGAAAGCAAGCGCAAGAGAAAGCAAGCGCAAGAGAAAGCAAGCGCGAGAGAAAGCAAGCACGAGAGAAAGCAAGCGCAAGAGAAAGCAAGCGCAAGAAAGCAAGCGCGAGAGAAAGCAAGCACGAGAGAAAGCAAGCGCAAGAGAAAGCAAGCGCAAGAAAGCAAGCACGAGAGAAAGCAAGCGCAAGAAAGCAAGCGCGAGAGAAAGCAAGCGCGAGAGAAAGCAAGCGCAAGAGAAAGCAAGCGCGAGAGAAAGCAAGCGCAAGAGAAATAGTGGTTGTACTTTCTGGTGTTATAACTTTCTACAATTGCTACGCTAAATTTGACTTGAGGCCAAAAAATTCATAGCGGGAATGGCAAAGGGGGCTTTTTGGGTTCAGTGATGATGAATACAGTACCTGGCAGGAAGGTTTTTGGCAGATGATTAGGCTGAGCCACAACAAGGTGTTTTGATGTCAAGTCACCACCCTGTAACATACTTTGGTTTGTTGATGCGTTTTTTATAGGTTCTGCTAAATTTTTTTGCGGAACAAATGAAGAACATATACTTGATGATAAATAACTGCCAATGCCACTTGTAGCAAGGCCTGCTAAAGAAAAATTCTCATTTTGAAATATTGGATTCGAAGGATTTTGATCAAGAAGGCCAGGTTTTTGTACAGGTTGCTTGGACTCTTTACTATATTGTTTTGGTGTAGTTGGTACCATCGTGAATGAAGTCTGTTCAAAAGGTGCGGAATGCTGTGGACATTGTTCAGTACTCGTTTCTTTAACATAATCATCATTGCTAAAAATATAAGATATGAGTTTAGTTTAATTTTATTTACCATTTCAAGGAGCATGGTCAAAAACCCTTAATACGTTTTGCAATTGGCTATGAGTATAAGAGTGCAGAATATCTGCAAAAGGTCAAGTTTTGTTTGTCATTCAAAACGTTACTGTAAAAGTTTACCTGCATGCATAAAGGCATTTAATTTAGATGTTTTACAACTGATGCAATTGTTTCGGATTTTGACTAATAAGATAGTTTAACTGTAGAATGTGTTAAGAAGAATTTGTATGTATTCACCGTGCTTATTTTGCACAAAGAAATCTTGCATTGTCATGGCTTTAATATTTGCAGCATTTTCTTCAAGGATATTAATGATGAAGCCAATAATGTGTTTTGAGAAAGAATGCACAACTAATTTTGCAATGGGCTTAACCAATTTGCTTGGGATAAGCCCTATTGCAAAAAATCTATATCACTTACTCTAACACCTGACTAATAGACCATAATAGAATCATTGAAATGATTAAAATAAGATGAACCACTTTCAAAACACATATGTAAACCACTTCACCTAAGTTCCTGGCATTCCAATGCACTGTCTTCAGTTGTCACTTGTATGCTGGAATCATATGTTTGGATGTTATTTGGATTTTGTTCTACCGTAGAATGAGTGTTGGCTTTCTCAGGAACTTGCTGCAGTGGTTGCACATGAACTGCAGGTTTTAGATGTTGAGGTGTGGAGGTCATGTTAGTGTTTTCATTTCGCTTTAAAAGTACTGACTCATTTTTGAGTGGACCTTTTTGTAACTTTGTTTCATCATTTGTAGGCACTTCATTTCCCCTACTCTGATTTCTTGGCTTAAAATTCCTAGTATTCTGTCTTTCTTTGGGGTAATTGTATTTGCGTCTGTCTTCATATTTCATATTAGATCTGTGCTCTTTCTGTGTGTGCTGGACATGATCATCCTTTCCTCCATGAAATGAACTATCTTTTCCTTTGAAGTTGATCTTATTATCACTTTTATTATCCTGTTTTATTACAACCATTTCTGGTTTCATATCCAAGTGTTTTGTATGATCAAGAGATGAATATCGAGGTTTAACAGAATTTACTTTTCCTCCTTGAGAGTTGTCGTGGTGATGGTTAATTGACTTAGGATCTCTCCTATTTTTATTGACAAATCTCCGATTATTTCCCTGAGGTCCTTTATTAACCTTTGTTTCTTCCATAATTGCCTTTGTTGCCTGACGTTTTTGCCAAAACAAATCTAAAAAAAAACAGTTTGTCTTAAAAAATTGAATAATTAAATTGGGTCATAAGGTTTTATAACAGCTTACCACAAACTATGCTTGGATTTGCTTGAGATTTTGAAGGAGCAAATCCCAGCATAAAGCTCAAGCTCTTTATAAACCCTCAATATTACAAGGATATTAGTGATAAGGTTTGAGACTCTGAGAGATGAAATATAACACAGAACAATAAAAAATTTTTCTGTTTGAATTTTTTCATATGACAATGCATGATGCCAACTACCAAATACTTGCTTTTGAAAAGAATTCCCTATGGCATCGAGAAGAAAATTGACCTGAACATATGTGTGTAGATAAACATCATAAAAGTCATTTTTGCTAGCCAGTGTTGCTGGAACATTTTAAAACATTCATTATTCTTTATGTTCCATGAATGATACATTACAATATAAAGCATATTATATAAAACTGTTGTTACAGTTTGTGTGCATATGATCTTGCAAGAAATGGCATGACCAAACTGATTTTCTCAGCACATCGCAAATATTACACTCTAGCATTTAACCATCTACATACAACACCTTGAAAGAAGTATATAGATTTACAAATGACATGCCATGGGGCTACCGCGATATTGTCACTAAACAATACACACGAGTTTCCTCTACATACAAATTTTACTACGTTTGAGTAAAATGGCAATGTAAATGTATCTAAAAATATATATATATTCATTTACACTAGAATAGTAAAACAACTTTGAAGTCTTTGAACAATAGACAAAACATTGCGAAGAAAATATCGTAAATTGCATTACTGTCTGATACAGTGATACTGTAGTGTTCCATTCACCATTTAAACACAAGCTTTTTATTTCCTTACCGTAATAATTTAACCCTTGAATGACGAAAAAATGAAAGCTTTAATTAAGCCATTTCGGTAAATCTGAATTCTAAACAATGTTATTTTTGAGGAATTACAAGTAAACAAAATGCAAAATTAAGCGTCGTTCCACCACCAAGTTCTAACATTCTCGGGTCCGCAGATGATAATTGATAAGTAACAATAACCCGGGGGATAAAGTTCCTTGAATATTGCGTCCACTGATCTATATACATTGGACTGAAAGGCTACAAAATAGTACAGAAAAGGAATTATTACTCCAAGAACTTTCTTATATATATAATGACGTCAAACGTGGGGTGCAACTGTCACTGTGTGTCACACGAAGTTTGGTTGGTTGCTCAAAACTAACGAGCCAGTCAAACTTCGTGTGAAATCCGACGTCATTATGTGAATAGTCTATGGAGTCTATGGAAGGCTGCAATTCAATATAACCGGCATTGGAGCATATATTTAAACACTAGTTGATCCTGGGATGTACTAAATGATAACTACTCATAACTCTCAGTTGAAGATCCCTTAAGTTGCCAGTACATTCCCAATACAGTTTAAGTTGTTTTTATTTTTTCATAATCAGTCTTTTTCTATTTTAATTTTTTTTGTGAGCAAACAAGGTTCTACAGAGAGATTTCTTTTTGGTGAAATACAGGAGTGCTCTGGGTTTGTTTGTTCCGATGAAGGAACTGCACATGGTCCCGCTGCTGTTAGGATGATGTTATTGGAAGCACTCGTTTCATTTCCTTCCTCCATAAAGGAAAATGGTTCAGATGATTCCTGAGAAGATGTAGCATTTAAAGAAAGGGAGTTTTCTTCACCCACTTCGTTTGAAGAATCGAAATTCATATATGAAGACCAAGGAAGATCGATGGCTGGAACTGATGAAACATGAAGGGCCTGTGGAGGTGAACTTCTTGTCTCGTGGATTTTTTTCAACGCTAATAATATCTTTGTTGCTGGAAACAAATCACGTGAACATTCACCTTTGGATGCTGTTGGAGTCACCGAATTATTTTGTGGTGAGTGACATTGCTGCCGTTGTGTAACAGTCGTATCATTCAGACGGCTCGTCGTTGGTACACTTACGACTGCTGTTACCGTGTTGCTTTGAAACTTGGAGGAATTTGCATGATTTAAAGGAGCGATATTCTCAACAGTTACTTCAAACTGATCAGGAAGTGAAAGTTGTTTCTCAACATCATTTCTGACATCACAAACCTCGGTATCATGTTGTGCATTGATCATACATTCTGTTGCTGTCTTGGCACTGTCTTCTTTCAACATTCTTAATTCTTGCTGCAATTTCTCCACATATTTGTCACTATTTTCCAAAGCTTTCTTTAACTGTTGATTTTCTTTTTCGTATTGCTCCACTTTTGCTCTTAAACCAGTAATTGTAAATTTCTCATACCTATAATTAGTAGAAAGGTACCAAAAAGACAGTGATGGTATAATTAATACACACACTCTACAAATACGTACCACTGGCAGAAGCCGCTATCGTCCTCCTGTAAGAGAACCTCTATACCTTCCTACTTTTTTATCATTACGTTTGACTGCACATCATGCCTACCTCTTGGGTGATTTTGTAAACATGGAATCTTCTTTGAGTTTAGTCACTTCATTTTTTAGATCGTCGTTTTCTCGCATTAGTTGCTCTTTTTCCTGAGTAAAAACATTATCAAATTTACTGCTTGCCCACGCGTGATTATTCACTGACATTATGCAAAAATATTTTGTTATTCGACTTTCATCTAATGTATTTTCCTGTGTACATGTGTTGTTTTAAAGTTATGTAAAACATCCTCACAAAAAACCTACAAGGTCGACGAAGCACAAACTATCGCATATTGTACCTGTTGTAGTTTAGTCATATCTCTACGAACATCGTCGTAGGTTGTACTAATCTCCTGAAGTTTTTTCGTTAAGCTGGACAGAGCTTCGATATTATTAGAAAACAGGGGAGATTTTTCTCTTGCTGTTGATGATGTCGTTTGCTCCTTCTCCTTTAATTCTTCTTTTAGTTTGTTGTTTTCTTGGGTCATAACATTCAACTGACGACTTAGGTTTTCAACCTCGGACTGTGAATAGTATAGAAGATAATATTTCATAAAATTGCAGATTGAAATAATTTCCTTCAAAATTTCCTTCTTCTGTCCTTCATATCGTTTCAGTTAAACTTGGAAATGTTTTAGAGTTTAACACATTGTATTTGTCTTTTTTTTAGCTTCTATCAAATTGTTTTAAGTGCTTTTTCAGAAATTTCAAATAATAAAAACTGCTGTAGTGATTGACAAACCTCATATTCTTTTCCGACTAACTCCAATCTGGTTTTTCGCAGTTGCATTCTCGTTTGAAAGTTCAAAGTTTCATTACTCTCATTACTTCCTGAATTTGACAGAGAAACAATGAGAAATTACTTTTAAAAAACCTGTGGTTGAATTCAGAATTTCATTTATAGCACAGGTAAAAATATCAATAATTCCAATACATTATTCTTCATATGACTGATTGTTCCTTTTTTAAACTGGGTATCATAATATTTTTAGACTCAATTCATTATCTATTGTTACCTGGACCCACCTATTACTTTCCTATATGGTTGATCTTCAGTGATATCTACTCTACATGTAGGGCAGCAGCGATTAGTTTGTAGCCATACATCAAGACACACAGTACAAAATGCATGATTGTTTGAGCAAATGACTGGATCTTTCACCTTTTGTGACATATAAGTTTAATCAGTGAATTTACATTCCAAGTATAGACTAGCTGATGTAGCAGCTATCATATTTTGCAACCATCACAATAGAATTTTATCAACCCAATTAAGTATGATCAAGTCCAGTAGGTTCATATTAATTAGAAATGACAACCACTTAACATACGGCATTTGATTTGGTCATGAAACATTGGTTTCTGAAGAACAGTAATCTTATTAATATATAGCAATGCCCACAGTGAGCCAATTCAAGCATTGAGTTGTGAAATTGACTACACTCCTTATACACTCTCTGACTCTTTGGGTGGCAAAAATATGAGGATACTATTATGAACTCTCCAATGAAACTGTGGGATTGCAATACTCTGTCAGTAGATTGGAAAACCCAATCTAAAGAAGTCAAGGCTGGCAAAAGGGGGACTAGGCAATGCCTTTGTTGATTGCAAGGTACAAGGGCGGGGGGGTGATCACCGATTTATCTGTGGTTGGCTCTCACCAGCCTTGGAAGTAGTGCCAACAGTGGTATAGTGAGTGATTTGTAGTGAGGTCCAAAAAATTTTAAAACCTACAAAATATGCTTCAGAATTCTGAAGATTACAATTTGACAAAAAAATAAGTGTATCCCCCGACACTTCAACCTAAATTTAGCCATTTTGTAAAATTTCTGCCCTCCATCCCTCCCTCTGCCCCTCACATTAGGGAGTGCAATGTATAGGGTATAATAGGTTTAAATTAATTTTGTTCTTGAGTAAATGCATTGTTTCTTTGTAAGAAAGGTTTATATATTGCAAACATATCAGGCACTTGGCACAGATATCAGCCGTACAATTACAGTCATTTCATGCATCTATTTCGTCAATAGACATACTCACTCAATAAGACTAGAAATCAGAGGTCTGCCACCAGACCACGTCACATTAAAAAATTACGAAGTTTCGGGTTAAGAAGCTGTAAGATCGACTATAAATTATGAGATTTAGAATTTTTCATTTTTCTTAATGTTGTTAACTGATGCCTGTTATGGCAATATAGATGCCAAGTACAACAAAACATGAATTCGTTTTCCAAGATAATATTCGTAGGTAATTGGATACAATATACGTATGTGAGGGTTGGATCGAAAGAAATCTCAAAGAACTTACTTTTCCAAGACAAATTTGACATGATATTGGCAATGTTAGCGATAAGGTAGTCATAACACCACAAAATAGTTGATTACATAAATAGTTTTCTAACAAAACACGGTTTAATAACACCATTCAATTTATTTCACGACCTTTCTTATACTGTCGTTAACCCCTTCCCAACATTCCATGCCCTTGCCCTTGCTATGACCTTTGACATCAAAACTCAAAAGAACTGATTTTCAGAGGACGGCAAAACTCACCGCATTTACTGTTGGCCTCAACAGCAACATAAACAGAAAGCGTGGTTAAATAAACTCTCCATTTGTTAATTTATATTCGAATTCACCCGCGCAAAAAAATAATAGACGGCGCGCGGTCAAACTTTGAAGAATGTAAACCATTTGGCCTCTCTTCCAACCATATGTTGATAATAATAGTAAACCTATTGTTGAAAGACAATGGCAATCCTTATATGGAGGTAATTCGGTAGAATCTTATATCTTAAACATGATGAAACGACGTCGACGGTAAACCATTGGCACTGAACGACCAAAAACAACTCTTCCTCGAGCAGTTCGACCTTTTCATCTTTACGATTTCCTGGACCAGAGTTCTGGCCATACCTGGCGATTGGCGAAGCCCGTTTAGACTAAAAGGTTGGCTAAAAGGTTTTGATTAAGCCTAGCGCATACTGGTGCACTTAAGCACGCACACAAGTCACTCGTGGCAGTTTAGACCAGGTTTTGACCTACCCCTACACGCGTAAAAATCATCATGTTGATGTAGATTGTTTAAAACAGGAATGAACAATGTTGTGTTGCACCCCGGGTGCTGGAAACAGTATTGTTAACAATGTTGTTGAACCGTGTTGAATCATCAACGTTGTTGCAACTTGTTACAACAACATTGCATCGTGATTGCAACAACATCGGATGATTCAACAAGGTTCAACAACATTGTAATTGTTAACAATACTGTTCCCAGGGTGCAGCACAACATTGTTCACTCCTGATGCAACAAGCTGATCAATTTATGGCCGTGTTTTACACTTATTCCTAATCTCAATGATTTTGCACGCGATTCAACTACGGCTTTGCCAAGTGTGCATTGTGTCATCGATCGATCAATGACACTGGTTTAACGATGCTTGAAAGTTTGCGTAACAAAATCCTTTTTACGTCAGTCTGTACTCATATACTTATTTGCAGCACTTATTCTATGACGGACGTTTGGTATGACGTTTCACGTTTGGTTTGTTGTTGTTTATTAGGAACAGCCCGATACAGAAAGCCCTACACGTAAACTATATCGTTAAAAGGGTAAGCGTTATTCAATAGATTGCGACATAAAAGATCTTGTGACAACACTTTCAAGACAAAATATGATAACGACAAAAAATAAAGTAACCGTTGATCAATAAAGCCTGGATGGCTGTCGGTGACTTTTGGAGAATAAGGTGAAAAGGCATAACGCGATGCGGCAACGCGACGCGAATTTGGAATCTATGGACGCAACAGCAGTCAAAATGTAGTACCGTTAACAGGCAAGTGAAGCCAACTGGGCCAAATTTTCGAAATTTTGGCCAAAACCTTACGAACGGTACTTACACGTGCAGCCATAATTGGGTAATGACTAATGACGTAGAACACTGCTTATGGTAATGATTATGGTAAATTATAATAAATCTTTTGTACGTCAGTCAGTGGTCAGTCCATTCACAACACCATATAGCTTTGCATGATTTCAGAGCTCACGTTGTAAACTAAACGGTACTTACACATGCATGCAGCCGTGCATAATCCAATGAATCTTCTCTGCGTCAGTCCATTCACAACACTATATTTTATATAAACATAAAATCTGGGCAGAAATTTGGGAACACGTACACGTTGCACGAATTGTTTCATGTTAATGACGAACAAACATTAGTTGATCAGTTGATGCTACCATCAGATGAGTAACCAAAACACAACGTTTTTAAATATTTCAATGCCTTGTTATTTAATTCACTATCATCAAATCATCATCATTTTTTTTCTAATTTTGGGTCAACATCGATCGAAAGCAGTATTTATACATGGGAGGATTGATAATATTATATAAAACATATATAATAAGTATATTCTTTGCTACGTGCATGCTGTGTTTAAATAAAGTTAAAAAAATACTTCAGTAATGCCAGGACAATATGTTTCTATATTTTGCATTTCAACTATTCTTCAATACTTTGGTAGTTTGAAAGATGGTGTGAAGACACAATGCAACTAAATAGTAAACACATTTATTTTGGATGACGTAAGCTATTGTTAAGGTGGAAGAAGATGATACGTGATCGATGTTAATCATGTTTTCAGTCCTCTGAGTAGATATTGTCCGCATGTGGTTAGTTTATGCCTATTATGAGTACTATTTAAGCACGAAGGAAATTGATAGAGTTTAATTGGGCCTGGCGGAGATTGTTGCTGACAGTGGTGGGCTTTGATCGAGTGCTACAGAATAAGACGAGTTGGTTAATAATGGTTCTATATTTCATTTCATCGATAATCGGCGTAATTCTTTGCGGATCTTTTTCCTGCATAATAGGCTTTATAGCATACTTGCACCATTTGCACAAAATCAACGATCATTTACCAAGTCCACCTCGCTCAAGTTTCATATTTGGTCATCTTCCAGAAATTCGAAAATACGTCTCCACCAGAAGAACTTTAAACGAATATTTGTTGGAAAAACGCTTAGAACATGGGCCAATATTTGTGATATTTTTCCTCCACAAACCTATCGTATTCCTGGGTGACTCGGACTATCTGAGATATGTTTTTATAAATAATCACGAGAACTTGCATAAGGATGAATTTATCTATCGTAAAATGGGTTTTATCTTCGGCGAAAGAGGAGGTGGTTATGGATTGATAACTAACACAGAGGAATCATCACATCACAGACGACGGCAAATTATGAACCCAGCTTTTCATCGTAAATGCCTCAAAGATTTCATGAGTAAGTTTAATTATGTTTGCGATAGATTCTTAGTTCGTATGGACACAATCGTTCATGACCGTCAACCAACTAGCATGGTTAAGGAATTTGCAAATGTCACTTTGGAAGTAGCGAGTCAAGCATTTTTCAATATTGAGACACACGCCATAGAGATTCCCAATTCCCCGTTTCCAGCCGCAATGCAAAACTATCTGAGAGGAATTCAGCACAATTTTGACATACCATTGCACCCCGTCTTCCTGACAATATTCCAGTTCAAGATATTTCAGAATGCCACTAAAAGACTTCAAATTGATGCCGTCCGCTTCCTCAGAAAATTTGCATTTAATGTCATCACAACTCGAATGAAAGATATTCGGCAAGATAAAGTGGTCCCGGAAGACTTGTTAAGTCTTTTGATTAACGATGGTAGTCTGTCCATGGATGATATCATTGACGAATTTATAACTATTTTTATTGCGGGACAAGATACAACCGCAAATGCTTTATCATTTGCCTTATATGGAATCATAACTAACCCCCATGTCGAAGATAAACTTTTAAATGAACTAGATCAAGTATTGGGGGATCGTGACCATGTTGAGTTTGCTGATTTAGTTAAATTGAAATATCTTGATAGCGTTTTTGAGGAAAGTTTGAGAAAGTATCCTGTGGTTCAAGCGCCTTCAAGAATATTGACAAAAGATATCACCGTTGGAGGCTATCATATTCCTAAAGGAAACGGAATTAATAGCCTGCAGATTCTTTTTTGTATGAACCCAGAAATTTGGAAAAATCCTGAAGTGTTTGACCCAGAAAGATTTTCAAATGCTAAAAACATGCGCAACTTTGGCATGACTCATTTCCCCTTTTCAATTGGCCCTCGTAATTGCATCGGATATAATTTTGCGAGGATTGAATCAAAAGTTATTCTCGCAAGGCTACTTCGGAAATTCAAGTTTAAACTTATGCCAGGCCAGAGCGATAAAATGAGAGCAAGAGTCATTTGTTCTTCTCGAGATGGTGTGATTTGTCATGTCACCGAACGTTAGTTATCACAGCCGCGGCAATAAAAGAGTTCCGAAAATTTTACTGACAATTCTTATTAGGCAATAAGCCTTTTTGAACCGATAGAGCAGCCTATAGAAGATCTGAAGCGAACACAGCAAGGAGCCAAAACGAAAACTGTTAAGTCAAGAAAGGATACCATTGATGCAACACTATCCCCATGCAGATGTACTGTTCTTGATAAAGCAATCAAGAGATAAAGGAGCGAGTTCCTGGTTAAACACGATACCATCAAAGATCAAGGTTTAGCCCTTAATAAGCATGAATTCAGAGACTCGTTACGAATGAGATACAGTCTAACTCTGAATGACTTACCAAGCCATACTGTGCATGTGGAGATGCTTTAACATCAATCATGCCTTTTCTTGTAAAAAAGGGGGGGGGGGAGTCGTGGCGCACAGGCATGATGGAGTCCTAACAACACAACTTGGTAAAGTGTGTAAGAAGGTAGAGACAGAGCCTCATCTTCAACCCGTTCAGAACGAGAGGTTTGACCTGAGATCGGCTAACATAAGTCCCGAAGCGAGATTGGACATGAAGGCGGATGGTTTTTAGCTACGTGGAGCTACTGCATTTTTCGACGTAAGAGTGACGCTTGTAAACTCCAAATGTAACCAAGGCCGGCCAACCCAGATCAAATTCAACACTAGCCGTCAAAAGGAAGGACTCGTAGTTTATTTGCAGTATTCAATAGTTACTTAGAGTATCTACAAGCTAATTTACTTATTGATGCCACCATGCAAACATACAAGAATATTATTGCATTCAAGTAGTTAGAGTGAAAATGGCTGATGATGTATACATGAAACTTAACTTGCCAAACAACTGGAGTTGAGTAATTTTATTGAAAAGCATTAGTATCGTCATAGCCATCCCAGGAATACAATTCAAACAATTGATTATGCATTACGTCATAGCAATGCGAACGTGGAATATAGCTAAAAAATACAAATCGTATTCGTGGGATGCCTATGATAGGTATCATCGCCCTAAATGATTAAATTTCATACTTTTAACCGAAAACTTTATCACTTTATATCTTATGCGGGAGTTTGTCGAAAGGAAGAACATCACCCTAACTCAATTGATGTGAAATACTGAGACGCAACTGTGTTAGTAGACAAGTCCACAGTTACTTTGGAAATGCTATTCAAACTAATAATAATCATCCAATTCAAATTAAATTAATTTACAGTAGTAATCACCCAATTCATAATAAATGAACTTACAGTAGTTGTACAATTACGTGTCAGTATTATGTGGTATGTCACAAAATGTTCTAAAAAATATGGTCTTTGAACGAGGGTTTTGATGTACAAAATGGAATTTAAGTAAAGACAAATAGTAAGAAGAAAAAAACGCGGCGCCAGCCTATTTCCTAAAACATTTTCGTCGAAAGTAGCATAACAGCCGTAAGCAAAGCGAGTTACAGCAGGCTGTAATGTGATTCATTGTCTTAAACATTAAATAAATTTTCAATATTCCGATCTATTTGACTTTCGTGTTCTACTTTTACATCGGGAAGATGTGTGGTATCAACCACAGTTTCTTTAGGCGTGCTTGTCGTGTCTTGCAACTCGCACTCTGGAAAATCTCCCAAATTTTCATTACAGGCACTAGGGTTTTCATTGTTCGGTGTTTCTCTTTTCTGTGCAAATGAACTGCCTGAAGAGAGAGACTTTTTATGTCCTGCAGCAAGAAATTTATGTTGATTTGTTTGTGGTTTAATTGGTAACAACGTTTTCAAGGCCGTTCCATTGACATCGCTCTGGGGCACAATATAGTCATCGCTAGACACACTTTCTTCTTGTTGAGGATCCAATTGTTCTGTGTTACTCTCAGGTGTACCTTTTTGGTCCTGCCTAACCTCTTGTTCTGGTGGTGGTGATACGGGGGGTGTGATCACACTTATTGGCCGGGAATGGTAGGGGGAACTGGAAAGAGGAGAAAAAAAGAGAAACTTAGAATTAGTTTACCTATAAGTCGAAGCTTTACGTTTCTTATGGTAAATAGCTTTAACCAGTTCGCAAAAAAAAAGTAAGCTTTAAATAAAGTGGAGCAAGGATAGGAGATCATTATACTGACTGAAGCCGACTGATTAGCCAAATAATATTTTTTATTCACAGCCTGCAAGAGTAATATCAAACGAACTGTAACCAAATCAAACATATAATTACCTTCCACCGAATTTCGTATCAAACAGACTTTTTACATTTGGTAAAGTCAGCCTTAGATCGGACGTAGTTAGCCCAAGACACAGCCGAATCTAAATTTGAAAAAATTGTCATTTCCCAGCCTATAGCTCGTACTCAGGCGCTTTATTGGAGAACAAAGAGCTGAATATAAAAACACTACAAAAAACGAGTCGTAGGCAAAACCAATTCGAATATTTCTGTTGTATAACAATTTCTACAACAATGCAACTTAGATTCAAAATTAAAAGGTTTAAAATGGCGACGCAGGATCATATACCTGTGCAATATTCTTGTTCAACAAGAAAACTCCAAATTCAAATTGAATTTTTTCTTTGCCTTTCACATACAACGGGAACCTAAAATGTTTGACAAAATTTGAAATGATAGCAACTTATATTGCTATAGCCGAATTGCTATATGCTCATACACAAAAAGGTCAAAAAGAAAATGTTCGATCAGGCTTCTGAAATACAAAATGCAGCTACATGAACTGGACAAACATATCTTACTCAGTAACATCTGTAATATTACTTACTCTCTGTCTTTTTGCTGTATCCTATCGTTTACAAAATCAGTGACGGTCGATCGAGATCCCTTATTTTTGGCAGGATATCGCAACGGTATTGAAAAATATCGTCCAATCATGGACACCATGTGACAAACATAACCAAACGCACTACTTAACGATTCCTCGTTCGCAGCTGTAATGGAAGATGTTTTTTAAATATGAAATAGCCTGCGATCGAAGCTTGTCACCAACAACAGCTGAAGGTTAGCCAAATTAAATATTACCTATGTGGACTATCACAAAAACATTCTGAGTCTTATTTTAATTCAGGAATTAAAGTCGGTCATATCATGAAATACTAAACCACGTACCATTAAATGCCGGGGATTGAGTATTCGGCAGAGGTAGACCGCACACAACAGTTTCTTTATTTTGTGACTATATCGTGTAAAATAACGTGACTTAACTTTTAAAATTGGTGTCAGTTGGTCACTTGTGGGAACAATCTGCGTCCAAATGAATACGTTTTTTAGTTTTATCTTACGAACTGGCAATTTTTAAATCATGCTTGTGATTCCAAGAAAGCTAACTTTCCATAGAAAATTCTGAGAAAATACCATGCAAATCTCGCTAAAAAATTTACACTGAATTAACTTCAAAAATGTCATCTTTGTTATCATTACCAATTCAATGGGATAAATGTAAGTGAGCTCGTGACATAGTTGTTTACGGCGCATGAGTAACTGCGCATTTGTTTTCACCAAGTTCTCTCTACATTAAATACAAACAACGAATAATCTTTACTATTTGAGCTCTCCGTTGATTTTTTCACTATCTACGAAACGAACGAGGGGGGGAGTTTGAGGAGTGTATTTGAGACTTGCAGGGAAATGCAACTTTCATGAAATATTTTCCATGAACACAAATATCACCGATGGAGAATGTTCACAATAGGATAGCGAAGGGGTACGTTAATTATAAAAAAGTAAAACTACATAATCTTGTACTTCATCACATTTACCTTTTGGCAAAATAAGTCTTCCTCGCCTGTGCGAAGCTCTTTCTCACCGACTCAAAACCATCCATTCGTTTCCCTAGTTTATCCTCTACGAAAAAATTCAAATGTTTAGGTTTCATCAGCATTTGAATTATTCTAATTCAATATTTTGTCATCTTGGAAAAAGTTGGCATTTTGGTGCAGCCTCGGAGTATAATAATATGCCGTGAAATAAATCTTGCTATAAAAAAGCATTCATAATTATTGATAAAAAATAATAGATTTCAGTATTACTGCTAGTTCTAAGCCTTTTTTTAGGGTCAGAATAGCTAGGGAAACCCAAAATTTGACATCAATTATAATTCTATATAATGGCGGTAATTATCTACCACAACAACGGAAAACTATCCCCTATATTTACCTCTGCATCTGACATGATCAGTAAGATCATTTTCCTTTGTTTGTTCTGATGAAGAACGTGAAAGTAAACTCAGGAAAATTTTATGGTAGGTAAGAAAAAAGCAACAAAAACCGAGTTACACAAAAGTTTAGGGAGGGGGGGGGGGGCGGTGTTCACTTTAGCCCAGACAATTGCATTTTCCAAGTGGAATTGTTTCAACTGCCATGACTTGGTTTATCCATGAGTAAGAGGTACAGAGATACAGCCATAACGAAGTTTTTATCTCTAACGAGAGTACACTTAAAGACGCTATTAATGACAATACCAATCAACAACATCTTCTTGTTTTCACGAAGCTCCTCTCGCAGCATATTCACACTCAACTTTAGCCTGTCACGTTCACACGTCTGTAATGAAGAACAAAATAATCAAACTGAGAAAGAAGAACAGAATATATAGTGGCGGCAGTGTATAAATAAAGTATGTTATTTACAAGCTTGGAGGTCAGAAGTGAAGTGAAGGTATAGTGGAAGTGTCCCTGTAGGTATCCCCTACCCTCTCGAAAAAGCAATAATCACACACCGTAGGGGAATTACCCTATGAGTTGCAGCCTTAATATGGTTGCTACAGCCACTCAGATTGCAGAAAAAGGGGGATGCAGGATTCCACCCGCTGCTGATTTGTAAAAAATAAAGTGGCTTATGCAAAATAACGAATTATTTCTAGTCATCAACATGAACTATAGAGAACGTACATGAAGTAGCTGTTGTCTCGTAGCACGTAGATTTTCTTGCACAGTCATTTTCTTTAATCTTATTTGTATTTGAGTTTGACGAATAGCACGAACTAACGTATGCAATCTAAGATAAAAGAAGAACGCAATATAATAAATACAAAAAATAAAACGAGTCAGGCAATGCGAATGTTTAAGAAGCAATGAATGGTAGCAAAAATTGCTTTTTGGTTTAAAAGATTTGGCAATTCATTTGTGTCTCTTAATCTCATGATTGCATTGCAATACCTACAAAAGTTGCGCTCTGATAGGGATCCAGTATAACAAACCTTACCTGTGAAGTGAAGAAAGATTAAAGGGAGATTTGACCTAAAATACAAGAAGTGTATATTTCATTGTGTTGTTGGATGAAAATTTAACTACACTTTATATTCTTTGAAATTGTAAAAACCCACCAGTTCTTGGTCAACTTTCAGCAAACTATTTGAAAGATTTCCCTTGCCATCACTTTCTCCACCCTGAAACATTTTGAGACACAATTTCACATCACAACACTGCATGTCGTGCATTGAACATACATTTATAATTACGTATTTAGCCATGGAAACAGTTGGAACAGAAATAACTAAAGAATAACTTGCAACAATTTAGATGAGCTGAGATGTAGCAACTTGTCCAGACCTACATTGATCATCTTCAATTTTATGCCTGAAGCTATGCCAGTTCATATGCATTATAATGGCTGGACAGTAAGAAATACCAGCTTTGATATTAAAACATACCTCTTTGGGTGCAACATAGTATCCATCTTGGAGGCCAAAAATTAACGAATTTGGTTCATAACTATCTCCATCTTGGCGGATCTATCAAAAAATTACAAAATTACAAAAAATAATTTTATTAATTAATGCTTTTTCAAGAAAGTGTTGGATTAGTTTGAAGACTAGTTTTATTATCCAAAAAATTCATCATACCATATGGCATCATTCTATTTAAATTGGATTTCAAATACATGCAGTTGGTACACTGTAATGGGGGGGGGGACATACTAAATCTTACAAAACTATCTCTGCTTATCAACTCTGTTTAATGTATTTCATAAATTAAATTTATTTCATCTATTTCTTTCCTATAATAATGCATTTCTCAATAAGTGACACCTTATTTCCTTTCCTTTCTCATAGCGTGAACCAAAAAGACAAAAACTGATTTAAAAATGTACTTACTATATCGTCTAGATATGTCAAACCATTCAAATCAACACTCCATTCTATTAACAGCTGAAAGTTTCCATTTTCTCCACCCCATACTCTAACAATAAAAGCTGTTGAACATTAAGAAATCAAGCAAATTGTAAACTGTTTGTGATTCAAATTACACCCTTTTATTGAAACTGCCATTTTCCCTTATACATTAATAATTCCTGAAATGGCTTTCATTGAAAAACTAAAGAAGACATGCATGACCAGAGAGAACCACCACAAAACTGAGCATGTAAAAACATATATCTAAAGGATACAATTACTTGATGTATTCAAATCCTCTGATAGCTGACTTATATCAAAACTTTGCCATGTTGGGTTCTATTGAAGTAAGGAAAGATTGTTGATGTAAAATTTCAGTATCAAATGAGCAAAAAAAATGTTATGACAATATATTGCATAAAAGACTTGACAGTTGACATAAAGTAATTACAAGATAGCCTAGGACGCTTCAATTTTCTTATACTTACAAAGGATGCTTTTATTTCACTTGTGTAAAATGCTAAAAAATATACATATATAGTAATACTGTATGTGAAAAATAAAACAGAGAAAATATATGCAAAAGTATAGTCTGTATACAAACAAACAGTCTGTTTACAACATCTGCTGTTGAACCTGATATAACACATTAATGTGACACTATACCTTTATGATTAAGATGTAATGTAAAATATGTTCCTAACTGATTGAGGTTTGAAAAACCCTTTCTAGGTGTTACATTTCTTGCCGATATGCTAGTCACATGACGTAAACGTCTCTAAAGAAATTTGAAAACATTCTCGTTCATATAATCTACAATGCACTGAAAATTGGATGTTCAATATGCACCTATCTAAAAGCATTTAAATTGTAAAAGATGGGATAAGGAGAGACCCTAATTCAATGAAATTTTGTCTTCAACCTTTCATTCGTCCACATTATAATTCACAATAATTTAGAAGGAACTTGATAATCATCAAGTTTTAAAACATCTGTCCTGACTTCAACTGTGCTTTAACCCTCATTCCTCAAATGTTGACATTCTATATATCTAACTCCTAATGCATCTTGAACTCAAATAAAAGGTTTTGATTGACTTGCCAATTACATTTTTTCACTCTTTTAACTCCTTTCCCATCTATCTTTATATTTCTTTTTTTGTTAGAGGATTCAACTTAAAATTTTCCACGTCTACCATTTACTATAATTTAGCTGTGGCATTGAAAGCAGCAATAAAATCAATATATTTCTTTTTCATATAAAATATATTTTCCACGATATTGTTACAGTTAAGGGGATTGTCGGGCTTCATGCCTATCAAACTTTTTTTATGGACGGTTGAAATATATAACAGTACTAAAATAAAACTACATAGAAGACATTTATTGTATTAAACTCACCTGTTGAGATGATAATTCTACATGTTTTCGACGGTGCAGATTGTCTCTTGCATTCATCACAGACCTGATCAAAACTTAAGATACGAATTCAGGTAGGCATCTAAAGAGCGTTTTCCATATTACATAAGAGGGTCAAAGACCACTAAACTCGGGTACTTCTTTCAGTGAAATGATCATGAACGAAATTAAAAGCATTTCTCTGATGAGTCTGATCCGAAACCAAATGTAATTCTATCTGCGCCCGCGAGCACGGAATATTGAAATTGTGAAATCACTGATATCTTCTGATATATAAATTTGAAACTTGATACCTCAGCCGATGCCAAACCCACAGAGCCACCGTGAACGAAAAGCACAAAAATTGACAAAAAAATTGTATTTGGTGTCATTTACTTGAACAAATTCCTATTTTCTGACATATCAAAGTTTAAAATTTATTTAGTTTGTTTTCAGAAGACAATTTTGATTGTATCACAGTTGCATGAACTTGAATGGGCAGTATTCATGTCATCCTACTGATCCAGACGTCAAGGTTTACAGAGGCCAAACTATTTACAATTCATCCTTTTCGGGGGCTTCTACACAAAAAATAAAAATATTTTTAAAAAAATCTTGTTTCAGTGTGGTAATTTTATGAAACAATTTTCATTATGGTCAGGAGGATAATCATGAATAATGTTTTACAAAACACACCATTATTTCTTTCATCTCTTGGTGATTGTGATCTATTTGTTGCAACACGTTCTTGCAGTCGTTTTATTTCGTTGTCATAATCTGGCCACTCTTTAACGATACGTACGGCACTAACTAACTTTGGTTCTTTCGTCAAGGGATTGTTACACTAGAAAAATTATGACAGAGTAATTACTTTTTTGGATTTCGGATCTCAGTCTATATACTGGGGGTAGGGGAAAAGCTGAGATAATAGTCCACAATGTCCCATCTATCCGTCTAGGAGCGGGCCCAGCCTAGTTTCTAGGTCTCTCATATGGAAGAAGACGACGAGTATTCGCCATGTCCCTATTTTGAAAATTAACTTACCAAATCAATAGTTTTCGCTGCGGGTTTTGAAGCATCATCACACCAAGTTTCACACCACAACCATTCCTGTGGTAGGGATTTCATGGGAACTTGATGGATCATATTGTTTGGAAGATCCTGACGAGAGTAAAGATGTTGAAAAATAAATACATCATCGTCCATCGAGAAACAAAGAATTTTGTGTGAGGTTACATCTTCGCAACAAGAATATAGTTTACAGTGTTATCTATTTTAAAAAAGCATTTTTCATACCTGGTCAAGATTTGACAAGCTGTTTGGATCCTGGCTTAATCCCTATATAATTAAGAGAAAAAGTAATCTTTAATTAATATTTTATATATAAATAGCCTTCTCATTTTTGCTATGCTAATAAGATAAAAGAAAAATATGCTATATGCTCTGTAATCAACCTCTCATTTCCCCACGGTTTTCACCCTATGTAGCCCAGTACTTGTGTCTATTTTCATTTTGCGGTCTGTGGCGCACTATTTGTAGGATATTTTTATCAACAAGCTCTCAGATATTACCTGATACTGTCCACGAAGACGATCGCCAGCCGCTAACTTTCTAAATCGTTTAAGATCAATGACGTAAAGAGCACTGAAAGAGAGAACAACAATATTAGAGTATTCTATTTTTTCTGTATCTTGAATAATCACGAGCCTGGTCTAGCCACATTTTGCCCAACAACTACTTGGTTGCACAAAGGCACTGTTCTCAACATTTTTCTTTAACAACTCTGGGTACTCTGTTTAAAATCGTGAGTGATGAATTTTATATACCTGATATGATAAGGTCTGTGTCCTAAGTGGTTTCTCCAATAGCCTTGTTTCCAGAATCTAAAGGGGATGAAAAATGACCAAAGTTTGGTAGTTGAAGGTTCTAAATTGACAACTAAAAATCTGCTTCGATATACGATTCAATTACTCTGTCAATTTACACTCTTTCAGCAATGTTTTCGTATTATAAAACTAATCCTATCTAATCCCCTAACCATGTAACCACGATAACCCATGTTCCCACCCTAAGCACCCAACCATGATTCATGACAACATGAAGTAAGGCATGGCTCCCGTACCTGAAGCCATCCATTTCTGTTCTGCTATTACAAAACGGTGTATAGGCGTAAGCAGCTCGTTCCAAGTCCAAATCCATAAGTTCTTTAAGATCTGCACGAACAATCTGACAAAGTAAATAAAACAATATAACACTTCTTTAAAATTAACGTTTGGTTGCTTTTGAAAAGATATTGGACAGGACTAACAAATGTTATTTCAACCAATTTCAGAATTTCAGTTTTGTTAAAGAGAAGAAAGGTCTTTGCTGAGAAAATACGGAAAAATTTCAATATTTTTTTCTTTGAAATACTACTGAGTACTGTAAAGAGTACTTACCAAATCTGCATCTACAAAAATAATCTTCTTCAGACTTAGTGGAAAGAGGACGTCGAGAAACAGGATTTTGTAGCTATAAATTAAAATGGAAAAATGACAAATTTAAGGATTTTATATTCTATCTTATAAATAAATGAATGTGGAGTATATGATGCAAAAGACAACTTTTATAACTTGGAAATAAGAAGAAAAATTGACCATTATTATCAAAGAACTGATTATTGACGGAAAATTAATGACGTACCCCCAAATAATCCTTTGTTTTTCAGTTTGATGATGCAGCCATCCAGGCCATTTATACTGAACAAATTCGTACTGAAATCCATATTCGTTTGCCATGTAAGGCACAAAAGACTGGAAACAAATTTAAATGAATTCAGCCAAGTTACGCACACGTGACCGGTATAGCTATATCATGTTCGCACCTGGAATGTTGGCGAAAGATAATTTTTTAAAAACCAAAATTTCACTGGACTTTTCGTATTTTTCATAACAGTCAGCATCATTATTCTAAAGACAGCAATGAAAGCACAATTACAACTCATTGTACAAAGTGTAGGAGTGAAATTAGGCTTTTAAATATACCGTCTGAAAAACCGAACTAAAATGAAATCGTTCTCAACATCTCGAGGTAGGTTCAGAAACGAGTTTTCGTATTAAAATACATAATTTGTGGGGTTTGTTCTCAAAAAATTTATTGATTTGCGCACAAAATTTGAATGCTCAAAAATGTTTCAAGTTAGTATGGATAAACTCCGTTAACATTAGTTTCCAACATGCAAGGAAAGATATCTTTCGAGCATTATTTAGGTGACAATGAAAAAGACTAAACTATAGTTGACTAGTTCTATACTTTATGCACCCACCTCAAAAATCTTTCATACAAATGACCAGAAGCAACAGAGAAGATATTGATAGTTTCATTGCTTGAAGCACTTGGCTTGCCACCACCGACGATGCTAGAAAAATATTAATAAATAAAACGTGCTTGTATCTGGTGGGATGTGGTAACAACTGTTGTATCTGATATGACTATCCGAAGGTAAGTAGACATTATAAGGGTGATAACTACAATGGCCAATACGGTTTATATTTTATCTATACCGCATAATTGATAGAAAAGGTGCAGCATCGTTGTGCAAGACTATTCAAATGTAGTAATTTCTGTCCCAATGCTTACTTAGAAATTGAATCCCATAGCCCACCATTCTCTTGTCCAACTTCATCAGCAAGCAAGTCAGCCTCTTCCTTACCAGATTTTCTCTTCACCTTAATTTAATAATAAATCATCTTGAAACTTGGATAGTCACAAATATATACATCAATATTTATGTGTAAACCATTATACTGTCATGTCAGGAAATATCTAATTTACCTTTGCTTTTAAAAATTCACCCAAGAAATTATCAACAACAACGATTTCATTACTTCCGTGTTTAGCAGTCGACGACCCAGATATACTACGACGAAAGGAAAAAGATATGATGAAATTTTACAATTGCTTAAAAGATGATTAATTCTAGGGAGATTAAGGCCGGATTTGACGGGCGCTGGCTCACAATTTCCCATCTCGCGGAAGAATTTTGCCCGGGGAATCAGACCTTAGGAGTAAAGAATGTCAACTGTTAAGATGGCTGTACACGACTGTAAATATTAAATAACATCTAGTAGTTTCTGTACAATTTCGAAAGATGGCGTTTATTGAGTTAAAGCGGACATCCAGGTGGTAAAATATCCACCAACATGGATGAATTAAAATAGGAGATATAGATACCTCTCGATGTCGAATATTTCTTTAGAACGTCCTTCTCTAAGTTGCAATATCCAAGACCCAGGCGAAGCTTTAAGTTGAAAATATCCCTGGAAATGAGATATAAACAGCTTCATTGCTTAATGACTGATTTTACATTGGTTAATTGATTAATAATTGCTTAACAATGACTTAATTATGGTTCTCTCTCTCGTTCCCTCGTTACAATCTAATCCAAGGCTGGCTGCATGTTTACCTATTACAAAATGCGCAATCTTGTATGGACAATTGCTTACCAAGTTCGCCATGACAATTGTATCAAACTGCTCGAGATTTGATTTAGTCCCAAGAGTAAACTGCAAACCTCGCGGTGGTTGACCAGTATTCATATCAGAACAATGACCTAAAATTGGAATAAAAAGATTCTTTATAATTTTGCGAAATTTGGCTTTCAAGCGAGTGGGAATTCGTCGAGAAGACAACATCGGAAAGATTTGAGAAAAAATCTGAAGCCTGGGAGGGAGGGCTGCCAAACAACATAGGAAAGACAAAAGATATCGACAGAATATACAACATGAAATCCATCACTATGCAAATATAAAGAAAACACACAGAAAAACACGAAAAACATGAAGAACGACATATAGGGTTTCTCCAGATCATCTATGTTTTATGTGGCTTGCAAAAGACTAATAATATTCTTGCGATCTTGCACGACAGTGTCGATGAAAAAGGTTATAACAAAATACCTTCAATCAAGATATATTCCAGTTCAAAATTACCAACAACTGATTGCTCTACCTGCAAGTTACAAGTACACAAAATATATGGAAAAGTTTTCAGTACGCAAACTACAGCCTAGGTTATGAGTATAATACTAGAGATGGCTGCAAATAACTTGTTTTGAATATACTTCATTCTTGGGGACAGGGAGAAACTTTGTAGAAATTTTGACAGATTTCATCGTTCTTGATGCTTGCCTGGGGCTGATCTCATCAAAATGGAGTAGTACGCCGTCGAATGGAGAATATTGCTATCAATAAAATATTTTCCTCACCTCTTTTAAGTAAATATTATCAAGATCATATGGAGATTTTACAGCTTCAACCATCCAGGCTTGGGGTATATCCAAGTTCATAGTTAATAAAGGTGTTTCGGGTATATCTCGAAACATTGCATGAGGACCACTGCTAAGACTACCGTCTTCATTGAACTGCAAGTTAGGTGCGAGTACGTAACGATAGAATCTAATGGAAGAGCAAAGAATGGAGAATAGAAAATTGAGTAAGAAATCCTGTAAGCTTTGTTTCATGGACAATTACTTACCTTTTCAGTGGCATTTCAGACAACTTTTCTCTGCAATTCATGTATATCTTCATATTTACTCTAGTGACATCACGTAATACCTAAATTTGGTTGATGAAAATATGAATAATTGACGAGATAAAAAACCAAGGTAAGGTAGAGTATTGCATGAAACGGTTGGGGTCGATATTGCATGGAATGGCAATTTTGGTTTTCATCACTAACGTTCCTAATATTTACTATAATTTACCGCAAACTATTAGAGACACATAATAAATTACATTTACAACATACCATTAACACCGGAATTAATTTTTGGGCACCATTAGATAGAGGATCCATAAGAGCAACAACATTAATTCCAGTTTCAGCGTTGGTAAAATGAAGCATACTACATAACACATTATCAGTAGCATTATAATAACAATAAGTGATAAGAAAACACTGTGAAATATGCGCATGCATGCAGTATTAGCACTGATAAGCTCTAAACGTACCTATGCTCTTCTTTAAATGAAACATCTTGTCTGTTTTTCTTAGATCTTAAGCCAAGGACAGAGGAAAGTTTCATGATAACATCACTTCGGTATTCACTAAAAATAAGAGTGAATAAAACGATAAGAAGTTGCATAAAAACCCATCATAAGAGTGATCAGATCTGTGCCAGGGGAGGCTGCATGGGATGAATAACGAGGGTATCAGTTCGGGACATTGAAGGAGGGAATCATTAGTCACCCATTTCTAGAAGTGGTGATTCTAGCTCCCTCTCAAGTGTATAAAGTTATCGTGGCTCCACTATTAGTCCATCCCATGGCATAAATGGTCGGATGAGCAATGTTGTTTTACTATGGATTGGATTAGTCATTAGTTTTAAAGATGAGTTTTACCTTGTATCATCGTTAGCATCTAAGCCTTCAAACTCCAAGCCATCAACCTAGAAAGTACATGGTTTCATTCATTCATAAAATGCAAAAAAATCAATGGTGGGACCTTATGCGGACAAAATAAATCAAATCAAGATAGATGGAGCCTGTGGAGAAATTTGGCAAAAGAATACAGGCGATTGCAAGACTTCGTGGTTCAAGGACCCAAAGAAGAATAAAGAAATGCAATTCCTGCATTCAGGTGCAATTGTCCTTGGCAAATTATATTTGCTGGTGTTATTATATTATATTTTACGACAATCCGCTTACCATCTTCACCAACGATGAAGGCATTGACCTGCAAGATAGGCTATAAACTAACGCGCATAAAGTATGCTTATTCCCTCAAAAGGCTAAAAACTATTTGTTATATTTTTCATTTTAGTTCTATTTTACAATCTCAACCGGCCTACTAATCGTAAACCTATAATCTACCCATAAATGATTATATTTATGTCATGCAAACAGTTAACCGCACCAAAAAAAAGAAAATTTAGACAAAATGCTGTGATGCAAGCACACAAAATCATTCGTCTAATCTGGTTTCTTAATCCAATTTCATCGTATGCTATCGTAACTTATAACGCTCACGAGAACTATATCATAACAACCGATACACGTTTCAGCATATATTGCCTAATTTAAAACTGTACAAACTTTGAGCTTAACAACATTCAACATTTAATCGTAAACCTATAATCTACCCATAAAGGATTATATTTATGTCATGCAAACAGTTAACCGCACCAAAAAGAAAATTTAGACAAAATGGTCGGCCAAGGACAAAAATAGATTATGACAGAAATTTATGAATGTCAATATCGGTGTAAAATTTGTACAGTTTTAAATTAGGTAATATATGCTGAAACATGTATCGGTTGTTATGATACAGTTCTCGTGAGCGTTATAAGTTACGATAGCGTACGATGAAATTGGATTAAGAAACCAGATTAGACGAATGATTTTGTGTGCTTGCATCACAGCATCAGTTGCATGCATTGTTTATTAACGCTGAAACAGTTAGTCACTCGCAGTTGGCGTTCAATATATGACAATATTAGCATATCAAACAAATAACTACCTATCAACATTCCACTGCACATTAGAAAAACCGTAAAAATTGAAAGACATTGAAAAGACATATTGTAATTGTATATATCGTAATTGTGGCTTGAATATTGTTGAGTTCAGTAGAAACAGATAGCCTTATATTCAGTTGCAACTATTTCAGCACGAGATCAGTATAGTAAGAAAGCTTTCTTGACTACATAATCATGTCGAGCAGTGTTGCAGGAAGTGCTGCCGTCACAATGCTTGATATACAACAAAACCGATCAAATATCAGTCTATCGAGCGGCAACCCTCATCGGTTCGCATCTGTCGCCAGTTTTGAAATAATACATCGCTCTACAATGCCTAACAATAATGATACTGAACCACATCTTGGACACGACAGTCAGAAAGTGGTCATTAATGTCAGAGGAACTATTTTTGAGACATACGAGACGACATTGTTAAAGTATCCTGATACACTGCTTGGTAGTTCAGATAAAAGAGCACCGTATTATAACACAAGAAAGAAACAATATTGTTTCAAATGTGACAGAGAAGCGTTTGATGCAATTCTTTATTACTACCAATCGTCAGGGAAACTTATTAGGCCAAAAGATGTGAACGAGGACATATTTTTAGCGGAGTTGGAATTTTTCCAAATTGACCCTTATAATGTGGCAGATCTTGAGTACGGTCCATCTAACTTTAGAATACCAAAGAAGAGGCAGGGAAACCAAGAAGAAGAAATCCTGGAGTCGGGTTATGGAAAAATTTCTACGTTTTATGATGCATTTTTATCTTGGCCATGCGGGCTCATTGTAATACTGTACATGTTAACATTATGTCTATCAAGTGCTGGTCAGTATCAGATGATGTTACCCCGGTCTTGTAGTGACGTATTCACAAACAACACAAGTTTACAATCCAAGAGGAAAACAACGCAGTTATTAGATGCAAACGATCATCCTCTTGTGGTCTTACACTATATCTGCAGTGTATGGTTTCTGCTTGAGTTTATTTTACGATTTCTAATATCCGAGTTGAAAGTGAAATACATAAGAAGCGTTTTGGGATTTATTGACATTATAACAATTCTGTCAATGTTCTCACAAATATTGCTACGCCAGTTTGATGCTTGCCAATTGAGATTCCTGATGTGGTTAATAAATGTCATGAGAACATTATCAATTCTCTGTATGTTTAAACTATCCAGATATTCAACAGGGTTACGATTATTCGGGCTGACGGTCAAAGCATGCTCAGGACAGCTTATCTTATCGTTTTATTGCGTTGGAATATGTTTACTATTTTTTTCCTCGGTTATTTACTACAGCGAAGAATCTGTCAATCTTGACTTCACAAGTATTCTCGATGCATTCTGGTATACTATAGTCACCTTGACAACTGTCGGGTATGGCGATATCACCCCAGTCTCCCTAATTGGTAAAACATTTGGTGCAATCTGCTCGGTATTTGGGGTTACCATAGTAATGGCATGGCCAGCCACTATATTTGTATCACATTTTAAAGAAATGTATAATCATGAGATGGGACAAAAAAGAAAGAAAGAAAGAAAGTTTTGGTCGAATAAAATATTCAAGTTTCGAAAAGGACTAATGAGATTGGACGCAACAGGATGTACATTCAGAAAATGATCTCTAGCGAAGGACGCCATAGTTTGTCTTTATAACATTCTGCTATTTGGGGTGGAGATTAAAAGCCAGCAATCATTAATTACAACTGCCGGTTATTAAAATTTAAAAGAAAGATTCTTGCCACTGCAAATTCTTGCCGTAGTATTAAAACAGCCTATATAATATATTATTTAGCTATATTGGCATAATCATAATGCGTATAGTAGACTGTATTCACTAATTTTAATTAAATTACTTTAAAAAGTTTGTTGGAATAAAAATTCACGGTAATCGAAACATTACAATAGTTTTAACGATTACGTCTCTTCTCCATGATTTATAGAGTCTTAGAATCGCGGGAGAAATGCACGAAGTCGCGCGTCAAGAATACACAGCTTCTGTTTTTAATGGAATTGTATTGATTTGCTCTGGAAAATTAATTCCCCGGGGTCAAAATTTTTGCTAAATTTTTTATGTCCCTGATATTATAAGAGGAATGAGTACTCTGATATAAATATGACATTTGATATGTCCCACCACTGCTGTTCAAAGGTGTCCCTTGATGCCTGGTGTCGCAAATTGACAAATTTTATCATCTCGCTTCTTGAGATATCTCCGACTTACTTCAGACGCGATAGTCCAAGAATTTGTGACATAATAACAACTTCAGCTTTACGTCAAGCGGACAAATGGCGACAAATTGGTTTATTTTCCTTTTCCTAAACATGATACAATTGGAAAGAGCAGAAAGCAGGCCAAATATTTTGTTTATTTTTGCTGATGACTACGGCTTCAACGACGTTGGCTACCATGGTTCTGAGATTAAAACACCAGTCTTGGATAAACTAGCAAATGAAGGTGTTATCCTTGAGAAATATTATGTTCAACCGATATGCACTCCGACAAGATCAACAATGCTTACGGGAAGATATCAAATTCATACAGGTTTACAACATGGTGTGATATTTCCAGCGCAACCAAATTGCGTACCACTTGACGAGACAACAATAGCAGAAAAATTACACGAGAGTGGTTACAAAACTCACATAGTTGGTAAATGGCATAATGGATATTATAAAAAGGAATGTATGCCAACTAACAGAGGATTTGACTCGCATTTTGGATATCTCAACGGAGCAGAGGATTATTATACACACAATGCAATGAATAGTTTTCCACATTCGTTACCGTACATGTTATGGCATGGTTATGATTTTCGTAGAAACGAATCTGTAAGCACGAAAGAGAAAGGACAGTATTCTACATTTCTGTTTGCAAAAGAAGCTCAAAAAATCATTACGAATTACGATGATCGTTCTCCATTGTTTTTATATTTAGCATTTCAAGCAGTACATTCGCCTTTGCAAGTTCCTGAACAATATATCAAGCAATACGAGGGAGTTATTAAAGATAAGAATCGACGTACTTATGCTGGTATGGTTTCAGCAATGGATGAGGCCATAGGAAACGTGACAAAAACACTCAAAGATAAAGGACTTTGGAATAACACTGTGTTGATATTTAGCACAGACAATGGTGGTCAGGTGTACGAGGGGGGTAACAACTGGCCATTAAGGGGTTGGAAAGGATCATTGTGGGAAGGAGGTGTACGTGGTGTCGGATTTGTAAACAGCCCTTTGATAGCGAAACCAAGAAGAGTTTCCCATGAACTGATCCATGTTTCTGATTGGTTCCCAACACTTGTGAAGTTAGCAGATGGTAATTTGAATGGCACAAAACCTCTAGATGGTTTTGACGTTTGGGATACAATAAACACAGGAGATCCATCTCCTAGAACTGAATTGCTGCACAACATAGATCCAGTAGAAACACCATGGCATGATTGGCCGAATAATGGTTATAAATGGTGTCCACAAGCTGCTTTACGTGTTGGGGACTGGAAACTGCTTACAGGTTGCCCAGGAGATTCACGTTGGATTCCGCCACCAAACTCAAGGATCAATTTTACCGAAAAGAATCATTTTGATACAAAAAAGTTGTTTTTGTTTAATATTGCTGAAGATCCTGAAGAACGACATGAAGTGTCTTCTCAATATCCGGAAAAAGTCAAGGAATTATTATTGAAATTGGAAATGTACAAGAAAACAGCAGTCCCTGTCAGATTCCCTGACCCAGATCTTGCTGCCAATCCTGCATTACATAATGGGACATGGTCACCTTGGGTGACCTCAGAGGATCCTGACATTACCGCATACTATTAAACATTGTAAGTTTCAAATAGTTACAGGTGCTATGAATATGACATACAATAATCCGGGTTAATTATAGATATGAACCTATACACCATAATATATAGACGGATGATGCGGTCAGTACACGATGTACCAAGTCGTGCGGCATAATCAATTGTAATTTTACTAAAATAAACTGGCGAATATAAAATAAGAGACATTATAATAAACATACCTGATTACGAATCTTTCTTGCGTACGTATCCATATCAAGAGTCTCCAGAAGTTCAAAATCATCGGAGATAAAAATATCTTTTTTTTGTAATGGCGCCAACACCTGAAACAAGAAGATAATCAGCATATTCACAGGAAATTTGAATTACAGCTATATATTTTGAGAGTATATAAGGAACTGAGTTTCAACATCTGATCACCCCTGATGAAGACACTAGACCCGAGTGTCGAAACGTTGGGTCGTAAGAGTTAAACTTTGTGTGGTGATTACTTTCATTTATTAAAACCAGAGTAGCGATAATTACGATATAGCTATATTCTTATGAACTGGATCATAATTTTACCCTTTTCGGAAAGTCGCCGGCATACAAAACTTTCACGCAGGCAAGGAAGTAGGTCATCTTATGCAGCAAATAACAATTATGTATTATAAATTTATAATTACAAACATTCCCAAAATATATGATATAAAATGTTGCGAATTAATCACCTGACGTCCGTTTTGTTGAAAAACGACAGTATACTGGCAGATTAAAGAATAGAGAGGTACACGCGCATTGAGAATGAAATACTATGTTTCAATTAGTAACCTTATCATTGCCCTTTTAATTTTCAATTACATGTCTTGAAATCGTAAACAATAAACCAAAAGAAACATTAAAATGCATGTGGCGACTCGAATATGTCTATGAATAGATATAAAATGAAGTATTACAGATAATTTGGTATACCTACCCTGCCATTAACAACAATCCCAATATCGCCTTTCTTTAAGTTTAATACTTTATCACAGAACAACTGGTGGATAGCTGCCTTTCTCTTGTACGAATCACGATTGCGTTCTAAATTTTCCTTCAGTTTCGCAATTTTAAAACCCTGAAAAATAATAATTAAAACTCGGTATGAAAATTGTTCCGGAATACGTCGCATGCTCATCTCGAAGTGATGCCATCTCGAAGAACTTGCAAGTTGTATATATTTGCATGCATGTGTATAGAATGAATACACACGTGGAACACGACATAAAGGTTAAAGAAACTCAAATAAAGAAAGGGGTATAATAAGCAGTTGAGTTGCGCTGTCGTTACGATCTACGGAAATTATAAGCCCCTGTTCTACAATTTGCTTCCTTTTTTCCCAAATTCTGCATGACATCTTCCCTGAAACCTCGTATACACCTCACTCCCTACCTTAACTGACGTAGCTAAGTCAATAATTGCATCAATACTGGAAGATAGTTCATCGTAATCGTGAGAATCATTTAGAATAGACTTCACCAAAGAGACTATGCCAGATGTTACATAGGAATCTGAGTTTAATATTGCTTCCATCAAAACTGGTAATGAATATTCAGGATCAACACCGTTGTATATAACACCAACTCTGTTGTTTTCGGATTTCACCTAATTTCATTGTAGAAATTACAAATTAGACGAATATAAACCATACTACATGCAGGGCAGCGCATGCATTGCGAACGAAAAGATCGAAAGTAGACAAACCGAAACACTCTGGGTACGAGCTGGGTTAATGCAAAGAGATTTGTAACATCTGGGAGAATAATTTTTTATGAAACAGTTATCGGAACCGTTTTCGGAACAATATGTAACTAAATTATTTATTACCTTTGTAAAGGCAAATTTGTGAGATGAATAAAATGCCAGATATATAGGGTAAATGTGAAAATTTAGCGGTTGAAGAAATTCTTACCATCTGATCTAAAGCGGCTGCAAAAAGCTTCCTTCCTTCTGTGTTTTTCAAGTCCGTGATTATCCAGTACGTTATCGGTCGTAAATTCATTTCTGCAAAGAAAAAGGTGAAACTTTTCCAACGAGAAACTCACATTAAAGTTGAAAACATCTTTCTGAAGTTAACATTTTGCATGAGTCTAGTTATAACGTTACAGTCATGTAGCAGTTTCAATCTACAATGCCGAAGATTGACGTAATCGTGGTGGCTGAAGGTCCCATTGAAGTTCCGCTCGGAAGTCTTTTTGCGTAGCAATTAAAAAAAATGCATTCCTTTCCTTCACAAATTACCTTCCTTTACCGAAACTTCAGAAAAGCGATGCAGTAAAAAATAGTAATAGAAATACAGTTACCTCAGGTGCCGGAGGTTCTCCACGCTCGCAAGGGGGATTTATATTTTTCTCACCTACATTTACCACCTCGTGCGTTCGTGGAAAACCTCCAGCATGCATGCACCAGGATAACTCGTAAAACAAAAGAACTTGAGCTACTGAAACAATGTTTCATGATTTCTCCAATAGAAGCAGGAAATACATTAAAATTACATCATCAATATTGAAGATTTTGGCAAGAAAGTAATAAATTTGTTTTCACGCACCGTTCTTTCCAATAAAATAATTCATATTTCTTCTGACAATATCAACAAGATGGTCATTCCCTAATGCTTTCATTTCTTCAATAGTACCTGGAAGATCCTCTTTATAAACGAAAGATAAATATTTAGTCATTGGTGCTAGGCTGTTGCCATGCAGATTCGGAGGAACACTGATATACCTGTCCATGGCCTTCCAACAAGATCAATACGAGGTCTCGTGGAATCTTGGATGATGGTATTTAGCCGTTTGACAACGTTTGGTTTCTCCATAATATATTTATAGACATCCATGTCATCTCGCAGCTGATTCTAAAATTGAAAGATTTCATATACCATTTCCTTTTGCAGAATCAAAAACTATATGCTAGAATGCAAACTGGTTAGGTATTGTTGTCTTGAATTGGACAGGGTTTATATAGTAGCCGAAAATCGACGCATGCACTGCATCATTTATATGATACATACAATGTACTAAGCATGCATGTGACATACCGTGTATACCGCTTGTTGCAAAGGTCCAGTCTGTATCATGATTTCCCTACCAACCATTTCTTCAAACATACTTATCTACAAATGGAAGAACAATAAAATAACACAACATTATACAGCTCATCCGTGTCACGTTTCGGCTGGTCAACGCAAGCTGGCCTTGATTGCAAAGTATGCACAAAAATCAATTGTAATTTGGGGGCATTCTTTATACACACAGTTTACCCCTCGTCTCATCTATACTGTGTATTAAGTGCAAACAATATACTACTATTAATTAGGTGTACAAATCAGACTATACACATATAACATATCATCCAACGTACGTCTTCAATATCCAATGGAACACCATTCATTACAGCTTGAGGCAGTCGTCGTAAGCCAATTCGATCAAAGAAAAGCTTCGCGGACTGTAAAAATTTAAATACCATTTCAGATGAACCACATTTCTAATTGTTTGTAGCTACACATATGTCCTGGTAATGTGTATCTCACAAGTTTCCTGCAGTATCTCGACATACAGATATTGCAGAAAACAAACCTTTCTCAAATCATCATGATCAGTATTTGGTCCTAGAATTTCGTCAGCTTCTTCTTGACTATATTGTTTCTTAAACTGGGAATAAACCTCATCAGCTGTTGGGATTCCATCACTGTTCGCGTACAACTAAAACATATAATTTAACATTGCCGTTATTGTTTAAAACTCCAGCGAGCCAGAATTTTTAAAAACTATTTCACAAAGAATATATCCCCTAACATCTCCTTTATATCGTATAGTGCACCCAACAAATATTTCATAAAAGGACATTCGAAAAGTAAATCTGCCTCAATTGAGGTATTTTTAATTACATTTTGCATCTCTTTTCAAATAACACAAATGCATGAAAACTAAGAGAATATATAAGTGTCAGAGAATTCATTCAAAACCAGTAGACAGTTTTCTGGATATAAAATACATCAGATTTCCACCCAAAATCTAACAATCGGACACTTGAACGAGCCTTAAGTGTGGCACGAGTATAAACACTTTGACGATGTCGCATGCGTTCAGAAGAAACTTTGAAAAAAAAGAAGAGAAAATTGCTCCATTATGAGGCCAGTTACCTTGGTTAAAAATATAAAAGCAGCATCAGGTCCGTCGTCGTTAGCAATAAAATAAAATGATCGAGCGATCCCAACGGCAGCGTCGCTTCGTCCATCAACATCATTATCGTCTACCTCAGTCACTAAAACGAGGCCAAACCTAAATCAACGTACGGACAAGAAATTAAAATAAATCGTTATCGCAAATAAGACATTTCTAAATTGAGCTAGTGCCTCACCTGATTGGCATTTGATTTTGAATCATTTCATCGACAAGGTTGATCAGTTCTGACGTTGTTGACGCCAGGGGATCAATACAAAGCACCTAAAATTTAATTTTCTCAATTTACTGTTAAAGACACTGGCCCTAAAAGGTCACACCATTTTCTAATTAATTCAATTTGCATATACTTGAAGATTCAGAAAACAAAAAATAAAATTTACCAAATTGAATATATTCTTAGCAATGTATCTCAACATGCCCATAAACGTTGGCCGTAGCAACTAAACGAAATAAAAGGAGCATTGATTATTTCCAACTATCTTTGCAATGACTCGGATAGCATGAGCCTTGCTAAAGGGTATTTTATTTACAGTAGTGTCGAATACATTATTATGAGTCAGCAGGGCTTAGCCTAGCTCCCATCTTTAATGTAAACCTTCAAAAGTAGTATATACATAAAGTAGTATATGTATACAAGCAGTGAAGATTCACAACACACCTCAGTCACAGAAGAAGGCCAATCACGATATTGGGCATCATGTTCGAGATCATTAACAAACTATTCAAGAAAAAATAAAATATCATTATTATCTTATAGGTCTGTCCAAATCCATGCCTTGCATCAGAGGTTGCTAACTACACGAAAAATCAAATATAAATACACTTTACATACAAAGACAGAATGATGTCTCATATCAACAGCATATGACTCCTCTTCACCTTCAACCGACATCGTCAGCATACTGGCTAAATCTTTACCCTGGAAGTGATGCAACAAAACTGATTTCAACAACAAGTTTTCCAGAAAATGCCTAAACCCGACAGTACCTCGTTGTAGGGTGATGCAATTCATGCAAATAGACTTCGTTGAGGAATCAGTATGGATTGATTCGCAGTTTATTAAATATCAGAATAAAAAGGTAATTAATAATATGGTTATACCATGGTATGTAAAAAAGAGGACAGGAATAGGATACTATTTTTCTTAAAATGATTGGATGGGAAAATAATAACCGGCCTGGGATAAATTGAGGTGATTACAGCACTTGCCTTAACTCCAATACTAGAAAGCCGGTCCAAAACTTTTCCCTCTTCTTTGAGAAGATCGAGTAAGCTACAGATACAGACAACAAATTGATATGTTAAACACCAAACTGTATAGAAATAAAGAAAATGAAATGGCAAAATATGAAACATTATATATAACAGCTCTCAGCTCTCAGGGGGAGGGGTAATAGAGTATTGACATTTACCTGAATGTGTTAAGATCTTCAACAGAGATCTGCAAGCCATTAATAAAAAGTTCAGTACTGCCTGGATGGATATCATACTTCCGAAATTCCTATGCGAAAAAAAGAAAAATGAGTTGTGTAAACGCTTCTACAGTCACGCTTATTTCATACGCAGGGGAAGGTTTAATTCGGCATAAATATACTTTGGACGAACACTGTAATATCGTTATCCTCTGTGTATAACAAATCATTCACCTGTTGGTTAGATAAAATTTCCTTTCGCATTTCTTCACTAACTTTTGTCTTGACCAGGGATCTTTAACAACAAGAAGAGCAAAGCAAACTCATTGATGCGTGCCAGGTCATATAAGCCAGGGGCCGGGTGTTTGAAAGGCGTTTAGCTTAAACGGTGGATACCGCTTCTTGATAGAACAGCTGAGCTGAACTATTTCGATTTAAATAGTTTAATTTTAAATGGAAGTACATATCTAATGCATAAGATGCAGGTTCAGTCATTTACGAGATGTATGAGAGTATTTTTAAACTTTGGCTTAGTCCCTACATACGTGGGACTGTCGTAAAGTTAGCTCGTGTACAGCGTGCAATTTGCCAATCGTGTGACAGTTGTATGAAAATAGCTGGATTCGCTTGGATTGTAAAATGATTCAATCGCAAGGAAGCAGCGTTCAGTCGTCGATGAAGATATAGATTTGAAGGAATCTTCCAGAAAGTTTAATAATCCTTTTAACTGCACGGTACAATTAATTTTTATTTCCATTTCCGAAATACACACCTTGCTTTGGACGGCAAATTCTGACTTAAATCTTGAAGAACATTCAAAGCATCATCACCATCCGTTGACATCACACGTTGGGCAGCTTGAAAGCTTAGATCTAATAATTAACATTCTTCACGATTAAACACATTCTGTCTGATAAAGTCAATCATTAGTAAAAGCACTTTTCGAAAGATGTTCGCCTCATTTATGCATTCATTCGTACCTTGTAACTGCCAAACTTTGAGTGGAGCCATAATTTTGGAATTTTCCAACAAATGAGATTTTAGTTGCTCCAGCTGTTCGTTCAAATCCGGATGTAACTTTCTGTGAACCGATCGACAAAAAAGCCATGGTTTAAAAAGCCGGATCGCAAATAAACAGTTGTGAAACTATGCAGACAAAATTACTCAAATTGTAGTATTCCTTTTGAAAAATCGGGCTTGTGTTGTGCCTTAAGGATTACATTACCTTAATTTACCAAACAGAAATCCATCGATGTCTTTTTCTTCTTCCTTATCTTTATTCATGGTATCTTCTTTATCACCCTCAATTTTACTGTCATCCACTGCTTTGTATTCTGTATTCTTTACAGCAAGTTCAACGCCGTAGCCCGAGAGACGTACTTTATCTTTGGACGCGTTCTGGAATATATCAATAATAATGTCTGACCAGAGAGTTGAAACTGAGCTTCGGTAATGGCAGGGATGATGGAAAAAAGGGTAACGAATTTGACCGGTGATTCAAAGGTGACCGGACATCATTATAGAATATAGTCTGCATTCTATACGAGCTTACTAACACTACACGTTTCTTGCGTTTCTGCTGTTTGATGAAATATCTCAGTGGAAATACCCTAAAGGACTGTGAATGTATAATTTTGACCCCTCACTCATTAACTGACTATGATACAAAGGATAACATTTTTGTCACCATTGTTGCCAAATCTTTCAATGTAATTGCCTGAGGGAAGAGTTCCACCCACCTGCACATAATGTCGAAGTAAATATCGTATTTTTCCTTCTTGAACGAGCTCTTGCAGTTTTTCATGAAATTGACCGAATATTTTAGTGCCCAGTTCTCCATATAATATAGCGGTTACTGGATTATTGCCACTGGATGGATATACATGGTCGAAGGTGAAAGTATAAATATCAGAGCTAAAAAATAGAGTGAAAGTGAGAACGATTATTCATAAAACACTACGGTAAAAGTCTGAGAAAATAAATATCTTGACACAAGACATTATCAATCGTGATTTAATACAGCAAAGATAATTTAAATCACGCGATATGGTTGACTAGGGGACAACGAAATACCTTTGTTGTTGGCTGTTGTCAATCAATCTTACTGCTTCATCTAAATCACAAGTGACCTGACTATCAACTTCAATGAATGCTGCACAATCTGGCACGGATAATTGTTTAGATACCTAATTTATGCAAGAACAAAAACATGGAATTAAAACATGTATGTAAAGATGAAGGTCAATTCTTTGGAGAACTTCTTTACGGCTAATGCATGGACGGTCATTTTGCGAACCTATACGACATTCAAACATTTCGGACTTCTTGACAACATATCAAACAAAATTAAGCAAGAAATTTGGAATCTAATTTGAATCTTCGATTCTTCAAACGACGACGTAATTCATCAAAGCCTCAAATCTTTCGGCGGCCCATCAAAAAAACTGAATACTACATCAAATATTTTTTGCATAGCTTTTAAAAGTATTTTGAAGATCGTGGGAAATTCTTTTAACGATTTCGAAATAGTCATTTCGGAATATTTGATTACAATAGCTATATTTTTGCAAATGTTATTAACCAAAACGGATTTTCCCAATATTTATAGTATGACCAACAAATATAGAACCGATACACCACCTGATTAAATAATTCAATGGTAGGAGAAAAATATCTGATGGATAATGAAAATTTGAATAAATTAAGCAAGGTTGGAGATAGAAGCTTTCCAGCTGATTCAATTATGAAATTGTATTGGTCTAAAAAATAGAAATAAAATATAATTATACCTTCGTAATGACAATATAAACATAAACACAACATATACAAACCTAAATGTGTCTCATAATTATGATATGATTTGGTCAATTCTACAAACTCCCAAAATTTATCATTCCCTTCTTTTGCTAAAAATTCACTGAAAAATACAAAGAGTTGTTTGAACGAGATAATAATAGAACATAATCTGGAGGTTGGGCAAACGAGGCCTGGGGCAGCTTAATTCCTCTTTGTTCTCACCAGAAAGGGGGCACAGGACGCACTTTCAATTTAAAGTTTGCACTGCAATTTTAAGACGACCGATAATCTTCAGACACGTTATTGCTTCATAAATTATCATTAATCACGCAAGATCTGTACAGTGAGTATTTAAAGTACGGCTACTGGCCAAATTCAGGAAAACTTTGTACACTTTGTATTCAATAAAATGAAATCATAAATCGTTCAATTATTAAATCTACTACGAGCACCAACCTTGATTCTAATGATATTGGTGTTGATGGCCATTTAGCATCCAAGGTTGCAATCACAGGTTTTGACGTACAAAATGATTTCTTTACCAGCACAGCAACCACAGCCAGTAATATTAATAATTTCTAGAGAGTTGAAATTTGCTCAAAACTCACGCGAAACAGCGATAGAGAGTTAAAAAACAGTTCACTACAAAGTGCATGCAGTCGAAATCATTTGGTATTTTTCCTTTCCACTATATTAAGCATAATTTGCACCCGCCATATTTTCACGACTGTGGATTGGTCAAGGACGCATTAGTTTCGCTATATTTTTTTTTCGCTGAAAATAGTTTTTAGTAATTTTTCATCTCACCGCCGGAAAAATAAAGGTTATTGGCCAAGCATGCCAGCCTCTTAAGCTTCCTGCGTTATTTTCAACATCGGAAGCTAACAACATCCGATCGTAATTAAGCATGATAAGGTATCAACTATAACGTAGACGAAATTTGAACCCAAACCGAGACAGTTGGAAACGCCATTAATCTGAAATAATCCAACGGAAAATTGAGGTACGCAGTACATATTGAATTTACTATTGAGGTACGTAGTCAACTCCGCCACTTTCTTGTTGATGCAACTGTTGAAGACAGTGGCTTGGAGGTCTTAATTACCAAGGAAAATGCCAAGGAAAACGACTGCACATGAGTGTTACCTTAGCCAATTGCTCACATGAATAGTGGAGCTGACTCAGTTACAAATTAGGTCTAACAATATTATTTTTTCAATTTAGACACCTGAATGTTTCTACTAACTACCATGAACTAAATTTGTTAACAATGAGGGGACACTATTTGCAAGGAAGAAAAAAACTTCATGAATGCCAAATTCACTGACCCTGACTTTATGATTTTAAATAACTATCAAGGAACACAGCACACATATTTCCTTCACACAATATAACAAACTTACTGCCAAAAACCTTAGCTTGAAATCTATTTGCTGTGTCCAACACTTTTAGCAAGGAAAACTTTAGCACAACTGTAATGTGCTTGCTACTATAATATTAATTTTGTGAGAGATGTTATAAACATAAAATGTTTATAACTGAAAATGCAGTGCTCCTGAGATAAATTTTGTGCCCTTGCCCCTGGATCTGTCAGCTGTTCACCCCTGAGAAAGCACCCAACTTTCCAGTCTGGTGCCCAAGAACAGCTCTCATGAGCACATCTGAGGGCAATATATTTCCAAAACTAGATTCTAAACTAAATTCTAGCATTCCTGCATTGAAGATCTCTTTAAATCAAATAAAACTCTCTGCAGTTTGGTATTTTTGAAAAATGAAATGGAAAATATGGTGGTATTAACATGCCATGGACTCCATGGAGTGCAACTAATATTCCCATTTTATATTCCTGAGCTACAACATACATTTATCAACTATTTCTAGGTATATCACATTAGGAATATATGTATATGCTATGCTGTTTATACTTAAGATCACTCGACATATATTGTATTGGTTGCTTTGTAAATGACTCGGCAGACTTGACACGTTTCTATATACTCAGCATCACCCAGCATGCAACTACGAATTGTAAACACTAATTACAGTAAAAAATATTAATTTTACGAATACACAAAGTGACAGCAGAGCTGTATTCTGCAAAAACTCAGGTTCAGCAAATACCGGCATATTGGGCCAATCCGCGTGTAACAAGTGTCTAAACACTGAAATAAGTAGTGCCATTTCTTCGGCTTGTTTTGATATTGCTACTAAAAATGATGGGAATGGTACAGGGCGGCACAAAAAGACAGCAAAATACTTTCACACGAATGAATATAAATAATAAACCAACAATCTTTCTGACGATCTAGGACAACTCAAAATATTACCTTTTTTACAACTTTATTTATCCGAACTGCAGCCATCTTGAAATACGTCTTCGGAATATTCCGAGTAATAATCGGCTGCCGGACGCTCCCTTTCGGACTTCGACGACTGTGTTCGGATGATCGGATCGTTTGCCATGGCAACGACAATATGGCTTCCTTACTTTCCTCTTCTTCTTTTTGTGTGTACAAAATCAATCATGTCAGATTTTTGGTTTTGTAGAAGTAAATATGACAGAGCTTGGTAGAAATATTGGATTATCTGGTCAGTGTTTTCCAGTACGAAGTTTAACACGAAACAATGCCGCAGAAAATGGCTACGCCGGTATGTTATTGAATATAGATTATATAGTGCGTATAGAAGTAATAGAACAAAGTCAACACTCAACAAACATATCTAATAGTACAATGTAAAATAAATTTGCTTCGAATAAGCCATTTACAATTTACAGTGAGTGAAATAGCATGAAGATAATAAAGATTTGTTAGCATTATTTTATGAGGAAATGACAGATCGTCATTTTCATTTTCAATTATAAACGTCGTACGCAGTTAAGTAAGTTTATTTCATGTAACTTAGACTTGTTGTAATTTGTAAAGTTGTTGGAATAATAAACATTAAGATGGGTGGTCTGATTGTCCTGTGCCTCTGTATATAACATGATAGCAAGTTTTATAAATCACATATGTGCATATATTACTAAAATTTAATGAATTGTGGGGCCATGGACAGGGCTTATAATTGGGCTACGTCTAACAGGCTAAAATCAGGTTTAGAAGCAAAATCTAAGCCCAACAGAAATGTTTTACCTTTCTAAAAATGTTGTGAGAAAATATCTTCAAAAGAAAAAAAGGGCAGATTAATGTTTAAAACAGCATTGTATGAACGGTATTGAACCCACAAGCTCTCGCACAATAGTCAGCGATGGTACCACACGACTACACGCATGGTCAATCTATTTTTGAAAATAAAATGCTTCTGATTGACGTAATGTATACAGTATACTGGTACAATAATAATTAAACGTAACGTCCCGTTTTGTATTCGCATCCGGGCAGACGCTCACAAGCAGGATATTCTGGAGACCAGAGGCGGAGAGAAAATCTGACAGGAGAGAAAATCTGTGAAAGATCCTCGTTTTTGTACATACGACGTCATTTGAACGTTTCAATCACGAGACCCGAAATATAAGGCGTTGTAATTTTCGGCGTTGTGAAACTCGCGTAAGCGGAGAATTGATGAGGAATTCCGCGATCAGGACTTTCTTCTTTCCCTATAGGAACCATTTCTTCCGTTCTTTCTCTTGTTCCTTTATCATTTTGAGGCCTTGCCCCTTATGCTTGGTGTCTGTGACAGGCCCCTCATTCTGAGAGGCTGTACATACGCGTAATATCCGACTGTTTATTTCTACTTATTTTATTTAATTTATATTACCCATATTTGATTGATTACATTGAAAAAAATGTTCGCAATCTGTGTCGTGTAGGTGGTGCATGGCTTGTGGCTTACAGAGCAGAGCAACGGAGACGTTTTAAAGCAGTTTTATGTCGTGAACCAGATGTGGCATTATCTGACAAACCGTCGGAGTCAAAGAAAAGCTCTAAATCAAGAAAAACTAATGAAGGTGAAACACGAAAAAAGCTTGATGGAATATATTTGGTAAATTATTTTTTACTCTTTCTTTTTCATATTTTCTTTCCTCAAATTACCTCGTGATCATGGGCTCCAACTACTTATTTACGAAAAACATAATGGTTTTGTCTGTTTTTAACATCATATTTCCTGAATCTTTTATTTTGTTAGATGAACGCTTGTTATATTAACGATCCGTTGGACTTATGCAGTGTCAATATTGCAGGGAAAGGCTTAACTTTGGTAAGAAACTGATCATTTTGCGGATATAACTCAAATTAGTTTATGATATATATTTTGCATCTTGTTTTGTTGTAATTTGATTTGTTTTCTAAGGTGAATGAGGATGATTTTTCCATGTTCAGTAATGTGATTCATATTGATGCTGGTGATAACAATCTTCAATTAGGTCAGTACTATATTGTTACAAAGTGCATGACAACTAAATTGCTTGATCATTCCCAAATTTTGGTAGTCAAGAAGAAGTAGAGTAGAGTAGAAATGTCTAACCCCCTGCACTATCGTTTTCTACCCAAATGCTGCCTACATGGTATAGCAGCAGTAGGTTACCTGATGGTACTGATTCACACAGCATTGCGATTGTAAATACGATTTTTATTTTCTGTAGTTCATTTTCGACGGTTTCCAAACTTGAAGACACTAGAACTTCCGTTGAATAAAATTTCCGGAACAGTTGTTCTACAAGACAAAGATTTCGTTTGGTTGGAAACTTTAGATTTATCCTGCAATCATTTAACCACAAATGATGTTTTAGCTCTGGGTGTCTTACCCGCGTTAAAAGTTTTGCATTTAACAGGTACATCGATCAATATTCGAACAAGTCGTTTGCCCCTTAAAGTTGACTTCATTAACTTTCTATAATAATTGATAAAACTATCCATTCATGGTTGTCTGTTTTCAAGCCATTCATATGAATTAGTTTTACTAAGTTTAAAACCTTTTACAGGAAACCAATTGAGCGAGTTACCGCCAGAAATGTGCCGATCGTTTCCGTAAGCCCGATACAATTTTCTTAAAATTCGTTTTCATGTTTAATTTGATGTCGTCATATATTTTAACTTATCAACATAATTTCATTGCTGTTAGTTTAAATAAAGGACAAAGGCAGTCTCGTTTTGGAAATTTGGAGAAATTGTGGCTTGATCAAAATCATCTTACTGACTTGAACACTTTCACATGTCTTGCAGGACTTAAACGGTTAGTAAAAGTATATGAATATGTAAAGCGTGAGGATTGTAGACGAGTAAATGTTCAGTGGCAACGGATGGATCATCCGACACAACCCAACGCGTCGTATTCAAGCGAGGCTGATTGTTGGTCCGAGTATTACTCTTTGATTCTCTTCTTGTGACACTTGTGATATTTTAGATTGAAGTACCTGAATTTGGAGTACAATAACATCGCATCGGTGCCGCATTTACGATTGCTTAAACCTAAGACCAGTATACTTAGAAGTAACTACAGTCATGACGTGATAGACGAGGAAATTGATGATGTCAATAGTAAGATTTCCATCCTTGAAGAAATCCTATATAGTGGTAAAAATGATGAATTGACGGAGAAAGGTGACGTCATAGAAACAGAATGTAGCCAAGGGCATTTCCAAGGTAACGGGAAACATCAGTGGCGGAATAAATATACTTCGAATTTCAAAAGCATTCATTGCTGTTCACTGCGGTTACTTGCGTCAATTGCATGTGCTGTGAGTGCATTTTAATTTTAGATCGCCATACTTTGCCATTTCCTTCATTGCTCCATCTGAACCTGGCAAACAATGAGATCGAAGAAGAAGAAGGCTTGCTAACTCTTTCCACGTGGCCTCGTCTTGAAGAAGTGGTTATCTGGGGGAACCCAGTGGCATCAAGAGGTAGAGAGGGACCTCCTATAGTTAATTATCAGCTTGGACTCGTTGCGGGAATTGAAGTTGCAAGGTAAGCTCAAAAAAGGTATTTGATTTTCTGTTCGCAAAATATGCGATAATGTGTGATGAACAACGCAACACATGCTACATCAAACTTTAATTTGAATGCAAGCGTAATGATAACCTCATTTTGATTTTAGACATAAACCTTCCAAGAAAGGAAAAGATTCGTCAAGTCTTTTATCTCTGACCAAGAATTCTCCAAGAAAAGTATGTTAGGCTATATTTATTGTCACCATTAATAATCACTTTTGTATGTTTGAGTAGGCCATTGATCGTTTCCAAGTAGACGGAAAACCGTAGCATGTTTTGCGACGCAATTCAGTAACAGTAGTTTCGAGTACAAATGTCACCAGCCGAAGTAAATCCGCTCATAGCCTAGTCATCTTTATCCAATGCATAGTTTAACTAACCACATGTGGCGTTCCTGCTAGTGAAGGTGCACGCGATCTAGGATTCTCGTTGAGCCATGCCATGTATCTCAGAAAGGATATGATGAAGTATCGTTTTAATTGCTTTAAGATAGCGGATGTACCGACGATCAGTCAGACAAGAAATTTGCTGATGTTGGAGGGACCAAAACAACACGATCTTGGATACTCGATCAAACCTCTTCCTCCTATACCGTCTTCTGTCGAAAATGACAGGCGAGTGGCGTCAGCACCTGCTGGAACACGTGATGTAGAAGATGACGAGAGAAGTAACCAAGAAACGTTGCGTTCGTCTGATGGTGATCGTTCAACAGGAAAAGAACAATCTTCGTTTGCAGATGATTCAAGTCTCTTGACCCAAAGTCAAAGAGTTGTTTCCCCTGAAGAGAGAGTATTTCTTACACAGGTACAGCGAGTATCACTTGATTATAAAAGCACGACAGGACACACGATATATTTTTGCATTGGTCATTAAGTTGCATTCCCATTTTAAAGTTGCATTGGAATTCCCACATTTTGTTTTTTAGGCTGAAGAAGTTGAAAACGACGATGTGTTATTTTATAATAACGAACAACAAAAGTCGGGTATGCCACAGAAAAAATCTGAGAAAACAGTACCAAAGTCAAAACACCATATTTCCAAGAAATATCAAGGATATGAAGAACTACTAAATATAGATGAACAATATTCAGAAGATATTGAACTGCCTAAAACAGTACATGGAAACGTGAGAGCTCTACAATATACACTGGACCATCCACTCACATTTACACAGCAATCTGCAAGATATCGCGACGAGCAAACTACAAAAGATAAACAACGATGGGTAAATTATATTCCTCTGCCTAAGATGGAAACTTCTAATTCGGCGAGGTGGATGGTTATAGGCTGGATTAAGAATGTTTACCATTGGTGTTATTTCTACTTCGTCTTTTCTGTTAACCAACGCTATCACAGTGCATGTCTGATGTCTTATCATCCTTCGTTTTAGGGTTTATCTAGGTATCAGAATACCCGACCAACAACCGTTGAAGAATTAGGTTCAATACTTGATAAAATGCGAACTCACACTAAAACTGTCGAGAGTAACCTGGGTAAGAGATTGGCTGCATGTGATATAGTAATGACAACGCATTCATATTTGAATCTTATAACATGCAGTATCCGCCCCCCCCCCCCTACCTTTACGTTTATTCAAATTATTATGGCCTCGGACCATGAGTGTAAAATTTTTTATTAGCTGGAAAGATAAACAACGATGGGTAAATTATATTCCTTTGGTTAGGATTAAGGTTTACCATTGCCGGGTGTTATGAAGTATTTCATACATATATTTCTTATCGTTTATTCAACGACGGTCCTTCATGTGATCAGACCATGAATGTCCTATCAATTATACAACTGCAGCGAAGCAGTTTTTAAAAGCCCAATCAGCTCCAACCTGTCTTGAATATGAATTTATTTTGGTTTTATGTATGTTTTTCTACATGAGCGTTTGGGGTTGGTAGGTGCGACTCAAATACAACTCCATGGTATCATAACTCCCTGATATCATAATGGGTTATCCATGGATGGTTCTGTTGACCCGTTGCTCACGATCTGTTTCAATTTAGATAATGTATTGAAAGGGAACAAAAGACCAAGGAATAAAAAGGAATTGAAAGAAGCCAAGAAGCTACTAAATGAGGTTTGTGTGATCAGAAAGTGGAAAGAAAGCTTCAATTAAACACTCGATCTTCCAATGAGTGACCGAGAAACAAACATTGTTAATTGATAAAAAAAACCATTCGCTGGAAGATTCAACCTTGTACGATTTTCCTTACTCATATTTGTAGAGTATGTTTTTTAATCATCTCAGTATTTGGTTATCTTTCAATATATTTTAGGTACAAACGAAATATAACGAAGTTCGTTGTGACTCGTTACAATCAACTAGAGTGGCAGGTGATATCTTTCAGAAACAGGGAATATCCATTAAACCTGCAGTAAGAAAAGATCATATTAAAGATGCAAGTGAGGAGGTGGCAAGTCATGAAAGTAAGGAAAAAAACACGAACTGATTTCGCACGAGAACACGAATTAATATAAAGACTAAGCTTGAAGGAGATGTAGAGGTTATGAAGGTTATGAAATAAAATTGCATGCTAACATACTATTTGGGTGAAATATTCGCACCATTATGCGTTTAAATTAAGCCGATGAACGAGCCAGTGACTTCTCGAGAGAATGAATGACATTATGACAGAATGTACGGTCGTGACCATGACATGCGTGTTGACCATAGCATGCGAGTCAAAGACAAATATTTTGTATTTTTTTAGTATATATAGCATTGTACAAAATGTATATATTATCAATTCATCGAGTTGTCTAATTCTCGATTTTTGCGGCAAACCAGGCAACGAAGTTAGGCGAAGTTGACAATTCTATGCGCGAAGTGAGTCATTCCAATCCAACGACTCATTCTCGTACCCAGAGCTCTCTCTTCACTGTCTCTGTGCGAGAATGTAATGACACTTGATTGGATAAGAACAACGTTCGGTGATTGGTTGAAATTTTGGTATATAAATAACAACGCGTCATGAATACCACGTGGACACAGCGAAGATCTGCTACGAAGCAACATACGGAGAAGTTAAAAAGAATCGATTATAAATCCTCGGATTTTTCGTGTTTTTTAACTGTCTCACCACGATGGCTTCGGGGAAAGTCCCCAGACACTTGGTAGAAAGTACCAGATGTAAATACTGAAGTCTTTCGTCTTGTTTTACGGCCAAGATACCACACGGAGGAGTCAAACAGACGCAAGATGTTTCGTCAAAGCACAGTCATGCAGATGTCCAAGTTCACGTCTTGGTTCAACTCAATGGGGCTCATTCTTGCTGTGTTCACCACCTTTTTAAATGTGGAAAGAATATAAACGAAATTACTCGATTGTTGTGTTGTGTTTTGAACCATATCTGATTGAAATATTGTCATCGTTAGTCGTTACGTTTGATCCCCGACCACGTGTACGGTAGTGGCGTTCTAGTGACGCTGACGACGCTTGCCATTTTGCCATGCTTTCAAATTATTTAACGATATACAAATATTAAAATTGTAATTCACTTTACCATTTAGTTTCACCCCTAACCCTTTTGCCATTTTGATACAAATGAAGCTTGGCATTCCAGTCATTCTACTTTCTACAAAGCTGCGCAGTGTTACCATGTTGACAGAATAAATTAGCAAAAAGCTTATATAGCTCATTATTCACATGATTGGGTTTAGTTGCTTTGGGTTTGATAAATCAATGAAATAGTGAAAAATATTGCCCTTCAACATTTTGGCAAGAACATGCAGGATATAGTACTAGCTAAAGGGATAGACAATTCAAAATTTCCATAGAGATTCTATGACTTACTCCCTAAAAAATACTGGTCTAGGCCAGCATATTTGATCTCTTCATATGATATATTTCATGTTCAAACCAACGAACAAAAGTTCAACCATTTGGTGGGGATAATCATTGGCATATGAGTAAGGCAATATTAGCAGGATAGATTTATTTGCATAGGTAAAAATTGGCTATTGTGCAGTGTGACAATGTATATACACAAATTTTTTAACCAAAGCTGCTCAAACCTAGTTTTCCCCCTTCCTAGTATATGTTTGGTAATAATAAACATCAGGTGGGTCTGTGTGCATCTGACCAATTCTGGTAATAAGAATTACTAGATCTTGTCACACTTCTATTGTATGTGTCGAGCCAGTCGAGGTAATTTTACATAATCAGCTGGTGTAATGTAATGGCAGCGTTATCTTGGAACTGGAATTATATCCTTGGTATATAAAGAAAATATACAATCACTAAAACCTAACAATGAGAATACAATTTATATATTTTGCTTTTACATCCAAGACTTACAAATTCAATTTAAAGCAAACAAATAGAACAAAACTGACTTCTGCACAAGTAAGTTCATTAACCTTCACCAACAACTTTCTGATAAAGGCATCATAAATTCTGTTCATTAACCATAAATTGATGCAATTAACACTTCTGCCAGTCTGATCAGTACAACTGCATTAAAACATACTTTGTAACTGCAATATTACATAGGCCAATCTGAAACTTTTTGGAATAAAAGTCCACTCTTAAACCAAAATGTTTGAAAATAATGTCTAGGACTCACTACCATTATTATTTGGTTGCCAAAGACGAAAATTGGACTATTTAAAGAGAGGAAAATAGACTTATGAAAATTACATGACTGAAATGGGGCACAACTTTCCTTCTGCATATTTTCATCTATTACAATGAAAACAAATGCTATAAATGGGTAGATTCTGATAAGAAAGAGTTCTGCTATTCCACTACAATGCAAATTATTAGGAACCTGACTATCTGCATGTAAGTGTTGAGCATTTTTTCCCTCTCTTTAAATGCCCTAACTAACTGTCTTTACTACAACCACTCACTTTTAATATGCAAATACAGAATATAATGTCTAAAAGAATTAAAGAGATGAGCTTTCCAGCAATCCTGAAATATCTTTTTCAAGACTCCTTGGGGAGGTTGTGGGTGCATAGCGTTTGTAAGGAACTCCATTTTTATCGCACAGAAAACTTGGTAAAATTCCATTTAATTCTGTCTCCCAAAAATCCACCTTTAGCTTTCTTCAAGAAAACATACAGAGGATGTGTGTTGTTTCCATTTACATCAATTTTACCAAACATATCAAATCCTACACCCAATCCTTTCACAAACTCTTTAATTGCAGTTTCATCATCTGGTTCTTGCCCACCAAACTGGTTACAAGGAAAAGCCAGGATACGCAAACCTTTCTCAGCATACCTGCATATAATATAAACCATATGTGATAAATATACAAGGAAAACTGGAAATGAAATATTGACATAACGTCAAATATGTTTAAAATATTTTCAGGCTTTCACTACTGTAATTTTATTATTTATTTACTTAGCATTTTTATTACTTGGTGTCACTTCAACTTTATTTCAAAGTCAACGTCAAGACAATTAGCTATTTAAAAGCACGCTCAGAATTTTAAGTTGTATAAAAAACCTAAAGCAATATATAATTATATAAATTTAATTATTTTTTATACATCAATCCCAACTCACTTTGTGTGCAGTTCCTGTAGCTGAGAATAGTTTGAGTTTGTAAATCCTCATTTCGATGCAACATTGACTATCAAAGATACAAATCCCTGATATTTTGATAAAGAAACTGGATTACCGTCGATATCTTTAACCTCAAAACCAAGTATGTCCTTTGTTTCTTTTTGTTGGTCACCACCACTCGCCATATTTTGAACTCCTCGTCTAAATATTATTTTCTTACAATTGCTCCGAAGTAAACACCGAAATACTGTAATGCGGTAGAGCATTCGCTAGTCAAGGCACAATTGCAGAATGTAGAAGAAACTAAGATAACATAAGTAATACATATAATGTACAACAAGTTTGAATACAACACCTACCGTCACGGCGTCACCACCAATGCAGGCAATGCTCGTGACCTGTGATTATTCTTGAGTACAATAGTACAACAAGCCATGAGGGCGGGGCGTGATGGCCAATTGGGCTGGCCAATGACCATATTTACTATAAATATACCAGGAAAATATATTGAATTTCCCGTGCACTACCATCCTCTCCAGCCCCAATTTTTACGGAGGATTATGAAAAGAATATTATGAAAGATAAACAAATGTGAAGAAAATGCGAGGAAATGTGAAAATCTCTTTTCTACGATACGTATGACTATAATCTATAATCTATATTCTAGCCATTTGCTATACCTCGTATTTGCTCATACAGCGAAGTAAGTCCAATATTATTCAATATTATTTTTAGTTTCCGATACCGCATTACTGCAGTACCGCTCTATAGTTTCAGCATGGAAATAAAGTCTTTTTACTATCCATGGTTTCAGCTGACGTTGCAGTATTATATATTCCGGTTGATTAATGATGTAATAGTGCTGTATTGCATCAAAATAATTCCGGTTAGAATCCCTAAGAATGTATGAATTGTTCCTAACCTGACTTTTTTAACTTCCCAAGGAGTAAATGTGAGCACCTCTGGTGCAAACACAAGAGAAGAAAATGATATTATAGCAATTTCGATTTTCGAAACATATAAACAATGAGAAATAATTTGTAACGACGAAACATTCCCTTGATTCCTTTCGACAGGTGGCAATGTTTATTGACGCCAATTGCAAAATACTGCAAGTTGTATATTCAAGTATCAATATATGATATTTAACATTTCGGTCTGATCACTTTGTTAAGATATTAAGTCATTGGATGTGAAAATGGCTGAAAAACAAGGACCACCACCACCTATAGCACAGCAACCAGGTAAATGAAAACTGTTACATTATTAAGATCTGTTATTAATCATTCCAAAATCTTCTGAATATTTCAATGGTGTTAGGCACGATCAAATCCGCTACGAAATTGTTTGGGAATTTAAGTTTCTAGAAAATTAGATGTTGGATGATGTAAAACTTTCAAATAGAAATATTCTCTCAATTTTAAATTTACGAGAAATCGAAAAAGCTGTAAGCTGTCAACTGATTTTAATCGAAAATATGATTTTAATCGAAAATCTTTGTATCACAGCATATTCTCGTGAGAATTTGTGCTTTGGTTTTTATTTTCCTTCGATTTAACGGAATTGTTTCTTTCGATTTAATGGGATTTAATGGAATATATTGCTTTATGATGTTCAAGAATCAACTGTTTTGACTTTAAAACCATATGACGTTTTCAAGGGCGGCGTGCAGTCACTGTAAAGTATGTAAACATATTTCTCGTTTACAATCTTATCTGCCATAATTTTTAATAATATATTCTACTGTCACGATATTCTACACCATTTCCGTTAGCGATAGTTTCAAATGAATATGAGATAGAGGTTATGTTCAGAAAAGAAGTTTTGGTGATTACCAAATTATTATTTGAGCAAAAATGTTTCTCCTTGCAGTGGGAGTAAATCAGCAGTTCACTTGATGTAGAATGTAATTGCTATGGGGTTAACTCAAGAATTCAACCCTTTAACGCTTTAGGATGTTTTCTGAGTATGCATACATTTTTGTAACAACATATAGAAGGTTTCTTTTGCTTCTGCTATGTGGTTGTGGAAGGGTGATATTCTCAGAATTGAGCTATTGTTTTATATTGGTTGGAAAAGTGTCTTCACTATTAATCAACCAATGCCCATGAAACAATAATTAATCAGGAGCAGAAATAAACAGAGGATGCATGAGTATTTCAGTATTTAATGGAAAGCATTTCTAGGCACTAATTTTCTCATTGAGTTGGCAAAAAGTAAAACATTGAGGAAACATTGCTATATTTCCTTGTTGGCCATGCATCTAGCCTAATATGTGAGGGACATAAATTTGAGAGTATTGCAAATTAAGTACATCCAAGGCACGTTAACACCAGATTTGTCATGTTTCATGTGTCTAGATTGGACTGATAATCCAAAATTACCAGATTTACTACCATTTCAACCCAAGTTAAAAGTTAAAATGCCATACATCTCACCATTGTATATCTGCATGTTGTTATTGGACGTCCTTCTGCAAGATGAAGAACGATATGTACCTTTTTGGAACAAGATTTGTTACATCTGTTTTATGTATGAGATTTCGAATCTGCATAATAGAATTTAATAAACAGTACATAATAAATAAGGTTAATTTGTTATCTCAGCTATTAACGGTTGATCTTTTCACCAAAACTTTCTGCTCAAGGTCAAGGACATAAACTTGCTAACGTGATAGCCTCGCTATTGTGTGCGGTGGCTTTAAACCTGCTGCATGAAAACTACGAACTCAAGGGCCAAGCCAACTTTGTAAGCCAAGTTCCCCCCAGATCTTAGCACATAGGCTAGTGAGCTAGGATATGATACGAGTAAAACACTCTTTACTAAATCAAATTTTTATATGATAATTTTGAAGTCTTTTTCCCATGCATGATTACATTCTTACTACCATTTAATTTCGTAACCACATGAGCGGATTCTTCTTGGTATAAGAGTACTGAAAAAAGGTTGTTCAACAAATCGCTTACCCGGATGATTCTGTTGATTTAGGTACAGCGCAGTATGGTCAACAAAGTGGTATGTAGTGACTTATCACTTCACGTGATCATATCATTCATATGCATTTGTAACATAAACATTGTGTTCTTTTTGTACAGTTAAATATATAATATTATAATCTGATAATTTTTTACAGGGGAAGTAGTTGTTCAGAATCCTGGATTTGTCCAGCTTCAAATGCCACAACCAATTCCTAACTGTCCTCCAGGTCTTGAGTACCTTGCACAGATTGATCAACTGATCATTAAACAAAAGAAAGAACTTTTTGAAAGTAAGAACTGCACACATGCAGTAGTTTAGCTGACAATTTTATGGGAGTTTTTTTTATAACACATGCATTGGACGCCATTCTTCGGTTTTCATTGAAGCATGGATAAACTTTAACTTCCCTTCACGAAAAAGCTCGTTTTCCTTTTACAAACTGCAAACGTTGTTTGTGTTTTCTTTATCTAATTCTCCTTCGTGAATTTTTCGTTTTCTTCTCATTTAGTCTTCACAGGCTGTGAGATGCAAAATAAATATCATGTTTACAACACACTTGGTCAACAAATATACTTTGTTCAAGAAGGTTGGTTATAATAAAACATTAAAGACTGTTGAAAACTGTTTAGAGATATCAGTCTATTTATTTATTTATTTTGTATTTCATTATAGATACAGACTTTTGTACCCGTCAGTGTTGTGGTCCCTTGAGACCATTTGATATTCAAGTGATTGATAATTTTCAACGAGAAGTGATCCGTCTTGTTCGTCCACTGAGATGTCAGGGAGCCTGTTGTCCATGTTGCCTTCAAGTATTGGAGGTTCATGCCCCACCTGGCAATATTGTTGGATACGTGAAAGAAAGGTAGGCATAATTCACATCAGCACAACAACGGTTCATCCTGAGACTTGAGACAGTCTCCTCTATATATACGTCTTGTTTCACTTTTTTCTTTAATTATTTTTTCATGCCCTCTTAAATTTTTTAATGGCCATGATCTTTGGACATTCAATGAACGTTTCTTGTATTTATCTGCCCGCTACATCCGCGTTCTAAACACAAATAATATTAGTGATTTCTTTTTAATTTTTGCTTATTGTGTTTGGTTTTGTTAATGTCCGATGTACACAAACCATGCATAATCCTCACTTTTTTTTTAACTGGTTGTACTTTTCACGACCATGACTTTTGAAGTAAAAACAACATTTCATACTGTCCTGAGTTTTCTTGCTTATTCTTGAATGGTTATATATTATCTTTTAAAATGTGTTGTTTGCTGTGAATACGATCTTATATAGATGGACATGTTGTTATCCGAAGTGGGATCTTTTCAATGCCAATAATGATCTTATCCTGACCATTGGAGGACCACTTTGTCAATGCAAATGTTGTGGAGATGTCGTTTATAATGTATGTATTTTTATTGCTCCTTGTTATTCATACCCAAGCGACATGGCCTAGTCCATGACAGACAGCAGTGAAGATGAAGAACAATGAGCGACTTATTCGATTATTTCGATTGATTTCAGCCTACCATCATACATCCAGTCATCTATATCAATTTCCTATTGCGTACCGTGTCAGATAGATCGATGATTTATATAATTGGGACGTTAGATTTCCTGGCTAAAATAAATTTGTTTTAACATTAAAAGGTAATGTCAGCAGATGAAACATCTGAGGTTGGAAAGATCACAAAGCAATGGATGGGTCTGATGGAACTCTTTACCGATGCAGACAACTTTTCGGTCACATGTAAGTCACTTTGATCTTAAAATAATATTTACTATGTGATATCTTCTATGTTTATATGTTGAACTTTCATCCTGTATAGTTCCAATGGACATGGATATTTCAGCCAAGGCTGTGATATTTGGTGCCGCATTCCTAATTGTGAGTAGTATATACGATTATTTTAAGTCCGTTGCCTGCGTACGAACGGTTTAAACTGGAGCTGAAAGTTTTGTATTCTTTTTTTACAGGATTTCATGTATTTTGAAGAAAGTGACAACTGAATCAAGTTATACTAATATAAAAGACAGTACTATTCTTGACCATGTAATCAATTTCACTGTGATATTTAATATTTTTAATGTTAAAAGTAGCAACCAGCAAAGTTTGCACGTTATTCTAAGTATGGATATCGTGAAACTATAATGTAACACAGCATATTGTTTGATGTTCATCCGAAAGTCTTCCCTCTATATTTATCATACTCCTCTTTTATTTAATCACGACTTTGCTTGCAATCTATATGCAGACTGTCATCGCACATTTTTTTACTAATAAAAATTAATTCGTACATATTGCTGAATGCTTTAATTATTGTGACTTGGTAAAAACATAAACCGTTGATCCAGCTAGTTGGGAAGGTGTTACTGATCGTAGTTCTAAAGAAAGAAGGGACATTTTCATTGCTAAAAATATAATTTAATGCCCATGCGTAACTCTTCCCAAGAATGACGTTATTTTTTATGCAATTCCAGGAAACAAAAGAAATTCGGTACAATAATTACTTGCATGCAAAAACGAGAAATCTGTGAAAAGATACTGAATTGCATCGGTATAAACTTTTTGCGCTTCATGGCAATGAAGATAAAACATTTCACTGCAGTGTACTTGCAATGCGTGGAATTTGAGCAGTATAAAAATGGCAACAACGACAGCAAGCGATAGCATGTAGTTTACGAAAACAAAATCCTACCGTCTTTGCCTTCAACGTCATGAGAAAGTCGAACGTTCCCTCCGTACAATCCAAAAACTACTTTTACCTGGTAAAAAAATATATTTTTTTTACAACCAATCTCCTGGTTTGGTAATGCTTTGAACTCTATCTATATATTTAAGCTCAGAACATTTTGAAAAGTGGAAGAATTTTGCGTTGCTGGGTAAATCTATGGGTTAAACTATATCTAAAAGATGATAGTTATCTTAGAATGTCGAAGACATCACTTCTTCCCTCAAGTCCCAACCACGAACAATATTTTATTACAACAATGTTCAAATGTTATGGTATAAAAAGGTACGCGAAAATCACCTCATGCACGTACCTGCTTAACAAACTCGTCGTAAGTTAATAAATAATCTCCTTTAGGGTTTTCTAAAAGGATCGTTCCCATGCTCCCTGTCACTCCAGTCCCTGGCTTAACACCAGAACCTAATTTGACATTGACAAAGTTACAAAATGGACTTGGTCCTGAGTTAGCAGATGTTTCGTGTCCTCGATAGATCCACAATTTCAATCGACATTCCTTCAACTAAAAAGCGTCAGAAATATTGACAACGTTAACAACATTTAAATATATTTCAGACTGGGTGTCGAAGTCTCGTCGAACTATTTTTAACAATTAGTTTCTCAATATCGCAAGCTAGCCATGCAGGGTCTTCACTTCAACATGGGAAGAAGACAAAAGGGAATTTTTTAAGGACGTACCTCCATGACTTCTTGAATAATTAAAGAAAGATTAAGACAAGAATCAGATGAAGAAATTGGTTGTTTTGTGGCATCAGCAATGTAATCTCGGTAATTCTGAACAACAGATTGTAAATAGGAAGCTTTCTCGTTGTCTTTTATTGTCTCAACGTCATACGCCACTGTGATGTCATCAGTTGGTTGCAAACCCGCCTTTAATAAAAAAAATACCAAATTAAAATCCTTTAATAAAAAAAATACCAAATTAAAATCCCCAAATCGTTTATATATACCGAGGTTAATTTCTTTTTAAATAACTTAACCTTAGATATAGTTTCCCAAATCCCGAGAACAGGGGATACACCTTATTTATCATTACAGTGTAATAAGTTTGATAGTAATTTCGTAAACAAACAATCACTGAAATATATTAAAAATAAACTTATACTATATATTATTACCTTCTTACGTAATTTTTGAATGCGATTGACCACTTCCCTTGCGACACCTTCGTCCAACATGGTTTGATCAGGAGTGACGTCAAGTAAAATGAGAACCTGCGGAAATGTATAGTCCATGCATTACATGTAACATAGCCGGATATATTTTACTGTATTAGTCCTTGAATTTATAGCTGACATAGGTAGAAAAACGATGAAATATCACTCACATCATTGTCGGAATGAGCTTCGTATTGCGATGACATGCTGCTGTTTTTATCAAAGGTGTATATCAACTAAAAAAGAAAATGAATATCTCTGGAGACGTCTCACCCCTGTCTTACGTCTAGTCCTTACACTCTTGTGAAATGTTGTGTTTTGAAATCCATGCAGACAAACCTTGAGATCAGTTCCTGATAAGACATGTCCCAAAATATCTATTTTTCCATTCTTGATATATTCTTTCAACTGACTATCAGTTAATTCTAGAATGTAAAAGGAAAAGGTCGACGAAAGTCAAAAGTAGTCGAAAAAGCATAAAAATAGGGCTTATGTGTATTCAACTCCAGTCCCTATCTGTTTCTTCAAGACAAAATACCAGATTATACTCATTTTCTGCAATCTCATGCACCAAATCAAAAGCAAAAACCAGAATCGAATTTCGTACCTTTAATAGCTTGCGAGACCTGCTTAAAAGCTCCCTTTAACCTTCTTCCAAGAGTTTGATTATCTGGTTCAGCTTTAAGATGTATTCCATATTTGTCTCTTTCTGAAGACACAGTTAGTTTCTTAACATTCAGTTCCTGAGAAAAAAGTCGATACTTGAAAACCAGCAAAAAAATTAACAAAATTCACATTTGGTTTTAACAGGAGAGATGAACCACGATTATAGTTTACAATTGTTTGCATTTTTAAATGATTTTTAAATGACTAACCTCTAGGATGTAATTTTCCAAAGATTTTACATCTTCTAAATATTGACTATCTTGATGTATAACAATTACCTCTGGTAGGGGATACTAAAATAATATAATTCACGGTTACATGAAAGTTCACGGAGTTACCTTGAATGTATAAGTACATTTAAAACAAATATTTCTTGATCTACCTTGATTGGTAAAGTCTTTCGATCTCTCACAACTCTGCCAAGTTCGATGACTGACTGCATATGCGAGACAGCATTTTCAATATCTTCATGAATCAAGTCTTTTCTAAAATAACACAATTATAGGCCATTAAAAACACATCTGAGATATGCTAGAGGCAGCAAACAAATATTAAAATCCTGCATATTTAAACAATTGAAACAGTTTAAAAGTGTTAAGCGATAGTTCACGCACGAAGGTATAAAAAATTTACAAACCTCTGCTTAGGAATCATTAGGTAATGTACACTATCAGTATATTCCTCAGATTTCTCAAACTGGATATAATCTTTCATTCGTTGAAACATGTATTCCGTTAGAAAAGGCGTAAATGGCGCCTAATTAATTATACGAAGAGAAAGAAACAATTCAGACCCAAGTAAAAATTTTTTTTTCAGAACCCGGGTATGCGAACTCCCAAATGTTTGGTAAAATTGTGTTTGCCACAGGGCTCAAAAGAAAAACTTGCAATGTTTGGTAAAATTGTGTTTGCTACAAGACTCTGAAATCAACTGTTTAGTTATATGTATTGTGGGTAATGATATGGTTCATATGTTTCAAATATTAATTGTTACACAATGGCGATGGAGGACTTTAATTAACATTTTCAAATTATGATCAAGAAACGATCTCAATATATATAATATATATATATATTACTCACCATCATTCTATTCATTGTATAAATAACATTAAATAAAGTTTGCATCGCCATGTAACTATCTTCTTTACCAAATTCACCCTGAAGAAAACACCAGAAATACCAGAAGGTTGAAGTGAGTCTACACTTACATGTTTGTACAGTATATTATAAACATAAATACAAGTTTTACCTTGAGTCTTTTCCTATTTGACCTGACATACCAGTTTGTGAGTTGATCAATGAACGTTACCAAACGAGGAACAACAGTATACAAGTGATAAGCTGGAAAAGGAAAATGGCACGGATGAAAAAATTCATTCCAGACAAAGATATAGAACCCAGATGTGGCGAAAAATGGGGGGAGAGTAAAGGCGAGTTTAACGGTAGAATGACAGAGACCAGGCGGTTTTTATAAAAATAGCATTTAACGAGGAATGATTGAGGAGGGCGGAGGTAGAAGACCCTGGACACGAGGTTGGATTTAAGCAAGAACAAGATAGTAACAAGACTTCCAGAGTGACATCTTTCATCATATCATGTAAATAGCGTTAAAAATATCAATACTGATAACATTATAGGACAATGGAACAGTGATATAAATATACATGGTTGAACGTTAACAATTATTTTTTAATGCAACCAATTGTGTTGTAGGCTTACCAGACATTTCCCGCTCGAAAAACACAACCAGGGACTGAACAAATGAAAGTATCCATCTATCCATGATGTTACTTAAAACAGTCATTTTTGATTCATCGTACATAAATTTAACTTCATTATCCTAAAAGTGTAAAATATACTTGATGTTTCAAGTAATATCACCCGACTTAGAGTCGGAAAACGACATTAATTTCAGTGTTAACAACTCTGGTTTGATAACGTCGCATTACAAATCATGTTTACTATATCTTTATCCCACACTATGTGTGTAACGCATGCATTAAGACTGATTATAAATGCATTAGAGATCAGTGCCATACGGAGTTCCTTACCTTTTCATATTGTTGAATATTTTGTAGTAGAAATCTGTAAGCATTCAACCACGGTAAGAATACATCTTTGATTATATCTTTAACACCTTTTTCTTGAAACTTCAGAGTATCTGCTCTGACAACAGGTGAGTTGATCAGGTACAACCTTCGAAATGAAAAATTTCTTTTTTGATGCATGGAGGAGGAAATACTGGTGTATATATTCTCACCGCTGTCATGGAATTCCCCGCCTTCTGATAAATTGTCTACTAAGGTCTTGCACTCTGATACCCTGCCTCCTTATACCCTGCCCTCTGCTCTCCTGTCCCCTAGTGTCTTGTACCTTGATATCCCTCTATATATCCTACCTCCTAACGTCTGTTGATGTCATTTTCTCTGACGTCACCCCCTGTTCTACCCCCTGATGTCCTCCCCCCATGTAGTGACCCCTGTTGTTCTGACTCCAACACTCCTGCCTTTCTTAAAAAATGAACTAAAACGACTAACTAAGATGTAATGATATAAACGCAGAACAGAGTACTACCTTAGAGCATCAGAGCCATATTTATTGATGACTTCCATTGGATCGGGATAATTTTTTTTTCGTTTGCTCATTTTTGAACCATCTCTGCAAACAAGAATAATTTATATATTTGAGTAAAAATAATTTCAATCTCTAAATTTCAATAGAAAATGAATATTGTATGTCATGAATGGCGTCCTTTCAGTGAAAATAGGGAGCTTTAGCAGTGACTACGAGTACGACTACGAGTACGAGATTCGTCATTCTCGCGCGTTGTTTGCTTACGCCATCAGTCAAAACTCGTAGTCGCCGGGCATTTGAGTACGAGTTTTTTGATAAACTTCGTACTCGAAAGCCCAACGACTACGAGTTTTGGCTGATGGCGTAAGCAAACAACGCGCGAGAATGACGAATCTCGTACTCGTAGTCGTACTCGTAGTCACTGCTAATAGGGAGCTTTAGCAGTGACTACGAGTACGACTACGAGTACGAGATTCGTCATTCTTGTGCGTTGTTTGCTTACGCCATCAGCCAAAACTCGTAGTCGTTGGGCTTTCGAGTACGAGTTTTTTGGCAAATTTCGTACTCGAAAGCCCAACGACTACGAGTTTTGGCTGATGGCGTAAGCAAACAACGCACAAGAATGACGAATCTCGTTCTCGTAGTCGTACTCGTAGTCACTGCTAAAGCTCCCTATTGAAATATTTCCATACGGCACAAAAAAATGTTTAAGCCGTGTATTTAATATAACAAAATCAGTTCCAGCAATGGCTTGATTTAAAAAAAGGTACTTTTTGGACAACTTTGTACATATTTAACTATAAGTGTGAAAGGTCGTCGTGTTATACGAGTGTGACAATCAAATGAACTTACGCTGCCAAAACAAGGCCATTCACGATCAAATTCTTGAAAGGTGGTTTGTTAAAAAGAGCCGTAGAAATGACTAACAAGGTGTAAAACCTGTTTTGAAAATTAAAGAATTTATTGGTGAGAATGTAATCTTGGTGGAATATTTATGATGAGGCAGAGATTTTAATATTTCCCGGGAGGTGGCATACACCTGATCTACACTGTTACTATAAAAAAAACGGAGCACATAAGTTGTATAAGCGTGTGCATGCATTCACGCACAAGTTCGTTAGCCTTCCTTCCAACCAGGACCTACCAGGCATACTACATAATAAATAAAGTTCATGCATGCACGTGGTGCAGGTTTTCAATAAACAAAAAGTTGTCTCTTACCAGCCTCGGGTCTGATCAATGCCTTCAGCAATAAAATCAGCAGGAAAACAATTTTCAAAGCCTTCTTTGTTTTCAAAGGGATAGTGTTCTTGAGCGTACGGCATGCTAAAAAGATTTGCAAGTTTGAATAAATTGCTATTTCCAAGTCAACATTTTTCTAAAATTATTCCCCACCTTCCACTTTCAAACCAACAGTCAAAAACTTCGCTAATTCTCTTTAAAGTTCCTCGACCAGTTTTCGAAGGAATTGTTATCTTATCAGTACTAGAGAGAAAGCAATAATCAATTCAAAGTATAATGCAATAATAATACACACCAATGAACTATCCTCTTTCTTTGCAGTAAACGCATGACAATAGAGACAATTTTTAATCTGTTTTATTCAGGTAACGGATGCACAGATCACATGCATGTTACTTCGCCAATTATATGAAAGAGACGGCGTACTTTTCTCTGTGGAGGTCAGTTGCTCGAACACCAGACAATTGCTCCAATTCATCAATAGATCCAACGCACACAACCTTGGTAAGAAATGTTGATGAGTTAAACAACGCGGGGTGAAAGATAGAAAGATAATTCATCATAAATCCTGAATCAAAGTTCTTTTAACGGAGACACAAAAAAAAACATGAATAGCGAGAGTGAATAAATTTCATAAAATATACAGAAATTCATGTTCATTTGTATATTTACAAACAAATCAGAATCACACGACTTGATTCACACGATTTGAATTTTGAATTCCCTTAGCTTCCTTCTCAAATTATTCACCCTGAACGTTTTTTAATCATGACCTCGTTTGTCCGCAACAGTACATTAAACACAATAAAAAGCCAACACAAAACGCACACCTCTTCATAATCATCGCTAACCCAAAGTGGTATCGGTGTTCCCCAATATCGATTTCGTGAGATATTCCAGTCATGAGCGTTCTCTAACCAATTATGAAAACGTTTTTCTTGAACGAATTCAGGTACCCTGAATAAAAACAAATTTAATTTCAAAAGTGGATCGTGTCAAATTCTCCAAGCGTTGGTCATCAACAGTGGGAATACTTTGTGAGGAATCAAGAAAAGTTAGAATACCATTCTTCAGAATTATGATTTTACACAGAGCCAAATCTACATACTTCTTCAATAATATCTTTATAGATAATATTTATATTAGCGTTTGAGATACGAGTTCAAGCTTACCAGTAAGAAATTTTATTATTGACGAGCAACTTATCGACGAACGACTCAACTTTAACAAACCAACCAGGAACTGCTTTATAAATGAGAGGAGTATCTGACCTAGAAAAAAATATTAGTCGTTTTGGCCATGAAATATCGTTTCAATGATAGAGACAATTTGAAAAAGAGTTTAAATTTGTAAATGAATCAAAAAATAAATTTAAAATTAAATTTTAATGCACATAACACATATCAAAATCATTGTTGACAAAGTCGATGTCAGTGTATGTTTCAAATGTGAAAATTTGTTCAAACCTCCAACAAAAAGGATAACTATGTGTTATGGTGCTTTGATGGACTAATCTTCCTCTTTCTTTCAATAATTTTGTTATCTTTTTATCTGCCTCCTATAGAAATGAATTATTTGTTGAAGCTGCCCGAAATTCCTATTTTATACGTAATTCCCAAATCGGTATAATCCTTGCTAAATAAAGGCTATATAAAGGACAAGAGTTATGATATAGACAACTACGCGTTTAGACAGTTTAGCCCACAAATATGTGTTCCCACAACAAGATATATACGTCTGCATGTCACAAAATGAGGTATTCTCATATATCTTTTCATAAATCAGTACTAAGGTGTAATTTCAACTAGAACAGCAAACTCATCCAAGAAAAATGTAAGAAAATTCCATATATTTATCTACACATGTTTTTCTGTGAACGATATATCATCAAACAATTCACCTTAACATGGATACCATTAAAATCAGTGACTTCCTCCGTAAACTGTCCTTGATTGTCCACAGGACATGGTACTTTATCACCTTTCTTGATTACACCATGCGCTAACGAGACTCGGAAATCGTCCTAGAATTCATCACAAAATTCAGCTGAGATTACAACCAGTGGTTATAACGCAAAGTTATTCACGTTAGACAGTTATATTACCTCTCCAAATCCGGGGGCAGAATGAACAACACCTGTGCCGCTATCTTCTGTGACAAACGTGTCACAGAGCACTCGAAATGCACCATCTTTCTTTAACTACAATTTGTAACATTAAGGCAAAACAATTTATCTTACATTAACTGAAATATTGTGTAAAATTACCCGAAACTGTATCCTTGTGTATGATCAACATGCCGTGGACACAATGTGTGATTAAAATATCTTCTTTTATGGCTCATTTACCTTCTCGAAATAGCTAAATATGGGTTTATAAGTCTTGTCTTTTAGAGTTTTGCCTGGAAATCTAGCGTAATAGAAAATACACCATATATCAATTTTAGTGGGCCAAGATAAAAACTATATAGGAGCCTGTTTTCCATTTCACTTTTCTGATTTTCTTTTGGTATGTTTGGTTCTGATTCATGGTTTCTTATGAAATTTCTGGAAGCAATAAATATTTCTTAGCAAAAGTGAACCAATGTTCTTCGGGCTTTAAGTTCTAACTGGAATAAAGTTCCTTTAAAATGTTGACATTTTATGCTTGACGTTGAAATTATACCTTTCTAAAATTGTAAAATCTTCTGGCTTTTTGAAAAGAGCAGTGATCCTTGCTTCCATCATAATATATACTTTACTAGTTTCATTATCTACAATATGAAATAATAACGTTAGGAAAGTACGTCACATTCCGCCATTGGAAACGACCTCCATCAATACATGTTTGTATTCCTCTTCAGTTTCCTAATAGATGGGTAATTGTAATTGCAGAAACTAGTGTGCAAATCATATTCTTTTTCACTTTTGCTGCATGTTAATAGTCATTGAATTAGTAAAACGATTGATGTTTTAAGTTACAAAATGAAGAAGTTTCAGAAATTCAGTTTGTTGTCTTGAAATGGAATTTGTAAACACAACCAGGAACAATGAAAATGAACAATATGCATGAATGAAATTTGAATGAACAAGTTTTAAAAGTTACAACGTCAGAGATCCCACCTCTAATTTTAACATAGGTTAGATCAGGATGAACAACCAAGGCCAGGTTACTAGGCAAAGTCCATGGCGTAGTTGTCCAAGCTATCATGCTGACCTCAGGATCATCATCAAGAGGAAAATTTATAATAACTAAAATATTCCAAAAGGAGATAATTGTTTTTCATTATTATTAAAATTAGAAAACAATTTCAGCAGCAAATCATGGTATGCTCCAGAGTGGTTATTATTCAAATAAAATTTAACAATACCAGCTGGATCAACAACGTCTTTATAATTCTGATTTGCTTCAAAATTTGACAGAGGAGTTGTGCATTTTGTGGAATATGGCATCACCTGATGAATGATATCCCAAAATTAACTGGTTAGCGGAAATTAAAAATCTGTTGCTTACCAAAGTATTTTAACAAATCCAAGAACAGGGGAAGGGGTGGAGAGAGAAACTGTGAAAGTAACAACAATAAGAGTATGTTAAATATTTTATGCACAAGTACCTTAAAACCTCGATACACTAAGCCCTTGTCGTAAAGTTGTTTAAAAACCCACCTAAAATATAATCACAGAATCAATAATAAGGCATCTTTATGTGACTGATTGAATTAAGATCAATAACTGTATCTTCCACAAGTCAATTTTTAGTCAACATATTTATATATGTCTTTATGTGGCCAGTCAAATTTGGTAACATTGATCAGTCATATTTTATACTTCCAACTGAACACAGTTGAATTGTAGCAATTGTGGAATTGCAGACCAATCAAAAATCATGTTTAAATGGTCACAAGTTGAAATGACTGATTATCATGGCCATTGTCATGTTATTCTGTGCTCTGCATACTGCATCATTTTACAACTAAGATGTGGGAATTTGAAAATATTTTTTCAAAATATAATTGATGATAGAAAAAAAAGTATACATACCATACAGATTCCATAAATGTGGGGTACATTGTTTTGTAATCATTTTCAAAATCAATCCACCTTCCCAATCTTGAAACAATTTTCTAAAGTTAATGATGGAGTTATACATTTTGAATGAGAGAACATGGGGACTCACACAACAATCTGCATGATTGTTTGCTGGAAATATCTTTTTAAATACTTGCCTCCCATTCACCAGAGTATCTCATAACAATACTGCGACACTCTTTATTGTAGTTATCAATTCCCATTTTAAGAACATCGTCTGGACCCTAATGATTTTATTCAATTAGAAAACTCACTAATATTAGCAAAAGCTTGCAATAGATTCCTGATTGGGAACTTATATGCACTTTTCAAAATACCACAAATCTATCAATATACGTACATTAATTCCAAGTTTCTTGTCAATTTCATATTCCTTTATTGAAAATCATAAGCAGATTGGATAAGCATACACTTGGAGAGAAAATAATTCCACTCATAATATTCCTACTCTTTTCAAGGCAAACCAAACTCTATGGAATTTTCATGAATAAATTTGTTATATGGAAGGAAGTGAAAAGAAATATGTTAGCAAACACAAAAGTGGACAAACAATATATTGCATGGGGACTAGCTGTTTTGGCAAATAATGTGATTGCATTAGAATGGATATTATGGTTATTGAACACATTTTAATTAACAAAATAATTCATGACCTACATACTTAATTATAAATTACTATTCAATATTCATTTATTACCGATACATACCACTGGAAGTCCATGACAATCCCATCCAAATCTACGTTCAACATGATACCCTGACTGATGTGCATAACGAGTAACTATATCCTATCAAATTACAACGAATAAAATAAAAAAAAATCACATTCCTTATTATTCCATATCATATACAGGGTGTCTCAAAAAAAACGCAACCACTTTAATATGCAGAACATTAATACAGCTCTAAAGCGCAATAAATAAGCACCTCTGGGAATTGAAAATGGCTCTTAATCCTTCATTTACAATGCTAACAGTCATTTTAGCTGAACTTTGGTGCAAACTCGAACAATATAAATATTCTTGCATATTTAAGTGGTTGCGTTTTTTTTGAGACACCCTGTATATACAATAAGTAGGGCATACCGATTGATAACTTGTTATTTTTATGATATTATAGTTTTATATAAAGATGAATAATATCACTAACCTTAATAGTTCCAGCTAATATATGGCCATAATGAGGCAATCCAGTTGCAAATGGTGGGCCATCATAAAATGTATACCTAGACAAAACCAAATCAGCTTGAAGGAGCAACTTGGACTTGATAATGCAATCTTGAATGTCTGATAAGGCAACATCTAGCATTGGGCAGGTAAATACTATAATAGGTACATTTTGGACAAACAGAACTATCTAGATATTCCTTCATACATATGGAGTGCTGTTATTGTCTATGTATTTAGTGTTTATAAAGGCATGTCAGAAAACGCCTTTAGGACAAGTCCATGATGTGCATGTCTACTCCACAGACATGCAAGGAGAAGCCCAAAAAAAGAAGTAATCCTTTTAATTTAGTTGCAAACATTCACATGAATGATCAGAAGCCAATCAGAGAGCGTACACGAAGTACTCACCTAGCTAGGCTAGGGCTCTGATGGGCATACATCTACACAGCAAAAAACGTTCAAGTTGTTCCGGGTTGATGAGAACAGGCCTCAACATGGAACAACAATGTTCATGGGGTGCAGGCCGTGCAGCACAGTATTGTTGAGGCCTGTTCTCATCAACCGGGAACAACTTGAGTGTTTTTTGCTGTTTACAAGCCATCAGTCATGTAACCAGTTGGACAAAGGGGCACTTTAACTTTTTAACAATGGGAAAGTAAAGCGCGAAAAGAAATCCCAATTGGGGAAAAATGGCAAAAAGGAATTTGGGTTAGGGTAAAACAATTCCCAATACCAACTGGCTGAATAAAGTATTTGCAACATATGAACATGTATTGGAGGCTAACATTGATATAGTAGCAAAATAATGTAATAATATGTGGTTACATTCTGCTTGTTACCATTTCACTCTAGGGTTTTGCAAATATCCTGGGGATTGTTCATGCAAGCTCATTTGAGTCATTTCTCCTCTTCCCCCCTCCCTATAAGCCTTTCATGCAGCCCATGTTGGGCGCTGGCTAATGTTAAACCAGCTCAATCCACTATCAACTTCTCAAAACATAAATATGCACAGTATATATGAATTAATTGCAGCAAATGTCATTACAAAATATAGTTGTGGCAAAAAAGCTTCACAAACAATCACAGAATTACCTATTTAACTTTCAATCAGGTAATCAAAATCTGGTTTCATTAATTTTCTTCCAGCACAAAGTAAAAGTGGTTACAACAAAGTTCCAATCTAGTACGCCGGGTTAAACACTGAATATTTTTTACTTTTTACTATGATTAACCAACCTTGGCTTTCCTTCGGACTGTTTTAAACAAGATTTAAAAGCATCTAATTTACTCCACAATTCGAGAATCTTCTCCTCTTCTTTCGGAAAGTGATGTTGTTCTGCCATATCGTCAGACCTGAGATGCTTTGTGGCGATTAGATTTTTAGTCAATGATGATAACGATCGAGTTAGCTGCAAAACTGAAGACTTGTAATTGGAAAAACTCCGTAAAATCATTTACTATAACAGTGGAACCCCATTGCATCAGCTTTTAAAACAAAAAGTTAGGGCAAGAAGGATAAAGAACACGTGAATTTTGTTGTTTATGTTTCCACTTTACTCTCCTTTATTTCGAAATGTTATAGAGTAGTAAATGACGACATAGGCCAATAACCATATATAGGTGTCCAAGGGACCAAGATGTCCCAAAAATAAGATGACTAAACATCAACCTGCTATAGTGCTATTGTACGTAAATTACTTAATCTACGAACGCAAGTTTTCAAAAACGATGTTAAAAAACGCTGTAATTCTACTCGTCATCTTTCACGGTTCCAAATACTTTAAAAGGCGTTGCCTGTTTTGACACACCCAGTATATGTAGATACGGTGAAACCCAACAACATTATTTTATATTTAAAAAATGAATACTAGTATTACTTTTATGCTAATATTTTCCACTTGACCATTGTGACTACACAGTTTCAGCACCTAGCCTTAAGTCTTTTACTAATAGTATATTATCAACCTAAACTTTATTAACTTAATTAATCCTTAGTACCTTATATTAACCTTAATTTGACCACATGCACTAACTTATACCTGGTTAAACGTCGAATTTTGGTCGCGTCGAACGGAATTCAAATAGATGAGATGTTACGGAGGTTTATCATCATCTCATTGAATTGCATTCAACGTGATCAAAATGCGACGTTTAACAAAGGCCTTACAAGAACAATGCGAAAAAAATTCTCCCCGCGTGATTTTTTTCTCGCATAATCATGCAGATTTGCAATGGTTTTCTATAGAGATGTTACATGTTATATATACATACTTAAAGTATAGTATAGTATACATACTTAAAGGGGTATATAAATTACTTCTTTGTCTTCATCATAATTTATAATTCCAACGTATGAATACGGGAGTGCAGTTTTAGTACTTTGCCAGTTTCCTGATCATATTTTGCTGAACTATGACTATCCAGTTTCTCAAATATGGATAATATAATAAAGTTACCTAATTATGAATACAAAACTTAACTATCTAATTGCATAAATAACTAGTATAATTATACATATTATGAATAAAAGCGTTTCTAAAAAGATGTTCTAATCATCAGAAAAGATGGCGACGACATGTTCCAGCTTGCTTGCGAGCTGTGGATAACGTGCGTCTTCTAGTGCCTCTTGGAGCTGATCAATAAATCAAAAGTTTAGAGATACAGACCATTCAACGATAAAAGATCCGCTTGCTGAAGGCCATCAACATTGTGACGTTTGAAAAGGTTTTCAAGGGAGCATTCAAGGGGACTAAATCAACCCGCCCAGGGTTCAGAGAGCAGAAAATAGTCATGAAGTAGCGCGGAATATCCCCTGGGGAGTCTGGCAGGTTCAAAGTCGTCTTCTTGTCGAGAATTATCGTAAATTAAGGTTGTCAAACCATGCACCGGGGCCTGAAGAATCACGTCAGCAAGTTTCGCTGGTCACAACAATTTATCATGCATTGTGGTAGCTTACGGCTCACCTCGTCTTGGTACTTGGCTGCATACTTGTACAATTCTTTCAATGCGTTATCTACATTAAAGTCTTCAATGTAATGCTATATCAGGAAATGAGATAAGGTGGAATATCAGAGTTTTTATACAATTATCTTTAGAAACTTCAGAAAAAATATAAATCATTTTATGCTTATTACAGTTGATATTTAGACTATTTTTGTGTATGCTACCAACGGCGGAAACTACAGAAGGTTACCCTAAAGCCATTGTCACCTAAATCTCTTAATGTTAGTAAATGGCATGCAATTAAAAAGATACTTTGGTAATGATAACTTACAGTTGCGAAAAACTCTGTAATTTCTTCGTCCGTTAACCTCGGTGCCTTCGAAACCTCCTGGTAAAACCTTTAAAAAATGACGTCGTTATAACTTATATCTATATAACTATATATCCTCTTCATTTAACGTGTAATATTCATTTTAATCGAGTGAAGTAAATTAAAGACATCGGTAACTATGCGAAAAACAAAATTTCACAACACCTTTCAACTTTTTGTTTGTACACAGGTATTTCCTTCGCATACAGCAGTTTATTTGATGGAGAATCCTATATATGACAGAAATAATATAACCTATAGAGCGATGTTTAAACTTGTATTAATTATTTAAAGAACGACAAACTTACTTTCCCAAGCACGTGATCAGTGACGGAACAAGAGTCCATGAACAACTACGATAAAACAATTAAAACCAATTTTAAGGTGGGGAAAAAAACACGATTAACTAATGATAAACCGAAAACGTTGTGGGAAATGCAACTTAGTATATAGAAATCGAATCCACAGCCCCGCCTTGTTATACCAGGAGGGGCGATATAGCTAGATTTGAAAAGCAAGACGTGACATGTTGTGTTCACGACAGTTACGACCAAATGAAAGCCAGTTCTTGTTGGAGTAGCGAGAAAACGTTTTACTCTCAACTGAGTATAGCAATGTTTCTTACCAACCTGAGCAATAACACTCAAACATGAATCAACAATTGGTGCTTTATAAACATCAAATAAAAAGTTTGGATTCTTGATCAGATTCACCCAGAACCTCAACGGTAAGCTAAGAATATGAACAAAAAGAATTGAGATCACAGTAACACTCTCGAGAGATTTATCGTTTGTCATCAAACAAGTAAAAAAAATATTAACAGTTTAGTCCTCCGACGATCTTCCAGAAGCAAGAACGGAAGGTGAAGAAGATTTCAGAGTTCTGATTTGGGCAAAAACATTATAGTATAATTCCACTAACCTGTTGTTCTTCCACGTGTGGAGGACTTCTGGATCTGTGATATTCAACTCTTTTGCTTGGTCATCCAAGAAATCAAAAAGGAACTTGATGGGCAATGGAGGACGTTCATTCTTCCGAAATGCAGGGAAGATACAGTCAAACATGTCATCAACATATTGTTGTAATGTACCCTGAAATTGACAGTGGACATATTGCATGAGAAACTGAAAACATTTGGTAATTTGTCATATTCGTGAGCTTACGAGTAGGAATGTAAATCACACGTCACTTTGCGATGAAAGTTGCGTGTTTGTAAACATTGGGGGGAAATGCACTTTCCCTCCATGAAATAAAATTATCAATGAATTTCATTTGCTGTTTATGATTCCAACTTGATATGTCTTGCACCTGGTTGCAAGTTCACTTACCTTGGTACTCAAGAGTCGCGTGAGATATATTTCTGACAACATTTTGCTGTGTCGTGGGTCATCTTTTTCTGGTGCGTATGAGTCGACGTGTTTTGACTAAAACACAATAAAATCACATCCAAAATATAAACAGATCTACATTGTCTAATTAATATTTAATTCTTTTGTCGCTTTTTTTTCATTTTTCTAAAGTGCAAGCTAGAGGTTATTTTCATGATCATCAATACAAAGTGAATTTGTAACTTGCAGAAAATCTTACCAAGTGCCATGGTTTTCTGTCTGCATCGTTAATATTATGTTTACTACTTTGTACCAATGACGTCGTACTGTACAAAGATGGGCTGTAAGAAACCTTGGGTAAGCTCGCATTGTGGAATTCTGAAAAAAAATTAACAATAAATGACATTTGTGTTTAAATCATTATTTTTTTTATATTCTATAAATTTCCCGAGAAAGAGACATAGAGAAATACACTGATCTCAAATATAGGAGACATTCATAAACTGATAACATGCTGTTCATTTATATTTGAAATGTGCGTTGTAAGCGTGTGAACACTGCCGTTGTTCTTTCTCTCATAATATCAATATTTTTTTAAGCGTGATGAAAAATAAGATATGTCTCACCAGAAGTATCGAAACTAGCCGCAAAACGTCTGACAAGACGCAAACATGTCCCATCTGGTATTTGATAATGACCAAGCGTATTTAGTCGTTTCCATTCCCCTTCACGAAGGCTTGTGACATCATCATCCTTGAGAATCGTGTGATTTGATGGACTTTCAATCCATTCTTAATAAAATAACATCACAAGAATATACGTCATAGCCTAAGGAATAATCCTAAAATATGCGTATTTGCACGAGGTAACAGTTTGGGAGGCAGGGGCTAGTTGACAAACCCTGGTGAATTGATTATTGAATTATATTCTGGGCTGTTTCGTTACGAGAATCTTATTGACTTTACCCTTCAGTAACAACTTACTTAACGTTAACTCGTCCTTTGGAACGCGAGATGAAAATGGCACATTCTAAAGAGAATATGGAAGCATTGCTATCATTAGAACTGTAGAGAGCCACCTTTAACAATACGAATAAAGATTTACCTTAAACAAAACTTCCATTATTTTTTCCTTCGTTTGTTCGATGGTATCTGTATCAAGTACGTCCACTTGAACTGGCGGATTATCCTCAAATTCCACTGTAACTGTTAATTTCTGTAAAAATATATATATATAAGAATACTTTGAGGCAGACGTCAATATTTATTGTATTTATTTTATTTTTGTTAGGACGTCGATTTTTCGGTGTGTTCAGCCTTGGTATTACTTTGACTTTTTCACACGTGATGTTCACTTCGCCGGCACTTTTTTGTGCATCAATAATGATTCAAAAATATCGCAGATACTCACATTATAATCAATACTTTGTCTCAGTAATTTGTCCTCGCTGAGTGAATAACGAGCTTCGTTTGTCATCACATCAATGGGACCCTTTTCTACTTGAAATCGGATGGATTTGTACAACACAAACAGAGGTTTACCAGCCTTATCCTGTGACGAAAATAAGGAGGTATCCATAATTAACACTAGTTCCAATCCATGGTATTATTTCGGGAAATAAAGCTTTTGTACACCAATGATTACTTTATTATATAAGATAATAAACGTGGTTTTTGAAGTCGAAAAGTGTTTCAACTTTCAAGATTTTTCACTGATAATGAAAATTCTCTGCATGGATAATGACGCACATGACGCACCTTGATAAAGTTTGATAAGGTAAATGTCAACCAATTTGTGAGTAATTTCTCAGCAACGCATTCGGTTCTAGATAAGAAAAAATCATTATAAACATATAGTGTACTTTGTTACTTGAGTAATTCAAGAAAGGAAATGAGGGTAACCCATGCAGTACTTTCAACCGATATATCTTGAAATATTGAAAATAAACTCCACCGGGTTCTAAATTTAGTTTAGGAATTGACTATTTGTTGGGGTATTTGTTCCTGCAATCAATGGATAAAAATATATCTACAGGACATATACCTCCTTAGCAAAAGTTTAGGATGACTTTTTGACATAGATTTCCGTATTAACTCGGCCAAAAGACGCTGAAGAATGCTAAATAAAAGATCGTGATAAACGTTTCAAATACAAAATTATAGCCACATAGCAAATAGGGAGCGTGAGCAGTTGTACAGTAGCACTGGGAAAGGTGGGAAGTTGCATATTGTTTATATACATAAAATTGTAAGAATTGCCAATCATACGTATTTTTAGTGAAAAATAACAAAAGATACGCACTCGGTACAGTAATCCATTTTACTTTGTAAAGCAATAACAAGAAGAGAAGCGACGTTGCACCTGAAAATTTATAATGTAAGTACTCGTCGGATATAAAAAAATCAATTTATTGTTAAGGAACATGATATATATCATTGTGATCATACCTATCTTGCATTTTAAACTGGCCTTGGTTTTCCAATGTCTTCACAAAAATTAATAGGAAGTTTTTGTTGCCAATTAACTGCGAAAACGTTCGAAGAGCTTCGTCCCATTTGGGACTTTCTTGTGCCTACAAAACATGATAAATCAGTGTTATAAGTGTTATATCAGAAATATGGTACTGTCTCTCTTCATTTATGAACTTGAAAGAAAATTTGGGATTGAACAATGTAAAAATTTAGAAGAAAATCGTGAGGAATGAATTTCAAATTTAAACACAACTTACCATTTTTTCATCCATGACAGGATGGTGTTCAACTCCCGGAAACAAAACACGTTTTGCGTAGTTTTTGAAGTCAAAGTAATGAATGCATCCATCTCCAAGATCTGTCGTGAAGTCAGTCATGTCTGTTTGGAGTTCAGCAAATGCTGTAGAAAATAAAGAATTGAAATGTGGTGAAATATCAGAAGACATCAAGTATTGCAACGATCATTGGTAGAAATAAGTATATATTGTGTAGGGTTGTACTGGATCTTGGTCGATAGAGTTGTCAATAAAAAGTTATGCAAGAAGGCCCCATAAACTACGCATGTACACGCATAAAAGAATATCATAAAATTTGGTTTAGGAACTGCCTAATATGCAGTTTTAGCAAGCACCTTCAAGGAAGCTAGTATGAACGTTAATTCATAGGTCGAAATGTCGAGCTTTATATATATATTTTTCAAGCAGGTGTTAGACCGCATTAAATTATTAAACTTTTACAATTTTTTACTTCCTCCCCAAAATCTTCCACATGATTTTATATGCAAACATCAGCAATATCACAATATCAAGTATTTTAGGAGATCTTTGCAATATTTTTGGCGAATTTTTTTGTCAGAGGCATATTTAATATTTTAATATTTTCGTTTGCGTAATGGCTCAAAAGTCCCAACGTGGAACAGCTACTTATCGTGTCGACTGAAAAAAGAGAATGACGATCAACTATTGTCAACTATATTGGTGAACTGCTGACATAATTGGAGGAAACTATGTCATTTACGAAAGTAATAAAAAGATCAGGGTCGACTTCCTTACAAAGAAGAATGCCTTATATGGTTCGAAGGTGGGCGTTAGAAAGTTCAACTTATATTAATACTCTGCTGTTCTCGAAAAAGGTATTTTCATCTTAACCTTGCCGCTCATGGGTATTGGGTTCTCCATAAACACAAATTAATTTACATTCTTTCCACACATTTAAAACTTCCTATATATAAAAGCGGCTTTTCCAGCATTACGCCACTGTCAGTGTACAAAGCAATGTACAATATTTATTGTTCATGTTTAAGCCCGAGCGGAAAAGTTTCAGCCAAATAATCAGCTGCGTGGGTTATTTTGACCTGAACATGCTGGAATAGATGAAAGTAGTAGAAAATTGTTTTTTAATTTTTTATGCAATCAAAGAAAAAGTCATCGTTAACTATACCTTCACGACATTCTTTTGCGACCTTTGATTCCAAACTGTTTATTTGCAATTCATATGTTCGTTCTTTCTGTTTTTCTTGTCGTCTCTTGCGACGAACAAAACAGACCATCAATAAAATGAAAATGAAAAACACACCACAAATAACACCAACGATGATGTAGATAAACTCCATGTTTGAGGAACTCTTGCTCGAAGCCTGATCATACTTGAGTCTGCCAACGTTGAAACGAAGTGTGCTTGAAGAAACGTTGACCTTGAATAAAATTAAAATAATGATTTAACTCGACTGTACGTACGAGATGGTGCTATATATAAGAGTTATATTTGCAAATTTTATCGGAAGCGTGTCATATTAATTCGGTGTCCAGCTGGAAGATGGAGAGGTTTTTTCTTGTCTACATGGGCACATATCAAGTACTTTAGCTACAGAGACACGAACGTTGCATGTTGGGCATATAAATGTGATAACAGCTGTATGTTTCTACCTAAAATGATGAACGTATAACGTAATATATTGTCGTAAATATACTACAACTTGATGTCATAGGCATTAAAGACTGGATTAATTGTTTTAAAAATTGTCCATTTCTTTTTCCTTCTCCTTGTGCCATTTACAGGGGGAGAAGTTAATAATGTCAACAGATAATGAGCGTATCATTGGCAATGCCGAGGCATCAAGAATATTATAAAGTCATTTACATTATTTCTTTGATATACACAAGTAACAAACTTACCAAGACTTCAAAACTTTCCTGTTTTGGCAAGTATTTTTGATCAGGAGCATCGCAAAGTATCACTTTCTACAGATAGACAAAACTCGTGATCTTCATATGCTATGATATAGAATATGATCGACAAAAGTGCAGCAAAATTAACACGGTAAAAAAGTGGGGTTCATAAAAACAAATTATAAAATATTAGTACGCGGTATTATCTGGTATGATATGATGTACCGGAGCTGCGGACTGGGGTCAAAGTGCCTGATCAGCTATGTTTTCTGAACCCGGAAACGGAGTTGAAAACTCGAAGAAAAGACGAAAAGTTCCGACAGAAAAAAACGATATCATAGCGTCATTTTTACGCTACATAAATTGCTAAACAAAACACTTTACGACACCTAGTATAGCTACATGATTTCATAATTCATTACTTTTTCTTCTAATGAGTTTGGCGGTTTGTTATGAATTGATCTTATCAACAAAAACAAAAACATCATCATTTATATATGCAGATGAACCTTTTAGTTATGTCAAATATAATACCCATGTACACATTTGCTCTTTGCTTCTTATATCTTTTTTTATATCATCTATAAACTATTGTCTAGTTCACTAATCGTTTTATATTTTTTAACTTTAAATTTAAGATGATATATATAATCCGATTTCAGTTGTATAAAATCCTGAACTACAGTTAAAGGTTGACCCCTTTTTCGAGCCGACCGGTTCTGGTACGTTTTGTCACGTGATGGTTTAGCACGTTGATGTATAAGTGAAATAATGATAATAATGTACGAACCCGAGAAGGCGTGGATCCATCAATCATGCCGGTAATATTGCATTTCTGACCACCAACCGTGATGATAAATTTCAACAAATCTTTTTTTTCTTCCACTACGAGATGTTTGCCCTGTACAAGAAAATGGTTTAATGCAAACTGGTTTATGCACTTAGGACAAACTGCTAGTAATGGACCTATTAGCTTGTCGTTAAAAATGATGGCACTGCATGTTAGTCACTGATAATAGTGCTGTATATAAATACCCTTACCTCGATCCCGAGTCTTTCAGTCTTTAAAATATGTATACCAGAAAATTTGTATATAATTGGATCTGGCACAATGATAAGTGAGTTGAACTGTGGATAACTACTGAGATCCTCCCAGGTTTTTATTCCATCCAGAAACAATGAAATTTCAGTTTTAGTTTTAACTTTCACGATCGTTGTTAAATTTGGAAACGGGCAGATCATGTTATCGAAGTTTGGCTTGTAGCAGGACTAAATAATACAAAACACAATCATGTATCATCACTATGTACTTCAGGTAAATATATGTACACTTTTGCCATTTTTGTGAGGCTATAACGGCTCCGAATACCAGTTTGGTATATGTCTATAGGCCTGCATATTTACACTTGCAATTTTTGCTGCGATTTTATCAATTTTCTCCTTTTAGTAGATGTGAAAGAGTGAAGAGGTTACGGATGTACAAATAAGGACACTTATACATTAGAGCATTCATAACTTTTTGCTCGCTTCCATCTGTCAAAAGACGAAAATCGCATGCAGCGAAGATCGCAGCAGAAATTATAGGACACAGCTAACATGAGTTATTTTACTTTCGGGGGAAAAAACACATCACTAGTTGACTTACCGCTTTAGCAGAAGACCTGTCTGGGAATGTCAATCTCATTTCAGGAAAATGGATACCGTTCAAGTTGCTGCCATTGACAATGACTTGTCTGTATGAACTGGAGAAAAAAAGATAATTATGTTAAAAATAAACGTCTCGCTGTCAATCAATTTTGTAAATGTTCGCTGTATTAGTAAATAGAAGCCTCCAAATCGGGAAATGCATGCCTAAGTGCATTCACTCATTGCAAATGCACGCGACCATCTACACCTAAAATCTGTATGATGAGATGTTCACAGCCTACCTTGGGAACGTAAAACGTGGTGAAATACCAGTTACAACAGGATTAGGGACATATTGGAATCCTGTTAGGTTTGAGCTGTACACTGGATTTAGGCCGTCAAATGTGACCGTCAATTTTCCATCATTTGATATCGCACGTCGTTTTCTTGTTGCATTGTTAAACTCTGATGTTGTACACGTTATCTTTTTATTTAATATCCTGTTGTGAAAATTAGGTACGCAACGTTTCAATATGGTTGTTGAGTGCAAATAAATAGAAACTTACAAACGCCGGGTTTGAAAAAATTGAAAGACTTTTTATGAACGAACAGATAAGAGCAGAATAGTTTTTTCCCATGCAATGGCATTAAATGGTAATTTTAACGTGGTTTAAACACAAATTGGAGAGGGGTTATGATATTTTTCGTGACCACGTATTGGTAATCTGTCTTAAATCTTTAAGAAAGCGGATGATTCATGGCACAGCAGACTATATAAACTGACGCTCCTGGCTATAAAAATAGAATTTACTGTATACAATGAAACATTTCAATTCCGAAAGGCGGGACTCTCAACTCTTCTCACCTCGAAATTGAACAATTCGCCTGACCAAAACGCACAAGAATGGTTTCACCAGTATCTAGGTCATTGCCGTAAATAGTTACAGCGGTGCCTCCTGAGATCGGACCTATTTTTGGTTCATAATCTACAATACGAGGGTCCTATAAAGATGAAAAGGGACAAAACAACAATGAATGTTTGACGCTTTAATTAATGCATTACATGAAATTTAATCATCTCAAAGAAATAAAACCAATTCAGTCAAACTATCATTAAACATCTTAATTACAAACTACAAACACGAGCTCACTTCAGAATACTTATGGGAAACAATGTTTTTAAAGATGCACAATTAAGAAAGCGCACTATATTTATTAATACTAAATGTGTGAAAAATCAGGACGTCGGCTCTTTGTTAAGCAAAACAAATTTGTACTCTTACAAAAAGCTTGTAACTTTCACCGCTCATCTCTTCCAAATTTTTTTTGCACCAACGCCTTTAATGCCTCAGAGTTTGTTTTTGTTTTAGGAATTCATGGATTATTTCCACTTACTTGATAACGGAATTCTTCTTTCGAAAAGCCCACCTTGTCGGAAACATTGACTTTAATTGGTGCTGATAAAGTTTTGCTCGATTTACTTGTTATACATACAATCCTGGAAAATAAAAACACAACAATCTTTTGGGCATGATTCTGACGTCCAGTGGCAAATCGGTAAGCATTGATTTACGGTAAATAGCAAGACATATTTTACATGCCACTCTAATAATAGGGAGTTTGATTCCCTTTAAAATGTAAATATCCAACAAACTTTATTCAACATTTAATTTTCGCGTTTGGCGGAATTATGAGGGATCAATTCGGTAAAGAACCTTTACGATCCACCGATCCCTCATAACAAAATAATCAATTGGAGTGACAAAACCCTATTTCAATAAACCCCAATTCAAAAAAGTACAAATAAATGTCCGTAATAACAGATGTTCTTACCTTACTGCAATCTTGTAATCTTTCTCGATTGTTCTACACAGAAGATCACCGATAGTAACACTCTTAACTTCGTCATATTTTCCACCAAACTCTGTCCCTTTTATTGTTAATGTTGTATTTCCCAGTACATGTCCAGTTTTTGGAAAAAACTAGAAAAGATTTTCAATGTATAAATAGACGTCGTGACTATTTGAGTGCATGTGGCATCTCTGTCGATGAAGTGCATGGCATATACATGAAAAAAATTAGGGTGGACACACCTATATAAGACAAGTTCATTTTTGTACTTGCGAGTTTTCGAAAATTTTAGTACATGGACAAAAAATATTTGAGTGAGTTTTAAAAGGCATGCAGTGTTGGATTTAACAGGTTGAGCTGGGATAAATCTTCAAATCTATCTATTTCATACCCCATGCAGCGTTTTGCAACAAACACGTACGAAAGACAAAACAAACCGATTTTATTTTTGGACTTCCTGGGCATTCTGCTTTTGGTTTCACCCACAGTCCTGAAGGACAACCATCGTGAACAGAACAGGATTTTGTGTTGACACACCAACCACAATGATATTCAGATTTCTTATATCCAACACAACTACCGCAGAGCGATGCTGTTCTTCGACATTGGTACAAATACACTGAACAAATGATGAATATTAAAACCAAGTGATCAATATGAAAAAAAATGTTCGTTATTAAATTGTTCGTTATTAATCTAATTACCTTGAACCTGATCGCTCGCTGGCAAAACGTTACTTTTACCCAACGTCACGCTAATATTTGCAGGCACTTCAATCTCTTCTTTAGCACGGTATTTGTACTAAAATATGTAAAAAAAATACATTAAATATACGAAGAAGTTAATCATTTTGGGACGTAACTCGCACCATTCGTTGTAAAGTTATTTATATACACTGATGCACATAGGCGTCAATCGAACGTTAATTGAGGGAGACCACATTCATATATTCTGTAATGCCTGGTTGATTTCTATTAAAAACAAATTTCACTTTCAAAAGAAATCAGCCTGACAATTAACGTTCGATTGACGCCAATGTATGCACAAGTAACTAACTTTACCTGCTGAGCTGCACAAGTAATACTTGTGCTATTAACCCAAGTAGCTTTGATTGAATATGACAAATCACCAACAGTAAAAATACACTGGTATTCACCATGAGGGGACTAAATCAATGAGAAATTAATAATGCTTATCATTAAGATAAGAAAGTTTCATATTTGCCATTTATCTTAATTGTGGATTATGGATTATCTTACCTCAGACTTTATGGATTTATCTTACCTCAGACTTTATGGATTTATCTTACCTCAGACTTTATGGATTATCTTACCTCAGACTTTATGGATTATCTTACCTCAGACTTTATGGATTATCTTACCTCAGACTTTATGGATTATCTTACCTCAGACTTTATGGATTTATCTTACCTCAGACTTTATGGATTATCTTACCTCAGACTTTATGGATTATCTTACCTCAGACTTTATGGATTTATCTTACCTCAGACTTTATGGATTATCTTACCTCAGACTTTATGGATTATCTTACCTCAGACTTTATGGATTATCTTACCTCAGACTTTATGGATTTATCTTACCTCAGGTTGTGGTAATCTTGTTCCAATCACGGTGACTGCTCTTTCAACACTTGCTGGGATATACAAAATCTGTCCTTCAAGTTGTGGACATTGATGTCGGGATGTGTCATTTGAAACCTGATATTAATTACCACAGTTTTAGAATTATATCGAACGTATAGATTACACAGATTTAATCATTTCTTACATGGCTTGTAATGTCTTATTATTCAAAAAGAGTGTGTAAAAATGATTAACTGTCTAGCAATCTAGGAAAGTTAATTTCACCAAGAATTTTTTCATGGCCCTTCACGTCATGATAGAGCGATTTTGAACGTGTTAAACATAATACGAACATATTTGTAAAAACGAACTTGATGAAAAAGTCGTTCATTTATCGCTTTATGTTATTTGTATCCGAGATTTTTTAATTTTATAAAAATGTTGAAATTACAAAAAACTCACTTTAACAAAACAACATGAAATGATCTTCCTAAATACATTTTACGTACCCAAGGAGCAAATGATTTGGGACAGGTTGTAGTTATGTCACCGGAGCACTCAGCTTCGTAATGACACCAAGAACATCTCAAAGCACCCGTTGTACATCTTAAACAACTTAAAAGAAAGAAATTAGTTTTACTTAGCGTCTTTCGAAGTGCACAAACAGACATGGAAATATCATGTAGTAAATGAAAATCGTCATACTCTAAACCAACCTAGATATTGCTGAGCAGTTGTAAAACTCCAGCATAGCAATTGCTATCTTCGAATTTGTTTCATTCGACAATACAGCTACCTCACTCTTGACAAAACCTGGTTCGCAAAAATATATAAAAATACATGTAGAACGACTCCTCAGAGCTAGCAATCCTATAGCAATCCAAGCATGCTCGCTGGCAATCCGGTTGACTAAAATAGATATGTAGATCTAAAATATAATATCGACAGCCGGCGAAAATGATAGCTGACTGGACTGCTGTCCATGTTGGAAAATTATGTACCATTCATTTGAGAACAACCAAAACTATTGATACCGAAAAAATAGCCCCAGAATAATTTTCTTAAAGTAAAAACCAGCCTTTTCCTGCGTACCTGTTTCAGCACTTGCTTCTGGAAGATGCATTGAGGTCGGCACAGAACATTCCATTACATCACCATTTAAAGTAGACGCCATTATTACATCATTAACAGAACAGCCATAAGCGTCCTTCTTCTGCGTGTCGGGAAGATTAACAATGGTTATGTTCACCTAAATATAGAATGAAATATAAATCTTGGTCAGTAGGACGTCCTTCTTTTTCATGATTCCTTAAGGTACTATGGGAATGGATACACGAAGAATGTCGGACATCACAACAGAAGTGAAATAATTAGTTATCTTTCAAAAAAGAACTTTGAAGCATTGGAACATCAACTGGTATCACATAAATATTCATGCATCTTCATCAATTTACAGTAAAAAAACGGTGATTAAAGGGTTCAAATAATGAACATTATTCTTCAGACTTTCGGAATAGAGCTGTGCAAATGAAATATAATGCCGTTATTCATCGATGACGATAATCGTAGTTTACTTAAATCTCAAAACTTGCTTGCCGGCATGAGGTTCAGCTGAATCGCGAAACTTTATAAACTGTGGTATAAAACTACCATAAAATTACGTACTTTTTGAATTCTTGTGTCACTTAGGGGTAACAATGAAGGACTAAGGCTGGAAATACCAATGCATTCAGTGGGTTTCCGAACATATCTCAAATGAGACCCATAATTTGGACACTTTTCATAAGTTGTGCATCTAAAAATAGGTACGTGAACGGATTAGGTAAGAACATACATGATTAATGGCATATGATATTGTCAGGAACACCACTTTACTTTTCTCTAAACATTTGGATGAATTAACCACTAAGCTATAATATAAATGGAGAGAGCAACCATAGATACAGAAATTGAAGCTGGAATTTGCTGCGGCCGCCATCTTACTGTGACCACCTTGAGGGGTGAACTATAGGGAAAATGTGATATTTTCCGCTGTTTTTGTCTTGTTATTGCGAGGTAGAGGACTAAATCAAATCAAACATACCATTTCAAACAGCGGAAAATATCACATTTTCCCTATAGTTCACCCCTCAAGGTGGTCACAGTAAGATGGCGGCCGCAGCAAATTCCGGCTTCAATTTCTGTATCTATGGTTGCTCTCTCCAATTATATTATAGCTCAGTTGAATTAACCCAAGAAATTATTGCATAACACATGACTCAATGAATATTAGGTATGCGTGATAGCCATTGAGATAAATAAACAGGTTTAACCGGAGTTGACGGACGGTTTATCGGTTGATAAAGCGGTGAAGTTGCAAAGTTGTCTTGAGGTTGTGAAGTGAAAAGTGAGAGGATTATACTAACTTAGCATAAAGTGTACACCAGCCACAATAGGGATCATCATTTTTAACGCAACTCTCGCATGTTGTTCGATTGCTACATTCTTCAACGGGAATTTTCAGAACCTAAAAAAAATATAACGAAAATGTAGCATAAAATCAAAATCTGCGCAAACCTACTTCGGGTTTACCTACGGTAATTATCAGAGTTTTACCTTGTTCTCAGACAGAAGATAAACACCGGTCCCACTAGAGTCAAATTTCACAGATAAAATTTCAGATCCAGGTATTCTATTTGAAGTCTCGTATCTTCGCGCCAATGAATTGGAATAAATGATAAACTAAAGAAGAGCGAATATTTCACATCACAAGAAGTTTCCTCAAGTACCTGCCTTTTTGCATGAAAATTCAGAAGATTTTTGTCTAGTTTACCTTACTGAGTTTTCCATTCCTTCCTCCAAGAAAAGTGATAATATTTCCTTGGTAGTTTGTAGTGTCCATAGATGTTATTGAACCACAATCAGTGCATGTGACAAGGGCTTTATTTTCACATATTATTGTGCCAACTATTCTTTCGTTTTTAGCTTCTTTAGAACAACGATCTATACCATCTTCCTACATAAGTTTTAAATAATAGTATATAATATTTAGTCGTTAGTTGACCCTCAAAAATGGATTAGTCAAAACAGCAAGATTCACAAACCTTTGTACACTTTAGATCTTCCTCATATCTATTCCGATGCACTGAATTGCTAGTGAAGCACTTATCAATATTCTTCATAAATATCTCATTGATTTGTTTGAAAGTGAATGTACAAATAGACAACTTTGAAGATGTACTTGACTGATGAAACACACCAATTAAAACTGAATCATTATTTCCAGTACTTCCAAACTGTTCATTAGATCGAACAACTTTTGCTGCTACAAGTTGGTTATAAATTGTTCCATCTTTTCCAACACATTGCAATGGCATCTCCGCATATGTTTTAATGTCACTTATTGTTACATAAGATTGACACAACCTTGCCACATTAGTTCCAGCCTTATTTTTGCCTTCAGCATTATTTCGACTGAAAAAATATCTAAATTTTCCTACAATAACTGCAAGAGTGTAATACATCTTTGGTCTTTTCTTGGACAATTGAAGGCCTGCCTTCATTCCAATGCATTTACGCAAGTTACCACTGCACGATTTTGTATTATAAGTGTTCAATATGTAATCCTTTGATGTGTCAAGACCGCCGGTAGTTTGAGTTCTAGCGATAAGAATGCCATTATTTTGAAGATCTTCCAGGGCAACAGCACTGAAATTTGTGGAACTTGGAACAACACCAATAGTATCCCCAAGTTGAGTTTTTGAAGCCAAGTTCATACTATAAGTTGTGCATACACCATACTGACATGTACCACACGCAAACAACCTTCGAGTACCTGTTAAACTCTCAATCATTATAACCTGATTTGCATTAGCAAAAGATTTTCGACCACATGCTGCCTTCACCTCATTAAGTTTTGTAAGATTGTTGTTCAGTCTATATATATAGTTCACCCCAGCAACATAAACATTATCTGTACTGTGGTCAATTAATATATTTCTTAATATAACATTTTGCGGCTGAAATATAAATTGTCCTGAAACAACTGTTGTGCAACAAATCCAAGCCAACAGTTCATAAACAAGCATCCTAAAATATGAAAATGTAAAAATTAGAACAATCTGTTTTCTAACCTTACATGACACACAAGGTATTTCTTGTGTTGAAAGAGACAATATATAACAGCCCATAGGCCCCATACACTACCAGTACCCAGCCAGTTATATATAACATACTTATACTACATACATGTTACTTGTACAACATACTTAAACTAAGTGCTCTTTTTCTATTTTATATTATCTCAACATTTAGTTGATAATCTTACATTAACCTTTCCAATCTCATTCCAATCAATTTCTGGAGAGATAAATAGCAGGTCAGGTATGTACTAAGGACAATATACATAGATACCTGGTGTAGTAACTGTCAAGAATTTCAAAATGGAGGGAAATAAGTTGTTTCCATATGTTGTTTCAATAAAATGAACAATTATTTTCTATTTAATACATTATTTTCTGTTTATTACAAACAATGAATGACACACAGTGTACAGACACACAATGGAGATTTAATAGCAGGGGACATGCTACAGCATTTGCCAATTATAACAGCCTTCTATACATCCAACATGTTATGACATCACATACACTTTCAAACTTAAATATTAATAAGAACAATACTTCACATAATGTGAAAACCAAATTCAATAATTGTTAATTTTTTTATCAAAAATAATGAACATTAAAACTTTATTTGCTTGCATTTGTGGCATTTTCACATTCATTTGAGATACTGATTATTTGATGTCTTGATGTGACTTCATAAAGTGGGATACAACTATTAATCACACATAATGTAATAGCAGGCATAAAAAAAAGTATCCCAGTAATGAAGTCTCTTGTTGGACATGACATTTTATTAGCAGCCCTGTTGGTATATATATTATTATCATCCATTTGCTGTAATATTTCAATAAAATATTATCAAATTTTCCTCACAGGTGATTAAATTTTAAAAGTTTACTGAAGAGTTATAAAGAAATCGTTTACTTGGCCATGTTTCAAATATTGTGCTTCCAAGTGCCAAATACATCATCAGATAATCAGTTGAAATACTTCATTATCAATTGTTGTTAATGCATGTGCTCGAAGCATGAGAAGCATAACGTTAAACGTTTTCCTTACCAATTTTACAATGCATGTTACCTCGTTAGTATAAAGTAGGCTTCAAACATACCAGGGCAGCAATTGCTTGATATGTAATACCCTTAGTTTTTGTATTTCTAAAACGATCAGTAGATGATGATCTTATTAACTTTTAGCGTACTTTATGTTATATATAAAGCATGGAGCAGAAATTCAAATTCTTTCAGTTAATATTAAATTTTCAATAAGGTTGCTACGAAAAATGTTTCGTCAAAAGTTAACGTTTTGTATAATCATTCTAAAGATACTAATACTACTATAAAAAATCGATATATTTCCGTGAAAAACGAAACATTTGAAAACATCAACTTACTTCGTTTTCGTTCGACGTGAACGTTCTGTAAAAGTCAACACCAAATATGCCAAATATTTTGCATGTATTCCAGATCTGTTGGTGAGTTATATCAACTTTTCTATTATAATCCACTTTATACTCAAATACCCATAATTGACTCGACTTTAAATGTAAAATTCAATTCAATTTGGAGATATAAACGTTTATATTTGAAATACTAGTTTGTGATCACAATATCCAATATACATCCGGGGTGTGTTTTGTATTGCAGCATTAGCATACGTTATGTGTTATATAAATAATGCATACTAATTTTACAATCGTGGGGGGTTTAACGTATAACTCTGTTGGTGGGAGTTGCCCCCATGGGGTTAGGGCACGCTTTGCAAAAAAAACACAAACTGAAATCAGGCTGCCGAGTACGCACTTGACCCATAACCACTATTCCAGAAGTATTCTATTCCAGTTTGCCAAAAAAACTGTGGTTCTGCGGTTCTGAAATGCCCATCTCAATTCTCAACCAACATGGTTCCAGGGCCCAGATAGCGCTGGAGATTCAAGGTTCAACCTCGTACACGCCTAAAAACGCTCAGGTTGATGCAATGTTGATATGAACAGGATTGAACAATGTTGTGCTGCCCACATTGTTCAGAGTTGTTCTCAACTTTGAACAATATTGTTGAAACTGAATCGGGTGTAACAATATTGATAACAACTCTGAACAATGTGGGCAGCACAACATTGTTCCATCCTGTTTATATCAACATTGCATCAACCTGAGCGTTTTTACGCGTGTACCTCGGTTCCTCGGGTATACTATCTACAACTTTTTAGGGGTACGAGGCCATAGAGATTGTATGAGGCGGGAAGCTGATGGGCTACAGATTTTAGTCACATGTGTATCATCAACTAGCATTATTGTGACCACTAGGAATTTAAATCTCTAAATGTCTTTTGTACGGGGTGTTTTTCCGTTTTCGGTACTTGGTGTCCCAAGAAATCCCTTTTATTGCGATCAGACTTTGTGTTTTGAACGTGGGCAGATCAGTTTGAATACGTGAATTATGACGGAAGAATTATAACTTCCTGACCGGCATGACACGGCCAAAACATGACACGCCAGACACGGCAAAAAAGCAGAACAATTTACAATAAATCCCTAAACGCGACAACAAAAGGTCTGATTTCATGATCAAAAGACAGGACCGTTGGACGTACCACCCAGAATATTGTACTGAGTGAGTAAGAAACTGATGCTATCAAATTTGCTGCAAACCTATATTGGCTTATTTTACAATTCCTATATTCTATAATCAAAATAGCGCTCTTCTCAAAGTCAAAATTTATAATCCTGTACAAAATATCCAAATAAATAGTAATCCTAAATGCTACCCATGATCCATTAAAACAAGGAAGACCAGGTAGGGTGGGATAATCCTTTTGTCTAAATTTAAGATTCAAAATTCTTATAATTTATATTTGTTTTATACTGCATGTTTTTACAGGTTACAACTAACCACGATTAAAATATATAAAAATGCTTAAAAGTATACGAAAGCACAGTTAGGGGCGTAACTAGAACGATAATTGGGGGGGGGGGATTAATATTCATATATTCAGTTCTGCCCTAAAGGAATATTCACCCCCCCCCTTCAAATTATCGCTCTCGTTACGCCACTGAGCACAATTAAGGTGATCAAAGTTACCAGAAATTATCTTTTCTTTGCTTGGCATGAACTAACGTTTGTCGTGCGACAGACTCTTGACTCGCTAAAGAAAACTGCGATAAATATGAATCACTGTTGTACCCACTCTTATTCAACGATTCGCTGCCACAGGTACTGCGAACAGAGGTGCTTGGCGCTTCTTTATCATTGCTATGCATACCCTTAACATATTTAATGTTAAATCTATCCGGACTTTGATAACTGTCCTCCGGCCAGCCATTGCCATCACGGTCTTCACTCAGCTCAGAACTGGCGTCGCTGCCACTTGATATATTGCGCAATATTGCCCCATCTCCTCTGCTACTGTTAGTACGACCTCCTTTTGTTCTTGGGTGGAATGTTGACAATGGTATCTGGTTATCAGTCTGGCTAGGCAATGCTTTGGTCACGGGCTTCGCAAGAGTGCCACTATTCTCTGAAACACTTTGAGAATCATCCTGGAATAATGTTCTTTCTCTTCTTCTCATGGCTTGTGATGATTTCACAGCTCCGTGCGATGTGGGCAAATGTTTGTGGTCAACAGTCTTGCCTGGTAATGGCTTTGATTCGACATGCTTGGTTTGGTTTGACTTGTCATGCATCAATGGCTTATCTCTTTTCATGTCATGATGTTTGGGGAGACGCATTGTCTTAGTAAATAATGCTTTCCTTTGGGTCTTGTTGCTGTTGGACCTCTTATTTGGCGATTGCTTTGGACTGATAGTTCTAGATTGTCTTGTGCGTTTTTCGCACGCATCCTGCTCGTTGCCACTAAGAACTGAATCGTGTTCTGAATCATGACTTGCCTCACTATCCAGAGACACATTTTTAAATTGTTCATTTAAATCTCGGTAAACTTGCTTTCCATCTTCAATATTCTCGCTACACTCCTCACTTTCATCATTTACACGGGGATCTCCCAGCTTCTCTGAAGAATCTCTTGGTGGTGTATTCTCAGAGCTTTTCGACTCACTGGATGATTGCAATATTGCATCGTCATGTCCTGGTTTCTTAACCTTCTTTTTAGCGTGAATGGTCTCACGTCGTTTTTCATAAAGTTGTTCCAGTTCAGAGTCAAGTTGGGCAAGAAATTCACGAGAAAAATAATTTCCTTCAATAGCTCGAACTTTGTAATGTCTCGCTTTTTCCCTCAGCTCAAGAACCTAATTTTAACAGTGATACGAAATTATGACCAATGTAACACGGAAAATACAGAAATTCATCGTAATAATCCAAAGCATCTGTAGTACCTCTTCAAACCAATTGTTGATATGCTCATTCGATTCAGTAGTCGACTAAAAATACCGTAAAAAATTAATCAACAATGTTTGGTAAAAGTATTTTGAAAAAATTAAAAATCTGTTGATAAAGAGGCAGCCCATTTTTTCATCCCGTTCCAACGCCGATATTCTCGAGCATAATACAGGAACAAAATTCCCATCACATAGTACGGGAATTTGACTAAAAACTACTGCAAGCAGGGTTGGACATAACAGACTACATGCCATAGTTTGTGTCTTTCCTATGTTTTGGAAAACTAACCTGGTAATCTGGAAGCAAATGTGGAGGTTTTGCACCTAACCAGATTCCTTCTTCATATTGAAATTTCTTGGGAGAACCAAAGTTTGCCTGGTATTCAGTATGGATCACTCTGTTGGGAAGCATTATAGATAGCATTGCTTATTACTAGATATTATTTGGCGAATATTTGCTAGCTAGCAAGTGCACACTGGGCCTTAATATTAAGAACAAATAGAAAGGATGGTCAGCGATGATTCACAATTTTTAAATTTTTACTCTCTTTCAGCTCATGCATGCTTTAATGTGGAATCATATGTAGAGTTTTGACCTCCCTTATGCCACTGGGGTCATGTGCAACAGCAACAAATTTTCAGGCTGCAGTATAGGATGATCTTAAATTGTGCAATATTTTAGGGAGTTGTGTAATCAAGTGACCAATTCAATATATAACTCTAATGGCATGTGAGGTTGACATCCTACATGACATGACTTACTCAATTTTCTGAAGTTGCAGTTACTGTACCTGTTGGATGATCCATGAGGGAAAAATGGAGGATCTGGGTTATGAGACGTTTGTAGCAATCTTTTTACGGCGCTTGGAGGATTTTCTAAAACAATTACCATTTAATATGCTGCATAGTAACATCGTGTCAATGTACATTATCCATAATCCGTAATTAACCAGCTCATGAAATCATTCAAATTAGAAAACCCTTTTGCAATTATGTGCCTGCAATGAAGACTTACTGACATACTTTCATGTACGTTCAACTTTTTTTACATACCCTCACTCTTTCCTTTTTTTTGTTTCTGTCGAGCTCCATGATGAGTTTCTGCAAACTTGCTCTGGTACTCAGTCCTACGTGGTACTTTATCTCTTACAAATCTAGGAATGTTTGTGTGTGAATCGAATACAATTTTCTCAGCATTGAGTAGAGGTGTGTCACCAACTGCAAACTTCTTCCTTTCATATTCTCTCTGATATTCAGATATTGGGAACTTGGTCTTTTCCAAGGAATAATCAGGTTTTAAACCCGCCTTATATTCCAGTGCCCTGTTTTTCTAAGAAGAAATGTAAAAAGAAATTCAATAGGAAAAAATATAATTTGATTTGCAAGGAACAGATAATTTCTCTTATTAGCAACAAAAATACTATAAAATTCAATTGATCATGCCTAAAATGTAAATATGTAAACAGGTACCTTGTTGCCAGTAATGAATTTCTTCATGGAAAATCATTAACAAATATTCAATATTTTGCTTTTAGCCACACCTACCTTTGTTAAATTGTCATTAATTTCAGCAGATTCTTTGTTTGTTGCCAAATTTTGTCTTTTGTTGGTGTTCTGTACAGTCTCAGACGTTCTGTCATGAGCAATGCCAGACTTAGACTTTCTTTGAAGTGGTGGTTCTGATGACTTCAAGAATTTATTTGACTTCAAGCCAGCTGCTGTTTTTGTTTTGTCAAGATCAGTGGTTATTGGTTCATCAATAAGAGCAGCAATCAATGGTGACTTGTAAACATCTGGATCAAATGCTTTAAAACTTGAATTATATTCTGTTTCAAACTAAATAGTAAAATTTCAATAAGTATATAGATAATCTATTACTTAATCAACTTTACTGAAGAATACTTAACAGAAAGACAAATAGACTTTGGGCAAGAATGGACATGAATGACAATTGACATTGATTCACTTTTAAAAAATGTTTACATTTCAACCAAGTAAATGTTTGTATTGACATTTTTAGTCATCAGTTGAGAGGCAGGTTTGATTAAACACAGCTATTATTAAATAGGTTTTGGTAAAAGCTTTTTAGGGAGATTTTTGCAGCCAATACCGCCAAATCATCTAATAAATACAAATGCTTCAATACACATATTCTAAAACTGAGCGTCAAGAGCATCATTCTACTATATTTACACCATACACGATACCAGTAATAAAACCTGTGGACATTTACATCTCATACACATACCCGTACTCTTTTTACCCTTGATGGCATATTTCTATTATTTCTTGATACATATACTTGATGTGACTTCGCAACTTTCTTTCAAATTTAAACCAAACATTTGCATAAAACATTTCAAATTTGAAATTTGTGAACTGAATAAACTGACTTCACGGTCTGTGACACGGTATTTGTACCCTACGAGAATAGCCCCCACGACTGATTTCGTTTTCTCTCGCTACCGAGCAGCATTCGCAATCGCAACCATAATATTCTAGATAATTTTCAAATTCTACGAAAACTTGTGTAATTTTGCTTGAAATCAGTGATATGTCAGTGAATTTGTATTCGTGCGTCAGATAATTTTTGCTGGTATAACTTGCCCTCCCCCTTAATTCTTTAGGCTGCAGCCTATGTATATACATAGAACTATATATTTTACAGCAAGTCGTTGGCTGTCATTGGGCCGTAAAGCGTATGTAGAAAAGCCTTGGCTTGGGAGGTTGTCACTTACAGCTGCTTCTTCTGCTGAAAAGGACTGCCGAAAGGAGAGGCCAGAACAATGGCCAAATGTCCAAATTATTGCTAGAGAATATTGATTATGCTGTCAATCCAATCAACAATAAGTATGAATGTGGAAACTTCGAACATTTTTGAAACAAAACAATCCACCTTACTTTTTAAAATTATTCCCAGCATTAAATGACTGTTCAAAATTGAAGCTATAATATATCTTTAGTCTAAAATAATAAATTAAAATTATGCAATAAGCGCCGTGAAATGAGAAACATAATTTAGTTTCTCATGTCCAATATCCAACACTACAATAAGATGAACATTTGAAAGTGAAACCGCCACGGCCACTGAAATATGGAGACAGTTGTTATTGTAACTGAGGGCATTGCATTCTTTGTGCACTTTCCTTTACACGGCAATCTCGTAATGTAGACCTTTTGCATATAGCATCACGCGGAAAGTATGATGTTACACGAAGTTTGATTGGCTCGATAGTTTGTGGAGCCAATCAAATTTCGTGTAACATCAGACTTTCCGCGTTTGACATCATTATAAGAAAGGTCTATTACATATTTTGGTGTTCCATAAAGCATTTTTTATTCAAAGAAGCCATGAAGACCGCTTGCAAATGCTGTGTGTGGTCGAGGCTTCGTTTTCTTTTTCCTTTGACGACCCATCACAGGTTCTGAAGTCCGCGGGGCCTGGGCCTGAAGAAAAAAATAAATATAAATAGATATATTTTTATTATTTTATACTAAATGAAAGGGATAGAAATATATTTTTACTATAATTCAAAACATTATTTGTCACCTTTGCTATAGTCATATTACGCATTTCTTCAATTTCCAACGTAAGAGAATGAATTTTTGAACGAAGTTTGTCGGAATCTGCTTCCAAGTCCTCACGACGTATTCGTTCATATTCTAACTGAGCTTCCAGCTCTCGAATAACCCTATCAAAAACATTGATTCATTCGTAAGAAAAAGGATTCCAGGCAGCATGATGTACAAAAGAGTATTACTGCATTGAGCTTATTCAACTGACGTTGTATTACTTTTTAACAGCCATTTTGGGCAGCAAAGTAAAACACAGATATTTCAAGATTGTTGCATGTGGACTTGCCTAGCGTTTTCTTTCTGTTCTTCTTGCTTAATTTTATCCTCCTCAAGTTCACCTCCAAGTTGTTGATAATTCATCTTTGCTGTATCCAACAAACGTTGCAGTTCCTCCATTTTACGTTTTGCTCTACCTATAAGGACATAAAAACGGTTGCATGTGTTGCTTGGGGACCGAGGAATCGATTTGTTCTTAAGCTCTTGTGGTGCCAGCATATTAACAAGTCAACCTCTCTTTTCTGGATGTAAATATTTGCAGGATGTATATTAAAATATATCATACCTTTAGCTTTCGCACTCGATTGAGGCCCTTTAGGCTCTTGATCTTGACTTGCTTCATCAACTAAGTCTTCGTTACCTTCGAAAACAACGATACAATATATTTATTGTCATAAGGCACTCTGAACGTGGTAACCAATCTAAGTTAGCGAACAATTAACTTTCATCATTTTATTTTATAAATTGAATGTGACGAACAAGTGTGATAAATCGGCTTTGAGAAAATAAATGCAAGTACCAACCAATCTTAGATAGCGAACAATTAGCGTGACTATAGTTTTTTTTCTGAACAAATTTTGTGTAAAGACTCGCTCTCGTACCTGTTTCTCCACCAAGTATGTTAACACAGGCTAATCTACCGAATCTTCTCGCGACATCTTTTGGTGTTTCACCAGCTGAATTCATAATTGACACTAAAAATATCCAATTTAAGCAAATTGATCAATATGACCGCAGCGATAGTCTATTATATCGTCTATTAAAACACAAACTACATGCACTAGCTGTTGTGTATGAACATGTTGAAGTAAAAAATATTAAGCTCGTATCTTCTCCGTGATTCCGTCTAATGCATGATTCTGACTGGACTAATGTTCAGTAATATACTTCAGTGAGTATATCACACTCTTCCACAGCGGCACTCAGTATTAAGTGTTTGTGAGTTCGTTATTACAGAATACAGCCGTTGAACACAAGATGATTGCAACAGACATGCAATGTACGTATTGTACTTTGGATTTCTTCATAAGTCTTAGCATTTGTAGCCATCTTCCGCAAAGTTTCACTGAGTTTATTTCCTGTATGTTAAATTATTTCTTACAATCATTCAAGACAATCATTACTTACGGTCAGCTCCCTTCTCAACCAACCATTGAAGAGATTCAACATGGCCGTTACCAGCAGCTGTAATAAGAAACATGATAAATATCTTAAAAAATGTCATTTTTGCTCTGCAACGATTATCAGTCAGGCAACAGCTACTATTATTGGAAAGTAAGACACTGCATTGTAAAAAAATAAATTGAATCACAATTTTCCATAATTTAGTTGCATTCGGATATCATAGAGTGAGTTTTAATATTCTACACATTCATTTCTTTTTTATAATTATATAAATAGCTATTTCTGGACTAGGCAGACCCATGTTAATATTTGCGAAATATATGAAAGAGTCGATAGACAATATATATCTCCATGCAATACTCGGTACAAAAGAAGGAAAAAGTGATAATATTTGTACACATAACATAAGGCCAGGTTAGAAAAGCAAGAGAAAATGCAAATAAACGAGATAATATTAAAGCATATATAGCATATTGCCAAGCATTCATGCATGCATGTGAAAGGCGAGGTAAACATGCAAAAACTGTTTGTGTCAAGTTTCTTATTGCGACCTGTGACATGCACATTCTAAATGAAATATACCTTTGTGTGCTGGTGTGGAACCTTTATCATTTCGCTCATTCACAGACACAACACCAGTCTCAATGAGCATTTTTAAATGTCCAAGATCTCCGTTGTACGCTGCTGCATGGGCTGGAAACGCCAGGTCTAAAAAAAACTGGAGCTATAGACATACACTGCAAGGATAATATGTTTAACTATCGCAAGTGTATATTACTGTAAAACAGTTGTCGTGCAACATCTTGCATGGCATTGAATGACCTTAACCGAGCTTTGAACAACTTGCCCTATAAATAACCCAAAGAAAAATATACACGCGACATGCTTAACATGTGGCAACTTCATAGCTAAAATATCTTTATTTTGTCTGCGATTTAATGGGGTCTCAACTTTCATCTTTACGTACTTTCTTCTTTTTCTGGATGTAGAAGATCGTACTCTAGAAATATAATAAGTATTATTGGTAAGGATGCATGTTGGTTAACATAAGCGGACACACAGCATGCATTCTTTCTATCATCGGACTAAAAACGCCTATATATGCATGTAATAAGTTATCCGGCATAAAAACGCGAGAGAAATAGAAAGAAATAAGGCAATACCTAAAATAATATGCTAAATGTTTTGTCGGGAATTGTTTCCACGATCGATCATATAAAAATATCGTATGGGAGGTGAGATCTGGTGTTTTTGGTCTTATACAAGTTTTACGTCAGGACAAGGAATGCTTGGAATTGGTCGAGATATAAAATGCACATGCATCTATGTTTTTTCAAGTCACTCACCCACAGCTGTCAAATAATCTAAACAATCATGTTTCTGCATTTGCCGACAAAGGTCCAGCGGTGTTTCGCCCTAAAGAATAGCCAATTGTTTCAGTAAATTAAAACTAAAATCATTTCATTTGCCAGTTTTTGCCAGTATAATATTGATCGATCAATTATCACCGCGTGTAGTGCCATTGCAAATATCAATTTCTTCAATATCTCAAAAGTCCCGAAACAAAACGATCCAACTGACTTTTCACACGCACGAGCTTTTGATGGAATTGAATAAGTAATTAAAGGCATTATATCTTCATTTCAATGTAATAATAATTACGCCAATCGTAAGGGTAAAATTACCAGAAAAACATTATTAGTTTCTTCACATGCACGACTATAAAATAACTTTGTTTTGATGAGTATAGCACATATTACAATATCTGCCACAGGAAAAATGAAATGAGTACAACTTTTGAGATTGGTTGAAGAGAAATCGACGTGGGCCGGAAGCAAGAAAAGAAGCTAGTATACTTTGGCGAAAACGTGAGAAAACCTGAATAATGACATGATGGCCAACTACACATCAGATATTTCTGGGTATTTGCAAATATGTTCAGTTTTACGTGATATGTTTGATGTGCCCGGGAATTTACCCTCAAAAAAACTCCTTATAAACCATATAGCCATTTTAGCATTTAGTATCATCACAGCTATCTCAACAATACTTCTCAATCTTATCACAATATTGACGTTTCGAGCTTCTAGACAGATGAAAAAGAACACATATAACTACTTGATATACATTCAATCGATCATTGATCTTGGGATAGGCGCCGTTGTTACTCCATTATTTGCCGCAGTCACAGTGCCAAAGATAGTCGGGAACGGTAATTGTGAATTTTATTTGGTTTTCTTGAAAGTTATTCTTATGGCATATGGATTTTCGATAGCTAATTTATCAGCCATGAACTTTGAACGATATACAAGCATAGTCCACCCGATTTATCATCGCAATAAAGTTACAAAGAAACGTATCTCGATATACGTAGCTGTGTTATGCATGTTGCTCGTGGCTTTCACGATAGTGTCAATCCCCATCGGGCATCCGTTGATAGTCATCTTCATTGCACTCGAGTCATTACTACATTTACCGAGCACAGTGTATTTTCATTGGAAGATATTTAGCGTTGGTAAGGAACAGTTGGTAAGGCGCAGTAGAGTGAGAAAAAATCAAACAAGTATTGCTTCAGGTCTACCAAGCAATATTGAAATTTGCAATACCAACAAAGAGGGACCAAAAAAAGATGAGAAGGCAACAAATGCTGAACGCAAGAAAGAGAAAAGACCTGCACAGAGTAGTGACCGAAACTCGGATAATTCAAATCAAAGAAAACGTGGAAAAGGAGAGAAAGAAATTATTAGAATCTCAAACACCAAGAAAGCAGGATATCCCCACGGAAACCAAGAAAATGAACTGGACGATTGCCTAAATCACGATGTTGCAGGAAACCTAAATGAATGTCATTGTTCTTTAGAACAGCTAGATATTGGACCGACACTTCAAGAGAATTTAAAACCCGAATATGAATCATCAAAGGATCAAACCAATACGTTCGACCCACAAGATAACAAATCAAAACATAGAGTGAAAAGCATTCACGGACAAGCTGAAGGCCGTGTCGGTGATGAACACAAACAAGCCAACGCCCAAGATAATGGCCAACGCCTTACTACAAATGATCGAAGTTCCGCAGATGAAATATCGACACAAGAGGTCTTGACCAATCTAAAGCTCGCTAAATCATGTCTACTGGTTGTAATATGTTCATTCCTTAGCTTCTTTCCACCTCTAATTTTCTCACGAGTGGAACTTGACAAATACGATAGGGTCGATAGCATGATTATTGCTGGTTGGTGTATTAACTTGTTTTTACTCAACTCAACTTTGGATTCTTTGATTTTCTTTTGGAAGAACAAAACGTTAAGGAAAGAAGCTTTTAAAACTTTAAAAAAGATTGCTACTTAATATACAACATCGACCGTATAGTTTTGGACAACAGGGGTTTTCGAAACAGGCTTTTCCCATGCATTCTGGAAAACCGGAGTAAACACCATTCATTGAGATTGAAATCCTGGTTTGTTCTTATAATTTACTTTATTTATTGTGTTAGTAATTATCCATATATGTATATATATAGTGTCCCGGCCTGGAAATAATTTTTGGGAACCGGTCTGTCAAAATGACCTTGCAACGCAAATAAATTTTGTAATGCAATTTGCAAATGCAATATTGTAAATGACTGTGTTTTTTTTTATCAAATACATGCATGCGTATATCACGCAAATATACGAATTATGCACGGTCTTGGTAAGTATACCATAGGTAGCCCAGAAATCTGTTTGTACTCAGCCTTCGACTACATAGATTACGAGCGCGGTCAGCTTTTACTGCCTGTACTAATTATACTGTATTATATATTGATATATAATACAATTTGCGAATATATATATATATATATATCAATATATATATTTGATTTGATATATAAATTTCTAGGCTACCTATGAGTATACCTTTGCACGCTGGATTGTTTTGAAATATTGACAACGTCTTGTACAGTTTTTTCAGGGAGCCTCTGTTATAATAAGCCTGCATGTTTGTTATTAACCACGCGACATACCTGATCATTACGTGTGTTGAGAGTTTGATCAATACTGGCTGCTGAACAGATAAGAAATTTTACACAAGGAAGATGACCCTCAACACTTGCTAGATGCACTGTAAAATAAAATGATCACAGAAATGTTATTTTTTCTTGCAACTGATCTGTAATTACAAAAACAACCAACCTGGAGTATTTCCTAAACCATCAACTTCATCTAACCGAGCTCCCCAGCGGAATAACAGCTAAAATTGACATAGAAGAAGGAAAATTGTTTTAAAGAATGTACTCGAAATTTTGTGAATATATGTTCCGTTACAAAAATATAAGACAGGGCATTTCGTGAACGTCATTACTGACATTTTATGAAACGTCACGGTCTAGATTTGTATTTTCGACGATAAAGAAAAGGCATGTGAAAATATTTATTTTTGTTTGATGAATGGCGAGTGTTTATTATTAGTGGGGATTAGTATTTGATATGTAGTAATGTAAAAAGTATTGTCATTTTTCTACGAAATATAAAATACATGCACATGCAAATTAAAGTTTCCCACCTGAAGACAACCGAGCCTGCCATGGAACGAAGCAGCATGAACAGCGGTCCAACCAAATTTATCAACGGTATTAATATCCTGAAGAAAAAATGTAGAATATTGTCATGAAGAAATTCGTACCCGGTCACCCCCCGGCGTCAGAAATGCATAAACCGTGCATGACCTTTGTTTAAATTAGAGCGAAAAGTAGACTAGTGATGTACGAGCATATAAGGACAAGCAATTTTTATACTTTACATTAAAAGAAAATAACAGCTCGGTGTCTTTTTACAGCAAGTGTTAGAACTTACAACGCCATGTCTTAATATTGATTGCAAAGTGTAAGAATTTCCATGTGTTGCTGCCAAGTGAGATGGCGTTGAACCTTTGAAAAATAGAAAAAGAAAATTAGATTTTGGCTTAGGAAAATTCAACACACGAAAGTATAGCGCGATCAGGGGCCGGTTGTATAAAACTCTTTTTACATTTTGCGTAGTTAAATCCTAGTTAACTCAGACATACACAACTCTGATTTGCTAATTCCATCCTCAACTTCATTTAAAAATTAACTATATAGTCTTTTATACAATTGGGGACAGGTTATTAGAAGTTAACTATTAGAAAAATCGACAGAAAGAGAAGGACGAATGTTGAAGATGAGATTAACGGAATTTTTTATTTGTATAATCGTGTCTCTTTAGGTGGAAAAGCCTATAATGGTCAGACTATATTCTCTTTGTTGAAACTGTTTTAGAATTTGCAAATCCATTTAACTATTGTACGGGCACCTACCTCGAAGGTCCCTTGCCTCCAATGAGGCACCGTTTGCAGCCAATGCCTACACATGAAAGTATGAGTAACAAGATATTACAAAAGAAATAACTATTTTATCTTTGGATACAGGCTCGGTCCATCGAAACTCAAGTAATCAAACCCGGCAGCAGTGGCGTAGACAGCCTGCATGAAGATTTTGTCCGCTATGAAAATTTCGAGTCATTATAATTATTAATGTATTTAGAAGTTCAATGTTTTCAGTAGCCAGACTAACACCAAAATATTAGCATGACAGGACAAATCGTCAGGCTGCCTACGTCACCGCCAGGGTCGCGACGGAGAAATTGAATAGTCGGGTGCTAGTCCGAGGTCCTTGTATTTATTACTTTTGGGGTGCTTCATTTTCACAAAACATTCGGAGTTTGAATTTGTCCTAAATCGATCGCTAACAAGTAACACCCTTAAGACGTGCACACTGCACACCATAGATTCATCATCGCTGATTACCTGTAGACAAGCGTTCTGACCACGAATAGCTGCAATATGGGCTGGTGTCCAACCGTCCGGAGATGTTTCCGAATAAGACGCACCGTGCCACAAAAGCCAATGTAAACACTATACATACACAATAAACAACATTGTCAGTAATAATATTCAAGTCCTATACATAGAAAAAGGCCTCAATATAATGCTCAGTTTTTGCGTAAAGATTTAATACTAAGAAAACAAATGACATGGAAAAATCTGGATGGGTGTAATTAAAGTAGGGTGTGGTTTCATGGACTCATCTGAGGGACAGATTGAACAAAACAATGATTGAAGAGGCTGGTACACCAAGACCAATTGCAACACCCTTTTTTGTTTATAACAATGTCTTTTGAATGAAGTGAAAAATCACCCATTTAATAAAATTTTCAGCAATTTTCGGAATTGATTTTATGACAACTGTCATATTATAAGTGGGGAAACATTGGAAAACCATGCTATTAATGAATATCATTTTGATGCTGTCTAGCTTGTACTGATTACATATGATTGAATATAAATTATTTCTAATACCTCTAGACTACCATAATTGCAAGCCCAGTGGAGTGGTGTAAATTTAAATTTTGGATCTAAATCATTAATTCCAGCACCACTCTGTACCATTGCCTGAACTTCTGTTACGTCACCAAAACGAACAGCTTCATGGATACTGGATATACGGCGAATTTTATCTAAAAAACAGGTCCCAACAAAATCCTTCATGTACCGATTAATGTAGGTAAGAGAAAAATTGCCATGAAAACATTCTTTTTGAATTTGATAATTGAATAAAGATGAATGAAATGTGGGATAAGTCACAGCTAGGAAAAGCTGGCAGAAATGTTTATGGAAACATTTCAATGATGTGACTAAATGGGGAGGTACTAGCGCTGCAATAACCATAAAACAGTTGTGAGAATGAAAAAGTAAATGCACAAAGTGTTGTAGTGGAAGGTGGTGGAAAAGAAGAGATGAAAGAAATGGGAGGATAGGGTGGAATTAGGGTTTAATTCAATCTTAAGAGAGAGAGAGAGAGTGGTGAGAAATGCTTGTTTATGATAGGTAGGTTGAAATCAATGGAAAGGAAATTAGAATCTTTATTGACAGTATTGAAGAAAAAGAGCAAAATTTCAGAGTGAGAAGACCAATGACTTGTGAGTCAAGAATGTTCTATGTTTTCCAAGGGTGAGCTTGTTGGCTTTTTGACAAAGTGCCCATGACTATGTCCCAGTACCCCTCCCCCTACTAATGGAAAGGGGTACTGGAAAGGGGGCCCAAGGGGGGGGGGGGAATTTGATCAGAGGTGATACAAAGTGTACGAATAATTCATTACACCAATAATATTATCGTAATGATGTAAAATACTTCCTACCTGGCATTGTGTTTGTAATATATGTACACAATACTATTACTTTCTCAAATTTCTCTTGCCATGATTCTAATATACATCCCAGCTACTGAGCTATACTGCTATACATAATTCTCTCGAATCTTTAACGGCTAATATCGTATAATATGACAAAGAATGACAACAATTTAAGTTCCTTTTTAACAATTACTGATTTCTCCTTCGAAGAAACTGAATGAAGCTCACCATTCACTGAACTTGTTTTCGTTGCTATGAGTAATATGAGTTGCTATTGTTGCTATGTGCAATATTTACCGAGCCTTACGTTTGTTACGGGCTCTCAGTCTCGGGCTCAGAGCAATACTGCAATAGAATAGACCTTGAAGTTCGAGAAATTTAGAGCGAATTATATCCGGAAAGTGTCGCAACATGCAAAATAAAATATTTAATAAAGAAAAAGGATAAAACGACGCATTCTGTACGTTTTAAATTATAACTGCAGAAATTTTCCTGTATAATAAATATTCCCACTTCGATGTACTCTATTTAAGGTAACTTTGCCCGTTTGCGGGAAATAACAGCATATTGCCGCGCAATACAACCAATACAACGCATAAATATTGATGGGAGTTGTCACTTGGTCAAAACAAAGAGGCATGATAATATAATACACATGCAAATATATTTCATTGCTTTGCAGTGTTGTCTTTCTGTCGTCGATAGTAGCGTTATATTAATAACAAAATGGCCATCAAGAAATTTAAAAACCAAAATTACTCAAAGTTAAAGAAAAGATGCCAGTCAGAAGGCAAATTATTTGTAGATCCAGAATTTCCTCCTGAAGTGAAGTCAATGTATCATAGCAGATCTATGCCTCCAGATCAAGTTGAATGGAAAAGACCAAAGGTGTGGTTGAATTGCCTTAATTTTAGTTTAGCTTGATTATTACTTTACCTATTGTGTGCAGCCGCATTTAACCGCATTACTATCTAATTTATTGCCGAGGAATACGAGGTTAATTCAATCATGATTTATTTAAGATTGAGGGGACTTAAATCGTGCAAAGAGTGACTGTTTAATAGCTAATAATTTGTGATTTCGATCGTCATAATTTGTCACTTTTAAGCTTTAAAGTTCTGTGTGATATATTTTTAACCTCATCAAAACCATAATATAGATAGTATATAGTTACTGTTAGCGTCAAAATAAAATACAAGCTAGTATCTTTTTATTCGTAACACGAAGGAGGAGAATTGTCCAGAAAAATTCCTGGCACGTAAACTAATAATTCTAGCTATTTCTGTAAATATTATATCTGATGCGCTGAAGTAAAAATTAAAAAAATCCTTGGAAGTCCTAGTTATTTAAGTTTATTAAGTGCTAAATGATTGTTAAAATATTATTAAGATAAATAGTATGTCTCTATAATTTAAATCATTCCTGTTTGTTCACATAATGCTGCATATTTGACAATTATGTGATGTTGGCACTTACTCTTCAATTCAATATTTGCATAACTTAGTTTAGATTAAATAGTATTTTGTACAGTTCTCGTCTTCTCGAAGCAGTGTTGACTGCATGGTAACTTTTCGTGTTGTAATCACCATGCTTTTCATGGGCATAATTTTCATTAAAATTATAGCATAATTTTCTCTCTTTCTACAATAAATAACATATTATATAGCTACAGGAACCCACCAAAGCCTTAACAGGTGTGAACAAAAAATGTTTTATCAATGCCCTACAATGCTAGTAATTTAAGCTGATGTCATTAAATATCTTTGTTTCCAGGAAATTTGTGATGATCCCCACCTCTTTGTGAGTGGTATAGACACCAAGGATGTTACTCAGGGAAAGTTGGGTAATTGTTGGTTTGTTGCTGCATGTGCACTTGTTGCTCAGGAAGCCATGTTCTGGAGAAAGGTACAAATATGTAGTGATATGTGATAAATGGTAATTGATGCTAGTACCTGCCTGCAATCAAGATCTCATTTATAGATAGATATAATATGAATTCTAGATATAGATTTTCTATCAATTTTTTTGAATTTTCCTACCACAGGTTATTCCAGGAAATCAAGAGTGGGATCCTGCAAAACCGAATGAATACCAAGGAATATTCAGGTTTCGATTTTGGCGTTTTGGTCAGTGGATAGAGGTTGTTGTTGATGATCTTTTACCAACTATCAATGGTGAACTTGTTTATGTAAGTTCAACTGCCAAGAATGAGTTCTGGAGTGCTTTGGTGGAGAAAGCTTATGCAAAGTATGTTGATTATATTATGACTGTGTTACAAACAAAGTGCTCACTTGGAATGGACCTAAGCAGGACTTTTCATCTGCAACAAAGAATTGCATATAAAAAGCATTGAAATTAATACCTTAGGACATAAGTTTTTATTGAAATAGCTAGGTCTATGAGTACCAGAAAACCGTACTTCCCAGATTAGGAGGGTCACCATGGATGCCTCTCTTCTAACAAAAAGCCGCAATAGCTTTCTCATTGCAAGCACTGGGCTTGTGCTCTGACAAGACACTCTTAGTCAGAGAAGAAGAGCTTATTTTCATGTTTATTGCTTAATATACTATCATGTCATGGGAGTGAATTCTCTCTCTTTATTCTTTAAATTTAAGTTATGTTTACTAGTCTCTAGTGTATTGTTTTGAATTTCTAGAGTCAATGGCTGTTACGAAGTATTAGAAGGTGGAAATACTGCTGATGCATTAGCAGACTTCACAGGAGGTGTTGCAGAACCAGTTGATATTGTTGATGGTGGCTACAGTGCTGACAATGACAAGAGGATGCAGCTCTTTAAGGAATTGTCTGACTCTATGAAATCTGACCATGCCCTTATCAGCGCTTCAATTAGGGTACAGTAAATATTATTAAACTTCTATTTCATGTGTAATGTGCATTGCAAAGCAGGAAAGTGTGGAAGGTTTAACTGCTGTTGATTGTAGATTTGTAGTGATGTCAGGTTTCGTACACCACTGTTACTTTTTAATGGCCAAGACTTGATCAAAGCATTAATTTGGTTAATAGTTCCTCAATTATAGCAGTAGATTCTAGTGATAGATGTCAAATCAGAACTTGGCTTCAAAAAACTTAATGACATTGTGTATATATACCATACATTGATCTGTATGTATTGCACCTCCTTTCATTTCTGTAAAGATTCATTAAGTATACCACAATTGGTCACTCGCCATTATTTTGTAAAAAGAATGTATATTTCTGTTCATTATTTGTTATGTATATATTTTTAGACAAAAGATGCAGCCGAGGTGGAGAAGCGAACAGAAAATGGTTTGGTTTTGGGTCATGCATACGGCGTGACAGCCATGAGGAAGGTTAGACATTTCAGTTAAACTTTTTCACTTAAAACTTCTAGTTGTGTAGTAGGTTTTCCCTGTAGTTTAGTATGGAATGCAACAGTTTTTACTGACCGCAGTTACATTTTACAGATCATGGACATGAGGTGTTCAATTTCTTCAATTAAGAATTTTACTTGCTAATTGCTATATAACAAAACGCTAATATTACATTTACTTTTCTTTTTTCAGATTACTTTAGGAGAAGGTTTTCTCAATCTTTTCAACCGCCATTATCTGTACATGATCAGATTACGTAATCCCTGGGGACAGAAAGAATGGAAAGGAGCATGGAGTGATGGGTATTGCCATGAATCAGTAGCCTGCGAATACAGAATCTATTTATACGCTTATTCCACGCTGGGGGGAAACGCGATAAGCGTATAAATAGATTCTGTATTCGCAGGCTAATGAATCAGTTGACTTTGACTAATTATGAACCGTTTAATTATGTACTTTTTGTCAAATGCCAAAAAATACACACATTAACCGCCTCTAGTTTCTTTTACGACAGTTAATATGCAACCTTCTATGATGTTTCTTTGTAAAATTTAGGTCATCAGAATGGAATAAATTGAAGCAAAGTGATAGAGAGAAGCTTGGTATTGTTTTCGAAGATGATGGTGAATTTTGGTGAGATCCTTGTAGAAGCCATCTTGTCTATCATATATAGACTGTGAAGTAATAACCTCAGTCGTCGTGACGGCAAATTTATCTCATAGTTTTTAATACCTTGCAGGATGTCATTTGATGATTTTTGTCAATATTTTACCACCATCAATGTTTGTCATGTGCCCAACACGAAGACATTAAGTATCAGGAAAACATGGCGAGCAGCCTCTCATAAAGGATTTTGGAAACTTGGGACATCTGCTGGTGGATGTATCAACAATAAAGAGAGTTTCTTTACCAACCCACAGGTAATTATTAAGTGTTAAATAGTATTGCACAATGCGATGCCCTACGCCCCATACCCCTGACGAGCTTGCTGAGTAAACCGCGTCTATTTGGGCTAATTTAAAACTTTATTTAGTATGCCTTCAGCATACAGGACGAGAAACACCGCAATTGCATGGTGGCGTTACAACAGAAAGATAACAGACCTGAGAAAGCACAGGGAAAAGAAGCACTAACAATTGGATTTTTTATTATGCGAGTATGTATCAAGAATTTTTTGTACACTACTCATGCGAGATGCATCCTAGTGACGTGTGCATGTGGCGGCCTTCCTCCCTCTTAGCTATCTCATTGCCCTATATTTCCCCCACATCCCTCTTAGCTATCTCATTGCCCTATATTTCCCCCACATCCCTCTTAGCTATCTCATTGCCCTATATTTCCCCCACATCTCTCTTAGCTATCGTTTTTATTGCGCTATATTTGATCACGTGCTGCTAGGTTGAAGTGAATCGGGGATATCGTCTCCATACCTCCATGGAAAAGGCAGGTTCATCAATATTCATTAATGCACGTGAAGTGTTCACGAAACTAGAACTCGACCCAGGCCGCTATGTTGTTGTTCCTTCGACATTTGATCCAAACAATGACGGAGAGTTCATGTTGAGAATTTACACGGAGAGGAAGGCCAAGGCGAGGTAGGGAATAAAATCGTTTTGCGTTGCCTTTTCCAAACCGTTTAAGCTGCGTCGTGTAATGTATCGTTCTATGTTTCCAGGGAACTCACCCGCCACAATGACAAGGCATCTCCCTTCTTGTGTTGTATTCCTAAATACGGAACTCCTTCTGCTGTACTGTCATTCACAGTGATCAGCGGTACTGGCCTAAAAAAGATGAGTAGATTCGGCGTAGGTAGGTTGGTTTTTTGCTCAAACTTTTATACTCATGTCCACATTTTCATCGGTTCTGTTCCAAATGCAAATTAGGCGAGTTCCAATGTACATCTGAAATATTTCATTACACTGACGAAGGCCGATAGTTAACGAACTGAAAGCTTGCTTGTAGTATACGTGTGGTGAACCTACAAACTGATAATTATGCTGTCGTTTGCTATGCTGAAAATTTACAAGAATATTTTTAACAACTTTGTACATGTGGAATTTCAAAAAGGATGGCTTTCGATGTACCGTTTCCATTTTCTTTCAATTGTCTCTGACCGAATAATATCTTTTGTTTACGTGTTTTGAAAGAAGTTGAATGAATTTCTCTCCGATAGAACTAATAACATAATTTTGAGCCATAATAACTAGTTTTTTCTCTGAGAATGTGGAATTAGGTCAATTAACTAGAGTATATAACGGTATAAGATATGCCTTGGACGGGCATTGTATGCTTAATAAATTCCAGTTGTATAGTTTTAAGACCTCTTTGTGATCTTTTTTACAGGAGCTGATCCTTATTGTATTATCAAATGCGACGGCAGGAAAGTGAAAACTCCAGTACAAAATGACACATTAAATCCTAAATTTAACGCCGGAGGTTTGTTTTACGTCAGGAATATTAACAGCGAAATCGTTGTCGATGTAAGTGTGGTCATATTTCTTAGAAAAGATAATTTCTAGTAATAATACGAAGCTGAAACCGTTGCCATTTCGTATCTGCGGCAATGAAGACAAGAAATTGCATGTACATTGAAACAAGCATCTCATAGAAACAAATAAACTTAAAAAGCTCCAAAATTTTGGTGTTTCTCTAGGTATATGACAGTAACGTATTTTGGGACAGTTTTATGGGTCGTGCCGTCATTCCAGTTGAAGTTAGCAACAGCACAACTCAACAGTCGGTAAAGTTGAAAGGAAAAGGTCGTAATTCTGGAGAAGAAATGCCAGGGACGCTTACTGTTAAAATTTCCTGTTATGCTGATTTGAAATCAGTTTAAACGAGGACGCTCATACTCGCATGCTAGGGAGATTTTTGATTGTGCTAACGTTATTTATACATATATCATTTAGAATAACTTTATATTCTCAACCTGGAAGATTAACTGGCTTTGTAATGCTGCATGCTCATGGATGTATATCGGGCGCTCTTCAGTTTAGAAATCTCGATGCTGTATAGTCGACTGACTATATCGGACACTACAATGGGACCTAAACAAATATTTTAGCTCAGATTTTAGGCTGAAACAGCCTAAAATAATGACAAAATTATAATTTGAAAACCTGATTAGTATTTTAGTAAGGTGTCCGTTACATAATGGTTCAGTCCTATACACGAGCTCTTGGCCAAGGAACAGTGTCACTTCTTAGCTTGAAGTTCAAACAAACAATATTTATAAAAACTTAAAGCTGTGGTAGCAGTCAAGATGTTAGATGTACCTTGGCAGCATCGAGATGTGCAGTTTGCTGCTTTTCGTAGTTTTAGAGCTACGATTGCAAACAATATAATGAAAACATCAGGGTATCGCCTTGGAAGGAACCCAATGATGGGTATCCGCAATATTTCGGGGTGCATCAATTTCAGCTTTGAGACATAAAATTATGGGAACATACTCTCTGATCATCTAGCCTTGTATATCGCTGTATTGCAGACTGAAATATTTATAAACGGGTAGTATCTTTTAGTATCTTTATCAATTAGTATCTTTTTTAATTGTGTGTTCAATGCCTGTTGCTGCTTTATTATGACGAACAAGACGCCAACTCAGGCGTTTTCTTCACCTGCATGAAGCGAAATATTGTGCAGTTTGGGAGAATGGCACCTCCAATGGTGGTTTATAATTGCTAGCTTTGGAAATATGGAAACTGGCAAGAGGTTTTGTTTCTCAGTCTTTTATAAAAAAACTAGCTTTTAGGCTACTATGGTTGAATTTGCCAAGTTATAGCTTGCGTTTTGCTTACTCTGACAACCAGATTGCTGAACGGCCCTAACCTTCATAGCATTTCCATAGCACTTCCAAGTCTTCACAGCCTCACCTGACCTTGCATAACTCATGCTCACAATGTACTAAAAATCTATCAGATGCATCATCATGCCTATCCTCTTCGATGATTATGTCATTGTCACTTACGCTTGCAGAATTTGGCAGTAGTTCTCAAAGATGCTGTGCTAGACAAACCCAATATTTAGTGTGGTAAATTCAATATCACAACCCTAGCTAAAAGTTGGAAAAAATGGACTGGTGTTGGCATGCCAATATTGTTTTCCAATTGGGACAGTTTTAATTTGAAGTATAATTTAATTAATTTGAGCAGTGAAAACTTAAAGGTTTTTTAATAGTTTTTTTTTATAAATTTATAACATTACATGTACCCAGCACATACTGAATTAACACACATGCAGCTGTTAAACAATCAGCCATCATGCAATTATCTCATAACACCAGGCATTTGACCAAAAACGTTCATCCACATATTGAAAAGTCTATAGTTCATAAAACTTTCACTTCTGTGAGAAGTCAAATTTTGGGAATTCTTCAAGGTGTTTAGCATCACCGCCATATCTTCTTTGCAACTGAGCTATCTCTTTTTCTCTTCTTGCATCTGCTTCTTCCCCTGCGTCAACCAGTTTACCACCTTTGCTTTTCGTTTTATATTCTGCTAACTTGTTCACAAAAAGTTCCTGAATAGGATCCATATTTTGCTTAGCAAAAACAGCTGACGAAGCCCAGATACTTCTTGAACCATAAACTAAACTGTCCAAAGCTTTAACAGACCTGAAGAGCGCCATAACGTGCTTTTTTAATAATATTTTTCAATACCATTTACTATCAAAACTAGGGATTCCTCTCCAAGATGGCGGATATTTCTCGTAGTTACCAGACCCCATAAAGGAAGTAACGGTCAGATTTGACCGGAAATTGAATTATTAGTTGGGATTGTGAAAAATTCGGGGTTACACGTGAAAAGTTAAATGAATACAGAATTTTGTTTAGTTTATGTTTGGTGACAAAAAGATGACAGAGATTAAACGTTCTATGAAAGTTGGTTCGCGAAAGAGTCAGGTCTGTAAAATGTGTGTGATTTAAATAATTGATTTTTCATTTTTTTGTCTACCTTTTGATCACCAGCAAGACAAGGAGAAACGCTAAAATATAAAGCTATGTACATAGCTAGTTCTTCCATTCATTAAAGCCAAATATTTCCTGGATCTTTCAATGAAACAGATAGCAAATTAGGGCGAAATTAAACCACATAGCAACTAGCTAAAATTGTCAAAAAACTTCCCAAGGTTTCAACCTTTGTCATACACCCTCCCAGGCCTCCCATCTTCCATACTAACTCTCCTGACTAACTCACCAACTCTCAAAACATTGAGAAGTTTTTGCTACCTTCTCTGGCAGTTGCTCAAGCTCTTTGATGAGTTATTTGAACACATTGTCATACTGTTTTTGGATCATGTCTTTTTTTATTAACTTACAGCTTGCTTTAATACAAACTGAATTCATAATTGGGGAGGTGAAGAAACTTTTTCCGGAATACAATTTTGAAATTGGTATAAAATATATTGTGTTTGCTTTTGTTTTAATTTAAATTCCAGTTGCTGATACTCCTATCTATTCCTTGTGTGTGTTTTTATTTCATAGTTACAATGGATACATTGGGTGATAAAGTACTGGACAAAGCCTTGCCGAAGGTTGCCTTATGTCATTGTTATAGCATAGATATTTAAGATACATGCTTTGACTTTTTTTTAAATTTTTTGAAGATTGGTGAAAAAGCATTGTTTACCAAAGAACTTGAAGATGCTTTACTTGATGGAAGGTGCAAAAATAATACTTCATGTAGTGACTGTAAAAAAATGCAGAAATGCTCTATAGCATTGTGTACTATAGCATTGTGTTCTATAGCATTGTGTTTATTGACTAATTGGTCTGCGGCTTAGCCACCAAGTATTGATTTAGAGCTCAGGCATCAATGTTGGTTAAGAGGCTCAAGGATCAATGATTTATCCTTTTTTATCAAGATTAATTTTGCGAAGATTAGCTGCATGTCAACTTTTGCAAATCGAAACCAAACATTTCTCTTATGCAGACAACCATATATTTTGTTATATTTTAGGGTTGACTTTGTTGTCCATTCTTTAAAAGATCTTCCAACAGAACTTCCAAATGGCTTAGGAATTGGAACTATTTTCTGGTTAGTTTTGTTTGAGAAATGCATGCTTCTTTTTTTAATTATACTATTAATCATTTCCTAAAATTACCATTTTATTTTCAATAAATACTTATATATATGTCAATAATTATTTAGTCGTGATAACAAATATGATGCAGTAATTCTCCACCCAAAACATCATGGACAAACTCTTGCCACTCTGCCTCCTGGAAGGTACATATATACTATAACATGATTATATATTATTACATAAAAACTATTTACAATTGTCCCAATAATTAGGGTTATTGTTTTGTCATTAGTGTTATAGGCACGAGCTCTCTGCGAAGAATTGCTCAGCTTATAAGACGATATCCTCATCTGATATTCGAAAATGTTGTATCTTTTATATAAAATATTATCCTGGTAGAAATAATATGTGTTAAAGATGGTCTTCTTTGTTTGTTTTGCTGCACAAAAATTAATTCAGCTTTAACATAATATTAGAGAGGTAATCTAAATACTAGATTACGAAAACTTGATGAGGATGATAAATACGATGCCTTAGTTCTGGCTGTTGCTGGTATTCACAGAATGAATTGGCATGAGAGAATAAGTCAGGTAGAAATTATGCTAGAATTATAGACTTTTTAATATAACTTCTTTAATTGCTTTTGCAAAAATACTTTAGTGGTCCACTTATATGACTTACTCATGGGTGCATGTTCCATGTTTTATGTGTGTATACTGTACTGTAAATAACTTGAAGTAAAACTTGGACTTTTTGTGTGATACTGGTTATTATCAGTAAATTGGGCATGCATGATGCATGCATTAAGGTATACTTTATCCAGGGCATCGGCATTGATTACTGTTGTAAAATCTTTCAGATACTGACACCACCTGATTGTTTGTATGCTGTTGGACAGGTAAGTGAATATGGTTCGTTGATTTCATGGTTCTTTATTCAAAAGTTCTTTCTATTCAAATTTTCAGTAATTATACAAATTTGATATAATTTTATATTATAAAATATGTTGATTTTTTTTCTTGGTCTTGCTAACCACTGATACTACATTTAAAAGTCGGAATTCTCTATCTGTAAGAGGTTTAGTAACAAAATCAAAAGAATTGCAGCTTAGCATGTCTTGATCTGTGTTTTATGACCAGACTAAATCTGAACAAATATGACCAGAACTTTAAACATGCGCTTGGTCTGGCAGTCTAACACTAAAAGTAGAATGGGATAAAAATGCAGACTTTTACCGTGTATTTTGCCTTAGGGTGCCTTGGGTGTGGAAGTAAGAAACAATGATAAAGAAACTCTAGGCGTGTTGTCGAAGATAATTGATTTAGAGACATTTATATGTTGTGCGGCAGAAAGAGCATATTTACGTCGTTTGGTGAGTATTAAGTTGTATATCAGTTTTGTGCCGCTGCTGGGCGTATTGTGAAGAGAATTCGTGATAATACAATCACCTGTCTCCAGGGGCGTAACTAGAACGATAATTGGGGGGGAGGGGGTGAATATTCATATATCCAGTTCTACCCGACGGTTTTTTGTTGTAAGCTATTGCACTTAGAAGAGAAATCCATCGGGCAGAACGTACTGGATATATGAATATCCACAACGCGCCCCCGCCCAATTATCGTTCTAGTTACAGCACTGCCTGTCTCAATATGTCTATACTAGTCTACATGTAGGTTGATCTTCATCAATAATAACATTTTAATATTCAGTCATCCACCTACTTTTGCAAAATATTGCGTTGCAAATTTGACATACTTTTTTGACTGCATTTATATGAGTTGGTAAAAAGAAAACACACGCGTACTATTACAAATAATTTTCTTGAGAAAGGAGAATAAACTGTATGGAACCTTTTTGACGTCTTGAACTTTATTGCTCTCCAAAATTATTTTTCTAGGGTGGAGGGTGCAGTGCTCCGGTTGGTATTTCAAGCAGTTGGAAGGATAAAGAAGTAAGTGTAAGCAGGATAGGCTGACGTTTTCAATAAAAAGATCCTGACATGCAGTGTACTAGTATATATATTTCATTTTCAAAACTAGGTTCTGTTTCCGTTTATCAATACATATTTTTGTTTTAAGAATGATGTGGACTTTGTCGCTCGATTGTCGTTAAGGAGGAAATAGTTTACGGTTTATAACAGTTGGTTTGAAATTTAAGTTCTTTTTTTAAAATTCTTTTTCAGTTAAAACTTGAAGGCGCGGTGCTCAGTCTTGATGGGGAACAATGTATATCTGGTGAAGTCTGTCATACAGTTGAACGGGATACAAATCAAAATGATCCCACGGAATTCTTGTCAAATATTTCAACAACATGTCTCATAATTCCGGAATATTTGAAAGAAGTCCTACAAAGTTCAGAAAACTGCGGTATCCAACTCGCGGATAAACTGTTGGGTGAAGGAGCAGGTGAGGTAATGAAGAAAGCTAAAGATATGATTGAAAAGTCTTGAATATAAATCTACAATCTGAATTGGAAACTGGGCAGGCGAAGACACAAAGGCATTTTCTTTTTTGATTTTGTCTGTTTATAAAATGCGGAAAAACAAACGCTTGTTTGGCAAGGCGAACCGGTAGTATAGGCGCCAGATGTCCAAAGCCTCATGCCGCGGAACTTTGGACAATTTCTAGAAAAAAATGGCATTCCTAAAAAATATGTGATCGTAATAAGCTAGCTGTTAAAGAGCGCGGTTCACTGCATTATTTGTTCATTGCATATTGTTATATACATACATATTCTTAATAGAAAAAACCACATTCACCATAGGAACCAAATTACTTTTAATATTGAAATGTAATTTACTCGATATTTTAATTAAATAATTTAGGCAATTTAATGAATTCTATTCTAGTGAAAACTGATTAAATGAATAGTTAATTCAGTTTAATGTATGTAGTAACCTAACTCTCCTAACTAAACATATAGTGAGTGACAAAACAATGTTCCTAGCAGAAACTAAGCGAAACACCTGAGCGAAATAGAGAACTAGACATTCATTTTGCTTCCAGCAAAGGAAATACCTTCCTGGCCTATTCAAATTTAGAGCGCTAAATAAAAACACGTTTAACTATATAAGTTCATCCCTATCCATTATTAACCAATATGCACGTAGAGAGTTTGATCGAGGTCAAAAGTGCACGTTGGATTATGCAGGACCAGTTCATTAGCACAGTTCCTAAGTATTGGCATTTTCAACTGAATTGAAATTGCCCGAAATACAAGGTCGCATGCATAATGTGTGATATATGTTGTTTTCATTCTCATTGTTTTCTTACTAGTGGAAACATTTTTTTGAATAGTTTAAATAGTTTGGCTATTAATATTAAACCTGAATTAATTGTTTGGCTGTATATATAAATGATGACAGTTTCTCATGCAGGCTCACACGGATTACTCCGTTTTCATGTGCTGACTAGTTACACGATATATAACACTATCACGTCCAGGGTCCATGTACCACATGACTATGGATACAGCATAAACTGTCAATACAAGAATTATCATCAACCACAAAATGATGTTAAATATTGGAGGAAATTCGTCATCATATTTATTGTCGACGAATGCGAAGTTGTTCTCGTTTGTTTTACAGTCTTCTTTTTCTGACTAGAAAAAATAAATTAAATATAAATTTAAAGATTTATAAAGTTGAGAGAATTAACTTAGTCTAATGAAGTACTTAGTTTCGTATCAATTAGTTAGTTAAATTAATAAAGTTACCACAGAATAAAAGATACATATTCTTATGCTACAAATTTGAAAAGTTATATCATATAACAATATAATAGCAATGTCTAAAGTATACTGGAAAAATCCTTGCCATTTAGATAAAGGCATTCTCTGATGTTTTAGCAACTGGTACAGACTTTACCTATTATACTCCCCTGGTATTGCTCTCTGATTACTCGTTTTGCAATGTCTATCAACGTCATTTACCTTTTCTGGAGAGACATCTCGTCGAAATCTCAAATGACTTTCCTCGTCTTCATTTATATCATTTTCATTACTCGACAAAACCTTCCTTCTGTCTCTATGAATCAATAAAAATAAATAAAAATTATCATCGCTGTTTATACACCGTTCACTCACCTGATTGAACTATATAATAGACCAATAAATTATCGCGAAAACACGTGTCAAGGCAGGATATATTCTAATTCCATGCATTCCTACTGTTCAATGATGAACAGTGATATGAAAACGCACGTTTCTTCCTTCAAGTTCACGACCTCTACGAGCACTTGTCCTCCATAAAGTTCACTAAATAATTTTGTAATCTGAAAGAAATATATACCTCAGGGTGATTTGCGAAAATATGGACGAGACGAAGTATCAGTATGGGGATCAAGTGTTTTGCTCCCCGGAAGCTTAATTCTTTATGTCTTGTTTTCAAAATAAAAATCTTCTCAAATCGTAAGAACTTGACAAACCTTTGGTATGACATTGTTCAGAATATGTAATGCAGCATTAAGTTGTGCTGAAGCACCGCCATAGCGCTGAGAAAATCTCTGCAAATACGTTTTTAAAAGATTTATAACAGCACATACACGGAAACTCCGTAAACGGGTTTTAAAGAAAAATGAACTTAAAATGAATGTGTGAATTCGGGGCCAGCAAAGAAAGACGATATTGTCAACATACAGACTACACTGTACCTTCACTGTTGAAATTCCAAAAGTATAGAAATCCACGAAGCGGTCCTGAGTTAAACTATCAAATTTTTTTATCTATAAAAACAGTTACAAATCAAATGAGTTATTGCCCATTCTTCTTTCATGAATTACGTAATCTGGCACATCAACCAAGTATTTGGCTATTGTTCCATGTCTAGGATGTAGTCTTCTGAACTACAATATGATTCAGGTACCTCATCAAACAGGTGAAATAATCCTTGAATTTCGGCGAAAAACATGAAGTCATCCTATAATGTAATTGAGGTAACTGAAGTTCAAGACACAACTCAACACAAGGAACTGTCATGAAAAAACTCACCTTTTCATTCATATCAAACGATACATCTTCCTTTCCAGGTACTGAAACAACGAACTTGTGTTCGTTCGTAAGATATTTTATACCTAAAGCACGAGATTACGGTTAGGGTCAATCAGCGCTTCCTTGCAAATAATAATTTGTTCCACTACAACTTGTACTGTACCTTCACCAAAATTTGAAGTTTCAAAATTCTTCAGCAGCTTTAGAATGAGAAAATAAGTTGTGTTGACAAAACATAAAGAATGAGTATAGAGTAAAGAGTATTAAAATACCTCGTCTTTAGATAGTTTCATTTCATTTGAACTAGCTTCGTCTTCAAATGCTTTTCTCTACAATAAAGCGGTTTGCATTCTTAGCTAATGCATGAAGGTTACTGCTAGGATTCCTAGATCTAAACACTTTCTAACATTGTACTTGCTATAACTACGTTTTTGTCAAATTCAAAGCAGACCTCATCATCCCATGTGACAGTGTGAGCGTTTTGTCCTGTTGTGGACGCCGCATTTGCAAGCTAAATAAAGAAGGAATGATGAAATAAGATGAAATGATAGGGTGCTCTCAACTTACAGGACGAGATCGAGGAACACTCTGATTTCACAGAACGGCGTTTATCCATAATGTTAATATCTCGTATATTACAAAATAGCGTGATTGATATAATCATTTTACCTGTTTTTGTGCGGAGAACGATACAACCAGCGGTTTCTCCTTTAAAACACCTGATATATGACTCACAAAGTTACGTATAGGAGATATCCGAAATATATCAAGATTTGAGTTGGCATCATTCTACATAAAATGTACAGACGTATGTGGTAGTAACGACATGGGAATACCATATGACTTACTGTAGTTTGTTAGCCAGCTTCCAAAGAAAGAGTTGACATTTTTTTGGAAATTCAAAAGGAAGAACTTTTTCAAATAAATGCAAGAATTAATGGGGCAGAAAAATTATCCAAAGACATGCTGAATGTTGCAAATTACCTTAATGATGGTGTAAGATAACGACTTTCCTGGAACTGAAACAGCTTTTCCTGGACAGTGAAAAGAAGGGTAAGGTAGGTGTGAATAAAGAATGATAACATTATATGCCTAGAAGCATATTTCAGGCAAGCTAAGAGAGCTCACATCAATTACTCCAGATTAAACTTGGTGCTAACCTTTCTCAATCCCATCAATAATAAATAATACATTGGCCTTAGGACGATTGAAAATATCTCCTACAGATAATCCATTCCAATCTATGCTCTAAAAATAAGACAAAATTCAAATGTTTATGTAATACAAGTAATACAAGAGTTGAATCAAGGTTTATTTCTTCTTAAAAAATTCCAATAGCTAGTTCTATTTGAAACAAGCTCATTTAGATACCTGAAGAGATGAGAAACCCAAAGCCAATGATAAAACTTGAGGAATGTCTTGTAATCTAATATTTCCAGCTGATGACCGTAGTGAAACAGAGGTTGGAATATTGGTGAAACTCAGGGTACCAGCTTTAATATTAGCAACCTATAAATCACAATTTATATTCCTTTCTAGTTATTTCATTGATATTCTTTGTTACTCTGTTCATAGGCAATGCTTTTTTGTCATTGGGAAGAAAACCACGTGTAACAAGCTATTACAGTATGATTGAGCAATATGATAACACAAAGGGTATTAAATGGTCAACTATATAGGAATTAAAAGATCTATTAACCAGGTTCACTATGTTTTGGTATTACACTATTAAATGGTTGTTTTATAGGACAGGTTTCAATTTTAAGATTTTACATTATCATCTGCATTATGATGTCCTAAGAATGCATCTACCACCCCATATGCTTTTCATAATTTACATAATCTAGGTTAGGAGGTACTAGGAAAATAATCACCCTTAGGATCTACCCGGACTACACCTTACTCCGTCAAAGGAATTGTGGACAAATATTCTAAAGAATGCAAATACTGTATAGAATAGGAAATTACCTTGATTATTGCAATAGTTAACAAATCAAACTTAAGAATTTTCAAGAAAACTATACACAATTAAATATAAAGAGAGTAGTTAATATAGAAAATAAATGCTTTAATAACCTTTGATGGATCATTCCAATGATGAACCAACAAATCTGATGCACTGACAGCTGTCAATAGAAGTAAAAAACAACTGTTTTAGTTACATGCCTTGGTTACATGTAATGTCCTTAAACACTTTATTTAAGTCAACAGTTGTAACTGACCATCAATCATGAAATGACTGTGCACATCAACCAATACTGACCGTTACCCACCATCAACGTCATCACGTGACAACTGACAAATGGGATGTTAATCACAGAACGAAATTCATTCCAATGATAAAATGCAATTATAGGCAAGAATACGTAACAAAGGACAACACAGGTAACTTGCATGGATAGCATTCTTGGGCTTATAAAACCGTATTCAATAAAATATTATCATAAAAGCTGATGCCTGCTGCTCCAAGACATCGAAACGTTGACGATGAAATAAGTTCGGAAAGCGGAGAAAATGTTCATAGAATGAAATTTCTTTAGAAAAACATACCCTCGCAGTTTATTTTTTACTCACCGAGAATGACATGGAACGAAAAATAAAGAAATAAAATGGGCCCCGCTGGACTTGTCTCTCGACGGAAGGTAGCCATTTTGTTCATAATGAAAATCCCGAGTGTCGTACGAGAGTTCACGACAATTTAGGGACAAGAAATTTTCGTTTCGTTTGTAGATATTATTGCATGAAAACCGAGATTTTTTATTACCATAATCGTTATAAAGCTTCTTGAAGGCAATTTTAAACAAATTGTGATGTATTTTTAAAGAACAAATTGCAAAATACGAAGGTATTTGTGAATTCACGGAGGCTTCCGGGTTATTCCGTTCTCAAGTTGGCGCCGAGATTAGGCCCGAGAACACTCGATAGTGAGGCTAGGTCAACACATCTCAAATCATCTCTTTACCAAGAAAATATTCGTATGAGTTGTGAAATCTAAGCAAAATTTTTAGTTATTCGCTTGGTAACAAGAAACTAGAGCAAATGAAGTGTCAATCAGGATATTCAGGTATAGTATTTATCGGTTAAAATCGTCCCAATCCGATAGTTGAAGTTTGCGTAGAGCCTGCTTACGACATCGCGTATGCAGACTGCAGAGGGACTTCGTTAAATATTCGGTTGTAGAACTAAGTTATTGGACGGTATGTAACCTTTATAAACCGCTATCAGAGAGCAGCAAGAACACATCAGTAATATAGTTTAAGTTTTACATTAGTTATATATACGGCTCACTATAAAAAGATCGTTAAATCTGAGGCGATATTCACGTCATAACAAAATCGATGCAATGGAAGTAAATCGGGAATACCGCGAACTAAATCTAAATCTGAGCTAATACAAAATGAAACCAGCTGAGATGTAAATGTAGCTAACATAAGTGCTTATCTTTTACTTTCAAGATAGATTAATATTTCTCTTTATTCTAAAATACTAGAGAATATACTGTAGTGTAGCAGCGCAGGTACTAAGGACTAAGGTAGCGAGCGATACAAAATTATCACATGCGAACGAGACTCGTGATCTAATAGTAACTTTCTGGCTCATGGCAAATACAAGATTTTGCAAAGTTTTACTGCTACTTTTACTAAAGATATAGGTTATAGGGAAAATGCAATGCATTAAAGAAACATTTATAGCGAATTTTAACTGCCCAGTCAAACGATATTCAATCGACAATATGGCAAAGTTTGCAGACGTGCTTTGTAGCGGGTCCTATAGTCTTCTTGTCACGTGTTAAATATATGCATATACAACACTCGTATTTGTTTGTTTCATAAGCCCCCATCACTTTAAAATAATCTTAAAAGATCTTCGACAGTCTGAGTCAACTAAATTTTTAGATTTATCACTAATAGTTTATTTGGTATAAACATTTTAACGCGATCTTTGCACGACTTTGTGTTTCTCTAGTTTCCAGACTCCATGCGCTCGTTAATCTCGTTGATTTGCGTACGGTATTAAAATTGCGAACGAAGCAACGAACGCTTCTGATGTCAAATTGGTTGCTGATGTGGTAACTGAGGCATTTTAAAGTGCTAAAGTTAGCTCCATAAAGTGCCGGAATATTGTGATACGCGTGACCCTGGTTAGCCGGAGTTTCATTTGTGGCTATATGCTCGAGAAATACGAATGTCATGTGTGTCATACAACCCTGAATAATTCGGTTGAGCAAGTATAAGCTTCCATTATTCTCTTCGTTCTCAGAGTCTCAGAGCTTTGCATTTTCACAATAGCGCTCAGCAATAATTTAATTGATCGCGCGTATCTTTGCTCTTACACAATAATTATTATTCTTTTCGTTCTATTTTATGTAAATTAATCCGCGTGTCTGCGCATTCCTCACCGTATATCAATATTTAACCCTATACATCCTACCCCAACTATGGTATTATATTACACTAAATAATAACTAACCAGATACTTCTTTCTACTTGTTATATCATAAATAAGGAAAGAGAATAATCTAATGTAACTGAAACGCGCTACTGATCATTCACACCAGAGCGCTAATGTACCATGAATCCTAGAGGAATAGCTAAAAGAGACACAGTATATTTTATTATGTTAATATTATAGCTGTATCAGGCGATCAAACAATAAAAAAGAAATAGAACTGGGCATGCATATCACGTCGCCACTGAAGGTTTTCGCACTTAATGGCAGAGCTTAATTTTTTCATGACGTGAATTACCATGCAGTGGATCTCAGTTATAACTTTGTAGTTTCACTAGTACATGCTACTGGATGGAAAGGTCCTTTGGAGAACAGTAGAAATTTTAAGCTAAAAGACTAAAAGTTAAATACGTTGGCCAATATATGTAATATAGTCGATGGATACGAAGATTGGTTACATTGGGAATAGATGAGCTAAATAGATGAACGCAATCAAGGTTGTACATCAGTTCCTGGAAATCTAGAAATCAAAATTGATATGGCATATTCTCTAGGCATGAAAAGCCTTACATGCTTTCATGCAACCTTTGCATCACGACGATGTTTGAATGTTATATCTCATCATTGTATTTAATTTTTAGATGGATGAAGACGGGGGAAAAAGCGGTGAAGTACTTGTGAAGGCGTGTCAAAATATGGACGAACATTCTAATCCTAAAGACAAAGTTATGGAAACTGCATCTCCCCCCGTTAAAGAACCAGTGTTACAGGACAGCGAACACAGCAGTGAGCGCAGTGAAACGACAGGTATAAAATTATTTTAGCTTTGAAATAGGCATGTTTTCGTTGACGCGTTTCTCTGTGATAATGTTTTTACAGATTGGCAAAAAAATGCATAAAATTTATCAATTTCGTGAGAAGCATTTACACAGACACCCTACGCATATCATGCCCTAGTAGCGTAAAGGTGTTCTACGACGAGTTTTCTCTACTATGATTGAGCTATTGTATTCAATACTTGTTCTTTTTAAGTTCACTTATTCCTTGATTATTCTTGTGTACACCTTTACAATTACAGCAACGTTTATAATAGTGCGTAATCTTTTACTAGTAAATGGTCCTGAGATGAAATCAGGCGTTTCAACAATGTTTTCTGGTAAAACAAAAGTTAAGAAAAAAATGCGAGTCGAAGATATTATTACAAACCTTAAGAAAGTGAAGCAAGTCGCGAGCTCAACTGCGAACGAACCGCAGCCTGTCACAAGACCACCAAACGAGAATGGAAACACACAGTTGAAAGAAACTGTAAGGAGCCCCATCATCATGCCACCAGAAGAATGTGAAAGATCGTCAACAGACGATGATCCTTTGCCAAGTGGAGAACAACAAGAGGAGGAGGGATCATCATTTGCAAGCATGTGTAACATTCGAGACGATCCACCTAACTACAAAGAATTCAGTGATTTGCAGCCATTGACGAAACAAAGAACGGAACAATCTAGTTTAACGCAAGATATGAAAAAATTCCCAGAAAATGTTGCTCCGTCTCAAAAAACCAGTCAAACAAAACCAACAGCTACCACGAACACTTCAAATCCTCTTAGACAAGTGATTGTGCAAGCTGTTCCACAAAAACGAAATCAACAGACTCCGATAATATTAAATAAACTTCCACCTGGATTCATTATTAGAAATGATCTTCCTTCAGGTTCTGCAAATCCTCAGGCAACACCAACGACAGGTCAACCTAAACTATTATTGATTACAAAATCGGGAAGTCCTTTTTACCTAACACAAAGTTTAAGTACTACAACGAGTCAAACACAGTCCAAACCTGCTGATAAAGTTAATAATTCTCCTGTATTAACACAAGGAAAACCAGTTATTACTACTAATAAGTCGTCTGCTCTTTTGAAGGGAAAACCAATCAATTCGAACAAAAATATTTTACGATTGTCCACTCCTACATCAAAAACAACGAACAAGGAGACTCCATTGATAACTGTACAGTACAATTTACCATACCCTAACAACAACTGCAAAGTTGTTAGTAATCCTGTAAACATCCGAACAGCACAAAGTTTCAAAGCAGGGACATTTCAAACTGTGAATAATCTTCCGCCACGGCCTAGTAGGCCCCGTGAAATGGTAGTGAACTTTGCTGGAAATCAAACAGCGCATATTACAACCATGACGGATGAGACATCTGTTCTTCCTGAAAGACAAACAAGATTTATTCCGTCCATTATTTATCGTTCATCGCCGGATACATCTCCAAATAAAAATACGAAACCAGTTGCGGAGAAACGAAATGATAAGACAATTTTTATCGTGACGTCGCCATCAGCCATTGCAAAAAACGTCAAACTTAAAATTGATGGAAATAATAAGGTCCCTGTACAAAGCCCACAGCGAAGGTCTATTTATGACGAGAAAATTGCAAAGCTTACTGGAAAAATGACAAATATCGATCAGGCTGTCGCAGTCAATGGCAAAGCAAAAGGTTTGTCGAATGGAGTGAACACGAATTCAAACGTTGCTAATGTTCGGGTGAGTAATAGAAAGAGACAACAGACTGAGAAGGCGAAGTTATTTGAGAAAGAAACAAAGAAACGAAAGAGGAGTGAAGAAAGAAGCCCAGGAAGTGAGAAGTTGAAAGTGGATATTCCAGTTGATAATTTAGATGATGGTAACAAGACTTCACCAACGTCAGTTAGCCCAAGTCAGCATGAAGACATTGAGAAAGGTATAACGAGATCACCATCAAAGAAAATTAAAACTGCTTCACCGAGAACGATCAATAATGAAGAAGTCTCTCAAAAGGAAAAAGAAGAGGAGAAAGAAGACGATCCTGACAGTTTGTTTCGTGATCCTGCTTTGCTAACGCGAGAACAACGAGCACTGCAGCGTGCTTTGATGTTGTTTAAAGAACTTGAGGAAAAACAAGCAAGAAAACGGTCAAGAACTGAGACAGACAGTGAAACTGGGAAGGCAAAACAGACAAGAAAAGAGTCAGTTACTGATCCTGATAAGATAAAACAGTCAAAAACTGAGACAGACAGTGAATCTGCGAAGGCAAAACAGACAAGAAAGGAGTCAGTTACTGATCCTGATAAGATAAAACAGTCAAAAATTGAGACAAACAGTGAATCTGGGAAGACAAAACAGACAAGAAAAGAGGTCATTAATTATTCTGATAAGATAAAACAGTCAAGAACTGAGATAAACAGTGAATCTGGGAAGACAAAACAGACAAGAAAAGAGTCCATTAATGATCCTGATAAGATAAAACAGGCAAAAACTGAGGCTGAACCTGGTAAAACCAAACAAGCAAAGAAAGAATCAGTCAGTGAGCCTAATAAGATAAAACAAGCTCGAAGTGAACTAGATTCTAACGTAAGTAACACAAAATTGGCAAAAAATATATCAGTGGATGACGTCGAGATGAAACAAACAGAGAAGAAATCTACAAGTGAAGCTGATAAGACAAGTTCTCGGAAAACTGCAGGAGAAAATCAGGTATTGTTGATCATCATTTTCGCTATAAAGAAATGTGTTTTAAGTGCTTCTGTTAGACCAAGTCCATGCATGCAAGTTACATAATGTTGCTTGATATCAGAAGACGTCTAGCTCCGAATTCAATTTTATTTATTTAAGAATCATATATGAATTATCAATTATTTTTTAGCGATAATTTCCTTCAGGATCCGTTTTCTCTTGAAAAGTTATATTAAGAATTGGTTCGCAACTTTTCAAGGACGACATTATAAGCAATGTGTTAGTGTATTCTATACAACCTTATATAAATCATAAACTTATTTTCAGTTGATTCGCGATGTGGCGTCGAAGCGAAAAATCGTGGATGAAGGTACGTTCGTCATATTGCATTTCCTCTTAACGGGGAGGTAGTCGTATTGTCGTAGCTAAACTCGTGTCACATCGACTAACGTGGGTTTCGTGAGCTCTCTGATGCGTGTTTGGGGCTTAAAGGGCAATTCTTTTTGAAAGCAGTATCAAGCTAGCTACCCTAGCTATATATATTGTTCTCCTTGTGGCACTGCACGATTATATATAGCTACATCAATCGTTAAAACTGCATATGTATGCATGTGTGTATGCAAGGTGTAAAGGTGGTAGAGTAAATGTATGCGAAAACCTTTTGTTTTCAACTATACTCAGTCACTACATGTTCACAAACTACGTTACCTTGACAGAAATGTACGATGTAGTATTGAAAAAAAGAAAACAAGAAATGAGAAAGAATAGAAATGAGGTGATTTTTTACCAACATCTACGGATAACATTACTTGTGAAAGCGTGCTTTCTTATATCCTAAATTTTACCCTCATAATTTTATCCTCTAAAACGAACTTATTTTAGACTCGAGCATTTTCTTCCAAACCAACCCCTCCCTCCCGCCTTGATTGGTAAAAAGAAAATACCTTTATTATATTATTGTAGTAATAATGACAGAAAAAATTTATTATTTCAGGAAAAGGCAATTGATGTAACACCAAAAAGTGAAGACAAAGACCAGAAAAGTATAATTATAATTTATTTAGTCAAAAAAACTTCAACGCACTGTCGTTATTTTCAAAATTATTGTTTTAATTTTACTATACTTTCCGCTGTTCGAAATCGCCGGTTTTCAAATTGTTACGTCGTTGATACCAACCATTTTTATTTAGGTCCTGAAGAAGTTGTTACAAAGGCCATCAAGCAAGAGAAACACTCGAACGCAGAGATAGACCCAAGTCGTTCAGAAAGCGTTAAGCGAAAGAACGATGTTAAGGTAAAAAATTAGAAGCAAAATTAATCTGTTTGGCGTGGTGTGGATGTACCTATAGTGGCGTACCCATGCAGTCAGACGATTGTTTTCACAGTCAATAAACACCAAAATATTAGCATAGTGGAACTAAATCATCACACACTAGAGGCTGGCTGGCTGACTATACGCCAGTCTCGTGTGCGTGCAAAATTTATCCCCATGCACAATTTAGCCCGAGCAGACATTCATGTGTTAACGTGTAAACGCGCAGAATGGGCAAGTTTTTTCAATACTAATTAGTGCATATTGTACTTTCTATCATTTCAGAAAATTGTGCCGAAGAAACCCGAAGTAAAATCTGGTAAGATAATGCATGCCTTGCTCTCCTGTCAATCCATCATCTTTATTTAATTTTTTCCCAATTTAATTGCGAAGTATATTCTGATGATTGTTCCCTGATAGTTTTAAATTTAATCGTTATATTTAACCAGACAATGTAAAAGATAGTCCCAGTTCTTCAAAAGAGAATAAACACCTGAAAACCGCGAAGGATGTTGTTCAGCCAAAAATTTTGAAACCGCCGCCGAAAACACCAGGTCAGCTTGATTTAATAGCAACTCATTCTAAATTATGACTTAATTTTATGTAAATTATCGGTTTACTCAAATCGTCAGGCCACCTTAAATCACCCTGTCTCTAAATGAATAGCTCAGCCTGAATCAGCAAGGTTAGCCTGAATCTGCCGGTCAGCCTGAATCTGCCACTGATCTGCCGGTCAGCCTTAATCTGCAGGTTAGCCTGAATCTGCCGGTCAGCCTGAATCTGCAGGTCGTGAAGTAATAAAACAAGGGTTGACAGACAAGGCCTTAGTCACGACATGCTGTTTTTGTGTAGAATCCGCTGCTGAGAAACATCGCGTGAAAACGTACATGTTAGTTCCTTCCTACCATGGTTTTAAGGTCAGTAATATAACTTATGTGTGTTATGTATTAGACAATTTCTATTTCGTCGTTGGCTGCAATCTTAGAAATGAAACTGTTTTCTTTAAAGGATTTTTCTCCAATCGTTCTCGGTTCAAGAACTCGAAGCAGGAAAACAGAAGCAGTGACAACAGAGAAAGGTATTAAAACACTAGCTGTATATCGAACGCTGTTTCCTTTTTTTTTTAGATTAGTAAGTTATCTTTGTATTGCTTTGATATCTGATGTAGAATACGACGTTCCTGTGACGAAACCACCAGAGCGAAGTGAGAAAGATATTCCATTGTTAGTCATAGAGACAGTTGGGAATAAAGCTGTTAAACAGGATGTGTTAGCGAAAGATGAGCAAATGAGAGATTTTGTCAAAGATAGTATTCGCAAACAAGGAATGTTAAAGCAGGAATTAGAGGTGAAAATTAAAATGCACTCGCTTTTTTGCCTATTTTTTAGTCAAATGCCCCAGGTGTTACAATTTTTTACAACCCCTGGAATAGTAGTTCTTCATGCATTTTTGACCAACGTTTACTTTTAGTTGAACGAAAAAAACGAGGACGCTGAACAGTTTGAAAACCGAGGTAAGTAATCATTCTTCGTGTTTCTTTTTACCTATTATTAGCTCATTTAATTTAAGTTATATGCAAACGTGATCGTAGTTTAACTAATAGTTATATAAACGGCTATGACGTATTTTCATCTCACATTAGTAACACATCTCACATCTTCGGCTATTCTTCCAGAAAAACGAAATTTGACGGTGAACAGAAATACTGGTGAAACAGTTTTGCACAAAGCATCGCGAATGGGTTACGATGTAAGTTGCATCCACGTTTTACCCAAAATTGCAGACAAAATATATTATATTGCAAATTTTTTCCAACTAGCTACTTTCTCCTGACATTTAAAGGTTGGGACACATTAGGATTAAATCATGCACGTTTTCAAGATTCTCTACTTTACCCTCAAAGATCCCTATTATACCTGCATGTATATTATAGAATATCCTTTAAATTCACGCGCGTGTATGTGTGTTACATACCGAAATGTCCTCTATGACTTCCGTGCAGTAAACATTGTGATTGTGTTGTATTCTACAGGAGACAGTATATCACTGCATACAACAAGGCAGTGACAGTAATGCCAAAGATAATGCAGGTTGGACGCCATTACATGAAGCTTGTTCTCGTGGTCATTCCGATGTTGTCAGAGTTCTTGTTAAATACAATGCCGATATCAATGCTTGCTCTAATGATGGTATTAGGTACTGTGAACAATATTGCTTACTGTGTTATGTTCATTTACTCCACTATGCCCGCATGTATGCATTCAACCACTGTTATATTTTATACCCTTAGACCAATTCACGATGCTGCAGACAACGGTAATCTTGATTCACTTCGATTGTTGATGGCTTACGGAGCAGATCCGTTTATCTCCACGTATTCAGGTCGTTCGGTGCTTGATTGTGCCAAACGTAGTGATACTAAGGAATATATTCAAGGTATGTAGAATAAATTTTTCACTATCTTTTTTTTCGAATCTCTTTCAAAATATTGAAAACTTAACGAAAATACAATGAACAAATGTACACGAATAGTTCCATTATGATTTATAGATAATCATAGTGCGAGAAATGCATCCGCAGAAATCGAACTGACACCCCTGCGATTCCCGAGCTGTGCTCTAATTAACCTTTATTTTGCGTCTATACACAGATCTATTTTTCTATCATAGATCAATTATTAGGTCATAGATCTAATTTTACTTATTTTTTTTATTCAGGATGTATTGGTGATTTATATCTGAATGATGAGAGAAATCACATCGTCGCAGCTGATTACGAGGTAAGTTATTAAGTTAGAACGCATTCTTTAGGAACCAATGGAGTTTGTATATCATCATTACATTAATTTCATTAATTTTTCAGAACCGATGGAGTTTTCGGGGCTCCAGTTCTGTCCTAGGTAAGTTACATAGCGTTTGTTTCTATTCATATTATTACTGTTGAAGTAGAAAGTGGTAGCCAACCACAACTTGCTTTTTTTGCCCATTCAGCGTCTTGCTGTAAATTGGCTATCGCAACCTCTCTTTTCCGGAATCAGTCAGTACAGAAAGATGTTTATTAACTCAAACTTTAAGTTGAATATGATTAGAACAAATTGTGCTTTTGTAGTATATAGCCATGAGGTTAAGGAGGGCCACTGGTTTGTCAGTGTTAAACTATTACGTTACCCTCATTAAATAAAGTTGATTATTATTAATATTATAGTGATATATATGTTTTTTGTCTTCATTTCGCAGACAAAGATCTCAAATACTCTGGTGATGTATTTGACAATGTACCAAAGCAACAGTCAAACAACTCTCTGGAAATTGAATGGAGTGAAACGCCTCATTTGCAAACTTACAGTCTTCCTCTGATCAAAGAAGGAATAGTGGTCGGGTATGTCTAATCACGTGTTTGTATGCCCCCCCCCCTGCATGCATGCACCCGTATGGACTGCCCCGTCAGGAGACCCAGATCTTGCTCATGGTAGAAATTCGGCTTTTTCTCGATAAATAAAGAGCAAATCGAAATATAAACGTTGGACTTCCAGTTAGAATCAGAGTATGATTAGAGACCGACTATCAGTTGGTCATATATCGAGAACGGCTGGGCAGAAATTCTATCAATCCTGCTTCTATTCCGTGTAGGAAAGATTCTAGTACCTTTAGCAGGAATCTCCTCCTGCCAGAGCGAAAATTTTCCATATGTATCACACTCCATCTCGGCCAGGCGGGATGAATTTGTGATGAAAATAAAGCTTTCTCATGCAACGTGCGTACTTTTCGTTTCCTACAAATGTCGCGTTCGCCACAGGCTCATGTAGACATAGGCCCTATCGTAAAATTCATACATCCTATGACAGCAACTGTTATCCGCCAATAATCAGCATTTTTTTTCAATTTCTTCTTCAGACGAAAGAACTACGTTCTTTTGCATGACTTACAGCAAACGCTGAACAAACCCAGGCAAAATGTGGTTAAATTGCTTAAACGAACCAAAATCAGAGAAGTTAGTTGGACTGAATTTAAAAACGAAGTGTCGAGCAGCTATTTCATTAAGCTTAATGAACAGACTCCTGTCGCAGAGGAGGGAAAAGTAGAACTGGTTCCATTAAACTGGACTGTGCGAAGCTTGTTAAAAATCAAGTGTGAGCACCTCGCTTTATGAGTTCGTATTCGTCATAACTGCGTGTATGGTACTCCTCCTGGTGTGAAATATGAACGACAACAACCATCATATACGTCGTGTACTTTACACTGATTTCTATCCCAGTTAACCCAGTTAAAGTGTTGCATCGAATGGAAAGCTTCGTATTTTTTGGATAACATTTGGTATGTTTGAAATTTGACAAAGACATCACAAGTGGAGAATTGTCCTTTGAATGTTCAATCAAGTGAGAGATAGACTACTGATTTATGGTTATGTTTGCGAGAGTACATAGCGACATCTTATTTTTTAGATGAAATGCTTTGTTAATTTTATTCTTTCATTCCGTTTTATTGGAAAATAAAAATATACTAAGCATGTTTTAACAATCATAATTTACCCGGAAGATGCACCATTCAGTCAATACTCTCAGTCATTAGCACTCAGTATGTATGTTGACTCATTTGACTTCTGGGTCCGGTTGTTCGAAAGGCGTTTAGCTTAAACGGCGGATAAGCCAAAGTTTAAAAATACTCTAATAGATCTTGTGAATGACTGAACCTGCATCTTATGCATTAAATATGTACTTCCATTGAAAATTAAACTATTTACATCGAGAGATTTCAGCTCAGTTGTTCAATAAATAGATAATTTTGTTTTCCATTTTGAACCTATCCAACGTTTAAGCTAAACGCCTTTTGAACCACCGACCCCAGGACATTTGTTGCAACTTGTTGTACAGTCAACATTGCGGTTTTCCACCTGAGCGAATCCTTGCTTTTTCGTCTCAATTTTATCTCGTCTTTTTCTGTTCAACTAGGTTCACCCTTCCCGCATAAACATTGTTTAACTTATTTAAAATTTGTAGCGATTTTTTATTTTCAAACAGAAAACTTTTTACTGTTGAATGTTGATCTAAGAGTGAGTTACAAAAATTGTGCAGGGAAAAAAGTTGTGCAGAAAAATCAATGAAGATACATAACTGTTGCCTCATTAATTGTTTGACTGATTGTTAGTTGGAGGTAATTAAGGTGTTACTCTCATGATGCAAAAAAGGCAATTTCCCATTTTGATCGATAAATATGGAAATAAGCTTTTACAACAAGGTGCCTGTGGAATGTGGTTTGTTATAATGTACTTTTCCACACCTATGCCGACAGCTATAGTCTAGTATTTTGCTAGAATTCTAAGATCCCGTTTACACCATACCAGATTGCTATCAGAACTGTCAATTTTGAAAATAATGAAATGCTGTGAAGATTTTAAATGTCTGAGACCTGCATAAATATACCAAGTCTATGAAATTATAATACGCGTTTGCTAATTATCGTTGCTCCATAACGGCAAACGAAGATGTGATGAACGGTTAGGTACCGTGTAAACGAAGCCATACATGCAAGCATAATTTCTGTTAGACCTCTAGTTATTAATGTTGCGTGATGTAACACTATGGACTATGATAACTATAGTTCACCATGACTGAGCCTTGGACCTCTTGGCTTTTTCTTTTTATGACTTTTATTTTCGTGATTTGAAGATATTGGATCTTCCTCCTTGATTGATTTCTTTATCTAAAACGCATTGAAAGATCATGGAATTATCAGAACAGAAGTAGATAAAATCCGAAAGATTGCAAACTCTGATTTAGTTTTACACAGCACCCACCTTTCTTTTAGACTCTTCTGTGAACGGATTAAAATAATTTGGATCACGAGGAATAAGCTTCAACTCTTGTGCCATCTAAATAATTATGATGGAAAATAATACGTGCATGAAACATATTTATTCAGAGCTTTTTAATGGCGCTAAAATATAACGAGATAAATATATGCATGTAACACATAGTTTTACGGTTTTACCACACGGCAGACGTTATGCATACGTCATACTGTCCTCGTCAATCACTAAATCATGATATAGCAAAATTGTTCTCACCAAGCTTAACAGCTTACTATCAGTTTCATCATAGATTGTTGTACTATTTGTAAAACTTAAACTCCATAAAGTTAGTAGCTTCCACTCTTTGTTTTTACTGAATAGCTGAAAGAAACAAAATTGAAAAATAGCGCGAGTCTCGGAGAGCGAAATATTGCCTTTAATGGGAACAAAGAGAACATAGATTTGAAAGAAGTTAAAAGCATACAGGTGCTGGCCATAACTAAAAATTATGACAGATGAAAATAAAAAATGCTTCGCAGAATATGTTTTGCTGCATGAGTAAATATTTAGACCTGGAAAGCATCTTGTTCGATAGAACATTTGTCTCTTTTAATTAATAATCGCCAATCATTCTTTAAAGTCCTCTTTCATTAATTACGCCCCGATTAATTCTAAGAAAAAGTTAGTTAATTGAAAACAAGTAATATAACGCTGACCTTTTTTGTAATATCTGGCAGTCTCAGGACAACATCACCAAGCAGTGCTGTGTTCTCAACGATGTGTCCTATGGCTGAAAAAAAGTCAACAGAAATAATAATAAATTCTAAAGTGCATGCATGGTACCACAAAAAAGAGTTTTGAGTAAATTTCTTTCCTACGCATCTCATACGCAGCTACAAACATATATAATTTTTTCCCGTTTGAATAAAAATATGCAGCACATGAAAAATGCTTGAAGAATTTATTGATATTTTTTCTCTTTTAAACATTCATAAGGTTCATGCATCCATAGCAGCTCTTTGAGCTCGTGATGAATTCCTACAACATGAGAAAAAAATGAAAAAGGAACAAAGTTTTCAATTATGGTTCAACCTTCCTTCTGTTTTTGCTCAACTGGAAATTCATCTCCAGGATTATATCCACTCGTTGTAACTTCCTTCTTTGCTTCTTGAATTATCTGTTTGATTTAGATTAAATTTTTATTAATATTATTTGACTAATAAAAAACTTGAAGCAGAGCGGTGTAGCGTGCACCCAATGACAATGACTAATTAACTGATACATTGTCTGTCATTGAAATTCTGCAATTGCCCTTTGCCTCTGCAAAACTGCAATGACTGGAAAAAATTTCTGAATACTGAGACCCTGAAAGTTTTAAGTATGAGTGAACATATATTATGTGTAGAAATCTGTGAAACCTGGCATTAAAATCTATCACGCTAGGGGATATGGGATATGTGTCCATCCTGATGCACATACTAAGTGAATGGCTATCATGTGACAGCAGGGCAATGCTAGTTTCACTTTTGAAAAACCTTTCAAAAAAACAGAGCGACTGGAGGTAATAAATACTGTCAAAATTCTCCTTGCAGCATTCTTTCACTCTAGCCAATCGACACTAAAACTTTTTGCTTTTGCTCCCATGCAGTTTATATTATTGGGAGTAGTTATGTGGTCCTGCATATAATGTCAATTTGATGCCATTTTGTCTGAATTATTCTGCTGCAATTATTACTTTTCCTCCACCTAAGAAACTACCCACAAATCACTAGATTTTTACCTTAAATAACTTCTCAAAAATCATATTTAATATTTTGTACTGTTTTTCATAGTCATTCAATTTTAAAACATTCTCTACTGCCACCATTTGCTCTAAACGTTTTTGTTTGAAAATTCTTCTATCTAACAATGATTAGTTGTTAAGGTGAATTTAGATGTAATGTTCATTTATGTGCAGATAAGATTGCAGAATAATTCTAATATTTATCATTATCAAATACTAAACCAAACAATTATATTACTATAAAAAAGCAGCTCTCCCCAAATTACAATAATTCATTGAAAACCAGAGGAAAATAGAGTTGGTGAAAATTAAGATAAACTAAAAGTAATTAAGTGCAAGCTGTGAGTTGAAAATAGCAGGAATTAGAAGGAAAAGATAAAAATACTACTTGTGCATGTTCTTCCATAACCGCACAAGAAACTACGTACACCATTATTTTTATTGGTATGGATACAAAAATGCCTTTATTTTGATTGAAGAGTGTAATTGCATTGTAGAAATTGCACTACAGTGTGATCCTAATTATATAACATTGCATGATCAGCGAGTGCCTTAGTTGAAGAGCCATTTTAATTAGAAGCATGTGAGAAGAATTAGAATATTACCATTTCTAGACTTACAGTATTTCAGAATTGTATCATACATTCTTATTTTGGTTTGAGTATTGGTTAACTAAAAATTGCTGATTACAGGCTTGAACTATTCAAGCAGTCAAAGACAACATACTTTATTGATTAATATTTACAAGAAAGGAAAGGATCATATTAAAGGATACAAAGTGCAAGTTGACTTGGCATCTGACCATTGCTGGTATCTTTCTTAACATCTGAAACAACATTATCTGCTAAAGATATTGCAATTAGATAAAGGAAACTGCACAGTCGAAGCTGTTTCTCCATGTTTATTTCTACGTTAAAATGTATAAATACATCTCAATCAATGTGTGCGTCATGGTGCGCCTTTGTCTTCAAAATCCTTTAACTTGCTGACTCAGCATTGTCTTTTTGACCGACTTTTGACGGATGTGTTTTAACGTGCGATTGCGAAGGGCCAAAAAATAAAATGGCGAAAGTTGTACAGTATTTGAAAAAGGTAAATGTCTATATTTTTTAATTGTTTTAATCAAAAAGGATGGGCTCCCTTAAAGGCGGGCTGGAGATCTCCAAAATTTAAACTGCAGGATAGCCAGGATTATTTCCTTTTCTTGCATTTTCACTCTTCTTTGTACCCCTGGTAAATCAACCCAGACAGTAGTCTTGTAGTCTTGAGATCTTGCATGTGCGGAAGAATTCATTGATAGTTTTATATGATATAGACAACTGGATTAACTGGGCTTGCTGTCTCGAAAAATCCAAGAGAGGTGATGTACAGTTTTGAAAGTAATGACATACTAGTAGAAAATTATAGTAATTTCTTTGAATTGTATTTTCACTGTATTGTAATACCTAATATTTTTCCATCATTTAGACTCTTATCTCTGTTTATAATAAAACTTTGGATGTTCTTTCTACCATGCCAAGTACTGCTGTTTATAGAACATCAACTGAAAACCTAACAAAACAGAGAATAAAACTAGTTGAAATGGTAATGCTAATAAAGAATAATAATATTTATTATCCTACCAATAGCCAAAGTTGGTCTGATAGCAATATCCAAGGCATATCCATTCTTAGTTTTTCTCTAGTGTTTTGAACTTTCCTACATTTTCATGTAGGAGGGAAATATTGAAGAACTTGAAAAGAAAATTGGTTGTGGTCAAATAGAAGAAGTGATAGAACAGGTCTATATATAAACACTTTTCAAACTGGATTAAACCATAATATGCAGCCAATTAGTTGATTCACTGCTGTGCATCAGTTGATTTCCAATTGTTATCATTTTTGTAGGCAAATGATGAATTATCATTGGCAGAAAAAATGCGAGAATGGCAACCATGGGAGCCTTTACAGACTGAACCTCCACCTGATCAGTGGAAATGGCCAATTGGAAAATCCACATAGATAAGCATTTACTAATTTACTAAGATATTATGTTAAAGATTTGTATTATATTGTTGGCAAGACAAGTTTCATTATATGTGAAGCAACACCTGGACAACATTTGTTTTAATGTGATGAGATGAGACTACTACTTTTTTTTAAAATTACCAATTTTAATTTTTTGCTGAATGTGGGAGTCCTTTGACTAGGGGCTTTCATTGCAAGTAGGTCTGTTTTCTAGTCTGCACTCAATTGTACACTTAAGACTTAATCTTATTGATGTGAGGTATAAATCATATTCTTGTTTCTTTTGGATTATATCATAACTTCCCCAAGAATATGTTTGACAGTTAAATTTGAATATACTAAAATATTTATTTTACTCAGAAAACATACACACAATTGAGTTGTTTTTCTAGATATTTAGGCTACTCAAGACATAATTTCATATTGCAATAGAAAGTTAACGTTCAAAATATTTAGCATGGTGCTTCACATGATCTTCCAGGAATGTGGAGATGAAATAATAATTATGGTCATATTCCTAAAAAGTAAAATACTTCAGTAAAAAATCACAATTAGACTCAGTAATAAGAAGCAACAACAATAGAAACCACGGCACTACACACTAGCAGCTATGAGCTACCATAACACTAGAAAGAGCAGCAGAAACATCATGAGGAGCTGGGCATATACAAGTTTCAGATATCATTCACACTGTACGTTTTCAGCAGTAATTACAACATTAACAGCACATGGCAGATACAACAACCATTTCTAATACATAACTTACTTCATGCATTCTCAGATTCAGTGGATAATTAACCTCCTCGCAAACTTTCTTAAAGTTTTCAGGAAGGAGCTGCTTTGCATCATAAAAATTGTCTCCTAATCCCTGTAATAAGAAAAACAGGATTAGGGAGATAATACACAATTTTTTTTATAATGACGTCAAAGCGGAGGCCTGAGGTTTCACAAAGTTTACCAGGTTGTCTCTGCAAAACTGACCAGCCAATCAAACTTCGTGTAACTTCCCGCGTTTGACGTCATTATGAAAAGGTCAATTGGTTAAGCCACATCGGCGGGATTAGCATTATGTTAAATGGCATAAGGCGAAGTCGGGCTTACCTGATCAATAAGAATCTCAGGTTTTGGGCCTTTGTAAGTTTTCATCAACTCTGTTGCATCATATTCCTTAAAACAAGTGCAGTTTTGGCATAGATACACAGTTTCGTTTGATAAAATAAAAATGGCCTTTTAAAACACTGCATGCACTGCAATAGGCAAGAAAATAGTATTATCATGTTGAATCAGCTCATCCATTACTATTGCATTGAAGCGGGAGAACACTGCGTTAATAAAACTGCATAATCTGAAATGTGATGTGAATCATGTGATTATGGCACGTGGATAAAATTCTCCACAGCAGTGGATAAAATTCTCCACAGCAAAATATAAATACTCCTCAAACTCTTGAAACCACATGCAATTTTTATCGTGAGATATGAACGATAATTAAAGTAACATCCATTTAACCGATTTTCACTTCTGATGGAACATACATTCCACTTAACCTAGAACTTAATTTCATATACCTTCCAAGAATCCTTATTACTTCCCAGGTAGCCACTGAATGCTTTCTGTCCCCAGGGACAGTTCATTGGGTTACAAATTGGTCCAAATGCCGAAGCAGACTAAACATGAAGATTAAAACGTTGCAAAGGAAACAACAAGCTTCACTTTCTGGAGTTTACCTTTGCTAACGATGAAAATTTATCTAACCTTGTACAAACCAGGATTTTTTATAAAAGCGATCAGAGCTCCATGTCCACCCATACTAAAAAGAAATAACGAATGACGCACTCCTTACTACAGATATAGGTTAGTGTCCTGATAGCTATATCACGCATATTTGTCTATGTTATCGTGTCAATCTGCAGTGAAGTTCTTTGCTTGCTAGTAACCTCGACATATAAATGATTTTCATTATGATATTATTCATTTCGAGCTTTCGACTAATACTTAATCATCGGCGGGAGTGGCTTTTGAGGTTTTTTTATATGTAACCTAAAAGCGATTCGTAATGACGGCTAAAGTAGTCAAAAGCTAGAAATAAATACTATGTTGTGTATTTTATTCAAATACTCGTGCATGCAGTGTTTTCAATGGTTCTTCGCTTATTTTAAGATTATTTGATTATTGCATGTGGTAAATACGTGACCACTGCTTATGATTTCTTAAGGAATGAGGTGTGGTAGATGATAGTCTGGCTGTATCCTCGAGCGAAAGTTAACAACGCTAGACTGACTGCTTGAAGCGTCGATATCTTCACAACAGTCCATCTTACACCACAACGTTTTCACTGAAGATTTTGAGAAGTATAGTAGTTAACTAAGCTCTCAAAACAACGCAAAGTCCAACCTGTGTCCAAATATTGATATTTGGCCTTCGAGAACAGGAAAATTAGCGTTTACAAGAGCTGGAAGCTATTAAATACACAAAATAAGTACATCATAATTTTTTTTTGCATCAACTGTACCGCATCAGACGAACCTGGACGATATTGTAACTACAGGTATATTGATTTGTGGTTTTTAGAAAGATTCGTGCGCATGTGAAATATATCGTGAAAGGGTGTGTCCAACTTTTTAACGAACCTCTTTGGTAATGTAAGAATACATTCTGTAGTGCTTTTTCCATTTCTCTTCAGTTGCATCAACATAGAAACCAGCTCCAGTCCCAAAATCCCAATCATCATCTTCTCCATCGATATTACAGTTACCTGGAATACTCAGTGACGTCATTCACCACACTTGTCTTCCGACATTCATTTATACACGGCTTTTAAGTTTGACCATACAAGGCTTCGTTATAACCGTATATTCGCAGAGAAATTACAAACATGCTTTTGCCGATATTTTCTCGAGTAGCGTTTCCAAAATCCAAGACCAAGAAGGTGAATGATAATATTAGGTGAGGTGCACACAAATAACATGGTCATGGATTTATACGTTTCTTAAACATGACTTATATGTAAAAAATTTACAGATATCTGCATGACTTACGTGGACTTGTGTCAGGAGCAACAATAATGATTCCATGTTCTGAAGCAATTCTTTGACATCCTGCTTTAGCTGTAAAGTTTGCCTCAGTGCAGGTTAGACCTTGAATGGATGAAATATGAATTAACCCATTAAATAAGTGAAAAAGAAAATAAGATACATATTTTGCAGTAGATAATTAGAGATTCTTAACCTCGATCGGTTGCGCCAATGACATTTTTAAAGTGTTTTTCGACCGTAACTCGTAAGTCATTTTTCATACTCGGCAAAGAAAACCAGTCAAAAGCATGTCATTGAAACGCAGAATTAAAGTGTTAAAATGCTGAGCCTAAAGCCTGCAAGAGGATCAACCCTTACACACCCTAACTCTACCACTTTCATTTGACAGATTACATAGCTGTATGGGCCTAAAAATTTGACAACTAAGGAGCGTAAAAAGCTACAAGCTACGAGAGGTAGTTTGCAAAGCTAAAGGCGACGTTTCAGAATTTATTTTATTTTATTTTATTTTATAAATTTGCCATGTTAAAAAGTTAGAATGAACTACACATAAACTACAAATGAACTACACACATGCAATGGCTGGAATCACCACACAGAGATATGTCTCCAATAACGGGGTTCCATAACTAACTTACAAATAGACAGACACAAACATACACATATAAGCAAGTTAACAAATTTATAGGAATTTCTCGATACATGAAGAAACGATAACAACAAATATCAAGTGAAATGATTTAATCATAACCGAAGTCAAGATTCGTAAATGTTAATTCAATTAAATTTGGTTAGAGATGATCTAGAAAATCACGGATCAGTCATGTATTGAGAAAGTGCTATAAATTGCAATGTTAGCAGCATGGTCTTGTTGAGATGATCCGTAATGGCCGAGTTGTGTGACATTTCACACAAACAGACTTGAAAGTTTTAGGATCATCTTGATTGTAAATTCGTTCCGTCAGATCTGCATAGTATTTCAATAAAAGTGCTTTGAATGACCCAAGGGATATAGAGATATCTCTCACAGAACATGGAAGGGTGTTCCAAACGTTGGCAGCTCTGATGTAGAAGCTGTTTTTAAAACTGACAGTTCGACTCTTGGCTACATTTAACAAAATGCCATTTGACGTACTTGACATCCTTGTTTCTCGTAAAGATGACTTTTTACAAATATTTTTGTCCGAGTTGTTTTTGACGCTTTTGAATACGTAAACCATGTCTAAATACTCATGCCAGTAGCACAGAGGGATGATTCCAATAGTCATCATTCTCTCCCTGTACGAGACATTGGTTTTATATGGCAATGATAGTATGAATTTAGTGGCTCGTCGTTGCACTCGTTCAATTCTTAAGATGTTTTTTACTGTTTGTGGAGCCCATATTTGACTCCCATAAGCAAACAGACTACGGACTAAGGTGAGGTAAAGCGACTTACGGACCGATTGGTTGCGGACTTCTTGAACTGTTCGCTTGACATATCCCATCATTTTGTTGGCTTTTATTTTAATTTAGACTCAGATACGTGATTTCAGTTGCTATTTTAGCAAAAATTGTTGGACTCTCAGGTATAAATTGCTGGGTTAGTCACCGATTTTGCCTAATCTGGAGACGGCAACCTCCTTTGTCTTGTATACCTTATAATAATTGTTGAATACTATTCACATTAGGAGTGGCTACAAGTTGGTGAACTATTATTACTGAATTGATTTTTACTGTGCTGTGTGATATTGATAATTAGAATGTGATAATTGGAATATAATAATTAAAATGTGATAATTGGAATGTGATAATCTCAGTCTGGCGAGTCTGCTAAAAAACAGAGATCTGGAGTTGATGATATATGCTGATGAAGATGTCTGTTGAAAATGATTAGGTACACATTCTTCATTATTAACTCAGAAAGACAAAGTGGGAAAAAACTAAAGAATTACATAATCTAAAGAGATACTCAAGAGAAACATTAAAATCCTTGTGAATTAATTCATGTCCATGCTCCTGACCAGCTTTTTCAGCATTGGAGGTATTGACACAAGTGTGATGGTTGCTGCTGGTAGTGTCCTAGTGAATAGTAATTGGACCTAAAATCCTAGAGTGCCAAGACAGCTTTTACATGGTTATTATGGTTTCAGTTTTTTGAGTCACCACCTTGCTTTTTTGAGCAGATTGATTACCTTTGCTATGAGGTGAACTGACAGTACGTACCTGACAACCAATACAATACAGGCACTTTTCCTGCATTGGCTTGTGGTGGAATATATATGGCGAAGTTCATTTGGCACTCTAACTCCTTGCTATTATAAAGAAAGTCATTAATAATTAGTTTATCACATGATTATCGTCCATCAGGGGTTGGTTGTTTGAAAGGCGTTTAGCTTAAACGGTGGATAAGCTCAAAATGGAAAACAAAATGATCTATTTATTGAACAACTGAGCTGAAATATTTTGATGTAAATAGTTTAATTTTCAATGGAAGAAAATATTTAATGTATAAGATATAGTTGTCATTCACAAGATGTATCGAGTATTTCTAAACTTTGGCTTATCCACCGTTTAAGCTAAACACCTTTTGAACAACCGGCCTCAGGCATGAAAGAATTAGTGTAGTAATACCTTTTGTGGTTGAACACCTTTTGAAAACCACCAAAACTTTTATTACTTGTTACTTCTGTAAGATCTGACATCTTTCTGAAATTGTTCAGAGGGGCAAAGTGACAGAGTTCACCTGTACTTGGTGGCACTGGGTTATCAAGCTTGAAGTAGTAAGGTGCATCTCACAACATCTTAAGATGCACTTTTGCCTTTGCAAAGATGTATAAGAAAACACGTCTTCTGGGCTGTGCAAAATTATGCTGATGTACTGCATGTAACAGTAACTAGGCTAGCATGGAAGTAACTGGAATTGTCTACCCGGATTATACCGGCCTCTCGCAATTTTGTGCATTGATTGCAGAGCAGTAAGATCGATATGCAAGAAAACTGAAAACAAAATGACTCGATCATGATATGAAAAGTGATGGGGCGTTTCAAACTTCAAAAATGCGACGGGTGACTTACCTTTGTACTTGCAAATAACGTCGCGAAAAAAAGTGCAGTAGGGGACGAAGTGAAGCTGAAATCTTGACGCAAAAAAAAACAGAATAAAATGCGCTCTCGTACGATCACAGGATCGGAAGTCTGCAAAAAAGTGGATTGGAATTTTGGAAATTGCAAATGCAACAGGCGGTAACACGTGGTACTTGAACGTTGTAAGAATTCCTTTTTTAAATTCCTCTTGGAATTCCCATGCGTTTCCTGTCCGTTTCGTAACAGTTCGACTGTATTTTACGCAAAATGCCTTTCTTTAAGGATATGTTTACGATAGGAAGACTTGTCGGATGTCCCAAGACAATTGCTCATCAGAGGGTTAACGGGAGCCTCGAAAACTTTCTTCGCCGCATTCTCTACAGAAATCATTTCAACATTTACCATTCCTACATTACAACAGATTGGAGTCAAGTACAAATCCTTTGCTGTCGCATGATTTTATACTTCCGGCGCGTGAACCAATTAGAACTTATGTAAATTCAGATTTTGAGTCGCATGTATATTTTGCATTTATAATTTGCGAGTAGAGACATCAAACGACTGGGCGTTCGAAGATAACATAAACATTAAATTCCAATGCAAGCGACGAGTAATTGTTGTTTAACTAAGCTTAACGTTTACACCTGCTGGTCAGATATGAAGTGAGTTCACGGATAGGTTATACTACGTTAGTAAATGAATTATAATCTTCAATGAACAACGTACTTATGAGTCTGGAATTATGGCCGACGATCTAGCACGAAAACCGAGTTTTTCCCAGCAAGATAAGATAGACAAGAGTAAGTATATTCTATCGTTATTATTATTTTTAATAAAGTAGCATTTCTCGCACTCATTTTATTCCGATTTTATGCGATAGTTCGAAAAGAACTTCAAGAGCTAAAAGCCAACATCTCACAACAAAGTAAACGAAATTTTGAACTTGATCGTGATGTACGATTCTTTGACAAACGGATTGCTTTACTTATAAATCACAGAATATCTGTTGAGGTAAGATTAAAATGTTAGTAACCTTAATTACCACATGTGAAGTTTGAATGTCTCTCTAGTACTGTATTTCTGAATGAAATATGCCATGCTGTCTACTATATATCCGATATTGATCAGTAATACGACATGACGAAATAATTCTTTTCGTTGTTAATAAAAACCACAAATTTGTAGCAATTACATTGTGATAAAACATAATGTATTTTAAATTGCTTTTAGGAACTCTCTGACAGAATTGATCAAGGTTGCAAGAGAGTTGGTAAGGTTTTAGATGAAATTTTGTTTAAATATTTTGTTTGTAACGTCCCCACTTGATTCAAACAAGAAACAGGAAATTAATTTGAAAGAGTTCTTTTGGGATATACGAACTTTTCTAAATGTAAAAGAAAACATTATTAGTCATAATTTTAATGAATTTGGAAATTAAGTTCAAATAGTTCCATTCTTTAAATTATCAAAGTTGTTTTTAAAGTTTAAAGTTGTTGCGTGTTTATAGCCACTGGTTAATTTTTTCGTATGCATTCAATTGCCAAAACACTGTTTGCGAATATATTAGCATGTTTGCAGGACAAATAGTCTGCTAATGAATCGTGTTTTCAATCGGATTAAAGTGTCCATATAGACATTGAATGAACAGTAGCTTATATGTTCTGCTCTAAATAACTGACACCGTGTTTGTATAATTTGAAATGTTCAAAGTGTCCTTTGTTTCCTAACTTGACCGCAAACGTGAAGGTGGCCAGGAAATTTCATAATAGCGACAAGATTCAATAAATGTTTCCTGTTAAGATTATGGTGTAGACTAATGTAAATTCTTTCGTTAAAAGCAAGACTTCAATGAAAGATATTGAAACTGAACATGAGAAGCAGATTATTGCAGGGTTCTGTTACCAAAGTAAATGCATGTGACATTTTTTCACGAGTGTGTTAATTTTGAATTAAAAAAAAACACATTTCTGTGACATTTTGACCTTCATGATTAAGTCAATTTATGATGAGGTCCACAAAAAATACCATACATGTATTACACAGATGAAGGTTGAATTGAATTCATCTGTCTAGTTTTCTCGGCAGTTAACATTTAGTTAGGTACAGAGATCAAGGTTCTGTTTTCATTTTGACTTGAAAAGTGAATACAAATCTTACTAATGTCAGTAATAAAAACTACGAATAGCTCAACCTGATGTGCAGTATAAAATATGATTCCCTATAGCCTATATCTGGTTCTCTACATCTAGGCCTGTAAACTACAATCCATCTATTTTTTTTAAAAACACAGTGGGGTTGAATGTTAAGTGTGGTTTTAATTAAGTTCTGGCTTAAGTAGCAGGTGTTCTTTTGTTCTGTTAATTGGAACCCTGATATGAACTTCTGTTGTCTCATGTATGTGTGATAATGGCCAACCTACAACCTGTTGGGACTATTTTGATATATCAACCGTAGGGAACAAGTGTAATCTACAATTACTTAAATCTGATGATGTGTGAAAATAAGAGATTTTGGTCAAGTAATGCAGAAAAAAGAGAAACAAAATTATGTTACGCTGACATATGCTAGGTTTTTTCAATACAGGTCATTTGCATGTTTTAATTATTAATGTATGAAATATAGAAGTCTTTGTTTGCCTTTTAACTTTTGTTTACCGTTTGTGATCCATGTTCAATGCTCAATCTCTTCCCTATATATCTGAAGTCTGAAGATGAAGTGTATTCCTCAATTCATGTGTTAATTATGTCATTTGAAATAAATATGATAATGCTTAATGTAATAAGATTAAGGTTCTGCCCCTAATGCAATTTCATGGGTAGATTTTGTAGAGTGAGTTCTGGATCTTGATCAGTTTCCTAGGACAATGTTTAAACAATACAAAGTTTCTAGCTCTTCATTAATTTGGTATTTCCTGGGGTGTGGCCTGGTGGAGAGATTTTAAGTATTTTTAATAGCAAACACATAAGAAAATTCACTGTCTTTGTTATAAGAAAATCAAAAGCAAAAGAAGTTGTCAAAAGCTCAATAAAGAATATTTTCCTTCCTTAATTTGATATAATTGGCATTTAGCAATGACCTAGGTTCCAAAGATCTACATAATCAATTGACATTTAACAAAGACCCACGTTTAGGCTGGTCATGTGACACCTCAAATGCTTTGTAATCCTTATGCGAAATGTTCTTGTTACGAAATTATGTGGTACATCAATCAATTTGAAGGCCATTCTTAAGTCTTAGACGAAGTTTTAGACTTAGAAGACAAATAGCAGTGGCCTTCTCTTTCGTGTGATTTGGTCGTGCATGCATCGATGATACAGTCGTACCATATACGCATTGCCATTGCCGGTATTCCCTGCATCTTAATTAAGTTAAACTCCACTGCCGTTTTTGATAGGATTGTTTTAAGAGAGACTATTGAGTATTGTAGATGTATGTTGTATCCTGGTTAGAATCTTTTCAATATCCTTATTCGTATCGGTATTCGTGTGCCGCGATTAAGTCAATCGTAGCAATCCTGATAAAAATCTTGAATAGAATCATGTAATTATCATTAATATCATGTCAATATTGGGATTAAGATCTGTCAATGGTTTGATTAGAATTAAACCTTTGTCAATGTTGTGATTAGAATAATGTCAATAAGAAAATAGGGAAAACTTAAAAAGGAGTCGTTCTACAATGTGAACTATTTCCATAAAGATAACGATTAACGACATAGACTGGACCTTCTGGAAATCAACATTTTTGCTAATTCAAACCTTTTAAACCGAAATGCAAAATAGAGAGGAATATGACACAGCCATTGTTTGATGAAGAAATAAGGAAGTTGAATAAATTATACGATCTGCGGCTAAACGTATTTCGCCAATCCCTAAAGAAAATTCACTATTGTATTCCTTTTATCTTACCTTCTTTCTGAGGTACTTCAACCATTGAATATATAAGCCATCTACATTCACTAACTGGGCACTAGGCTGCTACGAGTTAAAGACGAATGCTGACATTCTACGTATTTCACCTTCGTTTTCATCAGAACCTGACAGCAGTCCTCCTTCCTCTCCATACATGGACGTTATCATATAAGTTTTGGTTGACTCATGAAAGAACTAAACACTGTCTTTCCGCAAAACCCTATTCTCTCCAAAACATTTGTTCCGGCCGAACTCCATCTGAATTGAGTGATGAATAACCTGCACATTAACTAGCTGCTTAATTTGTACAATTCGTTATGTTTAGGCGTGTTTTTTATGGTGAAAGCAGGAGAATATAGCCACATTGTTTAAGAAAGAAACTAAAGCATTTTAGTCAAATTATCGTTTATACCTGTCACCTACTGTCACTCCCTGTCACCTATTGTCATTAATTTGTTCAAGTTCTGGGATTGGCTGATTTTTTTTATGGCTGTCATGAAATATATAAAAAATAATTACCAGCCTTTCTCTGATTACAAATATCATCTGCTCATTGTAGGTGTCATAAAAGATGAACTGGAAAGACAGGTAATGTATTTTTATTAAATTTGATCCTTTTCAATTTAAAGCTTTATGCTACTATTCATTAGTCTGAAATAGTTTGTTATAAAAATGACTTACATCCTTACATTATAGATATATGGACAGTTATTCTATTTACTACAAACAGAACCATACTATGTCGCGCAGTTGACAAGATCGGTGTCTCTAAATGAGATTGATGGTACGTTGGGTACACTCGGGTACATGTTGGGTACACTCGGGTACATGTTGGGTACATGTAGTTCACTCTGACGTCAACGCAGAATATTTATGTATTATTAGTGTGAGGAAGAAAATGAAAATAGAGATGAAAAACATCCTTCTTCAACACATGCATAAAAATATTTTTTGTTTCGACCAATGAGGGGCCAAGACCGCGTGCCTCGTTATCGCTTTATGTCGCATTTCCATACTTAATTGTCAAAATGAAAAATTCTTTTTCATGCATGCGTTGAAGAAGGATGTTTTGCACGTGGCTCGTGAGAGTAAAACATGAAATCCATCTCACTTAAGGTGGTTCGAAATTTAAAGCGCTAATATTGTGACGTAATTACCGAAAAGGTCCATTACAGTCCTAAACATCTCAGTGTATCCATACATAAATAACACTCGGAACATTATTTTTTCAGATCTTTTGGAAACTGTCATGTTCTCTCTATATGGCCATCAATATGAAGAACGGGAAGAACATCTCCTTCTTTGTATGTTTGAGGTATATATAAACATTCAAACCACTTCACCTTTGCCTCGTATAAAATGAAGTAATTACTTCACTCAATCCGCTACCATCAAACATTGTAAGTCAAAATGTTAATTTCGCACAGACGATGGGGAGATTTCATATTATTATTTCTATTCCTCTAAATAGGAGATGTATTTGTATATTAGTCCGGTTGTTTTGGATGATGATATAATTAGCTAAACGAATATTGACTGTTCTAGCTCGCTCTGAAATATGAATTTGATGAGGCTGAGGGGTTTAACAGTGTTCTCAGAGCAAACACCGCCATATCAAGAATGATGTCATCTTATACCAGGTATATAGCTACTACGTCATTTCCATGCAAAGCGGCATGCGCAAAGCGGCAGTGTTATTAAATTCTTTCCCAGCCTGATTTCACTCACCTTCACACACACGTTTTTCTATATCTTTAGGCGCGGTCCTGGGCAGGAATACTTAAAGGCTACGCTTGAAGCACCAATACAAGAAATTTGTAGCAACACAGACTTGGACTTAGAAATTAATCCAATGAAGGTGAAATGACTTACAAATATAGTACCCAAAATCAATATGCTATCCTTACTGTAGCAAGCTATTCGAGTCACTATAAAAGGAACATTTTCACTTATTTTCCATTGGCATTGTTTTCTCAAAAATAGGTCTACGCTACTTTGTATGAATTGGATAGCGAAGATATAGCAATGGTGTCCGCTGAGGAGGTACGCGATTTTGTTGCACAGTTATTATTTACAATACATAAAGTCATGGCTGTTAAATCATTCATTAAAAATAATCAAATTAAAAATGTTCAAATTAAATCATTTTATATTTGTGAGGCATATATAGCGCCTTTCCAATTATTAGTTACATGTAAATGATTAATGAAAGAGTATGTAAAATAGTTGAATGTGTACGAATCACGAATGTATACTTTTTTAATAAGAAACTGATTCCGATTTGTTTTTGACGGGGCACAAAGTGTATATATATGATGATGATGATGAAGTTGAAAAACTAAATATGATCTTATGATGTAGGTATCAGATGATTCTAAAGTTCAGGAAGCTGTCAAATCTCATATCCTTTTTTATCTTTGGTCATCCACTGCCCAAAGTTTATAGTCCAGATAAAATCCCGACAATTCTTAGGCGAAAGCACTCTGATAAGCTTATCAGGAATTTTTCAAGAATCGAGGCTTTCACATTTTAGTTCTGGTATAGAATTTAATTTATGTACTGTATTTAGCACATTTCATCTTCATCTATATTCAAGTTCATACGGCGTCTTGGCTACACACTTTCCAATTTTCTGAAAATAAATCAGTGATTAACACCAAGACACGATTGACATGTTTTGTTAGGAAATTTAAACGTTTAACTTCGCTTGAGAGATTCCCAATAGTTCAGCCGCGTTATTAAATAGAAACGTCAATTTTACTTACTTACTAGTATTTCCTCACAGTGTTAACTCAGTAATATTCCTTGACTCCATTTCACGTTTAAAAAAGTTGGAAAGTCTTGCAAAACGATTTGTTGACATCATGGAGGCCTCCGTTGACAGAGTTCCTTTCGGCATCAGATGGATTTGTTTCACTGTTAGAAAATTAGCAATGGTGAGCCTCGTGCCTTACAGTTCACATATCTAGCTTTGTTCACATTCATACTTGCTTTGTTCACATGCATATCTAGCTTTGTTCACAGACACAGGCATATATCCCCCCAACTTTTTCCCCCGATGGATCACGGGCTCTGGTTTCGAGATTGGCATATATCTAGTTTTGTTCACATATTTGGTTTTATCTGGAGCATTGCATTTGCCTTAATTCTAAAGGTCCTGTTACACCACAGGTAGCCCGCTAACAGGCGCGCAGGCCGTAGTATGTATTCGTGCGCGCCTTTTAGCGGGTTACACGGTGGACATTTTTCTTGCAACTTGCAATGCTATTCTATACTACAATTCTACACCATTTCCTGGTAGCTGAATTTACATCTCTCAAAAGTAGAATCGTCTCAATTGCAAATGGCATGATGACGTATGGTAACGTACAACTTGTGACAATTGCCATGCACCGCTCGGGACATTTTCAACCGTTGCTTCTCTGCAGGCGAAACCCCCTTAATTTCGTGATTTAAATACTCACAATTGCTGCATAGCTGATATAGAAACGATCTTTTTTAAGCGTTGTTTTTAGCTGTTTGTAAAATGACGTCTTCTAATAAGAATGATTCGTTTGTTTTAGGAAAAATTTCCTGAGATTATCAACGAATCGGACGATAGACGAAGTATATTTAACGAGAAAATTTGTTCATTGGTTGGTGGATTTTTTCTCCTGCGATTTATTAATCCAGCTATCGTTTCTCCTCACGGTTGGTGAACTCTCGTATTATTTACTTTATCTTCTTTAAGCGACGAACAAGCTTTGCCTAATAGCAAGGGGCCAGAGGCAAGGGGCTATGCTATTGTGATGAGGAGGTCATTGTAATCGGTGCATGTTCATGCTTTAGCTGAATCATAAAAACTGCATACCTCACTATTTCCCCCTCTTTTTTGTAGTATATATGTTGATGAGCAAACAACCTAATTCGATAACAAGAAGAAATTTGCTTTTAGTAAGTAGTATGTGAAAGTCCGGTGTCCATGCAGTATTTCTAAAAAGAATAATTGCAACTGCATGTAAATATGAAAAACAAACCTCGCGACTTTTTCATGAATGACGGCATTTTGTGTGAAGATAAATAGTTGAGACAAATCAGGAATGTTTTCTTAATTACCTCAACAGATCGCGAAAATTATCCAACACACTGCCAACGTGACTCCTGGAAAGACGAGATTTAAGGAGGACTACATGCAGCCTTTAAATGTGTTCGTCGAAAAACACAAGACGCGTTTATGTGTAAGTTACCCTGTTATATAGAATGTAATTTTACCGTGACTCAGGCGCAAATGCAATATTTTTCCGAGAGAGTGAGAGTCGAAAGGACAAACTATTTTTCATGAGAGACCGACTTCCTCCCTGACATAGCAAGTTGGTTAGATTAGAGTTTTAGAGGGGTGGTTAGAGGGGTGCCACACCCAACATCTCTCTTTCCCCGCCTTTATTAACTTTTAGACAATAAACCAACTTTTCATTTTCATTCTCCTTTTTTGTAATTTACCAGACGTTTCTGAATGACCTGTGTTCTGTACCACCATTCTACGGCTCGCTTGAGGTAAAAGAGTCACTTGTAGTATAAGTTAGGCATCAGCTCATCTGAAGTTATATGATTCAATGACATGTTCCTGATGATTTTATCACGTTGTTAGATGGAACTATATATTGGCCTTTCGAAGGACACTGAAATAACAATCACCTTGAATCAAATCTATCATTTTTATCGACTGATAATGAAATATAAACAAGAACTAGTAAGTTGTTTGTTTAATTGTTGCCTTATTTAAAGAGGTTCGTACAGTATCACAGATATACGTGTGGAATTTGCAACAGCTAGTATATATTTTTTTAGAATCTTACAGAAGATGATCCATTGAACACAATACTGAGCGATATGGGGTCACCAAAATCACAATTACCATATCATGAAGATATTTCACTCACATTGACTTTGAAAAGTCGTTGGGAACAAGTTCCAGGTATGCCAGTTGTTTGGTTGCCCGTGGTTGCAAATTTGAAGGGAAGGCGACTACTAAATTATCATATAACAGAACTGGGTTGTAATAGCTGTTAAGTCGGTATCATGCTTGGTTTGTTGTCTGTAATTGCATGTATATAAATTAATTTCTTTAAGTTGTACGTTTGGAGTCGCTTAATTCCACATTGGCACGAAACAACGAGAAGGGCGTTCAACGAAGTCAGTGGAAACAGCTTCTGGCAGAACTCTTTTGCATGGTTAGTAACAATTGTTTGTCTTCCATAAACACTATCAATCTTTGACCGTTTAGAAAAAAACATCTTCCATCTTTCTGTGAGTTGAGAGCCTTCTGTAAAGGCAGCCCTTTATTAGAGTATCCGTTATAAAGCCACTTCACGTGTCATATATAATGGTGAACTGCAAGCCATGATATGAATTATTTAGTTTTAGAAGAGCTATATATTTCTTTCTGTAGAGACCGAAACTTCTTTCTGAACCAACTCTCACGTCAGCGCTGGCAGCTGCAGTGAACCTGTCAGACAGTGAGGCTGCTGTATCTGCGTTGTCTGAATTCCTACTGCAAAAATATGAGAATGTCAAGCAAGCTGGTGCCGTGTTCTTGGAGGAGGAGGATTTCTATGCTGATGTGAAAATGGTGAGAATTTTTTACATTTGTCGATCAGTTTCTTTTGTTGAGTGGAGGTTATTTAGTATTAGAATAAATATCAAAAACAGCGAAACAGAATGACGTAGGATAAAAGTTTTGTTTAGATGGGTTGAGATGAATTGCAATGACGCGAGTGAAGTATTGAGTGTGTTTGGGACTGTGAATGTGGATAATTGGCTAACAACATTGAGTAAGGATAAAATATTAACTTCCCTCATTTTTTATCATATATATAGGAAGTCAATTCAAGACTTCATCAATTTGACAATCTTCGCAATCAATTAGAAAGTTTGAAGCGAGTCTACGAGGTAAGACGGTCTCTACATGCACGTGATGTGCACATAAGATTACAAATCAAATCAATTCTGTTGCACAAATGTGTAAACGTCTTTCTGCATGGGTGGACAGACAATTAGCACAACTATGTAAACTACCTCGAGTCCTCGACTATTCGTTTCTTTAGTTTTGATATACTTTTTTAAATAACTTTTTTTTCTTGTTGTAGACAATATGTGAGCATAGAAACTTTTTGCACAAGCAGCTTGATGCGTATAAAGGTACAAAACTTACTGCTGCAATGTTCATGAAAAGACAAATGAAAAATATGGAGTCCGCCAGTTGTATAAAACAGAATTGGCCAATCAGAGTTGTGTATTTCAGAGTTAACTAGGATTTAACTATGCAAAATGTAGTTAAAGAGTTTTATACAACCGGCCTCTGATATTTACTACTTTCTATTGTTCTATAGAATACTTAGAAGTTGTGAGGCAACGAGCTGCAAGCAAGGTTTGTATATCAACGGCACTTTTTCTCTGAACTGCATTTGATGGATTTTCGAAAGGTGCCGTCTAGGAAATCTTAATTTCGATTTTTGATGATAATAATTTTTTGATCAGTTTATGGGTAATTGAACGTCACTGCATGAGCCCCTTGAATGAAGAGCCTTCAATATTTAATCCCGCAAACTGTCTGATCTTTAGGACGGTGGTCTTACCGTTCATCGTCATAAGTCACCAAGTACTGTTAAGCTATCGTTTACACAACTTGAAAAGGAAGGAATTATAATCGAGAGTCACGACGTGCCAGAAAAACGGTAAGTATGCGAATTTTGCAATCACTCACACTCTAATGAATGGCCGATTACTTTATTTATCTGGATTGTTTCTTTGACTGCCAAGTCTGACTTACTTACTGTCATATGAACTACGATATGTACATCTTTTAAATATGATGATTGATTAAAACTCTCTTCCAGGAAATCAAGTTTATATTTTACGATAAAAAGTCCTTCCCGTGGAATTTATAAAGTGTCTTTGTTATCAAAAGGTAAAGTCAAAGTTTGTTAATTTGTTTATTGCACATTTACATGCACAACGCCTATTGTGGGTGTGTCACAAAACGGAAAATCGATTTTCTTAAAACTTATCGCACGGCATAAAACTAAGAAAAGTTGTGAAGTGTATGTGACGATAGCATTCTCAAAGACTAAAACTACACAGCTCAAATCTACTACATTGATGAGAGTCGATGATCGACTGTCGATGAAAGTTGACGAGGGTTCATATCAGATGTTTTGATAAAAGTTAATGAACGTTCATGGCAATGGATAGTTCATTACAGTTAATAAGGTTTCACGAACCTTGCTAAGTGTTCATAGAAAGTTGCTAGACTCTCGTTAACTCTTATCGACTCTTAAGTTTAAGTCAGGAACCAATTTAATATGATTTAGATATTCCGGGAGTCACAATTGCCCAAGCTGAATTACAACTCGAAGAATTACTGGAGTTGCAATATCTTCGTCATGCCGTAAGTATTTCATGCATGACCATAGCCTTCTCTATCAAGTTCATAAATTGACTGATGCATGATTATCCCCTAAAGCCGTATAGGATGGTTGATATGCAAGTAAAAAAATATGATAGGGAAAGTATTATTTACGTTTTTATACGCGAGTCGTAAGGCAAATAACAATTCTGGAACAAAATATTCTCTTTGATAAAGTAGCCTAAAGTTCAACAAAACATTCAACAAACATAAGTACATTAATGTTCTACTGAGCTTGTACATGCAGGTAACATTAAAATTGTTTAAAATGCTAGGACTGCTATCGGTGAATTAATACTCAATATCGTTTTACAGTTGCTAAACATTATATAAGCTCTCAGGAATTTATGTAAACACCAATTTTTACGACAAGAGTTTTTTTTTCTTTTGGAAACATCTCGTCTTACATGGGATCGACCCCCTTGCCATTGGGGTCGTATACTTCATCAACATATTTTTCATTTACAGACTGCATAGGACTTTCTTTCAACATGATAGGAAATACTCACTCCAGATTAATATTACTTATCTCATGCAGCTAACAACACCACTGTACTGTTGAAAGCCAGGGATATAAATTAAGTTATATTTTTCGTATATATGCATGCATGCAGTGCGTGTCTGTTGTGCATGTGACACCCTATTTATATTCTATAATTTTAAAAGCGATTTATTAAAAGCAAGCACTTGTTATTTCATATACTAGACATATAGTCGTGTTAACGCACGTCTATATAAGCATGTTAAATTTTGGCAAGACAGATAAAAAATTAAGCAGTCTCGCCATTTATAATGACCACTTTTAACCGGATGCTTGAATTAAGAGTTTCTCAAGGATTTCTTTCAATCCAAACTCAGTCATTCCGAATTTGAATGTTTAAGTTCTGAGAGTATCACTGTACTTTGTTGTTTCAACATGACTTGTAATATATGCTTAGAAAACCAGGCCAATACTGATATTGGGTTTAAGTTGCAGTTTCCTCTTTTTCAGAAAAATATCCGGTTTAAAAGCGTCAGAATGTCTTAGCTAACTATTAATAATATAACGACAATATAACCTCACTGATTTAAGTCATAATTCAATTTTCTTGTGACGATAAACATGAAATGTGTTTGCCTATATACGAGCATCTGTTGTGCTTTTCTTAACATAACAACGTGTAATTGAATGATACAAGAGCTCAGAGATGTAAAATTCTATCAAATGTTTCGGTCTTTTTTTCGTAAACAACGCCTGTAATTTAGTGATCATATGTCTTTTTCACAAGGTTTCCCAAATCAATATTCGGAGTAGTTATCGTCGGGTGACCTACTTACCGCCGGTATAGTTGAATATCACCTAATTAATTTTCTATAATGATGCAGGCTGATAACTGTCAAGATATTCTCGTTTTAATCAAGAATTTATAACATATATATCAGAATAAAGATATCGTGTTTATGTCGAGATACTGCATGAAAATGAAATCAAAAACGCTTGACCAGCATAACTATGCATTTAGCGCTGTTTACTGAAAAAAAATCACCAATTGAAATAAAAAAATTGAGACTGATTTATTTTCGACAGTATATCTTTAATTTTCTGTATATCCGGCTTTTGTTTAAGTGAGTCATACTATTTTGTTAGTGGGTGTATATGCTTTTCAATCAGCTTGTACAAATCTCCATTAATATATAATGTATATGACGTTTTCGATTGCTCATAATAGTCATGCATAGAACTAACTGTGTGTTACATGGAACTTTTTACGCAAGCCACATTTCAACACTCAGTCGTGTTTTAAACACCTTGTTATCTTTCTCATGCACCCAGGGCGAGGGTGTCATGCTTAAAATATTTTCTTCCTTTAGGGATCGCCAGTTTATTTATATACCAATGCATTTACTCTAAAAATTGATAAAAAAAATAGTCGGTAAAGTAAGAGCCTTGGAGCTCATTGTGACAAAAAAATGAATTATTCGTTTAATTGCATAAACATTTATGCATCGGAACAGGAATTCGTTGGCATCCATCAAATATATTTCACACTTCCGCTGATGTTATCAGTTGACATGAATGATATCGTCATCAATAAGTTTGGCGAAATGTATTCGCGTTATTCTCTCTATGTTGACTGCATTTCTCCGATACTTGACACCTTACTCTGCAAAATTATTTGCGCATGAAGATATAAATGTTTTTCACTTCTAGCTTGTGGTAACATTTGAGAATATCTGTTGAAAAAAATCGTGCGCATACTAAATTATCCCCATGCATGTATTGGAGATATGTCTTATTGGCCCGCACTGTTTTTAGCTTGCCTGAAATGTGAATACCTGATAATTATTCTTATCTCTGAATGTTTACATTTAAAGTGTCTTAAACGTTGATGTCAATCGTGATTTAATGCATGCGGCCTCGACGTGTGTGGGAGTATCGTTGTGTTGTAGGCGTTTATATTTCTGAAACATTAAATATCTCTTGCGGTTTACATGACTTCTGGCTGCTCCCTACCGGCTCGACACAAAATTTAATTTCATTTGCACAATATTTACCTTGAGATTAATGTCCAGCTATTAAAATTACCTTCTCGCTGTTAACATATAAGAAAAGTAATCTTTGCGAAATGATTAATATTGTACGAATGGATTTTAAACGCATCATGAATATTTTATGTATCATATATACAGCTGAGACACATATATGCATGTAGATTGTAGTATCCTTGCTTAATATGACCTTGCACAGTTTATTAGTCAATTTTGTTTTATCTTGAAGTATGCATGGATACATTAAGTTTTAGAAATTAGGTATGAAATTTGAATCAAATCTGTGCTCTTGAGTGTTGATGCCATGCAATATAAGTGTGTTTTTTTAAAATGAGTAATGATGTTCCTTTTAGTTTTATTGTGTTCTTCACTGGTACGTTGAAATCATTTAAAAATGAGCAAATTTGGGGATTTTTTTCTCATTTTATTTAACCTAAACTGGCTAAAGGCAAACAGATAGGACATCTCAAATGAAATTAGCCAAGCACAATATAGCGTATAACAATTATGTCTAAATTTACAAACCCCGACTCATTCGACAATGTTATATATTACGCATAAAGTTGTGATATTAGTTCGAGTGACTTGCTGATACTGTTTACAAGTTACAATCTTGACCACTAATTCCAACTGATAAACATTTCATAGTTAGCCATGTTACTTTTAAAGAACTCTAGGCTATATCTCTCTTATTTTTTACTTTAATATGATGATTTATTACTATCATCTTTCATTGAACATTAATATATACCGCTCATATCACTGACCAGTGACCAATATGGTTGTGTGAAGAATGGCAAACACATTTTACTAAACTATAGAATTGAAATAATCTATAGCAAGATCCTGTTAGCAAGACACGTGCCTATAATATGTCGAAACGGATATTCAACCACTTGCCCACTAAGGACAGTTTTGATTCGCTAAATAGCTTAAGATCAAAAGCGACGGAAATTGATTTCAGAGAATGTTAGTTAGACAATTATACTAAGATCGTTCGTGAACATTGAATGCCTTAAGGCTGTTTTCCACTTACGCGTTTTTCATACATACGCACGTACACGCACGTAAAGTCTAAATCCTTATACATGTCATATTTGAAAAAGCTAGGTGAATAAATCGAAGGAACTTAGTTTTCTGCACATTTTAGTATGCATTAGTTGTCCTAGATGTTAAAGAATACAAATTTAAGAGCATTTAAAATTTTCCGTACGTGTACGTGCGTATAAAAAACGCGTATAAGTGGACACAACTAGCTCACACGCTCAGATCATATCTCCTTTGTAACTCCATTTTTAATCATTGTATTTCTTCACAGGTTCTGAACCTGAATGAGTCGGTCCTGCTTGATGTTCGACGTACACTGGTCTTACTTCAGAAACACTTCAACACATCGTGAGCTTTGTAATATATCGTATATATACAATAGGTTAGTATAGTGTAGAACACCTAGAGACTAAGATTTTCAGATATACTAGTTTTATATTAAAAGTGATAACAGATGAGTAGCAAGAAAATTAGGGATATAATTATAGGGAAAACATGCAGAGCTGTAGAAAGTTAGCCGTTCCGTGTCTCTGAATCTAAACTTTTTAGAGTGCATTTTGATAGAATCGTTTTTCCCATAGGCATAGTCTTTTAGGTGGATTTCTGAGCTATTAAAAAGCGTCGCTTTCCATCGAAAATAGCCGGACCGGTTAGAGAATTCTGTTTCTGCATTAAGAAGAGATCCAACCCAGATATTTTTATGTGTACATAAAAGTCTACCCTTAGTCTCAATCCAAATATTTCGTCAAACCTATAGTTTAAGCAAAAGCATTTTGTCTTGCATGCGTGTAACTTTTAAGAATTTGACCGGTCTGACTGAGTTATTGGAAAGTCGAAAAGTAACAATTTATAATTGAGATTTATAATTAACATTTCGTAACTCGTTCTTACACCTAAACACATATTTATTTTACAAAAAGATAAAAATATTCATTAGAAGAAGGGTATATGGTTATCGGAATAGTGGTGGAGAATAAATTTATTTGAATAACAGTTTCTATATCACAATACGTTAAATGTGTGTATAACAGCGGTATACATTTTCGCCCCAATCGCGGCTAATTTGAGATTGAGAAAGGTGACTATAAGAGGAAGGTGGGCGGTTGATTGAGATCTTAAATGTTGATGTCAAGACTAACGCCACTCTACCTTCAGGCATTATTTAAAATATTATATCTAACTAACTATTTCGCCTTCAGTCTAACGTGTTTTGGAGAAATATCCCAACGTCGTTTTATATCATATTGCCTGTGATGCAGATTAAAATATATTCGATGAGAAAATATTCAAACTAAGACTGGGGTTTTCACAGTTTGACGGGTCTTATATTGGGTGATCGATCTCTTTTAGCATAGCAAAATTAATTAGTCAAAATGCTATGGAAAGTGGCCAATGCAAATTTGCTTTAAAATAGTCTCCATAGAAACGGATTAGCAGTGTTGTCGAAAGTTGAATTGCAGTATGTGTATTTTGTTTGGAATTTACTCTGATTATTTTGGCAAACATGAGTAAAACTAAAGTGTGTGTTTCTAAAGTGAGTTAGGTTGTGTATTTATTGAGTATTTCGGCTGTAATCGGGACACGTGCGCGATGGGGCATGTAAACACCTGCAAGTTGTGGGAACAATAATTCGTACTGGCGGTCTCAAATACCGACCTGACCGCTCACTTCCTTTACCTTACTTGATTAGTGGTTAATTGAAACAGCTGAGGGCAGAGATTTCATTTAAAATGCGGTACGTTTGCTAAACTGTGAATGTAAATAACTCGAGCTTTCATTAGCTTTTCCTTGCTTTTCCTTGGTCGTCAAGTCCGGAGCGGCTCATGTAAAGCAGCTTTATCTTTCGTCAAGTACTTGATGCTGATTGGCTTACGGTTGAACGACTCGCGCACTGTCAATCAATACACTGCATGGCAATGAGCTGAAAAATAACGATTCTCGCCATGGCTAGACAGTTTAGCGATTGAACGAATATTAGTACTGTCAAAGTTCAAAATACTTTTAATCACTACTTGATCGGTGAACGGAGCGTGCTCGTAAGCGCTCCAAGGTCCGGTGGCGGTATAATATATGGCTTCAGGGAATTTAACAACGTTGGAAACCGTGATCGCAACGAATTATAATAGACGTTCGCCACCGGCTTCTAACATGCCTGATCCTGGCCGTTTAAAATGTCCTCTAAATGCAGCTTTGGATAGTGTCATGTCTGTCAACTATAACATGAATGGATCGCAACCGGTCAATGTTAAAATGTTGTTAAATACAGATGTTATCAAAGAAGAGCCGTTGGATTGTACAGACTTGAGTCGAACAACACAGTGTGATGTAGTCACAAGTACACCGGGCTTAATGGCGGATCCTGGTCGTATTACAGCCCCTATGAATATTTTGGACATCTCAAGTGGTGTTGTTAATAGAAATGGCCCCGTCAATATGGCGTCTAACCATGACCTGAACCCTGAAGATGAAATTTCTACGAACAATGAAATGAAAAATTCTACCAAGATGGCGTCGTCTGATCGCGATCCAGACCGCGTGAAGAGGCCTATGAATGCTTTCATGGTTTGGTCCCGAGAGAAACGACGTGTTATGGCACAAGAGAATCCCAAGATGCATAATTCGGAAATCTCTAAGAGACTTGGAGATAAGTGGAAAAAATTAAGTACAAGTGATAAACAACCGTACATTGAGGAGGCTAAACGATTGCGTGCCCAGCATATGAAAGATTTTCCCGACTACAAATATCGTCCACGAAGAAAGACCAAGACTTTATTGAAGAAAGAGAAATATAACATTTCTTTACTTGGAGATTGTGATGGTGGCCCACCAGTACAGAGAAATATTGCACATGTTAGTGATTATTATTCCTATCCTAATCTTGGCTACCCTCCACAGGATTTATTTAATACAATGTATAATACAGGACATGGGTATAACACAGGGTTATCCAACGAACCATTCCAAGGAGCGACAACCTCGGTGAACTCGTACTACCCGGCTTCTGTGTATACCATTCAAGCTGGTCAGATATACAGTTATAATTCTGAACATCAGAATCCGACGAACGGCCATGATGTTCAGGCAATCCCACCACCAACGAGTTATCCTCAGGAAACTATAATGTTGACAAATGGTGGAATTCAGATAAAAAAGGAGTTAGACGACGACCACCAAAGACGAAGCTATCCTGGAGACTTACATGAAATGATCAATGTATATCTACCTGCAGACGCCAATGCAAATCATCGAACAAGAACTAACCATGTAGAACACTTTCAGAACAACCAAGACTCGTATAACACGAACCATATTGTAGACGGTAGTACTATAAATCCTAGTGTTATTAGACCTAATCCAAGATCCAGTGCAGCCACTATGCCTTTGACACATTTGTGAGTTTATATATAACATGTAATTATTTTAATAGCATTCGAAACCCCACTGCTAGCTCTTGGCTATAAATTTACACTCAAACGACAATAAATTCAAGTTTCGCTGTTAAATATTGTTCACATTTATAAATAATATGCCAGTTTAGGCGCATAGTTTTATAGCCCCTAGCAGAGCAGATTTTATTAAATTACCTCTATTTTACATTGGTAAAGTATCAAAATTGTGACATTTTCAATAATAACAATTATTACGCGTGTGTACGGTGTAGTTTACGTTTAATTTCATTTAGATATACGTCGAAATTTTCCCCTCACATGCCTAACATTTTGTTTGCACAGACGCTCAGACTTGTATACGCATCCCGTTTCAGTTGTTTTTCCGTGTTTAACATTTTTGAAATCAAATGATATTTTTATCATTACCGCTTTTTCCCGCGAGAGTGCGTTGTGCATGGATTAAAATTTCAAACCTTTGTTGGGCCTTGGCACAGTATATTTGCCCGAACATCGGTTCAGCGCTCACATATTGTGTACAGTAGGTTGCAACCCTGTTTCTAGTGTGGTGTGGTTTTGTGTACTAAACTCCTAAAGTACGAAAGCACACTTTTCATGTAATTGTAAATCACAAAGTTTTTGTATTGTTTTGAATTAGTTGAAATTTCATGACAGTGTAACTCTAATCTCGTATAATAATATATTTTTAGACCTTTGTTGCTATTCATGACAATCGAACATTACGTTTTCTTTTTATTGGATAAAAATTATATATTGCTGTGTGTAAGTATATGCGATTTTGTGTAGCTCGACTGTATGCATGCATTATGCGGGTTGAACAAAGAAACCGAAGCAGCAGCGTTTCAATTGCCCGTTTAATGTGTACACTTCACCGTGACGGAATCATTTAGTTTACATTCCCACAAACATGTTTGACGTATCGATATCAAGGAAAGTAAATTGCTTCAACCTTCACAAATTAGACGTGTATCTTGTAACAAGAACTTTCAAAAGAGTTTTATCACACAAACTAGTTAGTCATATATGTGAGGCGAAAATAGAACTATCATTATAGCAAAGATATTAACATTCATTGCTGACATGAAGCGGTGAGCTTACTCGATTGTTGACAGTGTCTACTCCTTTTTTATTGGTTAATCTTCTTAGTGTTGATTGCAGCTGTTCTCACAACATTTAAATATGTTATTACTTGAATATTTTAAAAGAACTTCCTTCCCTGGGTGCAAACGTTTTGCATCACTCGGAAAAGGAAATACATTAGCTTTTCCTACATTATATTTGTGGCCAGATTTTTTAGTGACTGTTAAACATTTAGTTCCTGGGCGTGATTCAACACTTGTCATGTTTTATTATGGCTGTAACAAAGAGTTCATATAGAAAAACTTTAATAAAAGGAAACGTAAAGTTGTCTGGTACATTGTGCGTATATTCTCGCGAACTTCGAAACCTTCAATTAGTCGTCATTGACATTGATGTTTGATACTTCTACTTCTAGAAGGTTTATCCAGTAAGATTTCTTTAGACTTAACCTATGCTGTGTTTAACTATCCTAAGCCTAGGTTTATTGGCTTTTTTAAGCTCAGTATACAACTATATATGTCAATGGCAGCGTATATATATTGTAAAAATGCGCCATCAATGAATATAGAGTCCACTATTCATTCATAATTTCGGTGCTCTCTTTTTTTAACTGATTGATTGTATTCATTACCATAATTTATACTGTATTGACTGTATTCTCTCCTTAATAAAAAGAATATTAACAGTAATGGACAAATACAGATGATTCTGTCGCAAACCGAGTGAAATCAAAGCGGTGTTTTCTATTATGTAACTTCGCTTCATTAGTTAACATTGTATTTTTTTGCATTTGATTAATCTGAACTTGAAGTGAAATAATATTCAATCGACATCGAGGTGAGAGCCTTCGATATTGGCGAAGCAAATCCCCAACTTATAGATGGAGTTAATAGCGTGTTGATATCGGAGAATGGGGCTAAACGCGAGCTACACGGGCAGGTTAGGGTTCTCTATTTTTCGGCAAATGATGATCAATTTAGCAACTGCAATATGAACTGCGTTTAGTATATACTTACAATTTGTTCATTAAATTTGAGCGTATAAGTTATGTTTTTTAATATTACGTGTAAGAATGACTTTGACACTAGCCTCCTCCGCAGGCAACTTTGTTGGTATTCAAATAGTTTTATAGCCTGGAGGAGTAACAATATAAGTAGGTCAACCTACGCAATCCCAAACGGCAAACGTTTGAGAAATGCAGATTGAAAGTTACACTCGGCCAAAATATTAATATTATGAAATTCACCGTTTGCGAATACAAAAGTACAGGTCGTTTTCAATCCGCATTTTTCAACGCAAAAACGTAGTAAAATACCAATTTGCAATTTGTACAACAAACAAGGTAGAAATAGCAGAATTCACTAATCGTGAAATGAGAGAAGATATTTTGGAATATGCAAGAGAGGCATCTAACCTGTTGTTCAGAATAGAACATATTTTCGTAATCTTAGACGCTGCAGAGACGATGCTTTGTGAAGCTTGACACACACGTCCCGAGCATTGCGCGTTGGAAAGGTCTATTATGCTGTGGTAATATAGGACTTTTAGAAATACCATCATACTGAGGAGGGTCGAATCCGGTCGATGATCTTAAAGACAGCAGGTTTCAGGTAATGTTTCACTGTTAACACTTTCTCCATTTATGATTCGGTTTCCCACATTTCACGTCTTTTCCTCCCACGTACGTATTGCAGTATTTGATGTTGAATCCCCATTTATTGGGATTCAATGAGTTCAATCTTTTACATCTAGATCCCTTTGCTCTTAAGAAAAAAAGCCGCTAAATTAAGAAAAAAGCCGCTAAATTTGGCTAGACTAAAGGGCTGGTTTCCACTCGTGTTTAAAACAATTAGTTTTGCATGGTTGAGAACACAAGGATAAAGAAAGTTAAGAAACTGTTCTGTCCGACTGGAAACCAACCTTATTGTCGAGCCAATCTCCACACGTGCTACAGAATACGTCCATTCCCGCTGTTGAGATTTTAATCTGATTGTGGGTCGATTGAATACGTCTAAAGAATAATTGTTCGACTTTTACGTGAGGACTATGCCAGAAATTAGGGTAAAACCATTGAGTAATGCTGGGCTTATTCTTACGATGACTATAATATCCGCGAATTTTGGGTAAAAGCGCAGGAAAATAAAAAAGGACCTCCCCTTCCTCCCCTCAGAGACATTCAATGCGCTAGATGATAGTAAAACTATAAGGAGAAATCAGCGAAATAATCAGATTTACGTTTTGTTCAATATATGGCGTCTTTGCCTTTGGGACAGAACAGTCTTTTCGAAATGATAACCAACTATTATTATATAATAAAACCAAGTTGTATTTGTGATGAACAACGTTACGAAAAATGAATGGTAATATGTCTTGATGCATATTTTTTTTGTTTTGTTTGATTTTTGTTGCTAGCTCTTTCCTTATGTTTACTGTTTAAACAACGTGCCTTCTGATATCTGAAAGCTGTGCAGCATGAAAAATGTTATCAGAAAAGAAGAAATTTGATCAAAAATAAATATTGTTACTTCTAAATTATTATAAGAAATAATATAAAATATCTGAGTCCTTGACCCTTTACAATCTTTTAATAAAAATTTCACAGTCCTATACTTCATAGTTCATACTTGTCCCATCCTTCCTCCTTTAGTATTTCATTACAGTATTTAATTGTATTTGTAACATGATACATCTCAATATCAAATGTTTTAGGAGGTGATTTGTGATTATAAACTCTCCTGTTCAAAGGCCACATAGTTTTTGGTATGAATTGATTCTGAGGTAACTTGGTGGGACCATATGTTGTTGTTTTTTAAAATGCAATGACAAGGCATTTCACCCATGAATGTACTGGGGGAGATACAAAGAAGGAGGGGTATTCTAAGACAGGCACTCTACTTAGGTACTGCCTATGTCATCATCATTGCCTTAGGGGTTTAGGACTTTAGGTGTTTTTATTTAATATTCACTATGCAATAATTTATTCGAGCTTACTATATTGTCAATGTTGTTAACACCGATTTCTAAAATTTTAAAGTACTGTTGTTTTCTTTGGTAAACCTAACTGAAGAGGACAGTCATTAATAATTATTAAAGTTCCTATTGGAGTGTTATGTTATCCGTAGATTTTGAGCTGAATCAGCATTTAGTGATTAAGAGACAGTGTCAACCATCAGAATATGAGTATAGTAAATGTGTATACTGGTATTTTAAATGGTGGTACTATGTATGTGAATATTGTAAAAAAGCAAATTTTGAATAAACAAAATATCTTGAGGATAGAACATTATGAATCAATTAAAAAAAGGTACAGCTGCACAGGTTGAGAGTTGAGACTGCTTCAACCTATATTATAATGTTTTCTCAAGATGTCAGCAAAGTTTGCTTTAAACTCTTTAAATTGATTGGTGGTTAGGGATAAATCCACTTAGCATGTGAAAGTGATTAATACATTTAGAACTACATGCAAAGTCACTACAGAAGGAAAATGTTAAAGACCTTACCCTAGTAGAGGTTACCAAACCATCAAAATGAATATAAATCATACGTGTAACGCGAAATCTGCCTCCGACAATTGAAGTAGGTTTAAATTTTGGGATATTCTAATAATGTGATCTCCTGGCTGCTAGGCTGCTACGACCGGAGCGCGTAATACAAGAACTGAAATAGGAGTCTCGCGAAGTTTGGAGGTCACGCTCTGGGGAGCCAGACCCGTACGCTGGATTTTTTGGCGAAGGGCAGTGATGTTCCCTCCTAAACATGCAATGTAGTGTGTATAGGTTAACCTCGATCATTGCCCCTCCCCAAGCACAAAGTAGTATAGGCCGTTTCGAAAACCACGATTTTACGTCACAGTAAAAGCCTCTCGGAACATCTCACGAATTCGTGGAAATGACGACATAAAAGTTTCGGGGGGTTTTCCTGAAATATGATTTACACTATTATAGTTCCAACTTGACTGAACGTTTCAAAATCTAAAATATTCTGTATTAGAATATAGACTGACGACAGCCCGCTTGAAGCGAATTTAGTTTTGAGCTGTTGAAGTATCGTAGTTTGATACTCAAAAGATAAAAAAAACCGGCTCAAACGTTTTTATAACTGACAGCACATGACAAATCTTGTGGAGCATTTCATCTCAACGGTAAATATATTCGACAATTTAAATGGAGAAGCACAGTTTTGTAAACAATAAGGTAGTGCGCGCGTTTGATTTTCCAATCCGTACATGTTTTATCTTTGTCTTTTCAGTAAACTATTGCACAACAATTACGCATGCGTCAACAACACAGATGGCAAAACGGGAATGAAATGAGTGTTCCACTTTATTACTAGTGCTTAATACCTGTATGGCGATGAACTTTACGTTGGGTTTATTTTAAATATCCACGCTTTCTTGCTTTCTCAAAAATGCAATAGAAGGATTAGACCATTCGGGATGTCCACACGTGTTGAATATAATGCTATGGTAAGGCTTTCTTAATAAGGTTTTTACAAACAATACTATGCGGTAATAATAGTGATAACTTAACGAAATGTTATACATGCCGGTCGATAACACCGATGTATTCTTCCTGGGGTTATAATGATAACCCATTATATTGTTGTATATTAAATCATAGGGATGCAAGCAAGGGTATTCAATATAATATAGCGACACGGTTTTATTTGTCGCTACAGTCTACATCATATTTTATGACGTATTAATTTCAGCTATTTTTCTTGTTGCCATCTAGTTCATGCATGTTTTATTATTCATATGTTTGAGTTACCTTACACCTAAGCCTGCAGTTTTTATTTCTTACGGTTCAGTGCAGGATAGAGGCGAATGGATAATACAAGAAAAGTAAAAAGTATAATATTGTGTTGGAGGAAACATGTATAATTTAGTTACCCCAAGTTATTGCTATGATATACATTTGTAGCAGCCTATAATTGGAAGCCACCTGGTTCGAAATTTACACAGCCAATAGCGTGTTGCCACAAGTAAAACAAAGTTACGTTTCTTGCGAATACGTTTTAAAGATGAGGTTGTATTGAACGGATATGCAGTGTGACAGGACACTTTTAATTGTCTCACAATTTTGTAGTCATTGTAATTTTAAATACATACAGTAACTTAGTCTGGGGTCCTAAGATAAGCAAGTAGTAGGCTATCTTGCATGAATGCGAAATTTGCTTATATTTATTGCTATATTAGCGGTACTATTTATACCTTGTTTATAACCTGCGTGCATTTCTTCAATAGTTTTATCAATCTGCGATGTTTCCGACAGTATCAATATCATGCATGGGATCGGATCTACATGTCAATGATGAGTTCGTATTTTGTCAATCATAGTTTATAGTGGACACGCTAGGCATTCCACCGCAATGCAACCTATATGCACGAGAGAGTTTACGGCTCAGCTTAATTTCCATGTTGGAACATTTTCCATTTTGATAAGTCGTAATCTTCCCTAACGCTATGACGTAATCACGGAAAGTAGTATAAGGATTGTATTAATCCATTATTCTTCATCTAATAGAAGATATTGTCGTGGGTGTTTACTACAAGCGTTTGTATAGACATAATATGCCGCGGCCATTGTCTTAAAAATGCTGGCGTACAATTGGGTGTTTGTTGTGCTGAGACTTATCCTTTCTGAGACTGAGTATCTCCAACAACACAACCACGATACAAAAGTTTTTAGATAAATATATTGAAATTAAAGAAAAGCAAAGCCGTGTGTTTAAATCTCACCCTAAGTAAACATTTACCGGTATATGCCGGCGATACCCGAAGGTTACACGAGACCTTCTAACATATGTCGTGTGATACTGTATCAACAATCAACATACTGTATCACTTTCATAATCGTTAGTTTTCTCTTTGATATCAGTGTTAGTTTGCTCTTTGCCCTATGGGCCAGCTACCGTTTGACAGCTAATATCCTAGCTACTTGTTCTAGTTTATCAACCACAAAGGTCCTTTCCACTATATGGTCAATATCTCACGTTCATATAACCACACTACCGGTTTCATGGCATGCATAAGGATGCACAAGCCTCTTTCCCGCTGGCGTCTTCAAAATTATTGAACTCAATCTTTTCTTGGCCTCCCTAGGAATTGCTTACTCTCTAGGTACAGTCGACATTATTGTGCTAGTTTCGCTAGTTTTGCTTTACACGTCTTTTCTGAATTATCCTTTCTTTAAGGAGCCAGAGTTTCTCTCCATGATAACGGTGTTAAGAGTGTCTTTCTTTTCTTTGTTTCCAAATCAATGTCCTAATCAATGCATTTCCAAACAGTGTTGTGCAGCGATTCGGTTGAGTAGCTTGAGTTGAAAACCCTCTCGCTACTTGAAGTTTATTGCTGTAATAATAATTTTGTAAATTTGCATGCATGGTGACATCAAATAAGTAAATTAGATTGTAGGTACACCATACTTCAAAGCTTTTGGTCCGTCAACCCAGGCCTTCATTTATTGCACTGATGAAGGCTCGGGTTGACGGACCGAAAGCTTTGCAGACTGTATTAAATACTTACGTGCATGGTTACTTTATTGCTTTTGTTTGCACATCTGAACAAGTATTATACTTTTTATCTATGTCGCCGTCCTTGACCTAAACTAAAGTTTATATGTAGTTCACACTTCATGCCCTTTCATATAAGATCACTTCTGCGTCACATGAACGGAAACAGTGTTTGAATTACGAAAGTAAAATATCTAGGCAAAACTTCGAGATTCGGAACGACTGCATCGTTTAAACCTTCTAAGCACGAAATCGAAAGGAAAGGAAAATTTTTTTTTGGACAAATTTCGAATGTATAGTTTCCTCTGTTTCACTATCACATTGAGATCCTTTGGCACAATTACAAATGTTGAAAGTGCTACTATTTACCTCGCTATTTACTAGTGCGTCTCCTACGGATGTATCACAGACTAAAAATTAAGACTCAGATTATATAATATTCTATTTCATAAATAATCATTATTTCTCCACTATGAATATTTAGGCTGAAGCATCGAAGAAGGATTTTTTATCGTATTCAAGCAGTGAAGACAGCATGTTTCAGGCTAACTTTGGCTATCATAGACAGTACCGACCTCGATATCATTATCAACACACACCACGAGAACAGTCCAGGACGAGGCCCAGAATGAATCATTACATTCAACCAAATTTCCCACATTCTCAGCAACGTGTTAGATCAGATAATAATATGGGCTACTACAGACCCCCCGTATATCACTCTGGGCCTCGATATCCGAGATATCACGTACCTTGGGATGGATGTGTCAGAAACTCACAATCATATCGATACGGGGATGCAAAGACTACAAATTCTGCGATTATACAGTCTTCTAGTGTGACATTGTCCTCAATGCCACAAACATCGGCGGCACAGTCTCGAATGTTACAACCGTCAGTAGTAAAACCTGGTCAGTCACAAGCTTCAATGGTGAAATCTGGTCAGTCACAACCCCCAACGGTGGAGCCTTCTGTAGTAAAGCCTGCTATAACACAATCTCCAGTGACACATTCCAAAATTACACAGTCTTCATTTACGTCATTTCCACATCCACGAGTTGAACAAATCTCAGGCGCTCATCTACAAGCTTCAGCAGAACAGCAAGGATCGCAAAAACTTTCAAAGACTCAACCCAGACAACCACCATGTCAACCACCATGTTCGATCGAACTGGGGCAAACCGCGGCGTTACTGCCTAACAGGACACAAAATTCAACCGCCGACCCCAGTGTGGAGCAAATGTCGACCGCACAACCAAGAATGATAAAAGCTAAGTTGACGCAAATATTATCACCGCGGCATGGAATAAAACAGTCTGCCATGGAACAAACTCTGCCACGTGTATCCACGCCGTATAGTTTAATTAATCAACCTAGCGTTCCTAAAATAACAAATACTACTCATCTTAGCCAGCCACAATCGCCACTATCAAAACCTATATTTCATCAAACTTCAACAGAGTATAGGCGCAGTCCTCCAGAGAAAAGAAATGAAATAAGAGAATTAGACATAGTACAAACGTCAATGGCACATCCTAACAATACCCGATCCTTGCCGTCACAGGTAAAGCAGGAAACGGTTAACGTTGAACGTGTTTCAACGACACGACCACAAGTCTCAGTATCGCAACATGGAACTTCAATGATACAACCGTCAATGGTTCAAATGAAACAAACATCTGGCGTGTCTTTGAGTTGTAATACACAGCCAAAAATAACAAAAACTGTAATGACACAGCCTACTAGAGTACAAAACTCGATGTTTAGTTCCAGCATGACTAAAATATCAATGACACAATCTAGCAAAGTACAAACATCAATACCAATGGTTTCAACTAGTCCAAGAAAGACCAAAACGTCGATAGAAGAAGGGAAAAAAGAAAAATCGATGACGCAACAAAATTCAGTGAAGCAACTTAGAGTTGAACTGACCTCCCAGGGGGGAACGGTCACAAAAGCTGAGTCAATGGGTGGCAAACTTTGTTCAGGTAATTCAATGTACCTTCTATCATTTATAGATTCGGGGTGAGAGGGGTTCGGCAAATATTTCCAGGAATCTTTCTAACAGGGAGATGATAAATGATATAGTACAGTGAATTTTTTTTTATTTTCCAAAATACGAGCGATTTCTCGAAATTGCTCCAATTTTCGATAGAATATATTTTATAGTGTATATTATTTTCAAGCACACCATTTTTATTCTAACATGAGTTGATGAGATAAATACTTAATAGTGATCTCAAATTTCTTTTTTTGTTTTGCAGTGGTTTGTATTCTCCAGCGTTATACATTCACATTGACTCATTTTCTATTTATATTACCAGGTTCTGAGAGTTTTCTAGTGCAGTATCCGGCTATAAACAGATCCTATGACCATCGATGGAAGTCGACAATGGTCTCAAATGGTGACAACAGAATTACAAATTTTTCCCAGCGTTACCAGGCGTATTCCGAGGTCAAGAATACTGTGGTAAAACGTCGAAATGACGATCAACGTAACACGAATGGGGCAGAGGAAAATGGGAGATTTGAAAACCCAAAAAGGAACAGATGGGATTTGAAGGAGAAGGATGTGGAAAAACCTTTGAAATACGAAAGTACAAAGTACAATAACATCAGTATAAATGACTGCAAAGTGGAAGTCAATGGTAATAAAGAAGCGAGTCAGTCTGGTTATAACCATGCTGGGAGATCTTGGTATCTCCAGACTGGAACCAAAATTATGCCTAAGGTGGAAAATAACAATTATTATAAATATTCAATTTCCCAACAAACGTTTGAGGATAGTGAGTTCGAGGAGGTAGGTCAATTTAATGCCACACATAAAGATACTAAGAAAACTACGACGACTGGAAAAGTAAACAGCAACAGTTATTTATCCTCAAATAACTTCGAAAAAATGGAAGAGAGCGAAGATTGTGACAGTGGTGAAGAGAATTCTTCATATGATGACGATAGTCAAGATAATGTTGAAGAGATAGACGATGAATTAGACAGGAAAGATGCTGATGAATTACTAATGAGTATGAGTAACAGAAGTATTAAGATCAATCGTTTGTTAGAAGAACAAAAACGATTAATGGCAAGTCTTCATGTGTATGGTAAATTACCATACTAACAGTCAGTGGGCTTGAATATATGCATCTCCCCACATTATTGATGCTGCATATATACCTACGCTCAAAATCCTTTTACAGATATACGGTTTCGTATGTTTTTACTGCATAACCCTCAACATCCATAATGTTCAATCTTTATTGTTGTCTGCGCATAAACAATTGGGAGAAGCCAGTTTAGATAATTAACGTGTTATGTTCTCTAAGTTTGGAATCTATAGTGAAAGTAGAACACTGTGCTCTTTAGCAAACATTAAGAGTTTTTTAAACTAAACGGGGTTTTGGTTAAATGTGCATATCCTCGTGTAAAACTAATATCGTGGTTGCATTTATAATTTACATTTGTTTAAGGTTCACATTTGCGAAAATGGATAGTTCAACGAGTTCTCGGTGTTAAGCTTTTTTAGAAGATAACTGTAATAGCAAAACGTAAATCGTTGTAGAGCAAAGTACGTGGCAACTTATTTATGAAGGGTGATCAGTTTTGGTAATACGTTTGGGACTAAGAAATTATAGTCTTATCTCATATTTTTTAAATTCAAACAAGTAATGCCCACCAACACCTCAGACGAAATCGAATCGCGAATTATCTATTGTGCATCCATGCTACGTTGAGAATATTGTCAAAAAATAGTTGTAAATTTTTACATTTTTCAAAAGGTTGAAATTATTATTAAATAAACTGTTTTAATGAATATATATGTACAGATTTCTTTTGTGTGTTTCGTTCGAGAGAATTATAGAAGGTGTTCTTGAAACTGTGAGGTAACTTAAACCTCTCAAGCACAAATACAGGTATCCTGCTGCATGCTCTAACCACCAGTGCACGAGCTGCATGAAGACTCCAGTTAGCCGACCACAGTGAAGTTCTATAATGGATATGATGTTTTATAACTTTCACTGTAGACGAGCAAACGGCTAACTGAACTTTGTTGATGAATGCAAATCAATAATATATATAACTTCAAACCTCCTCATCTCAATTCTCTCTATTTTCCAAACGTCAGGCAGCATCAACATTGTGTGCATGGGAAAGCCAAGCAAATAAACGCAGAATGCAATTGAGATTGCATTCAAAACTTTTGCCACCCAAGTTGGGGGGTTACTTTGTCCATGGCACGACATATTACAAAATAATATATTTATTATATTAGTTACATTAATTACATTACTTCCAATTCATTGGCTATTACAGTAAATTGAGGTAGCTATCTTAAAGATATCCTAAAATCCATAGAAAAATTGGGGTGGTATCTTCAGTAGCATAATTTTTCATAGTGTGCCTTGCGACTTGCATCTACATCGTCCAACTCGACACAACACAGAAAAGTGCTATTTCACAATCTGAGGACATTTTCTTGTTTCCATCGACGTATATGTGTCAACTATAAAAAAATTCGCACATTGCGTCATTTGCTTAAATATATACAATTAATGATGCTAAAGATTCAACTAAGCATATACAGTTAACGTTTAGAATTCGTTGATATACACAGCTAATGCCATGTCTTTTCACATGCATCTTATTTTTTTACCTTTCGTTTCTCTAAAAAACATTTTATAAACTCCTCTATTGCCAGGTTTTCTAACATGTAAAATATAAAATGTGGTTACCAAATAATAATCTATATAATAAACTTATAAATAGAAATGGAAACGTTAAAGCCATACCATTCAAAAACTCTTCCGCGTCTTTCTGTTTACAAAAAAAAATGTAAGCGCGTTGAAATATGTAAATAGTTATATGTAAGAGAGGGAGAAGTTATGATTTGCATTTGTGCTATTGTGCATCATTGAGAGTATTGTCTTGATCGTGGGTTTTAAAATATTACGATTTCAAAATTTGATTGATTTACCTCTGATTTTTCATCCATTTCTGAAACACCAAGTTGCAGAGCAAGATGTAGATTGTCTGGAGTATGCATCTGAATTGTACAGAATAACATAATTATCTCAAATACTTTCATAGCAAAACTGTACTTTAATTTCTATAATCAATATTTTACCTCAAAAAGATCATTTTGCATCGAGGACCACTTATCAAACGAAGCTCGTAGTTGGCATAATTTATCGTACTGCAATGTGGAATACCAAAATGATCATAAATAAAGCAATGACCTGCATGATCACCATGATTGGTTCGGCCTAAAAGTTACATGTCGCTGGGAAATTTTTTATTTATTATAACTGTATATGCATACTTTGTCAACAAGCCTTTTTCTAACTTCGTCAAGTTTCTGTCTTTGTTCAACATTTGTTTCTAGAGAAGAAAGTCATAATAACATTACTAAAAGCATAAACTCACCTCTCCGAGAAATAATTTACTTAGGGATCAACATTGTTCTTAGCTTTTCCAGACTATTTGTCGTCATGAGCCACCGCGCCATGAGATGGTCTTAGCCATACGTCAAACACGCGAAGTCCGCAAAACTAACGAGCCAATTAAAATTCGTGTAACATTAGGCTTACCGCGTTTGACGTTAAGATGAGAAACAGAGAAAGGTCTATTGTGGCTTGTGGGACTGGACTATAGACGAATTCAAGAAACTCACTCGCAATTTCTTCAATCCTTATCATTTGATCTTCTCGGTTTTTTACATTTGAATTTATCTGTTGTTTATAGATAGATAATAGAACATTTTAACAAATTAAGAATCGGATTTGTCAGGAAACTAAAGTGTTTCCCGTATTTATTCTTGTTTTTTGTTGCATTCAGTGTAACACACTAAATAATTTTTTTCAAATAGCACACCCACCAAATCTGCATCAATTAATTCCATCAGCTTCTCTGGATGGTCATCTAAATCTCGCAACTCATCAATACTATAAAGAAAGCATTCAATAAATACCAAATAGTTTTCCATCATTAGGAATGAACTTTCGAAAAGGCAACAACACGCTTGCAACACGCCATGATAACTTGCATAACTTGTCAGCATGGATATTGAACAATCAAATATGATACTTAAAAATGTTAATCGATGATGACATTAGATGCATATTATAATAATTTTTATTAATATTATAATTTTATGATCTTGCACCTGCAATCTTCCAATTTTGTGGTGATCTTTAAGTATCCATCTAACTAAAGCAACAAAAATAAAACCGTTTTTTTAAGATTACTAATTTGATACTAATCTTAACATGGATAGTGATTTTATTATCCAATACATGTTCTTATCAAGTCATAGAACGCATCTTAAATAGCACAATATATTGCTTTTATAACTTACTCTGTCCACAGAACTTGAAGAAGAATCTTCAGCTGTTTCTGCTTCAACAGATGCGGTTGTTACCGAGGTGGGAACATCTTGGGTAGGTCTCGTGTAGGATTGTGATGAACTTTTTTAATAAATGAAACAAAAGAAGGTCAAAGACAGGGACGATATAAGATTGTGTACACGTGATGCTTCCTAATAACGTATGAATGATTCGGGTTTCTACACACAAATGATAGAATAGGCTGTATTGGAACTAAAATGACATTGTAATAAAGAGAATCTCGCATGAGTCAAACGTAGCATGATGTTGAGATATTGCCTGATTGGTGGTGATTTTATATTATTTAAGACGTCGTTCTTAAAACTTTACCTCGTAACAGCCGCATGAGTATTATATGGAACAAATATAGGAGGATGATCAAGAAACTGTTTACATACGTCTTGTAACGCTCGCCCTAAATTTGAGTGCATGTAAAACTACAAAAAAAGGAGAAAAAGTGGGCAATTTAAAATTCAGAGAAACAGACATGAAAAATCACTGCGATCTGATTGGAAGATTGGATTTTTTCAGCAGCAAAATGCGACAAACAGTAACACTGTGGGAAAAGGGGTTCGATCCTTTTAGATATGAGTCCCACACGTTCACAAACGCGAAATAACACCAGACCACCAAGAAATAAAACATATAATTATTAAAAACTACTCCTCAGAATAGATTTCGCACTCCACACTTCGCTGTGGTAACACAGCACTACCCATATGTTCTCAAAACTAAAAAGTATACTTCCATGCAATAAATGTCAATCAAACTTGTTCATTTCAATCTAATTAGTAGGTTAACTTTACTGACTAATAAACCGTTTCCGACAACACAATGAAAAGTGATTTTGCACGCAAAGGACTGACGTTATATTGTTTCATGCATTAATACATTGATAAGAAATAGTAAGGTTTCTCATGAGTGCAATACACCTGTGAGTCTACCTGCATGCAGACATGCGTGGTAAAAGATTACCTTGTTTAAAGAGTCACATCCAGTTACAACCATCTGTAAATCACACAAAATGAAAAGGTTTCATGTGTAGTTATAAAAATTAATTATCTAAAAATACACATGTCATTCATAATCACGCGAAGTAATTGGTTTCTGGGGAAATGGTGGTTGCAGGGGTGAATTCGGGTGGTATCATTGAATGGGTGATTAACGCGACATTTTAGTATCGAGCTGTGCAGAGGAACTGCGACTTGCGAGGTGCATTGTGCGTCGTAAACGTGTTGTTTTTTTATCGAACTATATTTCTTTTTTCGAAACGTAGATTTTGTGGCTTAGTAATAAATAGTAACTTACATCGTTGTTCGTTGCATATAGCGATAGATTTTAGAAAATGAAAGGTAGTCTGTATCATAAAGTTACGATGCCACTGGCCATGTGTCAATTGCAATATCAATCTATTTTCTATATCTATCTTCTTAAGGGGTTAAAAGTGCTTAAAGTCAATAAATTCAATCAAATTGAGAGTAAAATCACTGGTCATTTTTTCTAAAAAGTGAGCATAAGAGAAAAATTATCTATATGAAGTACTTCTAAAACTCTAGAACTCAGGAAATGTGGGCTCAAAAAGTACCTTATGAGCCTGCATTACTCACCTGTTAGGATCAGTGGTTATAATTGAAGAAGACTTCATATAAATACGTCATTTTTATAGTAACTTCGATAATATATTTTGTATTGTAATAGTACTCTTGTGTAAGTTTATTTTTGGATTATGTTTTCTTATTAGTATGGTTGGGCTCTGGCTGATTTATTGCACATATAACTGCACTGTCAATTAGTTTGGTTGGATAAAGATTGAAGGAAACCCCTCAAAACTGTGGCCAACGTGCAAATACAAATAAATACTATGTGTTTCATTACTTTCATACACTGTATCAACATTGGCAGGATAAATATAATTGCGTACCATCATTATTAATTGAAGCAATCAAGGTTTTTTTTTATTTCATTGATATTAGGTCATTTACAGATTATTATGGACATACCTGGTTATTAACCCAAGGATGTGTCATGGCAGGTGATACTCTAACGACTGGGATTTCATGGGGAAAATTTGGTGGTAAAAACCTAGAGAGAAAACCTACTGCTTAAAACAATAGAAAGTACTACAAAAATAACTGATTTTCACTTGAATAAAAATATTTTTCCAGTAAAACAAATTTTAAGGGTGCCTCACAAAAACAAAATCACCACTTTAACATTCTGCAATGCTGTAAATTGTCTGTAAATTTCAATCTTGATTTGCAACCCAGTGTAATAAGGTAATTTTATTTATCACCCTGAACTGTTTGACACTGTTAAAACATTTCTTGTTATTTGTTGCACTCTGACCAGTCAAACATTATTGTTCATTTTTGACAATCTTTACTTTATATATAATAACAATTCACAATTGAAAGTTCACAACAGTCAATGGGCTGCCTATGCTTTGACTGGCATTATTTTAGGCATAGAATCAATGTAAGTTGTGAGAGTAAAACTTGAAATCAAATCCAATTCATTTAAGGTGGATCTGAATTTAAATCATTGTGACATTAAAATGTTGTGACATAATTACCGAAAAAGGTTACATGTACATTCTTTACATCTTCCATAGTAGCTACGTAAATTTACTTACACATGAAGATTTACAGCATTTCCTTCAATGAAAAATGTAATCTTGAATTCAACATCTTTTTGAATTTCTGTAACACTAATAATACTACATCAATCAATCTGTTTCACAGTTTTCATTTCATGCCAGGAGCCCAAGGACTATTATACACTTATCAATACTAATAAGTAAATTTCACAAAATTAATTAATGAAATGTGTCATAAAGTCTATGCACATTATTGTAAACAAAGACTCTTAAAAAAGAATCAAATGTTTTATTTGTATCATGAATTTCGTAGAGACATGAAGTTTGAAATATTTATTACGTTTGGAATGGATTTATATTTATGAAGGGTGATGTAATTAAATAACCTCCTAATAATAATTAACAGCCAGTCCTAAAATTAGATAAACATTGTTGGTCAGTAAACAAAGTGAATATTATGTAATCTTGAAATATTTCTTAACATTTTAACAGGTCAACTACTGACCAGGCACAACCTGCCAGGATAAAATTAAATTATTCATATCTGGTGCGAATGCGAATTAAAACGAAACAAACACTTACTTTTGATGACATCTTTTCAAACTTTCAATTTGCTTCAGTCTTTGTTGTTCCAGAGCGTTTAACGCAGGAACACGTTTTTCTTTCGTCCCAGAAAGCCCGAACAAATTACTCCAGCTCATCGCAACACAAATTTTCTGCTTATTAGAATTTTGGGAATAACATAATTGCACAATCGATGACCATTACCTGCCACTGTCATGGACCAGACCTTTTGTCAACTAGTTCCAATCGTTCAAAAGTCGAAGTCGACAATTAAATAATTTCACATTTCTTCTATTAGTGTTTGATTAATTAATTTAATTAATTCAGCAGACATCTGAAGTTTATTAGTATTGTCAGGGTGCTGATACAGTCAAATTTGTATTCAATAGTAATAAGTAGTGCGTATAAGCTCACTGTCACCCAGTGTTGTTTACATTTGTTTTGTTAGACAAATTAAACTAACATTATGCAATGCTATTTTAACGCAGGATGGAAACCCGTCTCCCTCCCCTCCCTATGATTCGGAAAAAATTGAAGCGAAGACTGACTTTGGGCCCCAGACACGCATGGGTATCTTAAAACACACGAGCCTCGAGGTAAAAACACGTCTCGCGGGGACCCTTGAAATCAAGATGTTTTATTAATTGCAATTTCTCATGATCGTGCCAACCCAGTATTCAATCATCTTCCCGAAGCCATTTCTGGGAAGTTGATTTTTAGTGGGCAAATAAAACCGTTGGGATCAGCTGGCATGTTTTGGCTTCTGATTGGTTTTTAAATTCCTAATCCCCATGCATAATTCCTGTTCAATGTTCCAAAGTCGACTATATATTAAATAAGCAAGGTGTGTGCGAATAGTTCTGGGTATTTATAAGTTACATCTTTAGCCAATATCAGCGTAAGTCGCCATATGCTCTAGGCGTAGAGCACTATACTACTTCCCGCTGTCAACAAAGCCAAGGACAATCATGCAGGAGAGTCGAAAGCTAGAGCCGGCCACGGAACAATATATTTCCGTCCGGTGCTCCCCCGCGACGCTAATAGACATAACCCTCAAGACAATTTCTTTGAAACTATGTTTTGAAAAACGCGGAACCAACTCCACAATGATATAGTTTCAAGACGTTTAGCAATATAACTCGGCGGTCTCGGCCATGCGAATTTTGCGACGTAAAAGTGAGCCCATGCGTTCATGTCATGCAAAATAATTAACTGATAGGATATTAATGCATATTCGGGGCGATATAAGGCTTGGCTTTTTGTAAATTTGATCATCAACATTTTAATTAATTTGCGCAGGAAGAATTTTTTGGGCAAAACTTGTAATCGTTAGGTACACCGTATCGGCGGAAATCATTGTCTAGTTGAGCAAAAATTCTGCCAATAATGTTTTTACCGCAGCTGTATGAGGAGCGCCAACATAATGTTGTCTTAAGTCATATCAACGATTGCCTTTTGGTGAAGCCGCAATTTTAAACAAAGTAAATTGACTGAGGCCCGCGCGTGCATACAAAAGTATCTCAAAGTCATAACGAAGTGAGAATGTAAATTGATATTGATCATTGGAAAAGATTATCCCGATGCCAAGTCTAGTTTTTCTCACTTTTTCTAAGCTATTCCTTTCTCGTTACAACCAGGTGGTTGGCAATTAACAAACCATTTCTAAAGTATTGTTTCGAAAAGAAAAGCGAAGCATTTAGATGCAACAAAAGTGGTTTCTTTATTGAAAAGACTGCGTGTGTTGTTAAACAAAAGCGGCACAGAGGGAGCTTGATTAGCGCTCTACATGGTCGGCAAAGAACAAAACCAAAACAATATTAGAAAGATGAAAACATTGTTGATTAACAAAGGATGCGAACGACTTAAATAATAAGACTGAGCTAAAATTAATGAGGGGTTAGTTATTGATCTATTTTATTTCTAGACTTTGAGGACTCGATATTATTAAGGGAAGAAATTTACTTCGGCATCGGATATATATCACTTTGAATTTGGAAAAATATTCCCATAATTTTTTATAGCTTTAAGACCAAATGTGTTTATTATCTTTTCATCGCTAAAATGAGTGAATTTTGAAACAGCTCTCCCTGTTAGAGAAATTTCCATTTTATATTTGAATATTTAAAGAACGAGCAATGATGACTCGGCCCTTAATTTGGATCAAAGGAGCGAAGGATTAGCGAAGGTGCCGTATAATAATTGTTTTGAGGAAAACAGGATGCAAAGTGTTGTGCGAATTACTCTGCTTAAAAATGCAAACTTCAAAGCATGTGGCTAAAGATTAAATTTTGTTTAAACATGTGCACCGTTAAGAGGTAACTGACAACAACACTGATTAGTAATACCGCGGTCAAATGTCGTGCGTTCAAAGCACTTAAATTGTCGGAGGCTATATGATCTTTGCATAAAATATTAATGCTTATGAAACTGTAAAAGACGAAACACTTTAGAATGAAATAAATAGGCCATACATCTGCTGATGAGAAATGAAAAGCTTAAGTCAATATCACAGCATGCAATGTCTTAACTCAACGGCCGGTAGTAAGCCACATTCTCACAAACTCTATTTTCATGAGTCAGTATCTCTTCGGCTTTCGCTCGGAAATTTTAGATCAATAACTATTAAAGATATAACTTTTAGGAGATAATCGTCATTATTGAAAGCAGTTTTTATCAAGTTGCTCACTTAAAGAATCTATAAACATTCAATATTCATTGCACGCGGTATTGTTTTAACCACCCACCTTTTCAAGGGGCTTTTTAATTGCCATTCAGCCGTATTTACTTTGAGCTATTCTTTACCTCAATTCCAGCTATTGTGTTTAGAGATGATTTAGATGTAATTCTTTGTTATGGAGATACTCGGCCAGCAAACAAGTGTAATTCATTGAGGTTTTGACATGCACTATGTCTGTCTTCATCATTCATTAAATGATTTTTCAACAAACATTCACTGATCGATTCATGTATATTTTATAAAACGTTATCGCCCGTTATTGCTTGGAGTTTGACGGTACTATATAATTATCTATTTTATAGAAGAATTTTCCACAAAATTACGGCGGAAGTGAGTTGTGGCTATGCAGACATTTATATACATCTATATTGGTCATTAAACTTAGAGATACTCTTTCGAAATGACAGATTCTCAAGACGTACGATAAGTTGCAGCTCAGTTTTTTTCGCGGCATGAGTGAAAGACGCCTTCACCTTAGCCTTGGCTTGAGTTGACGTAAAAAAATGACCGGTGGAGTTGATACGATCTGGTGTTGTTGAGTTAAAATTCTACTTGGTCTTGAACTAACTTTGAAGCCAGGCTAACGATATATACAATACTCAAATCAACAGCGCCCAAGCTACCATGCATGCATGTCCGGCCGCCATAAAGATTAATTTTTTGCCTAGCTCAAAACAGTTATTCGTCTTACTCATTATTTTCACCGACAATATGAAAATTTGTGAAACATCAGTAAGTGAGTAAGTAAAATACACTAACCACATGCAATATTTCTCTATATGTAAACTATATGTTTTCATTTGCAAATTCGCTTCATACATCAATCGCCAATATGATGCATCTTTGAAGAATCTATGTCTAAGGCAACGATCATTTCGTGACAAATATACATGATAAATGTATATTCTTGCCATCATATGTACAAGTGTATTTATATACATATACAATATTTTATATATATTTATATATATATACAAGTAGGTGTAGTCTATAAAGACTATTTATAGCTATACTTTACTCTCTGCATGTCCATTATTTACAATAAAACATAAGCAACGGGTCTTCCCCCAGGATTAGGCCATGCAGGGCAGTTACAAGGAACAGCATACTGTCCTCCTGATGAATTGGGTCCTCCATTATGTGTATGCGTGTGTGTATGTGGTGCTGAGTTTGAATTGACTGGAGACGATGGAATTATAGCTGAATGATTCAGCCTTGACGGTGATGTCATGCTAGGATATATAGAGGGTGAATAGTAAGGAGATGTTGACAAAAGTTCTGGTCGAGCTGCTGCTATGTTCGTGTCATATGCAGCATATTGAGAAAAATTTGATTCAATTCTACTGTTAGTTGACGTTGTTGCCATGAATGACCTTGCTTTCATTGTTTGAGTGTATTCAGGCGACATAAAAGGTCTTCCAGAAGAAAGACTAAGTGTGGGATATTTGGTTAAAGGATCAAGGATAGGTTGAAACGGTAACGGAAATGCGTAACGGTCTTTCTTCAGCAATGATTTTGGTTTTCGTCGTGGTCTATATTTGTAATCAGGATGTTCCTTCATGTGAAGTGCTCGTAGTCGTCTAGCTTCCTCAATATGTGGCCGCTTATCTTCTTCTGTTAATTCTTTCCATAATTCTCCAAGTTGTTTTGAGATCTCTGAGTTATGCATCTTTGGATTCTCTTCCGCCATCTTTTTCCTCTCTGCACGGGACCAAACCATGAAAGCGTTCATCGGACGTTTAATATGGTTTTCTGGTTTCGAAGCCATTTTCAAATCTCTTTTCTTTATAGAATTGAGACCTAAAATAACTGACAATTTATGGATTCATTTCAACAATGGCAGGTTTTTCAGTAGGAAAATCGCTCATTTGTGTATGAACTAGTTAACAAATTATTTCCTCTGCATACTGTAATAGTATATTCCGTGAAGTATATGTATAGAGTTTTTGGCATAAAGGCAAATGAATTGTATCACCGTATGAACTATGCTATATAACAGTGGATATATTATTTATCATTTGCGAAAATGTTTTTCAGTTTTTATAGCAGAGGTTTATTGGCTCTCCTAAACCGACGGGGCTTAAGTCTTTATCAGTTTATTTTACATATCAAAAAGTCAGTTGTTTTACATTTAACAAATCCATGTTGTCATGAGGAATTTTCTCAGTTGTTGTTGATGCGTCCAGTGATAAGTTATTGGAGCATATGGCCGTATATAGAACTGAGTAGACTTGTTATTATGTGATAGATAGCGTATTTCACAAGCCAGCGTTGCTCATGTACGTGTGACATTTATACGAGGGCTAAATTTAGCTTTGCATGCTGCATGTGTTCAAATTGTGTGTTTTATTTTGCTAAAATATTTAGAGACTGCAAAGCACCAGTGGGGAAACTCTGAAGTTTACACAAGCACAATTTGAATTTGCATCATAGGCTTAGTTGGGTATTGTGTTTTTTATCTTCTTCAATTTATTGCACGTTTCGGCCGAAAGTTATCATTGCTGGCACTAGAATAAGAAAGAGTCTAATTGTCACGAACGTGATTTGACTTGATTTCAAATATAACAGTTTAAATTACAGTAAAGAAGACTTGTGTTATGTCTGTGCACGCTTGGCATTTTATCCCTTGAGTCACTGAGACCAACTTGAAGATTAAGAAGAATGCATGACTTGAAAAATTATTTCGCTTCAATAAATGCAGTGTCAGGTGACACAGCAACTGCGGTGAAACCAGTAGAAAATCCAGGGCCAAGCCCATGCAGTAACACTGTTATAGTAAGAGAGATATATTTGACGGCATTTACACATGTTCAGCCCCCGATTACCTTATTATACACACTATGTTTCCTCAAGGAACAATTACATAGACATAATAACAAACCAAACTTTTAAAATAAATTCAGTAAAGTTTACCTGGTTTTTCGCACGGAGTCAGTCAGCTTTTTGACAAGCACTTAAAGTTGTCGTACGGAAATATGATCTGTGTAAGCTTGTAATCCTTTCTTCTAGTCTTCCTGTCTTTCTATTAAAATAAATATGAAGTTTGAGTTGACCCGGCTGACTTTCTGTGTTTGCCGAGTGCCTCGTACAGTTGTCTGCCAAGCAATGATCTCTGCACTTGTGATCTACGCCGCTTCAGCGCATTAAATGAATGCCAGTCGGTGCTTTCGGCATAGATCAAAGTGAAAACCTGAAAACGTGATCAAATCAAATTCATGCATCGCACACAATGACAAATATTTTAATTTGCTAGGGGTGGGAGCCGTCCACCATTCTATTGCTGGCTAATTTTCGAGCAAAATAGACCCGAATCCGCGAATTGCCTAAAATAACAGCAAAGTCGTAATTGGAAATCTTTCGATCTTTTATGATCATCTATATTCATTCTTCAGGAATACGATATATTGCATTTTTACACCATTTCCAAAAATTAAAATGAATGCTTGAAGAAAGTAAGCAGTAGTGATAAAGTAGACCGATTTTGAGACATGCTTCGCTGCAAATACCGTAGGTTGTAGTTTGATTGGTCGAAAATTTAAGTGTAATAACAAATTGCACAAACATGAGTAAAGTGTTTACTACCGACAACATTATTACTTTTTGTTCAGTTTTTTGCTCATTGTTACACCACATTGTATTCACATGTCGTTACTAAAATCCCACAAGCCACAAAATAAATGATGTGAACAAATTGTATAGAAATAAGTAGACAATTTGTTTTGCTTGTTTAAACCACATTCAGCTAACATCTCAATGTAAAACTTCTCGGCGGCTCAGATCAATGAACCCGCCGTGGCGTTATATTAAACTAAAAGTAGCCAGGTTTTATTAACATATAATATATCAAATATTGTATATTAACATAAAGAACGGTTCGTATGTTATATTATTTTGTCTGTATATATATTGCTTGAACCGGACCGACAGTTGATCAATTATGAGAACTTAATTTTACATAACAATGCTTACAGTCCGCCAATGATATGCACTCCACTTCATGCAACATTTAGTTCTGTTCATTTGTTTTGCTTTGGTTCAAAGATCGCGATCTATCATGCACTTCCACCAGAGAACTTTAGTCTTTAGAGATGGCATCAATTTATATTGCTCTTGAATAAGAAATACATTTGTCTAGTCGGTAAATTAGTTTTAGTTTTTTTATTACCTTTGTTGCCCGTCGAGTGGAACATTGGTATCAAACTAAGAGAGAAGATAAAAAGACAAAACTGACGACAAGCTGTTTCCTGCATTTGAAAATAAACTTTTGTTTTGCTATCTCCCCGGGTAGGAAATGGGCGGAATTATTGAGCTGAAGACAATCATCATATACTACTTTTGGAGCATTTTATCCAAAGACGGCTTTAGATATGTCAGTCTCAATATTTTCCCAGATATCCTCGAATAAAGAAACTTCGAGAGAATACTAAAAATTTGATGTAGATATATTATTTGGAAAGTATAATTTTAGCTGTCATAACATTAAAATATATTGTGTAAACTAGGGGAACATATGCGATTCAGCAATTTACGTCCAACTGTTAAGTTTAATTCCTCAAAATAATTCCTTTATTTGCCTGTAAAATATATATACTTGGTTGTAAAAAAACACGGCTAGGCTATTTTTTAAAAGGGAATCGTCTGTAAATGCATGCGAGGGAAATTTAATATGTTTTAGAAAGATTTTACAATCTTTGCGGCGTATATACGAGAATATTTTTTACGCTAAATCGTGTATAGTGGCACTATACTATAGTGCCACATGCGCGCGGAGTATTAGAGAAAGCAAGTATATACTATATTTCCAGAATGAATCCGCATGTATAGGCGTAGCAATATATATGCTTCAAAAGAAATGGCTTAAATGATTATATAATTCTTATGGAAAGGAAATAATTATAACAAAAACGAATTCATATAAATACACCGTTTGATATGCATGTAAGGAGTATAATATACTCAGAACAATCAATATATCAATTTGTGAAAATGCTCCATCTATCTTGTGGACGATATTTATCCAATTCTCAGCGTTAAAAGGTTGCGTACTTTCACACTTGATAAAACGATAAGCATGCATGAAGATTGAACGTTTATATCCAATCCCATTTACATTTATGAACTCGTGATAATTTCAATGTCTATGCATGTGTGTCTAGGTATATATATATGTAGATCAAGCATGTGGTTGTCCTAATGGTTTTCATGATGTAAATGCTCAACAACAGCGTGGAAATTTTCTAAGTACAATGTTTGTGGCGGGAGTTAAGGAACAAAAACTCCATAGCAAAGCCAAAACTGTCAACGTATTGTAAGGTGTTAAGTGATTTCTTACGCGGTTCCGCCAAACAAATTAGCTTTTCTTTTAAAACTAAGCATTGCATTAAAAATTTATACCGAAAATTGAAGTGGGAACTATTTGAATTACTTCTGATAGCGATAAAAACAATAGCTTTGCCATAACTCTTAGAATATTGCCAACTGCGAAAGCGTCTTAGAAGGGATGTTAATTTTTTCAATCCCTTTTGGCAATACATGCATACACTAGAAACAGAATTCATATCCGATCCAGAAATTAAAGAAATTAACTACGAGATTCTTCCTGGATAAAGGAACATTGAAAAAGTATGCCGACAAACTGAAATGATTAGTGTAATGTAATGAAGTCAGCTTTAATAGTGTTTTCAAAACAGAGTTTTTTAATTGTTCCAGTTGCAGTTGTGAGCACCTGCAGGCAATGCGATATATATTTCGAACATATATAACGTCTGGTTGAAAATATAACAAAAGCAAGCACTGTATATATGGCGATCATTTGACAAATTTGTGTTAAATTTTAGTCGTCAAAAAGTTACCTGTATTTTTTATTGTTGCGGGCGTATCCTGCGTTGAAACACAAATGCATGCAGTCTTCGCCAAATAATTTTCAACCGCAAAAAAGTATTTTATATTCGCGCTTTTGAAAGCTCTTATCTCAGTTCGGAGACAATATTTAGAGCAAACAATATTTACTAATATATGAATAAAGATAAATATATTGATAAACATCATTCTTATTTAACCGACACTATTAAATGATCACAAAATATATATCCTCCACCTTAAATTTGTATCCCGATTATAGTTTCTCTTCCGTCGATTTCAGTTAAGATACCTAATGAGTTGATCGGGATGAATAGAAGGAGCATTACTACAATTCAAGCCTAAATCTTATTCGTGGTGTTATCTGGAACATAATTTAAATAACGTCTTTGCCCTCATTGTTGAAGAAAAAGTGCACGGACGTGCACAATATATAGCTTTATATGCCTTAATTTCTATTTTGTTATTTGACAATAGAATTTATACACCCGTTGTGGCAGTTCATGGCATTATTTAACAACTAAGACCATAATGCTTTGCCAGAATACTTGATGCCTAATCATCGTGTTACAAAAAAAAGTATGCTTTTCCAACGTACACACAGACGAATTTATCTCTGTAGATATGTCTTAGTTCTAGTGTTTGTTTTCTCATTTAAAACTCTGAGTTAGATAAAGAATCCTTAGTCTCGAATCTCGATGAATAAACATGCATCTATATAGCTAAGGTATCAAGGTATTATGGGATATAGTAAAGATAGTGAATAAGACCATAAGTTATAAGTAGTGAATCAGTCTATATATCAGTACTCTATTCTAGTTAAATGACGAATAAGGCCTTGCATGGTCTTAAACTTAAAAAACCTAATGTGTATCGGTCGGAAAATCGGCCGGGAAATCCATAATCCGGTTTTATGGATATTTTTGAGAAAATGAGGCAGGCGGATGCGACATATAATGAACATTTCTTTAATTTTTTCTGTATTTAAATTAATGCATATAAATGACGATTGAACATGGCACACACTCTTGTACCCAGAGACTGTGCCGGTGTAAGAAGGACACTGGGTACGAGAATAGCATTGAATGACATGTTATTGTTAATTTGTTATTGTTGGCCACGAGCAATCGGCTGGGACGAGGTCATTAAAATCTCGCATGTTTTTACCGGTTCCGAGTTAAAGGTCAATTTCTTCATTAGTTTGTCTCATCAAAATTTTTGTTATAACGAGTGCAATTGAACAGTTTGTCATAGCATATGGATATGGGAATAAAATGAACAGAAATGAGGTCATTGGGATTTTGACCTTGAATGGTGAACAACCTGCTAGTATAGTACGACCTGCTGGTGCCTCAAACTCAATATAGTTTTTTATTCACGATGCATGTGTTTACATGCAGGGTGCCCTGAAAAATGTTTCTTTTGCTGATTTGGTTTTAATGCATAATTACTACATACGCAGGTCCCATTTTTCGGGGCACTCTTTATAACATTCCCAGAATGCTGCAAATCACAAATAACCGTGCATATATAGAGCTCATTGTTTTCACAGCCCGCGAAACACCGCTGGCAGGTATGTACCGTGGATGCAGATTTGTGCGTGATCACCATGATCTATTGCCGACCAATGCGCATGGAAATGCGCACAGCCACAATGCGATGCGATGCTAAAGTTTGCTCTTTTAGGCTACTGGATAAAATCACCTTTAAATCGAAGCAAAACCTGACAAACAATATATTTCAAATACTCTTGAAATTACTGAATCTGAATGTACCATCGCAAATTGTCAATGGAATAATAGTTGAATTCTCGTTCCTTATTTTGTAGGCGTTTTGATGTAACCCATGTGTAAGTGATTTCCCAAATACTCCTCAAACACTGCATTTGTTTTCGCACGATTACCACGATAGTGAGGTCAGATGACATGATGTGGTGAAGACCACATGTAGTGAATTTAGATGAATTTATTAACGGTGCGCACACAACTGCGCACAACCACGATGCCCCTCGACCGTATATAGTGTATACGTACAACCTGGAAAAGTACAACTATTAAACTGCAGTCAAATATTTTCCTAATATAAACAAATACACCTCACGATCTCCTTGGCATTTTGAAGACACTTTTTGTCCATGATAATATAGGCAATTGAACAGCAAGAATAACGACTGAAATACAAAAACTGAACTAGCAACCATATATAGGATGTTGTGCTTGAGCCAGGGATCTCATAGTCATGAAAAAACTCTAAGATTATCTGTGGCGAGGCTAACACAAAATTTAGTATGAACAGCATTGAAAGTGTTTTTAATGTATATTCTCTCTTTCGCAGCAAAATGACGTTTCCTCCTGTCGATGATGAAGCTGTTGTATTTGATGACATAAAATTAAGTGTCCGTCGAATGATAATATTTAAACCAAGAGTGATGAGAAATTTAATAATGTACAAAGTTATTGTGTATGCCCGGTGCAATTTGTATGAAAACGAATTATGATCACAACCGCAGACCAACGTCTCTACTCCTGACTTTGGGGATTCATCTGCACACCTTTGCACTTCTTGATAGAATAACTGTGGAGTGTTACATGTCAATATAAGAAGCCACGTTATTACCATAATCTTCTTCCAGTGCTTTAAAATGGACCATCTTTGATAACATTTGACATGTTTAAGCCTGATTAACTCCTGAAGATGTAGGATCAGTAAAATGAATGCAACCTGTTGATAGCTGGCTTGTAAGATAAAGAAAGTAATCTTGCACGTGAATTGTCCAGTAGTCCAAGTTTGTAAGACGTTATCTATGGTTAGTACTGCAGAAAATGTCGCGATTACCTGAGTACATGCCATGTTGCAAATATACATATTACTAGGATTCAAACGCAGACTGGTCGGTTTGTTATCAGAGAATGTTGCCAATAGTAAAACATTGGCCAGTAGTCCAAATAATAGCACAGATAATAAGAGGAAGATGTAAGCCAAGGAATGATCATATCTGAAATGTACACACACCATTCTGTCTCGTTACTCATGAAGACTCTGCATGTGTTTACTATAAAGTATGAACGGTTCCTAAGAGAAACGTTGCATTTTTTTGTCTTCACTAATGGCCCTATAGTGTTTTTATAATAGCGATAACGAGGACTGGCAATACCATGCAAACAACAATGATAAAGACATCTTCTTTATGATAAAGTAGATAAAGTAGGGTATTAAGCGAGTTAATGATTTCTCTTCGTGCAACGGAATGCTCAGTTGATTAGCCAGTTTCGACTCTGTGATAAATGTAATATTTATTAGTAATATTGCTATAAAATGCAGGTATCTGAAATGCGTTTTAATTTTGTTTTTGTTAAAAGATTACTTTGTGAACAGAGCGGTTCAGAACTAGTTGCATAATTTTTTCCTGCATGTTTTGTTGCCCTTCATAACAAAAGTGTTCTCAGTCAGACTGACTGACTGCATGAGTCAGGTTTTGACTTTAGCATGAAATGTGAGATGTTACTGAATCTGTTGCAAACTGGATGGACACGGCTAAAAAGATCTGGTTGTTGCAATATTGATACTGAATAGAATTCAATCCCACTTCATCGTGACTCTATTTCACAGGATTTAGCAGTTGTGATTGTTAGTAAGCAGTTGATAACTTTCTCCGCGAAGCAGGTTGACCAAGCAGAGTGATAGTATATTAGTATCCCAAGTTATACCTGGCCGTATCTTGATCATTGGCGTTTTTGGACAGAATATCGTGAAAATGATATGTTGGACCTAAGGCAAGGCAAATAGTGCCCGCAAGTTGAACTAAGTTTTGACTTTTATAAAAGAGCTCTATGTATACCCTACGTGTTATATATCTTGCATCTAATCTATTGAGTGAACCATATCTTTGGATCTTGCGCAAACCAAAACAACGAAAGCGGACCCAATTAAACCCACTCGCCCGGGCTTCAGCGGTGGTGGTCTGGTGAACCGAGGGCCGAAACTGGACCGGTATATCATTTACTCATGCATACATACCGTGGGAAAAATAGAATTCAGTTGGTTTTCAAAAGAAATCAGTTGGTCATAAGATGAATATGCCCCCTCCCAGTTACGGCCCCTGAAGTCTACAGACCATGGCTTCGGCCTGTAATTTCTTTAGCTTGCTTTCGTGAGCATTTCTGCGTTTTGTTCACTGTTTTTGTTGTATATTAGAGAGAGGTGGCGCCTAATCCAGCAATGCCGTGGAATACCGCACATGTGCAGTCGATGGGTCCCAAAGTTTCATGTTAAGCTGCTTCCTATTTTTTTCAGGTTCAGGCTCCCGTTATGTTGTAGTCGGGCCCATCCAGGAGTTTCGTAGCTCACAAAGAAATAACGACAGGAACTAGCCGGTGTGAAATTCCGACTGTGATAACAGGAACTTCGACTGTGTTTTAACAGTGGAAACCGGGCGCAAATCTATGACGCGACAAATCAATACTCGGTTTCGCAGGTAGGGGGTAATATGTTCCCGGGAAACAACCCCCGGAAGTTTAAAGCCCTTCATTATTAAAGAAAATGGCGAGGTTTTGTCTGGAGTTGTGATGACTGATGACCATATTTGAACAAAATGTCTGATATAAAACCTGGTCGAATTCACAAGAAAGACAGAGACAGTATAAGTGGCTCACCAAATACGGCTGCTTTGAGAAAGATTATAACCACAGACGTAGATGTTCTGCAATTTAAGACTTTTCCGGTATGTTTTGCTATTAAAACTACTGTCAGCCTACTGACTACTGAGTACTGCAAAAGTGAAAAGTCCAGTTTATTATATGCTTGAGTTTTCTCCAGGGCTTTATTGTCATTCCATTAATTTCGAATGTTGAAATAATGCTACTAATATTTAAATCTGTCGCATTATGCGGCTATTATCTTAGATCAGTGATTGCCAATCTGAATTACGAGAACTCGCTCAACCGAGTCTCAGGTGACAATTTGATCAGAATTAAAAGTTGATGTGCTAAGTTTAGGAAGCCTTCGAAGTCATTTGTTTCGGACGTTTGGTTATTTGATTGTTTTTATAATATAGCGCCAGCAAAAGACCATCTTACAAACTTGTGTAAATAGTATGGGTCAATCTCGCTACGAAAATAAATAGACTGATACCCCACCGATTTCATTTTATTCGAATTGTAAATGCAACTTTTCCCAGGAATAATTTTTATTCTTTCAGGAACTTATTAAAGGTATTCAGCCAATTCAATACGAAAAGGAATTGGCTGCCAAAAAATTGCTAATAAATGGTGACCCACATCAAAACCTACTGAAAATACCCGAAGATAATTTGGTAAGTGTTAGGATTATCAGATTATGCTATATACATACATTTCAGGCTTTACTTTTTCGACTTGATTGGTTCGAGAGCTGTATTTAAAATCCTTAGCAACAACGTTTCGTAAAGGTTTCATATTTATTCCGTATTCAAATACTTGAATAGGCTTTGCTAATTGCACTAATGTATATGCAACTAATGCAAGCTGCTTGTTTTGAATCAGAATGGAACAACAATACCCTAGGCATCTTAACGTTTGCAAATGACGCATCATATTGTAACAATCAGAAGTCAAGATCGTTAATGAAAAATGTTCCTTCAAGTGTATTAAAAGTATCTGTAACATGGTGTAATCTGAGCCAAAAACACAAAAAATGTAAACAAAACTCCATCACATGTGACTTTCTCACCACTTATCTCCACTTTGTCAATAAAATGTGGTCAATGAAACCTAGTTGACAACTTTATGCATATTTGTCATTTTGTCATAATTAATATTTTATGATAAAGTCAAATATGATCATGGCTTTGTTTCATGTGATATGAGTACAGAATACTCTGTTTTAAGAATCTGGGAAATGGAAAATAGTGCTGTACAAGTAAGCTTAAAATCCAATGATTTACACAGTAGATATTCAGGAATGAATAAGGAATTATTATGTAAGCTTGTCTTTAGTTAGGATTTATCAAAACGATGAAAACAAAGCCTCAGACATGACTTAGACAAAACAGCATTACTCTGGTTTCCAAATCTTTTTCTGTTCAACATTAAAAAGTCTGTATTTTCTATTAGGTTGATTTTCAGAAAATTATAAGTAAAATAGGGAAATTATGTGTTGAAAAATTATGTATTCAGGCTTCAAAACTCTGTATATATGTAGAATATAAAATATAAATAATACAATGCTAATGGCAGAAAGGCTATCCTATATGTAGGCATTTTAGACTAAAGGTGATAAGAATATGCTAAAAGAGAAGGAATGCTAAACATGTAGGATATAGCAAAGCCAAATATTAAGAAATGATCAAACTAAAAAAGCTTCTGCCCCAATAATATGTGGGAAAGGAAATACAAGTACCCACAGGGGGAGAGAATGGAAGGAGAGGAAGAACACAGGTTACAAGTACATATTTGTTACCTGACCCATAAGTTCCTTAGCTGACCCCTCTCAACCAAATAAAAACAGCATTTGATCGTTGCCAGCTGTAATACATGTTTGAATATTCGGCCATGTTTTCTAGACATGAAGCTCTAGACAGCTCTTATTTTATTTATTCAGAGCAAATGCTAGAAACATTTAAGTATGTGAAAAAACACACTACAGTATAGTTACCTGTGTTTTTCAGTTTTTCCTGAAAATTGTCAAGGCTGCAGTGAAACTTTTTGTCATAGTTGAAAAGTTCAGGAGTTTTAAAAAATAAATTTTGGTGAAACATATACACTTGTTGCATAGAACTGTGTGCCGACTTAGGTGACCATCAAAATAAACATTTTAATATTTTTTTATTAGGTAGTGAATATTCCTCTTGACATTCGAACAGAATATAGCAGTGTTCCAAGAACTGCCAAATCTGAAGCACAGCGTTTATTTGTGAAAGAGGTAAGTATTGCATGTTGGCATATATAATAGTATCCTGTATTTTTTATATTTTTGGCAATTCAAAGTTCTGAGATTGATGATTCACAAAGAGAACTTGCAAATTGTGCAGTGGGAAGGGTGCGATGGGAGGGGTGCGATGGGAGGTGTGCAGTGGGTGCGATGGGAGGGGTGCAATGGGAAGGGTGTGGTGGCCCTCTAGACTGTTATATAGCTAATAAATAAGTTAATTTTCATGTCACAATTTGAGAAATGTTTCATCAGCTATTAAACTTCTGAGAATTTTGTGTACATTCAATAAGGATCTACCTAGTATGACTTATTTTGAAAATTGGTTTCTAAAGACTATAGTTCATTCACATAGCATCCATAAAATGGATTAAGAGCCTAAAATACTGATGTACAATTTCTAAGTTTTAAATCTCCAGAAATATAATTTTTTCCTGGGAATACGCTGACAAGCGATGGACCAAAATACGATATTATTATAATCATTATAAACGCATTAACAACCACATGGAATCGCCAATGTTTAAACCAAACCATTCTCATTGGAATGTCATAGACGTGAATTTGGATTGACACTGACACCATGTTGAATAAAAAATCCGTAGCCAAACCTATTGCTGTTCTGATTAAAGAACTTTTAATAATAGGCCACGGTGCAGTGTCAAAGTTCATGACAAGATAACATGATAAATATGCTTGAACTAAGATAATTGTGGTGTACTCGAATAAGATATTCTGAATTTCAAGATCTGCATTGAGTCGGCGAATACGCGGTGAGTTCTGAGGTTTCACCTCTAGTCTTGGCTGACAGCAAGTCTTGTTGAGACATTTATAAATGAAAAACTTCCACATTTTTATACGAAGACCAAGCGTTGCCTTACTGAGAACATTTGAGACACCGTGTAAAAGTGACAAACCAACGAAAAGCCATATATTTTCAAAATCTGACTGCATCGTTCGGTAGAGCACGATCGAGGCCCCGCGTAGAAAATAGCACAATACAAAAGCACGATCAGGTGTAATAATCTCCGAGCTCTTTCTCAGAATTATGAACTTTGCAGTGGCGGTTATAGGCAAAATTAACCCTGGTGTTCCTGCGGCGATAATGGCTTTTTGAATCTTGCTTTCTGTTTTCTTGAAGTATTTATTAATAAAAAATGCGTAGACATAAGCAATTAAACATGAAGCCAGGAAAGCAAACGAAAGAATGAAAAAAATATGGAACAAACTGTAAGATGTTTCCGGGTTGTTTTTCTTGAATTTCCAAGCAACTAGACCAGCACCACAGAGAATTGAGAAGACAAATAAGGCATATACAGGCAACCTGAAAATAATTATAATTTATTTAAGGCCTATACCTAGTTCAAACGTCGCTCTCTTCATGCCCCAAAACTCTTTTCATGCGACCAAAGACCGTCGTAAGACCGTCGTAGGACCGTCGTAGGACCGTCGTTAGAGCGGCGTAATCATGCAAACGTAGATCTAAATCAGTCTCCCTAAAAGAAAGTTTTTTTCGAAAAATGTTGCAAATTAATTGCAAAGAAACGATTGCTGTTGGAGTTTAGTGCATCTGGATCACCTACTTTGACAAACGTTCAAGAAAACATCTCGTGTTTCTAGAGCGACAGAGCGCCCTGCAATGTACTTCTGATCTTGGTTTATCTTTAAAACGCCATTACTGAAAATCTGAACTGCGCATGATCAGATGATTTATTCGCTAATTACGTTCGACGCATGAGAAGAGGAGCACCTGATTAAGAAGAATTGGATAGTCAGTCTATAGTTTTAACCATTGTTTTTACTTACCTATTTAAATTGATTTCGGATACTGTGAATCTTTTGGTATCAATCATCAGAATTCTATAAACACAGCTTATCGACCCTATCACTACCTGACAGACCAGTAAACCAGATAAGTAGTTCTTTTTGAATTCTCTGAAACCCCATAACATGACTATACATGCCGGAAACCAAGCAAATAGCGGAAATAATTGAAGAGACATTCCAACCATTTTCAAGATTCGTATATTTTCAGGTATTCTGTATTGATAGCGTATCCACTCAATACAAGAATCGGTAGTATTGAAATCCACAAAAACAAGTCCAATTACGAGTATGCCTAATATAAACACCACCGCAATTAAACCAATATTTGCTTCAAGGCTTCGTTTGAATGATTCGCAGAGGTTTCTACGATTAGATTGTTCTTTAGTTTGCCATGCAACAAACGCATCTTCATAATATGGTGTCTCGGCTTCGGGTTCTTCCTCGTACTCAAGATGTATTAAACCATCGCAAACTTCGTCATTCTCTTCATACCTGTCTTCAAAAATCAATCTCATTTGTCCTTCATGTTCTCGTGAAATTGGCGGTGTTGGTGTTGCCAAACTCGAGCAGAGCGATAGGATACCGCCTACTAGTTCCTCCAGAATCATTATTGAAACCAAGTGCTTCACTGCAGTATCCGTCTTCAAGACAATTTCAATTCTATTCAATATCTGTTTTTATGTTATAACTTAATTTATTTCTCTTTCGCTCTTTCACACGTGCTGGACCGTAGCTCTATTTGAAATTAAACTTTTCCTTTCCTTTGTCGGAAAAAGCACAGCACGCAAATCCTAGGAAGCTACAAAAACACCAGATTCTCCCAATTACTGGCTTGCGGCTTACAACACTCGTCGAAATATTCGTCGAAATGACATTTGTTCTACTAAAATTTTGCATTTGCTTGTAATACGCCCAATCAAACATTAATTAAATATTAAATTAAATATGTAGGCTGGATACACCTAATAAAAAACTTCACTTTTACAATCAAATACAAATACAACGGAGGTCGGTCCTGGAACGCAAAAATCACCCCACATTCCTAACACGGATATTTTGTCCGGTGTTTTGTTCCCAGAACAAGTCTATGGATTATGAAATATATTTCGTTTCCATTTCTAGTGCATAAAGACGTACACATCAAACTGGCAGACAATTGAAAATAAATATTCCCAATATAGTGGCAGCTACAACCAGTTATACAAGTAATTATTTTACAGTTTAATGATATTTCTATTGTTGGTTTGTTTCCTTTCTTTCCTCTTCGCCTCAGCTTGATGGCGGAATATACTATTGTTGATTAGGATCCTTATAAATATTTAAAAATTTTCTTGTTTACATATTAAATACATCGTGCATGCATGCATGGTACGCATTGCCTATTCTGTAACTTAAATAGATATTGCCGGTGAGTTCCAGTGTGAAATACAGAGTTTTTACTGCAGACTTATATACACCTTCTATAGCAAAGAGGGATCTATATGTCTTATGTCTAGCTGTAGCGCCAACCTCGTACCAGGGTCTTTTGCCTATGCTCCACGGCGGGATTTCTTCAACAGATTTAAATAAACAGCTACAGCTGTATTAGTCGGCACTTTATGTCATTTTTTAAAATTTTTCAGAGATGTTGATCTTACTGTACTTTTGGAGCAGAAGTTTGAAATTGATCTGGATTCAGAAGAAGGCACAAATGTCACCGTATGTCTGTTTTACGAAATACATGTGTACTGGGCATTTTTCTCTCGCATTGTCCGCTCGTCCAAAGGTGTTTCAGATCTTTCTGGTAGCAGTATTGTACTTCTGATGTTTCTTGATTGGTATTTTGAAATTTGCAGGAATTGTACATGTCTCCTCGTAAGGAGGTTGGCTTGGCAAAACATGGCTACCTAAACAAAGCTCCCTTTCATAGCGAAAGTGATGGTCTCTTTAGTGGCAAGGTAGATACTAATATTATAATAAACTTTGATATGCATGGCATAATTAAGAAGTACTAATGAGTGAATCCTATTAGAAATCATAATTTTTAATAGCATTATAAGTGAGATGTAACATCACTGACAACTAAAAATTAGAAATTAAACGCGTGGATATACATATCAAGGACGTATGCTATAGAATATAATCCTATATCTTGTGTTTAGACATTCAAAAGGCGATGGTTCTCTTTAAAAGAAATTTCTAATGATGGTTCATATGTCCTGGAGTATAGGAAGGTATGTATTATGTTATTGTTAAATGCAAAAATTTTGTATCCATATATGTTTGTTCATTACTCTCTTTACGTATACCACTGATAACACAAAATCTGTCGTATTATGTACACAGGATGACAACCCGAACTCCACTGCGAAAGGATCTATATACCTTGATGCATGCACGGAAATCACGAGGGTGCGTGAATATGTAAATTATCTGTGTTTATTTCCTGGATGTGGAGTAATGGTAGTTGATTTATGCTTTAGTTCTATTTTAACAGGGCGTCCGGGGTAAGATGCATGGTTTTGAGATACGTATTCAGGACAAAATATACAGCCTTGTTGCGGACACACAATCTGAAATGGAGTCATGGCTAAGCGTACTCTGTAAAGTTACTGGTATAGATATGGCCACAGGAAAATCAAAATCAGCTTCTTCTGGGGGATGGTTTAGTGGAAAGAATAAAGTATTAAAAAACACGAATTTTCGTGAAAGTTTGAAACAAAGTAAACATCCAGAGTTGATGGAGTTTGCCCGGGAAACTGATCAGGTGAACGCCAAACGCCGTCAGGAGGGGAGAAATAAGATATTTTCGTTAAGTTCGTTATCTCCTAATGTGAATGAAACTACGGAAGAAACTAAGCAGATTAGATTACCTTACGAGAGATTTGGTAAAAGATTTCTAGTGCATTGTGGTGATCTGAAATTTCGATTATCGCGCAGTTTTGATAGTTCTTCTTCAGTGAATATTGAACCATTCTTCATAACCTTGGCTTTATTTGATGTGAAAGAAAATAAGAAAATCTCTGAGGATTTTCATTGTGACGTTAATGACACAATTGTTTCACAGATGTTGCCTTCTCCTGAGAATGTATCTAATGGTAGTAATGGCGTGAATGAACATCATTTTTCTTTTCCTAAGAAAGCAATATTTTCGGTAACATACCCACACCCTGACGTATATCTTGTGTTGAGAATTGAGAAAGTTCTTCAAGGTGGAATAACCAGTTGTACAGAACCATATATGAAATCAGGTGATGCTTTGAAGAAAGGGGCGACGAAAGCTTACCGTAGTGCGGAAATAGCATGCCAGACATTATCGAAATATAGGATGCCGTTTGCACTTGCAACAAGGTAAGAAATATACCAACCTGATACTTCATGTCACACCCATCGTGGACACCCCCGACGATTATTAGAATGTATCACACCAAACAAACCAAATCAAACTGTAGTTAGAAAGATATGACGAATGTCCATGATGTCAAGGTTTGCAGTGGATTGTATTCGTCGTCATATTTTGCGGGGGAGGTTCAATCTTTTATATCTTGGACAACACATACCTTTGCTATACCGTTATATCATCGTTTTCCGCCCCTAGACCATTATTCAAAAACAATCAAGGTGACTTGGATGAAGAAAAAGAATGGTCACCAGTTTATAAACAGGTATTTTTTCAAATGAGGGGTTGCAGCAATCATATTGGTAGGCCTGTAGACGCAAGAAACAGACTAAAGGTCTTCACCTAGAAATTATGTAGTACGTTTGTTCGAGAAAGATATATCTGCTTGTATCGTGCTTCATCTTTTTATAATTGGTTATTTTACCAGGATAGTGGCAAACTAAGTGACGATGAATTACTGAAATTATTAGAAGATATGGCTGGGTAGGTTTCAAATTGTTATGAATATGATCAATTCCAAAAAACCTTTAATTCTCCTTTAATTTTGTTCCTTGGTCAAATTTCTAGGAAAGAGAAATTTAAGCAACAAATTATTCCAGCAACGATCAAAATTGATGTGACGTCTTTGCCTAAAGAACTTCAAAGTAATGATTGAACTCGTTTCAATTTCCTTTTGGAACAGTTGTCTTATCACATCGCTATATCATATTCCCATTTCTATAGATTCTATGACGTCATCATTATTACCAGTGCGACCATTCAATGATAAGATAAAAATTGAACCAACACTGGAAGTCCAGGAGTTTGTTCCCGTCATTCCAGACGCCGTTCATCCGCATATGGTCTACACTAACAACTTCTACGTCTATCCACTGATGTTGAATTTTAATAATCAGAAAGTTTATTCCAAGGTATTTATACAATTCTACAAAAAAATTTTTCTGAATGAAGGCGCCATTTCTTAGTCACTATTACTGTATAATGCCATACATGTTTAATTGGTTATTTGCATTTTAATTTTGCCATAGGCAAGGAATATCGCTGTCACAGTGGAGTTCAAGGAATATGACAGTCTTGGTTCTTCGCCATTAAAGGTACTGCATTTAAGGTCGTGAAGGCTTCGTTGTTTACAAAATGCTTTCTCTACTGGTGCGGAAAAAATACTAATTATATATCCCCTAACGAAAGAAATCTGTGAGTGTTAATGGATAACACTCCTTGTTCTTTCTAGTGTATTTACAACCGGAGTGGATGTGTAGTTCCGTCTTTCACGAAAGCTGCAAACACTACGGTTCTTCATCATTGCACGAATCCAACATTTTATGACGAGGTTTGTATTTTGTCCAAATCACTCCTATCTTAGCTTTCAAATAATCATTATACATCGATGGATGATTTGATTAAAGTTGAAAAAGTAGAATGTTTTGCCCTTTTTTGCCAGATCAAGATTTGTTTACCAGTTCATGTTCACGAGAAACATCATCTGTTCTTCAAATTTCATCACGTAAGTTGTGAACAGAAGAAGGCAGCAAGTGGATCAAATGCGTCTGTAAGGGGAAAGGCTGCTGTGGAGTCTGAAGGTATAGTACGTCATGTAAAGTTGCGTGTATTGAGGAGGCGCATGCATGCAGAAGATGTGATTATTGCGGGCAGTAATTTCCGTCATTTTTTATTTAGTTGGATACGCCTGGTTGCCTCTTCTTAAAGATGGCAGGTATGACTAGTAATGCAGTTTGTAAGACCCCAATCCAGATATTTCTAAAATATTTTATGAGAGTCTTGTTCATTATAAGTGTAGAACGTTTTTCTATTATATCTGTTTCTGTTTACATACTTTCCGTTTTTAATTTAAACGGAGTTAATTAATATCTTATAGGGTTGCACATTCAGAATTAAGCATTCCTGTGGCAACTTTAGCTCCTGATGGATATTTGAATTCCCGTGTTGGCGGATTAGGAAAGGTACGATCACAAAATCACATTTATTTCATTTTTTTCTTTTCTCGTAGCAGATCTGCTCTGACAGATTTGCTCTTGCCAGCTTTAGGCGTTGTCTAATAATGCTATGGCTTCGTGAATCTAGTTTGATAAGCTTTTATAACTCTTGATATTTTGTATATTGATTGAAATGTAGAATATTGGGCCGGATGTAAAATGGCTGGATGGTGGTAAGCCACTTCTGAAAATCTCGACTAAAGTTGTCTCCACTGTTCATACACAGGTACACACTTTAATAACACTTTACAGTCCCTCCAAATTTCTTAGGCAATATATACATGTAGTTTTAATGCACGCTGTGGGCATGTGACTGGTTGTGACTGTAGTCCTCTATTGCACTTTGCTCTTTGTTTTCTACAAACGTTTTGTCCTATACTAAAATTGTTGAAATGTAAGAATGGTAATCATCAAAAGCACAAAAACTCTAGATTCTTAAATAATAAAGATTCTATGTCAGTATCTGTGTCATTTTATTGAAGGATGTGCAGATAGACAGCTTGTTTCGTCATTTACAAGAATCGGATGGAACACCGGCCAGTGAACGAGAAACCTCGAACCTGTTAAAGGTTAGGTTGAGGCAAAACATTCTCCTAAAACATCAAAATTTGTCTGAAACAAATACTCATCAACCGCGGAATCTTCTTTTAATATCAAGTGTTGTTGGGATATTCCGAATACGTGATGGATTGCGTATTTACGACAAGTTCTTATTTCGAGTCTTTATTTTTTAGCTTCTCTTTGCTGCTGATAACAGTTTAATTATTGAATATCTTCCAACGATATTAAATCAACTTTTCCATGTCCTGATTGTTACAAAACTTAGTGAAGTGACCAAGAACACTGTCAGGTAACAATTATTATATTAGTTTATGTACCAGTTTTAGTCTCACAGAAAAGATTAGATGCATGGAATTTGCGATACTAGAGGGTGCAACCCATCTCAACTTGAATTTTATTTTTTAGAGTTTTAGTGAGATTTGTATCGCAGCTTCATGATGTGAACCGTAGTGATGTCCTGCATTCCTATGTCAAGGTAGGTAGGAACTTTCACCCAAACTGTAATACTTTCAATAATTGGAACCGAACAGTGGAAAGAAACTTTAGCTGTACAAAGTAATAAGACCATGCAATCGATGTATGACTAGTATATATACTGCGTGTATATATACTAGTCATACATCGATTGCATGGTCTTATTACTTTGTACAGCTAAAGTTTCTTTCCACTGTTCGGTTCCAATTATTCGGTATCACCATAGAGACAATAAGTAATAGAATGAATTCAGTAAAATAATTTTCCATTGTGTTTCAGTATTCGTTTGTAACTGACCAGTTATCTGGTTTTGACAAAACTGTTTACGAGGAACTAACCAAAGGGCTGTTGGAATTTTTGAAACCCGGAGCAGATTCAACGATAACTTCAAGTTTTTTAAAAGTATGTATACTGCATGTACCTTTTTGTTCAGTCCATTTAACTGCGAGGGTAACAGTTAAATTAAGAGCTTGCATCAACTTTGCTCTCATATTCTTATTTCCAGCATGCCTGGTGGTTTTTTGAAGTAATACTGAAAAGCATGGGAAGCGAACTAATTCAAAATGGAAAACTGCAGGTCAGAGCTGTTTACGTTATCGCCGTGTGTCTCTCTTGTTAAATTCCGGCGACGTGTTATACAACTATAGGAAGCGAAAGCTACGTATGCTTCTTGAGAGAAGTAAACCACTTTCTCCAGAATGTAGTTGCATGTATTTTCCTCCTTTTTCGTAGAGTAACCGTGAAACCAGATACAGCAAGTTATTTTATGAGAGTCTGGAACATCTACTACAACTTTTCGTACCACAAATCTTACGACGGTTGAAGGATGAAGCAAATGTTGCCAAGGTATTGTTCAAATAATGTATATTCAATAATTGTATCCATCCTGTTTTGAGTTTGGTGATACTGAAGTTTGTTAATGCCCAATTTCTAAATTTATTTGATTTTTTAGGAAGCAAACATACACATGGCATATTTTGTAAAGGTACCTAAGTCGTATTGTAATACAGCAATCGCATTTCGTGTTGGCAATGCCCGAAATGTGGATAATATAACTGTGAGATTAATTTGTGAGATTTCTCAAATAAACTCAAATTCTATTTTATTATTTTAGGGTTGTTTTACTTACATAGACCGTGGGTTTGTTTTCCAAATGATATCATACTACAATGAACAATTTAAAGACGCCGACACTCAGGTAACACTCTAATTTCTGCTGATGACATGCATTCGCATATGTTGCACATGCATGCTCCGTGATTAAATAAAGAAAATGTTTTGTTTCAGATGATGGAATTTAGGTTTGATTTTCTGAAAATAATATGCCAACATGAGCATTATATTCCGCTTAATTTACCATTGGATTGTCGTGCACTTGGTGATCTGTACGACTTTGAGCTCACAGATAGCTACTGTAAAAATCACTTTTTATGTGGAATGCTTCTTCGTCAGGTAAATATATATGGTATTTGTTGCTCAGTATTTATAAAGTATTTATTACACATTGCTTTCGCTAAATTCAACCACGTGATCTCGTGAAAACGACTCCACTTGTTTATTGTTTCATTTGAGGAACAGCTGGTAATTGGATTTCCTACCATTTTACCCCCATGATATAAATAAAGTCATTTAAAATAAGAGTATGCTTTTGTTCTGCTGTGTTGTTCATTGTTGTGCTGAGGTGTATAATGTTAATTCAATTCTGCGTTTATGTTATAATTTTTGTTATTTTTTTAAGGTCAGTCAAGCTCTCGTAGGAGGAAGGCATATTCGTAAAATGTCTATTCGAATACTTCGGGATTTATTAATCAAACATGAATTGGATGATCGATATTCTGAAAAGGTTGATAATTGTTTTGCATTACATTTGAGGATAACAAGAATCTTTTTATTGTGTATTTACCACCAAACGGTGCTCTGCATTGTATAGGAGAGACAATCTCGTATAGCGGCACTCTATCTTCCATTTCTTACCATCACACTGGAACACGCTGGTAGGTTCCCTGGCAGTCATCATTCTGAGAAAACCTGGTCATCGTCACAAACGATGCTTGCATCGAATGATCAAAATACAGACGGTACCTCAGGGTCTGATTCATATCCTCCAAGTATCTCCTCACGAACCACAACGATTGCCTCGTTGTCTGAAGCTGCCAGCAGAATCAATGCTCAGGTTCCGTTTGATGACGAGGAAACAAAAGATTTGGTCCTCTGTGTGTTGTATATTGTAAAGAATTTGGAACAAAGTGAGTACAGTTTGTTGGTTTAATTAAAAGTTTATTCATTTCATTGATTCATTACCTAGTCATTAGTCATATTGAATGCAAACTTGGTGCGTTTCATTCCATCATCAACAGTATTCTTTCTTTTACGACGAAATATAGCTATTGTTCTGGATTGGTTCAAGCAGATCTCGAGCTCAAATTCAAAATTAAATTCCTGGAACACCCCATTCAGTACTATACGACCTCAACAGGACAAGTTGTTATCAAAATTTTCGTCTGTTATTGACTTCTTTGATTTGCTCCAGTAAGTTAATTAATTAATTAACGAACACATTCATTTTTAAGGGGGATTTATTCATTTGCCAGAACGTCAGTGCGATCTATCCAGTCATATATCGTCTCTCCGCCATTTTGAATATCGTTGCCTGGCGAAAATACAGCAATGCGATGGCGAATTTTTCGTGAATAACGTTGAACACAGTATAGTTTAGTATATTAGACAAGGGGATAATTATTTTAATCTCTTTTGATATAATTTTTTAGACTTAGTGTGAAACATCTTCAATATCGAGGGAAGGCCAGGTAAGAGGCAGTCACTATTAATACTGTACTCTGAGTATTTTTAAATACTCAAACTGTTTGTCACGGCTTCCCTATTCTCGTAGTGTAACGTTTGAAATTCATAATGAATAGATCTCTCGTCCGGAAAACCTGAATTTCCGCTACTTACTTATTTCTGATACGGCGAACTCGTCAGAGTTGAATTGAAAGGATTATACTGCTTGGGGTTTGATATAAACCTGGTAAAAAATTGTTGTCGCAGTTAAACAAATATAAGCGATTATCGTGCATATTTAAGGCTTGCCCCCAGAGGCAAAGGCAACTTAGAAAGGAATTTTTACTTTTATTCTTAGTTCTCCAAAGCAAGCCACCAAATCGTATTTGGAGCAAAAATATCAGGATAATATTCGTCCAACTCGTGCCTCGTTGAAAAGCCAAAATCAAGCTGGTACGTTTGTGAACCGTTCAGTTGACAAATCATCAACATCTTTTCTCTCCAAAACTTCGTCAAAGCGCGGACATTTTTATTCAAGGTCTATAACTTGTTTTCCAGTGTCATATGTTGATTCTCAAATTCGAGTTCTAATGGAAGGAAATTTTGCAAACGAGCTTGGCCTTGTTGTTCTGGATTTGGTCGAGCTATTTTCCTCTCACTTTCGGGTAAATATGGTCTATTCTATCTCTGGTAGTTACGTGTCGAAATCTTTGAACTAACTTATTCTATTTCGCGCAGTTTCACATGGAAAAAGACGAGGGAAACAATGTCTTGATGAGTAAGGTACTGTATGTTCTTGTGTACAAAATTGAAGATCGGTATACATGCAGTAGATTGGAAACTAAGGAATTTTAAGCAATCCAAGAAGTTTGGAGTTCAAACGCATCAGGTATCATCATTGTATCATCATTGTAATTTACTTCGTGTAACTGTTTTTCAGGTTTTTGGTGTTCTTTTGACATTCCTGCAAGTGGGTCAATCTGACATAATGCTAAAACATGTGTTTGCTAGTCTGAGATCATTTATCCACAAGGTATTTTCGTCGTTTCTTAATTGTTCTAATTCGTGCTTATCGCTTTCTAACTGCATGCACCATTTTGGAAATTAAGAAGCTTTTGTGTTTTGCTTTAATTTTACTAATATTCTGTTTCACTTTTTTTATCAGTTTCCAACGGCTCTATTTAAAGGAGCGGGAGATCACTGTGGTCGTCTTATATACGAGGTACCCGTGGCCGTTTTATGTTAATATTTCTTGAGTTTTGCTCTCGTTCATGGGGCGGACTGATCAGTCGGGTTCCAGACGTTTCTGTGGTGGCACGTCCACCCCGCTCTCGTCAATAACTTGCTTTAAGATTTGATGAATCAAATTTGGTTATGTTTTGCAGGTTCTACGATGTTGCAGTTGTAAGCTAGAAATGGTTCGGCATCAGGTATTATATCGAAATAATTGGATCATTTTATATTAAAGGCTTTTCTTACGAATTCTTCTTCGAAAATAATGTTGCGTGGTGCGTCTATACATATGAACATACCACGCCATTTTCACGTCATTTTTAACGTTCACGTCCTCATGCAAAATCTGCCTAATATTTGTTATTTCGCTGCTTTAGTTACTCATTTCACTCTGCATGTATATCATATATGTTGTTGCATGTACAATCGATCTTCAGTGGAAAACAGGCTTATGTTTATTATTGTTTTCAGGCTCACTCACTGCTGTATTTATTAATGAGAAGTAATTATGAATATAGTGGTGGGGCTGGTTGCATTCGAGTACATCTGCAGGTGAAGGTTTAGCTTTTCTGTCAAATTTAGAAATACTGTCTTTAATCCTTTTTGATTCTCATTAATTGTTTTATTTTAGGTTTTAGTCGCTGTCTCAAAGTTGATTGCTTTGGGCCAAGATAGTTCTTCAATGAGCAGATCATTAATTGCTTTGAGGAATTATGTGAATGGCGATAAAGCATTAGAGGTAAGTCATGTGATGCAGCAATCACTTGACTCAGCCGCGAACATCTCCACTGTTTATCATTGAGTTTGGTTATGGGCCTTAATTGTTCAAGACGTGGGAGACTTTAACGAAAAAGGTCTATAACTGTAATGTTAATATGCTAAAGGTGTAGGCAGATATGTAGGTGTGTGGCCAGTCATGCAGGCCCCGTAGCATGATTTCCCGCTTCAGCATATTATCCATCGTCAATATCATATCAAGATGCAGCGAAATTTGTTGTCAAAATATCACAACACCTAAAATATATTAATTTTAAGAGACCAGTCGCAGTACTTCATAATTTGCCTTTTTCTTTCCTGTAGTTCACGTCACTTAATATTGAAGTAAAAGATCTCATCAAGAAAGTTCACACCGTGCTTCAGGCTACATCTCGAATGAAGGTCTCGAAGAAAATTTCACATATAAGACTTCTTTTTCCAGCTTGTAATATTTCCATCCAGAATTGTAAATGAATGTTGCTTTAGCCAATTAAGACAGCGCAATCTTTGGGGATTGTGCACAACCGTATTTTTTCTTTGTAAAATACAGCTGCTGCCAGTGTTGAAAAAGATTACCTCATGAATGTTATGCTTCTTTGTTCAGGAATATGGCGACAATGTGGAAATGTTAGTGGATCTGCAATACAGTTTAGCCAAGTCATATTCGAGCACACCAGAGCTTCGCAAAACCTGGCTGGAAAATATGGCTGCAATACATGAACAACATAACAATTATTCAGAGGTAAGGTATAGTGTATTTGAAATTTTAATTTTATTGCGATACTCAACAAAATCATGGGTTACATGACGATATACTGGCAAACGTTTGAGTATTTTGGTATTATAATGTTTTAAAATATTCTAAAAAGTTTTTTTTTTCACATTTACTGTTAAGGCTGCCCATTGTCACATTCATGCCGCTGCTTTGGTTGCAGAATATTTAAAACGAAAAGGTGAATGCAAAGATTTGTGAATCTTCAGAATATAATGAGACAATTGTAAATAATTGTATCCCATTTCTTACTGGAACACTTCACTCACTGCCAGCTCATTTGTAAATCTTTAAGGATCGTATCCTGAAGGATGTGAAGCATTTCGTAATGTCTCACCAAACATTGTACCAGACGAAAGTGTGATGAAAAATGATGAAGGATTGGTGAATGAACAAAGATATGCCACTGTAAGTTACCCCAAGATAGCCCTCATCGGCTATATATATTACCCGTAGACCTCCAGACCCAGACCCGTAGACCTCCAGACCCGTAGGCCTCCAGAATAAGTAACCCCAAAACTGAACCTCTAGACAACAATAATGAGTAGCCCTAAGAGAGCTCTGCACTAGAGAGCCATCTTTTTGTGCCAAATATGCACAGATGTGCTTGCAAGAGAATGATATATTAACTAGGGTATCTTTTTTTGCAGAACAATCTTGTTGAACTGTTAGAGAGAAGTGCAGATCTTCTTGCCCAGGCGGAACGTTATGAAGTCACTGGTGAAATATATAAACTGGTTATCCCTGTTTATGAACAGGACAGAAATTTTAACGTAAGTTTGAATGATATGAAAATCTTTATATTTTTGTTTAATAATTCGTTCTCGATCAAGATCATCATGCATTCATTTTTTTTTTATTTCGCCTGTTAGAAAGAATTTGGACGAACGGTAGACCTTAAATTTACTCCTTCTTTAGGCATTGTCAATTGCTTACAACAACTTGTCTCAAGCATATTCTAAAGTTGTGGCGGCAATGGCGTCTCGTAAAAGATTGCTTGGATCTTACTTTCGAGTGGCGTTCTTCGGAGAGGTGAGTCTGGAATAAAATGTGGTTTTAAACCGACGATGCGGACGTTAAACGACAGCGTGAGAATTGTGCAGAATTCCTGTTTAACCTACGTTGTTTTGAGCGTTTGAAAAACTTCAAAGTTCCGAGGATTTCTTGTAATCAATTGATTAAAAGACTAATGTCACCAAAGATGGCGACTATACTTAATTTTTTTTGACTCAACCGTTCTTAGAACATTTGCTGATAATTAAACAATTGCGATGTTGCAGGAGTTTGGTTTGGACAATCGAAAGCAGTTTATCTACAAAGAACCGAAAGTGACAAGTTTAAGTGAAATTTCATCAAGATTGGAGAAACTTTATAGCGCCAAGCTTGGAAGTGGTAAAGTAAAACTTATCCTGGAATCTGCTAAGGTAATTTATTATTCATTTAATATCAGAAATGTTATATAGCGAGATCTTCTCTACTCTCGCCAACACTGTGGCTACATCCTCGATATTTTTTCGCTCGTTGACATTCGATGACGTGACATTCAAAAAATATGGGAGAATTATTGATTAAGCAATGGATAGAAATTTGTATAAACTGTTAAATGCTTTGTGTCTATCTTAAGGTCAACGTTGAGAAGTTAGAAAGTGGGGTTAATTATATTCAGGTAATGACGTATAGAGCATCTTATGTAGCGAGTGACTGAGACAACTGTGAAGATTTTGTAGAAGTTCTATGTTTAGTGACACTAGAAATGGCATGCAATAATCTTTAAAATGAGTACAAACGAAAGGAATTTAAATCACCTACACGACACACTGAGAGGCCAATTTATGTTGGCTCGAAAATTTGAGGAAGAATAAACGCGTATATTCTTAATTCCGTCGTAGATAACATTCGTGGTGCAGTATTTTGAAGATGATGAGTTAAACGAGCGACCAACTGTGTTTGAGAGAAATAACAACATTCGACGATTTTCATTTGAAACCCCGTTCACTAAAACTGGCAAAAGTCATGGATCCCTCGTGGAACAACTCAAACGAAAGACAATATTGACGAGTAAGAATTTCGCCTAGTGTTACATGAAACATGAGTGCGTTGTAATATCTTTGACATGTGCATTCATTTCACCCACAGCATCTCACTGCTTTCCATACGTCAAAACACGAATCTTGGTCGTTCAAGAAGAACAATATGAACTTACTCCGATAGAGGTCAGTAAAGTGCATGTTAACATATTGTAACAAGTTCATTTATACAGAGTGATAGATAGCCGCCTTTACCTGGAATGAAGTGGCTTACATGTTAAGTTAAGTTTAGCAATTACGGTACTGATGGCTTAGATTATCTTAAAAGGTTGCGATTGATGAAATGCACAAGAAAGTTCAGGAAATAACAGAAGTGACGATTTCGATCCCTCCTGATATGAAGAAATTACAACTGAAACTTCAAGGAAGTGTTGGCACTCAGGTATGTAATGTATGCTAGAAAAACGAAATAACCCATTTATTTATAGATTTTTCATAAATGCATGCTAACTAAATTGTGTTCTAATTAATTCTAATTACTATTTAAGGTAAATGCTGGTCCTTTAGCATATGCTAAGGCTTTCCTTCATGAAAATGTAGTTCGTGATCATCCTCCAAAACTTGTCTCGAAGCTTAAAGTTGTTTACAGGTAAATATCAAGGGGGTTGTTTACATGCGTGATGGGTTTCTATGCAAATTTAGCTGCCTTAAAAAATGCATTTTCTATGCTTTTTAAATAGTTATTCTTTTCCATTAGAGATTTTATTCGCTGTTGCGGTGCGGCTCTGGATTTGAATGACCAGCTTATTCAAGCTGACCAAAAAATGTACCAAGAAGATTTGAAAGACAAATACTCCTCTATGAGACATGAGTTGGCTTCATATATTGATTTAGTAAGTTGTCAAGAACTGTAATGTTTCTTCACCTAATTATATGCATTAAAAACGTACTGCAATCTGATTGGTTAAAGGCGTTTTATGGTAATAATTTTGGTAGCCAATTTTTCCATAATACAATACCTAAGACATTAATTATAAAGTGCTAGCACTCGACAGCATAAAAATTTGTTTTAATTTTTTTAATAAATATAAAATGTCTTGTCTGTATTGTAGAACCTGGCTTCCTCAAGTTGTAGTCTGTCTTCTATTGGTTCTTCCAAAGCCTAGTGTCATGTGAAGATAAGTTCATTAATAGCTAGTACATCTCATATGATATAATTAAATTACAGTGTCTGGATACACAAAAATTACCAAGTTGCCGTTTTTTTAGACGTCACGTTTAGTTGGCCTCGAATGCAATGAAGACAGTAGATGAGATGATAAGGCCATGCATATTAACCCTTTTTATTATATCTTTATCCACTGTCCATAGTTGTATTCGATGCATCGGGGATCGACGTCTATAAAACAGGTGCATGCAAGTGAGCCAGAGATGGTTTTCATATATCATAATAAATTTTCAGATTATACAGTCTTACTGATACATGAATAGATGACTTTACTTATCTGAAAATAGCTGGGACTTTGGTCGTCAGTGTCAGCCAAAAAGTGTTCCTTAAAAATGAATATTGAATTCCGGCCAGAGACTTTCATACAAGACAATTAGGAATTTTGTTGTTAATTTTTCTTTGTAAATCTTCAAAGTACGCTGAAAAATTTTGTTTTCTGTTTGTTTATCGTATCTGAATTCTGTAACAGCTTGATGAAAACACAGAATCTCTAAAATATCTTGTATGAAAGTTTTCTCAGTTCCAGACACTGCTTATTTCTCAACCTTTGATGCTTGGCTGTTAGCGTTACTGAATGCTTATTCCCCCCCCCCCAAAAGTATATTTGTTTATCAATTCTTATTTATTTGATTCTAAATCTTTACCAAAATTGTGTTATAGTTTTAATTTCTATACCTGACATTAGGTAAATCAATCTTGTTAATCCAGAAATTTTAATTGAACAATAGTATTTTAGATAAATAATTAATAAATGCTAACTATAACTAGCTAGGTTTGTTAGTCAAAATAAGAAGGGTTTTTTTACATAAGAAAATATATTGTATTTTGCAACCCGTATGCATGACATATGGGTAATATATAGCTATAATTTGTGGCGCACTCCAACGAAATTTATTTCTTGACGTGAAACATGTAACATCGTCGGTCTACCAACAATGCATTGCAGGCGTCACATATAATTAAAGAAAACACCCAACAAAAATGAATCTTAACAAGCAGAATAAGTTGTGTCTCTGGTTCGGGTGTCATCGATTACCGCCTGGAACACCTCGTTCTTTTCGTTAATACTTAGCTGCACTTACGATATTTTCTTATGTATATGTAAACCAAAATTTGTTAATATTTAATATTAAATATAAATAATGTAATACACCTAATGTTAAATTTATTATAAATTTTGCACATTGAATGATAGTCGTTACGTAGCTGACCATTCTATAGAAAAGGTCGTAACTATATAGCGCGATAATTCTTTATATAATTCTATATACAGTATAACTAGCTCGATAATTCAATTTTATATGGTACCATAGTATGGTGATGTTTTTACAGCAATTAAACAGTGTTTCCATATCATACATACAACCATGATATACATCGACAGTTCGTTAACTGCGAACCTATAGAGTCTAGCAATCATCACAACGGAAATGTATTTCGTGGTAGCAGAATACAATTTTATATTGTCTTAATTTATCCAGAGAAACAGGTTTTCGGACAAACTCGCTGGTTACCTGTCGTATATCTCCATGACCGCTTCTTAAATGTTTTGACGGCTAAAACAAAACAATGAAACAACCTGTTACAACTTAAACGTCTAGTGAGATCAAGAGAACATAAATCTTCCTAAGCCGCCGTAAATATTTAAGAGAAGAAGGACGATGTTATTTCAAATGCTGCCTTGACTAATTTGTCAAGTCTTGTTTTCTTGACTTCAGCCTCTTGTTAACTTTAAATGTTGTTATTTTCACTGGAAACTTGATTGTAAATCTCAAGAATGATCTCTTTTAAGAAGAACGGAACTCTGGGTGGTCTTTTTGTCATAGTGGTTATTTTAGTGTTGTTTGAAACTGCAGTTGCTGCAAATGCTAAAGGTAAAATGTGTACTGAACTATTTCTTCTACAGCAGTGCTCCGCGTTTCACAAAAATATAAAATTGTATCTCTTGTTTGTAACGTGGATATTGCGAGCAGGTATTCATATTGGAAGACCACAATGCATTGCAATCTCATTATCAATATACGGTTGCAATATATATACCCGGAAACTGGACTGTTGCATGCACAATGACATTTTTAGATTTTATTTGCCCCTCATGCATGCTGTTAAAATTTTGAATTTATCGAAATGTTTTTCTTCATTAAAAGTTTTGGGTTTTGCTAAGCAAATCTGGTTTCTTTTTATTTATATCTAAATTTTACTGCATTTTATTTCCAGTTTTTCATCACAAACCGAAGATTGCAGATGAGCAACATCCCACATGCAAGACATCTGACATGTTACACAGCGATATCGTTACAAATGGAATCTTGCATAGAAAACGTGCTAATTTTACTTTTCTTGGTCCTGTTCAAAATATGAAAGAATGCCTGGGCCTCTGCTGTATGGATAAAAAATGTGAACTAGCTTATCTTGTGAACAATACAAAATGTTTTTCAACACAATGTGAAGATTCTGAAAACTGTAAAATCGAAAACAACGAAAAGAAAGGTCGATCTAACGATGTTCAAATGTCATTGATGGTTAGAAACGATGAAAATAGGAAAGGTATTTGACAATTTTGATATTTTAAAACAACCCATGCATAATTCTTCTATGGCGTGGTAAATTGAACCGCACATATTTTAGAGAAATTTCAACTCGATAACAATAATTCCTATACATTTTAAAACCGCAGTGGCATAGTTGATGGGGGTCGCTCTCTCCAAAATATACTTCCCATGAGCTATATTTGGGTAAAATTATTATTTTTGAGAGCATGCAAGAATATCAAAATACAATCGCAAAACGTTTCTTTCTGGAGAGTAGGATACTGAAAATCTGAAACTGAATGATTTTAGTTTACGTCACTGCCTACGTCATCATGGCGATGGCGATGTTTGGCGCTGCACTTTCTGGGACTGTCTGGATTGCATATGTATTTGTCAAGAAGTAAGTAGAAAAAACACGTAAACTATGCATTAATTATAGTGTTGGAAGATGTAAGTCATGGGAAAGCAATTAAAATGGAAAGGCGAATAAATATTCATTAAATTGAGAAAAAAAATCAACCGAAGGAATACGTCAGTAGATTAACTGCACGTGTTTGTCCTTCAAATCCCACAGATTTGAATTGTGGTAGCTAGATCTTGCTTCGAATTCAAAGCTTTTCGTTTAAATGACTTCAGATACAGAGAAAAGAAAGAGGACGATGAAGAACGAGAAAAGCTGTCGAAAGAACCACAGGTAACTAATCATGATTCTTGCCTATTTAAGCCACTGGCACTGAACTAAATATCGAAGCTGTATACACTTTGGCCCTGCGCGGTGTAGGATTGAAACAAAGAAGTACAAACATGAAATAGATATAGAAAACATAATTATTCAAACTGGATTTTGGGTTACGGCGGGTTAACTGTGAATCTTAGCCATGTATTATTGTATGTATACGTCATGTGATGTCTGGGCTTTTTGCCTACTGAATATAAATCCTATTTCTATATTTTAGGTGTACTAAAAAGACAACTGCTTATAAAGAGTCAACAGAATTTAATAATTGAATAAGAATTTGTACGCTATATAGCTATTGTACCTGTTCTTAACCGTTAACAACTAAAATATAACCGTAGCTCCTCATGCAGTAAAACTGTCATTTCTTGAATCATAAAACTAAAAACGTTCAGAAAGAATAAAACATATATAAATATAAATTGTTAACAAATTAGACATACGTTTAATGCGTAAAAATGTGAGCAAGTTGAATTCACAAGTTAAGCATATCGTGCTTGTGGTTTGGAGAACGTACCACTTTAGTTTTTGAAATAAAAGCTGAGATCTTAACTTTTAGTATTATAATTGCTTGTGTGGTACCACAGACCTCTTGATTTGAACGACTGACAATTGCAACTGATTCTATGATGTTGAAAATTTTGAAAACTCATCTGTTTGAGTGGTGATAATGCAGTATATAGGCTTATACATGCCAAGAAGCTAGTGAATCACTTGTAGAATATACGACAACGCTAAATGCTACTTTGTGCAATTGCTCTATTTAGTCATGTCTTATAAAGGTTAAACAAAACTCACATTGCATGTCAAATCTGGCGTGCTACAATCTCATTGTTTTGCATGCATGCCTAGCTGCCATTGCCTGGTACGCATGCGTATAGTGCCCGTTATATCACACAGGGTACTGAATTTATCAATGTTAGAAAAAAGGATTATTTTTTATCAAAATGAATACGTCGTGATTCTATTAAAAATCAAGATTATAAAATGCAAACTCGAATCCGGAACGGAACGAAGCATTCCAGTTAAAAAGATAGTATTTTGTGCAAGCGGTAACTTCTGCCAACAAAGTTTAGTATGTGAGCAGTCTAGCGCCGCTAGGAGGGGAAGGGGGGATGTGTTCAATTGAGCAGTCAGCAGGAGAGGAAGGGGGAGTTGGTTTTCAGATTTGACCAAATTCGGTAAAAAGAGGAAGGTTAACACTTTTAAAGTTTATCCAAAAGTAAAAGTTCTGATTATTTATGCTGCAGGATTTGCCCCTAAAATAGAATTCCTGACGGGACCACTTTATGTCAGAGAAAGAGAAAGCTGTTGCAGTGTAAAGGGAGAATCCCGTTCAGTGCAAAATGCTGCGCGATCGATTGATTTCGATGTGTTCAGTTCAGCTGATGTTATTAGGATTATTTCGCTTGATTGTCTCTACTTCCCAAGCAATTGAAATTCACCCTAAGGATCCAGAAGTCGGAACAAAACTGACAAACAAATTGTAGTAATAAAACGCTTAGCAGGATTATTGCAAGAATGAGTTTGAGTTCAGTTAAAAGAACTTAGAGAATTAAATTAATTGAAACTTTAAAAGTAGATTTGATTATAATCGAACAGCTTACCTAAATAAAACTATAAGGGAAAAAACCTAGACCACAGCTAACGATCAAAGTCTCAAACATTAGAGAAAAATATCCTACAGAAAATTTACTTTCAATCGTAGATTGATTATCTTTAGTTCATACTTGATACAATCTTTGTCATAGAAAGGAAACGTACATAAATACATGTCTCCTCAATGTGGCAGTATTATAACTCATGATTTGGTCATTATTCTTCACGGTTGGTCACATGCTTACATATATACTGGTAAGGTAATTACCCGGAACCCCTTTTTATATTCTTTTTTGTTCCCTATATTCAAAACAGAAAAGGAATGGTACGTTTTTATAGTGTTGTTACCACGTTTTATAGTTTTATTGCCATGTGCCTGAAAACAATTTCGGGAAAAATTAGGAGATTTGGTTTGATAATTCTGTGCTGATAGCAGCCGCATAAAGCGTTTCCTGGTACCAGCAATCGCATACTTCCAACTTTAAGCTCCGTCGATCAAGGCATCAAATCTGCTTGTTTGTGATTAATCATTGGTTTGTGAAATGACATATTTCTTTTCACGCTCAACTGAACGAGATTTTGACATGAATCGCTTAATTTAACCTTGTTATCGAAAAATGCCAAGACGTAATTTTAAAATAATTTGACACATTTTTAAACGACAAGAATAAATAGCATCAAATATTCCTGCTTTCAAACTTTATAGCGCCTTGAAATTGCAAGAAGGCAGCAATGATGATATCATTCCTGATTTATCAAGGGTGACACAATCTTGTTTATGCTTCCCGAGTTAAATACCATGATTTCCTGCTAATAACTTGGTAATATGTCGAAGTTCAACAGAAATTTTGACTTTTGACGTTCAATTGTGATCAATATTATAATAAGGTGTGATATTTTTGACATTCGCGTGTTTAGCTTCAATTGGTACCTGGACAAGGATGTAAAAATTCAAGGCGGCATAATTTGGATACTTCTCGTACACAGACGAATTAGTTTGTTTTGAATTCAAAAAGTATTTCTTCATGAGATCTCATAGCTACAATTTCTTATTTACTTTGCTTATTTATTATGGCACCGTTTTTGGTAAGTTTATATATGCAAACTCAGTATAACATAATCATTTTACTTTTTATATTAATGCCAGACGCCTGATATCGCTTCATTCGCTTGATGGCTTCGTCTATAGTTGCCCCGAGAATCCGTCATTTGATGCAGTTACACAATTATAATCTAAGCAATTGTCCAATTCGACTTATTTTGTACATTTTATGCGCCAAGCCGCCAGCCTAAAAGTAAACTGACTATGAAGAAGTCGACATACTCAAGCATGATCAGTCTTGTTGTAATGTTCACAAGAACCAGTGAACAACGAACATAAATAACTTCTGTTGTTGTTATTCACATGTTGATAGTAGAATATGTTATTGCATGTAGTAGAATATAGTCATTAATCTCACCTCATTCATTAAAACCTTAGCGTATAAGGCAATCTTCCGTTTTTCTTCACTGAATAGTTCAAAATCTGACACTGTCATTCTTAGCTACTTTGAAGAGGTTCTAATGATTTCTAGAGCCCCAATGTTATGTTATAGTTACCTTACCCACGCAATGCAGTTCCGAGGGCATTTGCGGAGAGGTTCTCGTGGTGAAACACGACGTATTTCAAAGTTGCTCACAATATTTTTGTTTAAGGTGTACCATTGTTTAATACTTCAAACACAAGTGACAAGACACAAAATAGATCATTTTCAATGCGAAAATATACGACGTCAGAAAAACCTAGAAATATTACTTCGGACGGCAACGTTACGAATGAGTTACCACAAAAAAATAATCTTCTGGAGCGGAAGGATCTTCAAAGTCTCTATCATGAGGCGTATTTGCTTTTGAAAGACGTGATAAAAACTAGAAAACTGAACAACAATGCTTCAAGCATTGACGTAGATACCAAGAGAGATCCAAAGCTAAAGGAAGTTCGTAGAATAAACAAAACATCCTCATCAAGACAAACATTTCTAGGACAATCACCTCTTCCACCGTATAAAACAAGACAGGGGAGTTTTTCTACAGCTGTTACGAACAGTAGTGTTACAGCCACGCTTAATGCAAGTAAACTACTAAATTATTTAAATTCAACTAAAAACCAACAAGACGATTACTTCAGAATTTCCACAGCAGATCAAGCAGAGTATGTTTCAGCATTATTGGGCATAACGACAAAACTGAATAACACAACTCTTGGGGCTAATGAAGGGACGTCGGTAGATCGGATAAAATTATTTCCAAGAAACAATACTCGATGGGAGAACAGAAAAGGTTTATTGGCGAATAACACAAAAGATGGCGGTTTTCCAGATAACATAATGACAACAAGTGCTAATGTTGGCAATTCAGCAAAACAGAAAACTTCTGGTCAAGCTTTTGAGGAATTAAAACTTGTTTTAAAATCTTCAGACAATAAAAACGAGTCAAGAATAAGAAACGCAAATACAGATCAAAAAGTTCAAAACACTCTCGGCTCTGCTGATGATTCAAAGAAACTCAGAGTAAATAATACTTCAGTAAACCGGAATTCAAGCAAACCGCAATTACAGGCAAATCGGACCAAAAATGTATCCACGATTTCAAGTTCATCGGGTAAGCACCCGTCAAGTAATATATTTTGTACTCTCTCTACCATGCAAATCAATGCGTAACGTTTTTTACCCTGTGTGTTAACGTGACGACTTAACTCGAAAAGACTTCATATCACGTCATTACAAACCTTGTTATATTTTATTTAGACCAGTATAGTCTTCTAACGCAAGAAATAGTCGTAGAAATTGGAAAAAAACGAGATGAAAGTCCGGATGACACTTGTTATGTTGGCGATGTTAAGTACAATCAAACATTGAAATTTGGTCTAAACGCAGGAAAATTCTTGGAGGAAGGAAAGGCAAAGACAATAGATGATTGTATTTATCAATGTTGTTCAAGAAAAAGTTGTGATGTTGCTTTTATGTTGAAAGAAAGTTGTTTTCTCGTGAAGTGTCACAACAAAACATTGTGTGAATCACGAGAAGCCAAATCACTCAGTTACCATCCGAGGTTGGCTCGTGTCTTTCGTCGTAGACATGGTTTGTATCTAATTTCATATCGAACCTTCCTTAACTACTCTGCCTCCATCGCTCAATAATCCCGTTCTTCATTGAAAGAAATGTTGCCTTATGTGTAGCTACATGTAAATAGTTGCATCTTCCATCACTTGCGACAGTAAGTTTTAGTACATTGAAAATATGAATTCACATGCAGACGAGGCTGGTCAGCAGGCTACACCATGGGCGCCTGATTCTGCTTATGCGTAGTCTCACTAATCTTTCATATACATATTCTGACATGGTTTATGACTTTATGTAGCGTGAATGTCAGGGTTTATATTGTCACTATTTGATATTCAATGGACAATACCTCAATTTCAGCATATAGTATTTTATTCATCTTCTGTCCAGATATGTGTAATGTTTCGTAAAAGTCGTGAAGCACACATTAAACTTTAAAATAAACTAGAGGTTATATTTTGCAGGATATGACCAAGCCCATACTAAAGGCCGAGAGAATCAGAGCCTAAAAAGATACTGCAGTTACAGCAAACTGATTCAGAATAAGACATTACACGGAGGCATTGCCGCTGGATTCTTTTCTTCACATGGTGTTGTTAAAACCTTGAAGGAATGTGCGAAATATTGTTGTGATGAAGAACAATGTGATGTGACATACATGGTAGACGACATTTGTTACTCAGTTCAGTGTAAAGATGAAGAGTCGTGCAAGCCTGTGGAAATAACGCATCCTAAGACGAAAGTGTCACTCGCTTTTGTCTCTAGAGGATTCGGGCAACCAGTGAAACCAACCATAGGTATATCTATTTTGCTTTTTTCAGAAACAAATCTAAGGCCAGATATTTAGAGCCTCCAGGGGCCGGTTCTACAAAAACTGAATAGCTCGAGCTCTGGGTAACTTCAGATCCGGTTACTGAATAAAACAGTTTTGATCACGTTAACTTTTTTCTGCTTTCTAAAACATGAATTTTGTCCAGATTTAGGTAAAATAAAATCACTAACTTACACAGAAGGAGAACAACCAGAACAAGTGTCCTGGTTCTGTAAGGCGAGTAATGTAAGCAAAGTATTCACTAATGTTAATCTTCTGGGAGGATTGCGAGCAGGAAAATTCACGGACAAAGGAGCTGTATCGAGCTACCATCAGTGCGCGGGATATTGTTGTCAAGATAAACATTGCAATGTTGCTATGACTTTAGGAAATAATTGTTTCTTAGTTGCATGTAAAACCTACACAGCTTGCCTGCCGCGGAAAGCAAAGGATGTACATTCTCAGGTGGTTTATGTCAACTGGAAAACACCTTCTGAGAAAGTTCGAATCAAAGGTTTGTAAATATTTCAAATCTAGCTTTATGAAAATGTAGTAATGCTTATATATAATAAAAAGACTAGCTGAATTTGTCCTTATTTCAATACGAAATTTCCAGGCAAGATTTTGTACAAAGATCTAGGATGTTGGCATGAAGATGAAAAATTGCAAAGTTTGATGTCATTAGAGGGAACAGATGATCTTCTGCAAGGCTCTTACAAATCAAGAAGAAATAAAATAACGAAATGCGCCATGGCAGCAAGGAAGAGAAATTTCAAAGGTTTAAACATATAGCGATCTCTTTATAGCTACATTCCGAGTTTGTGTTTTTTCTACCGTCCGAAACATGCATGCTAAGAAACAATGTTTTCGCAACAATATGAATATTTCATAAATGCATGTTTGATATATTTTCAGTATTTGCTCTTCACAATGGCGGCGAATGCCGAAGCGGTCAAAGTGAGGGGAAAACGTATCAAGCACATGGAAAGTCGCGCAGTTGTCATGAGGGTGTTGGAAATTACGTGTCCAATCATGTTTATCATGTAAAGGAAAACGGTAAGTGAGCATCGGCCAGCCTGTGCCCCAGTTCATGCCTGATAAGTCAGTAATGTTGGAAAAATATATCGCAGCTAAACATCCGAAAATGAAGAAATACAAATTAATCTATGATCAAATATAACCTCGTCGAAAAACGTATATTGATTCATTATTGTTGCGAGGACAAGATGTAAGATTTCCATGCACATACAGTTTTTATAAAATGTAAAAGTTTAAAACTTTAATATCAAATTTTATCCCAACCATCAATACTCTGCCAAAGTTTCATTTATTAAAAGCAAATGATTTTTGTCCTGCACGATCAGACGAACGAGATCACAAAAACTAGAACTCTAAAAAGAAGCGATGCTCCGTAAACTACTGATGCAGTAGCAATCATCTCAACAATCACCACTATTGCATTGTTTAAGTTGACCGGCAAAGTTGTGTTATTTAAAGATGATTCTGTTTGCTATTTACTATATCAGGAACTGTAGTCGATCATGGTTGTTGGAAAGCAATTCAAAAAGAAGAAAATTTTGTAACGTTGGAATCAACTGATGGACGAATCAAAGAAAAATATAAAGAACGAAATAACTCATTATTAAAATGTGCTGAGGCAGCCATTTCTCAAGGACACGCGTTGTTTGCTTTACGAGACGGAGGACAATGTTTAGCTGGGAATTCGGAAACTACATCATACAAGAAAAATGGCGTGTCAAAGTTGTGTGTGGATGGCATGGGGTCTGATTCTTCAAAAAGTGTTTACCAAATCATTGGTAAGTGTTGTTAAATTGTTGGAGTTATACTCGCATTGGACTCAACTATGCTACCAACAACCCCAACAACTGCTACACTTATCACAACATTATTATCTCTCCTAATTATCAGGAACGACTCAATTAACCTTACAACAGCATAAAGAGAAACCATTTCTGGCGAGAAAAAGCAAAGAACGTCTACAGGCCTTCCCAAGCTCTGAAACTGAGTTAAAATTCCACTCGGCAAAGTTGTTCTACAAATACAGCTCTCCGCAATCTCGTGTGTTCATTCATGGCCTAAAAGCTGGGCATTTTACAAATCAAGGAGAAGTAAATGATATAACGGAATGTATACTTCACTGTGGTCGACAACCAGACTGTTCTGTAGCGTTCATGGTTCGTAATCGTTGTTTAACTGTCAAGTGTTACAGCAAGAAATCCTGTGACACCATACCTGCAGTGAATTCTAGATATAATCCTCAACTATCCGTCATAACACGCTTAGCATCATCGATGTCATCATACAAAGGTGAGTGTCTCGTTATAGCTGTTTCTGGAAATTGTAACATAATAATCGTATCGAAGGAAGGTGTATAATTTGTTCCAGGATCGGGCGCATTTGAAAACAACGCAAGGTCACTTGAGATATCACATTATCCAGGCAGCAGCTTCTAACCCCCCCCCCTCCTCCTCTGTTGCGCTAGATCCAATAGCAATAGAAAACCTTTTAACATGGTGTAGAAGGAATTATATTTTGCAGCAGACTAAATTTACCGACCACGCTCTTTTTTTCTAAAAAAAGTTTTCATTAATTTCCTAAGGCAAAGAGAAACCTAACGTTGACGAGACCAGACCATTTTCAACTCAATCAAATCATCAACGGAAAGTAAACAAAAGCAGCGCGTTGAAGGAAAACATTATCTTGAAATCAACGAAAGACTCAAATCGAACTCGCTACAAACACAGCTCTCCACAATCTCGCGTGTTTACACGTGGTATTGATGCTGGAAATTTCACTCATCACGAAGAAGTAAACAATATGCCTGACTGTATAGAATATTGTGGTCAGCAGCTTGAATGTTCTGCAGCGTTCATGGTCCGTCATTTTTGTTTCACAGTCGCATGTTACAACAAGGAATCATGTGATACTGCACCAGCAGTGCATTCTGGGTTTAATCCGAGGCTATCGTTCATAACACATTTGACGTCATCCCAACCAGGTTGGTATGTGCAGTACAGCAGCAATACCACTTGAGTCTACCATCTAGGAAAAAAAGATAAAAGTAAAGCATAAAAATTATTATTTCTATTCTTATTCAACAATCGTTAGATTGATTGGGCTCTAGGGTTACAGCTAATAGCAATAAAAACCTCCGACAAGGGCATTCCGTAGCCATTCTCAGCCTTTCTTGCTTTTCAGAGAATTGTAATATGCAATTTTGTAAAGAGTAATGCAAATTTTTGGATATAGAATTGTCTTCTTGATAAAGTGCTCAACAAATTGAAGTGTCCACAATCTGAAAGTGCTCAACGTTTCCAAGTTTTCTTTGTTGTATGCTAACTGTTGTGTACCAATTGTATGCATAGAACCAGTTTTGTTAAGACGATGCGAAACAAGCAAGATCTACGAAAATGTGACATTGTTTGGCGGAATTCACGCCGGAAATTTTACAGACTTTGGCGAGAAAGACAACATGAGTCACTGCATTAGTTTTTGCTGTGAACAAAAACATTGTGATGTTGCATTTATGTTGGGAAAGGATTGTTATGGAGTTCAGTGCAAAACAAAACATTTATGTGGAACTACGCCAGCGAAGCATGTGAGGAAATATCGACCACGCTTGGCCTATATGAGTCCTAAAATGGAAAATAATACTGCAGGTAATTCTGTTTTGAAAGTTTACCATGGTGCATGATTGTGCAGTTCATTGAACCTCGTGTGGGAAAAACATTGGATCGCATTTATCAGCACATTGTACCGTAACGACAATGATAAATCTTTTTGTTCGTTTATTTATTCAGTAGTTTTATAAGCGCAACTACGACGTTATGTTTATTTCATATTCACAGACGCACGTTCGCTGTCTTCATGTTGGAATGGTGAAACATTAGTGAACTACACATTGACAGGCGGAATTGACGCAGGAATATTTTATTCCAATGGTAACACGGAATCAATGAGTACATGTATGAAATATTGTTGTGAACAACATGACTGTGATCTCGCCTTTCGCATCGATCAAGGATGTTATACGGTTCATTGCAATGATCTGGATCATTGTCATGCAAGGAAAGCAAGAAAAACTCGTTTTGTTCCACAAATAGCTTTTAAAAGACCACAACTGGCGATAGACGAGTGTGAGTGGCTTTGTCTTTTCAATTAAGCTTAACTGAATTTCTTGAATCAAAAATTACGCGACTGGTAACAAATTCAATTATATTTGTACTTGCAAACGAGAACATACACGAGAAGTCACAATCACTACAGGATTTGTTATTAGACTTATTTTACGATATATTCAACCTAGTCAATATTATGATTGATACTGTATCATAAAAATATCGAATATTTTTTTTGTTTTACAGCCAAACAGAATCGTAGATCTGATGCATCGCATGGATCGTGTCAAATTGGAGAAACACACTTTAACACCACACTAAAGATGGGTATGCATTCTGGGAAATTCAAGAATTTGGGTCAAGTCGACAATATGGAGGATTGCATTGAAATGTGCTGTAAAGAAAAAGATATTGACGCTGCGTTCATGTTGGGAAAGCTTTGTTACTCTGTGAAATGTTATAATTCTGATTTATGTCAGACACGACCAGCCTTTATATCCAGCATTGATATGCTCAATGCTTATCCAGCCGTATCATTCATTCATAACAACGATAACAACGATGACAGCAAAGGTAACAAACTAATGTATACTTTGACATATCAATAAATTTGAATCAACATTCCTAAACAACCATCCTATATAACAAATATCTTTTTCAACTTTAGATTACACACGCAGTGAAATTGAAAGAAGATGTGTGGTTGCATCAATTAAAAAAAATACAACTTTGATTGGCCAACTACATGGAGGTGAAGGTATATTTTCTTCTTTTTCTGCCGCAAATAGAAACTACTCTTCCTATCATGCGTGATGCGTCCATAATCAAACTTGTCTTTCACCATTATCATTCCACTGATCTCTATCATTTGGAACTCGTTCGTTTTATCTTATGTGTCTAAGTTTCCAGACATCGTGGCCTTTCTTGGAGGGATATGAGAAACCATACACTATAAATTATGTCACCAAGTTTACCATGTCTTTAATGAAGCTAGACCCTGCATGCATGGGTCGGTAAGCCTTATTGTCTCCTCAGTCTTCCAAATCTGACATGTGAGAGAGCGATCAAAACCATCAAGAGAGATTAATGATTCGAAGGTTTACTGCAATTTACCAGTAATTTTTCACGAGATAGTTTCTTTTAAGTCATTAATTTTCTCTTCTTATAGGAACATTTAGTGATAACGGAGAGAGAAGTAATATTCAAGACTGTGTATCAGCATGCTGCAATACCCCACTATGTGACGCTGCTCTGATTCAAGGCAAAAGATGTTTTTCAGTTCAATGTTCAAATAACAAGACGGCATGTCAAGAGGTTCGCGCAGACTCGTTGAACACTACGTCAACATTAGCTTACATTGCCAGATATGAAGATTCTGGACATACACAAGGTAGGTTAGTCAATCTTTAAAAACGGTAAGACCATTGCAAAATGATATATGTAATAAACTAAATTCTAAGTTACTACTCCTTTACTTTAAATTCAATGACTCGCACAACGTTTGATACTATTAGTAGTTTTATGCATTCTATAAACCTAAATAAACAACTTTACTATTATTTTGCAGAACTTGAGCTATCGACATCCACGAGTCAATGTCCACTGGAAAGTCTTAACGAGTTTCATGTTTATAGAAACAAAACTCTTCTTGGTGGGTTTGAGACAGGAAACTACACATTTCTCGGAAGAACAAAGTAAGTTAAATGATCGGATACAAAAACACCGCCATAAAATATCTTATTTGAAGTACGCAAGGAACGAGAAAACCATAACAAGCTAGCTGCCTGAACAACTGACGCAACTGCTGATGTTCGTGACTTAATCTGACCAAAGATGCAACATTTTCAAACTACTGCACAGAATGCAATGTCCCGACCGCAATGGCACAGTATACAAATTATGCATGGAACACAACTGAAGTTGTTGAGGAGTTACAACCTTCCATGGTTATTTCTTGACAGAAATATGAGGCAGTGTGTCCAGAAGTGTTGCAGTCTGGGTAAATGTGATGTTGCTTACTCTATTGATGACAATTGCTATGGAGTTGAATGTTTTTCCGAGAATTTATGTAATGTGGATGATAAAATACCGGAGACAACCAGCACACAAATATCCTTGATGAAAGACATCAAACTAAAACAATCACGTGAGTGCTAAACAAACATGAGATTATAGACATACGAAGTTCGAGTATTGGAGGTGTTGATACAACAAAACATGTCAGATAAGACTTGCGTGTGAAATTGTTCTCCAGCGGTGTATCGTGAATGGACGGCTTAACTCTGTATAATCCCACAAAGTTCTTCTTTTTTAATAGACCTTTTTGGTAAATACGTCATATTTTAACATCACAACGTTTTCAATTCGGAACCACCTTAAATGTTGTGACGTAATTACCGAAAGGTCTATTCCCTGAAATTTTTGCGACTCTGAGTATCTTATGAAGCAAGGGCTAGCTGTTTTAACTGATCTCAACGAACCAAAATGGAAGGAAGTTTCCTTCGCTGAATGATTAAAAAATCGATCTTGTCGCTCGTGGATTAATCGAAATATATTTTAATAATAACTGTTTTCAGGCAAAGCTGTTAATTTTACTGAAGAAAAGTCTTCAAAACGACATAATTGAGATATTTTTTATTTCCAAGGACGTTTCTCAAGTTACATATTGCCAGTATTACCTGTACTTCTGGTTGTTTTCATCTTCGTTTGTTGGTTGTACTGGTTACGTTCAAGAAAGTATGTTTTTACATTTTTTTAACAATAAGATTTCATGCTAGACTATAGTCCATTTTCCATGCAAGACATTATATTGTGAATTTTAGAGGATATAGATCATAATAGCTTTTCCATATCAGTGATTCTTGGAGGAAAAACAGATTATAAACATTTTGATACTCACACATGTTAATCACATTTCAGTTCTGAAGTATTCAAATTCGTATGAATAAGGTGTTGCTCTATTTTATGAACATTCTGCATTGTCGTTTTAGAATTTCTTCTTCCAAAACGTAAAAACTTGAGAGGAAAATTACAACGCCGTGAGTTTACTGATCTATATACATAATTGCAAAATACGTTAAACTAAATTCTGACCATATCTTAGTTACGCAGACCGTCATTACACTATTATTTTTTTTACCTTTTCTTGCACATCCCGACCTTATTCTGAAAAAAACAATAGATTCTCTGAGATATAAACTAAGCACTTTTTCAGTACACCGGATCTAAAATTTTATTTCATTACTTAGAGAATACAACGTCAACACACCATGCATGCAGTCACTGCAAACTCGAGTTAAAGACATCAAGTGAGAGTAAAAGAAGGATGGTAGCAAATAGTAAGACTAAAACAGTAAAAGAGTAAAACAGTAAAAGAAGGATCATAGCTGAAATTTGACAGGGAACCAAAAAAAATTTACCAGCAAAACATTTTTTTACCTAAGAAGAAAAGAAATGCAGGTACAAAATTAGTTCTTTGGACTGTTTTTTGCGAATATCAACTGGTGTCATACAGCAAGAACTTTAATCCAGCCTCACACGAATGCCACAGGTTGATTACCTCAAGCAGTCTTTTAGTCAGAGTCAGCTGCTTTTTTGAGGCGAGTGAGGTCGTTAGCGCAACTGAGAGTTCTCGTGGTCCTTCAGGCCTTTAAAATGAACAACCACGCATGCGTGCAGCTGTAAAACAACATGTAGTGTGAAAAATCTATGTTTTGTTGTTATAGAATTTAATTGAATTTGATCTCATTTTACAAATATCCACTCCTATGACTAATATGCATTATCTCCGTATAATTTTCATGCGATCACCAATTTTTGAAATAATTGCACGCGTGAAGTAGACTTTCTGCCTGGTCTGTTTTTTAAGACGGTAATCTCCACAGTTTACAGATGTTATTATTGGTGTTATTTTGAGGATTTTTTTGGAACTCCGAAGAAACTTGATATACTTTTCATTCCTTTTGTATTGACTTTTGCCAGTGATTTTTGGGCTGCCGTTAGTTTAACATTCGTGTTCTATAGAAACGCAAAGTAATAAAAATTATAGTCAGCTGGTATACACATAGCTCATGCACTGTGGTACGGTAAAGAAAGGATGGACGTTTGGAGTCATCGACGCTGCGACATTGTCGCTGTCGTATTTTTGATAGATTTGGCTTACATTGGGACGCTTGAACTACAAAATAGTGATTAAATATATACATAACTAAGGCAGCAATTGTTTTTATATCCATTCAAATTGTCATATACTGATTCAGAATTTCGGAGTCTACATGCAGGGTTTACCTGATCTGTCGCTTTTGCTTTTGCGAAGAATTTAGAATAATCTTCATTTGGCTTAGCAGCTAAACTTTCATCTAACTTCACTTTCTAAAATAAACGTCATAATATATTTATTGTACATATAAACGTATTATATAACTCCTATCACTTGTTCTTGTTCTAATATTCCTTCCATACCTTACACGCAGGCTCCTCCTCTGACGAACCAGATATTTCATCATTTATTCTAGCAAAATATATTTATTACAATCAATTGACGGCATGAACTGAAAAATTTAAACGTATGCGATAGAAGGATTCTTACCCTAAGGATGCTTTCAGTTTCTGACTCCAATAGTCGGAAATATAATCAGATACCAAACCAAAAGCATATCCTAAATAATCTTTATGAAGAATAAAGTTGCTATTGCAGAGTTCTGTAGCATTATTATAATTTGATCGTAAGTGGGAATTGTTTTTTGAACGGCCGATGCATATGAGCGGGATTTGATTTCACTTTGGGATGTGCAGTACAGCCAGAATCACTGGAATTATTAAATGGGAATTCGCTATACCCCGGCATACTAGCTGTTTCCATACGATATCCATAGTATGAAAATGGCAATTAGTAGGGATATAATACAAAAAAATTCCAATGAATTGTGGGCAGAGCCTGTCAAATTAACTTGAAAATATCTCGGAAAGCCTGTGAATTAGGATTTTGAATTTTACCGTAACAGAAGTTGCAGAACTTTACCTTGAGTATTACCACGCGACTTACTACTCCTAACAAATGTTGATGACTGAGCACCAGACGTACATATGCTCGCTTGTTTTAACTGATCTTCTGTTTGATACACCTAAAATAATTGTTTACAGTGAACTGTACTTTATTTTCTTTATCCATAAGTAAATTACGCAGGACCCAGTGAAAAACACTGCTCCGAAAAAGAATGTAACTGCGACCATCAAAACTTGTTAACAATTTTATTTTTCAATATTTTGCGATGATCAACACACATGATAGACAAAAATATTAACCTTTTTTTCTAACCAGGAAATGACTTTATCATGGTTAAGCTTGCAAACAATTAGGTCTTCTTCCCCCTTCATATCAGTCACCAGACACAAATCCTCTTTGGTGATACAATGGGAAAGCTCACAAATATTATTATTGTCAGACTCTTGTAAAATATGTTCCAAGGTCATAAACTATAGTGAGGAAAGAATAATGAAGGTGGTGGTAATTAATGTTAAAAAAAAATTCATAGACAAGGCTGTCAAAATAAAAGATCTACAGTGTACACACAACACGTGCAGTTCTAATATGATGCAAGATATCTGTGCCTACCTTAGTTGATGTACTTTTCAGAGAAGGCAGAACCATAAATAGAGCATCAATTTTTGTCCCGAAATAGAGATTTCCATCTACAGAAGTATGGGTTTTATATAAAAATATATGTGTAAAATAATATAACAATATGTTATCAATACCTTGCAAGACAGAATTATCAATAAACCATGATCTTGGAGTTTCATTGAACTTCAAAATTTCAGAAATTTCTTGTTTATTTTTTGACAGCAAATATTGCTGAATGTGACCTGTAAAAATTTATAATGTACATATGTAAGCCATCATTTTTAATTCTATAGACTGGACTAAAACACAGGTAAATGCAGAAATTAATATTTACTATACATTTTACAGTTGTAAAGATACAATGTACTTTATACCTGTTTTTGGATGTGGCAACATAACAAAATGGTAATCTTCAAAATCTTCATTTTGTTCTAGATATACATTTTGAAATTACCTAAACTAGTCTACTGTCAAGGCAATGTGTGATAACCAACTACCATGAAAAACATAGCTAGGCTGACCAACAACAAATAGCCAACATAACTATGACTATAATTAGCTAGCACGACCAACACAGGTAACATAACCAACACAGGAAATATGACCATCACATGAAATATGGCCAACACAAGAAACATAAACAACATAGGTAACATGACCAACACAGGAAACATGACCAACATAGTTAGGAAACATGACCAACATAGGTAACATGATCAACACATGAAACATGACTCAACACAGCAATGTGACCAACACAGGCAACATGACCAACATGTACAGATTACAGAAAACATGACCAACACAGGTGGCAATGACCAATACAGACAACATGACCAACAAACGGCAATCTGACCTAATTATAAATAGAACACAGTGCATGATAGCCAACGTCACCAGTGACCACAAGCATATGCTTTTGAGGGGAGGGGGGGGGGCAGCTTCAAATTTTTACAGAAATTTCTACAAATATTTGGGTAGCAACCACAGCCAAGACAGGTGATCAGCTGGATAGCTGTTTTGCACAATAGTAAATAAAAACCGTACCTGGTAAAATAAAAACCCATTTATTACTGTTTTGGCTTAGACTGCTTATCTTTATCTTGGACGGTTTAGATTTGCCCGATCGTTGCATTTTTTGTCAATTAGTCCAATGTATGATCAGTCAAACTTCAAAACACCACAATCAGTGATATTGCAGTTATAGATTATAGCACAAATGATTATACTGAAGATTCATTCTGAAAATATTTCGCGCCAAATATTTACTATTAGCTTTCTTCCTAAACCTTAGATAAAGTATGGGGTGTCTCAGTGTCAAATGTAGAGCCCACGGTCAACCAACAACGACGACCACTGGCGGCTGAAACAGATTGAAGGTTCTCATAGTCAATCTTAACGTTGTGATTGCTCACACAAAAGATGTGGTAGCAAGTGATATAGTCACCTATTTCTATAACCAAAATTCTCGTGTCTTTTAGGGGGTAAAGGGGGAACTGGCCTATTAGTTTGCATAGTGCATACCACAGATAGTTCATGAGTCTACATTATCATGTAAATTGTGATATACATTAGGCATATTACGGACATTCTTTAAAATTGAATAAATATTTCAGAATAGATCTTTTCTTATATTCTACCCATTCTGCTATTCATGGTCTCAACTCATGGACCGCGGAGATGGGCGGTCAAAATTATTGAAGAAAAAGTGTTTTACTGGAGGGGGGTGTTCTATTCAGGACCCCCACTCTCTGATACGCTCCGCGGCCCCTGCAACTCAAGATCTTTTTAGCTCCCGTTTAATATTATGGCATTAATCAACGCAAATACTTGTACACTCAGCGTACCTATTTTTCAGTGTGCAGCACTCAATATTTTCGTCGTGATTAGTCGTAATCGGGCGGAAATTATCGGGACATATTTCGTGCACTCACTTCACGTCTTCACTATCATCGAAGCCGGAGTCTTCATGTACTGATTTGTGGAAAAAAATTCGTGAAAGTAATATAAAATGACTCCAATATCCGATTCGTTTGTGGAAAATTCTACAGTAAACAACGTAAAAGATCCTCGCTGGTTACAAGTTGAAGTTTGCCGAGAATTTCAGCGGGGAAAATGTACAAGAGAAGTATCCGAATGTAGATTTGCACATCCAGACGAAAATGTACAAGTTGAAAATGGGGGCAGAGTTACAGCTTGTTTTGATTCAATGAAGGTACATTTTTGCGCGACTCTATAGCTTGATTTATTCATGTGTTTTAAAGAGACAGCTTTTAATATTTTTTGGTATACGAATTTAAAGTTATGTCTAAAATGACAATTACTTTATAGTGGTCAATCTCTGTAGCGTTATAATATAAACATGAATGTTAATAAATGTTATACCTGTGTTTCTAACATGTACTCTTAGCCTAAGATTCAATACGTTTGTGTCTTTTTCATCTGTAGTAAAGATTTCCATAATTGAATTTTTAATTTTTTCGAGAAGATAAAAGGAAATTTCAGTTTTTTGTAACACGCTAACTATTATCGAGTATGTAGCGCAACTTTCTTTGCTTTTTATGTTTATTTGGAGAGACGTGAAAGCCTGATGTGAAAGCGCTAATTTTCTCATAATTGTATGACACATTTGAAACATTGTGCGCCTGCCATATATTAATTAAACCATGTAATTGTAATATTTAAAGGATCGTTGTCAAAGAGAATCTTGCAAATACTTTCATCCACCACATCATATTAAACTACAACTTGAGGCAAATGGTCGACTTTTGAAACAACATAAACAGCAACTTCAAGCAATAGCATCTCAAAATCTGTTACAAACACCTGCTACAGTGGTAAGTTGTGATTTAAATTCAGGCAGCACAAAACAAAATTATCTGATTTTAAAAATATAATTGGTCTTTGGTTGTGTAACACTGTCTCTTCTCCAGATGTTTTTATAATGTTTTTTATTCTTAAAAGCTTCCACTTTTCAAATTTGACATTTTACAAATATGACAAACATATACAAAATACTTGTAGAATTGTAAGGCTTATATTTTCAATATTTTTAATTTTAAAACATTGCAGTTTTATTAGGAGGCCAAGAAGAGTAATGCAATTTGTTTGTTGTTTCTCACGATTTTTAAAGGACATGCAGGACTATAGTGTATAATATCACCTTTATGTTTATAGCTTCCTTTGAATGCATTGCAAGGTTCTGGTGTGAGTGCCTTGCCTTTAACATTTGTCTCAAGCCCTGTGTTAACATCGTCGTCACCTCGAAATGCACCTGCTGTTGCAACGACAAATTCCAACTGGAGAACTGAGAAAATTCTTCCTTTTCTTGAGGTAAAAGTTGTAAATTTTCCTTTTATTAGAATTCTTCAATTGCAAAATTTCTTGTGTCTGTCACATTATGTTAGATTCACTATTGAATGTACGAGATGTATGATATCATTATTTCTTTTTTTCTCCAAGGTTTGCAATGATTATGTAAATGGTGTTTGTTCATCAAATGAATCCCAATGTTCGGCAGCTCACCCGCCATTAGAGCTTCTTCGTGATCGAAATCAAAAGCGAATTACTGTTTGCATGGATTTTGTGAAAGGAAGATGTCAGAGAGAATCATGTCGATACTTTCATCCACCTTCGCATTTACAGGGAAAATTAAAAACAGTGAAAATTAGTCAAAGTCAACTAAGTGTTGTAAGTAAGATGTCTAAGATCTGCAATTTAGTGTTAGTTTACACATTGTCAGCTTTGTTATGGCCAAGACCTGCCTTCTCCTCACCATTTTTGTTTAATTTTTTCATCTATTTCATTTCACCACTCTTTTTACTCCCTTCTTATAGCTACAGTACATAGCCGTAAATGGTTGGATATATAAGAATTAAATAGTTGTCTCTAAAACTGTGATTTTACAGCAATCAAAATTTCCATTCAAAATATGCCCTCTTGAAAGTTTCATTTCCAATTAGCTCTTTAAATAAAAGTAGTATGGAGTACCACCCCCCCCCCCCTAGCATTTATGTATTGGTACTTTGAGCAGCACAATGTTCAATAAATTTCTCTGTTGTTTAAAAAGGGAAGGCTCAATGTTATATTTGGAAGCTAGAATCTATATTGGAAAGTTTATTAATATTGTTTTCATTAATCACAGATCCCATCAAAGTCAAGAAAACGACCAGGGGAATCAAAAGATGATTTGGTACAGCATACTAAATTCTTTTTTTAATGAACTTGATTGTTTTTTAGAAGTGTCTTTTTTCAAAGAGGTGTTTCAGTTTTATAAGACCACAATGGGAAAGCACTTGTAGTTGTTGTTTAATGTGATAGTTTGTATCCATAAATTTATATGTGTTATTGCAGGAGGAGCAAGCAAAACAACAAGCATTAAATTACACCTTAATTAACACTCCTGTGGCTTTACCTGCGGCAAATTTTGCAACAAATTTCGCAACAATATTTCAACCATCAGCATTCCAGCCAACAAATGCTATGCAATTTGCTCCGGCCTTTTTTTCAACTCGTAAGTATATTTTCAAAGAGTTCCTTGAGGCCATTTGTTTCGGCCAGGTTTGTTGTGCCTTCTAAAACCTATCCTATCTTCTCCATATAGTACCACTGACTGTTCCTCAACTGACCACAACAACTGCAACCCCCTTTGTTCATCCACAAGTTCAACCGGTAACGTTGTAGTGATGTTTTTGTGATTTTGTTAATGATAAGTGTAGTCTTCATGATGTTGTTTCTCCATATATAAAACTGCAAGAACATGCAATAGTTAAGTTTTGTTCAAAAGGACACTAATTTTAAAGAACATGGTCTTTAATCATTCACTGGTAAAGAAACGTAATCATGAAGACTATCCTATATAGTGATGATGGTATATGCATTAATAGTGTGATGGTGTTTAGATCTGGTTTTAATGGTGTGAAATATAGTGTGGTGGTATATAATGCAGTGTTATAGTTGTGTGAAATATAGTGTGGTGGTATATAATGCAGTGTTATAGTTGTGTGAAATATAGTCTGGGGTGTTGTGTGTGTGTGGTATGATGGTGTGAAAGGTGGTGTGGTGTTGCATGGTATATGATGTGGTATACAGCGTGGTCTGATAGTTTAGAATGCAGTCAAGTATTAGTGTGGGCATGATACGTATATTGTATCGTATATTGTATCGTATATTATATAAAGGTGCAGTATTGTCAATGATGTGTTTATAAAACATCAATGATAAATATTAGTTACGTTGCAGTAAGTATTGTAGGTGAGCCATCATCACGTTTGTCAGATATGATATCGACAACGATCGTGACGTAAAACCTCATTTCAG